TCCCTTGGACAGCATACGCGTCAATCTGCCCCCGTTCGTACGGCGTGAGCTGGCATTTCGTACTCGCAAAGTGATGGATTATGTCTGTGTGATGTGGTGCCCATAAATTGTCAATACAAAAGTCAAGTTAAAAATGTGGGCCAACCTTTTGGCTAGCCTCGTTTTCGAGTGTTTGTATTAAAAGTTCCTCAATATTGGGCTAATTAGGCTCTATTTTGATTGGCAGAACGAGCGCGCTGAGCACGCTAATTGGTCCAAGTTTGAGCGCCGAACTCGAAATTTTGGCACGGGGGGAACAGGGTGTGTGCCAACCTTTGGCCAGGTCTGTACTTCCAAAAATCAACGACCTGCAGCCGCAGATGTGGCTTCTGACTTTAAAGTCTTGTTCTATTCACGTAAAAGAATCAGTCCATTTGTTGAGCGTGCTCCCTTGGCTTCAGTGCGTTTCCATGCATCGACATCACTCATGAATCAATTGCAGTTCTTTTCAATGTCCTTTTCTCATACCCACGTTCATTGCGGATTATCAGTTTTCCACTTAACCAACTAGACAAGCTTTAATGACTTACCCAAACGATCGAGAAGTATTGCCACTGAAAACACCTTTTTTGAAATCGGTCGGCCCATTAGGATCATAGCGAATAATCCCGTTGATTGGATAATTTCTTTTTCGAGAGGGTGGTTGCTCATTTAATGTTCTCAAACGGTATCTCTCCAGCTAGCAGCTCCTTCCTGCTCAGTGTTTCAGATCGTATCCCCAGAAGTACCGCCAGTCAGCGCGCTCGACTCCTCCATACCAGTGATTCCTAATAATATATGGTGGTTTCAATAATTGCCATAATTCCCCTCATAATAATGTATTTTGGAATCTGGTAATCTCCATGCCATAATTGAGGAAAGACCGTTGGTAGAATAATTTTGTAGCCAATGCGTTTGTGCATTTTTGACCAATCAGATCTTTTATTTCACTTCTGCATAGTGTATGTTGGTAATTACGAATATGCCATTATGTATTTCTGCGTTTGACCGATTATACGCCATACTTTATTTGTCTTATTGCCCCCCATCCCTATCCATACTATTCTAGGAATCACTGCTCCATACTGACCACACGGACGGTGCACCTGACTCATCACCATCATTCGCATGATCGTCGGCCCCCATTGCTCTGTGCGTGGATCTTCTACATGGATGCTATGTTGGTTACCGTTATGAAGGTGAGGACGAGCGCGGCGACGACGAAGTGTGGTGTTGGTAAAATGCAGTTTCCAAGGTGGTTGTCCCGCCAGCCCAGATTCAAGTTCAATCAAGGGCGATTAAGGAGCAGTCAAGCAAGAGGCGGCGATGGATGCTTTTGCTTGGATGACTACATTATCCTCGTTAGACTGACGGTTAGTGGCCGAAACCTCGTCGGGGCCTAATACAACCCCAAACAAAGCTTCACGGTATCCACTTTTTGGTACATACGCGTTTAGTTGCTTACGTCGACTGCACTTATTAAGGTGGCCGCATCGTTTGATGTGTCCAGGATTGCAGCATTGCGATAGTTCACACTTGATATTTGTATAGAGACATTCGACTAGCCAAGGGATGAGGCTCCCAGAGCCTCATAAACTCAATAACAAAAAGCCAGTCTTCTCGCAAAGCCAACAAGGGTCAAGTCCGACTTCGGTAAGTGTAACTAGCTTATTGTAGTCCCTGGGCATGCTTGGCCGCATGTAGATGGCTGTCGGGGCGCTTATCGTGCATTGACCGAGGGTTTTCTTGGCGGCGCCAAAAGTTGGCGTGGCCGGACAGGCATGAACGACATTGGAGTGTCGTTCATTTGTGGGACGAGAGTATCCCTGAGTGTATTAGTTTACCTACCGAGGTCCCCCTGTATAATGCCTATCACGCTAGTACCCTTCCTTTCTGAGGGACCGCAGTGGGTTTGCTCGAAAGCGCTACATAGTATCCTAGCCATAGCTCGTGACTAGTGGTACAGGTTTTTGGGTTGACCGAAGCCAACCTAATGTGCACAGAGGCGCTTGCAACCGACCCGGTGCATGGGAGTGTTCCTGGTCTTCAGGTTTTGATCAAATAAGCGCTTACCTTTGCGGGTTAGCGTGTTGTTGGAGTCTCGAATATACTTTAGTATAGGAGGATTCTAGTGTAATTACCACACCACAAAGCCTCAAGCGGCGATAACGAATTAGATCCCAAAGGACGAGCTTGACAAAGATGAGTACGATCGAAGTGACTAGGAACGCACCAGGGATCTTCCATAAGTAATTGAAAGTTAAATCACAGTGATTGCAGTTCTCACGTATATGATGTTTTTTACCATGATTATGTAAACAACAACAAAAAAGAAGGATATTGCTATTCGGATGACGACAGGCTCCCGATATTTTTCCAGACTGCGATGGCGACCCGTGCAAATCAACAGAAACGTCAGGGTTACCTCCGGATTGGATCATATATGGAACGAATCAGGTTCGTGAACACACATGTGTTTTGCTTGGATCAGTTTTGGGATCGGGCATTGTTAGGTTGACACAGCGCGACTGCCTTACGGCTACGCCTGCTGCTCACTCTGCAAGATGAACGGGCAAGCGCCAGTGGTGACACCGGCCTCACCCCAAGAGCCACAGTCGGAGGGTCGTGGCGCCGCTGGGGCCGCAAGCTCGCTGCTGGACGGCGTAGCCACCCATCCTGCCACACCACCCGAAGCTGCTACTACTTAAGCTGCTACTGCTCAAGCTGCATCGCTAGGACGGGCCGCCGCGCCACCGGCCGTACTACCCGAGGATGTCACCGTCGCTCGAGCCGTGCCAAGAGGTGGCACCGCTGTAGCACGAGGCGCGCTGATCAAAGCCGCCAGAGCCGCACAACTTGAAGGTGGTGCCACGAGGCGGTCCCCAGAAAATTGATGACGATGTGCCGTCACCTGATGACTTGGAGTTTGTATCGGATGCTGATTGGTGGATAACTTGGATACGGCGCGGCTGTACCCGTGTGACATGGATGGCGACTGTGGGAGAGAAGTGATTTCTCGGGATGAATCCAGCGCCTGACCGCAGATGGGCCCAACTGGCTGGAAGTGTGAATCCTGGGAGTGCACGCCCAGGATTTCAGAGAACACTCAGTCCAGCCGCGGACTTTCACTTACGATGAGTGCCTAAAGTCTGGCGAAAAGTGTCTATGGAGAATGTATCCCAGAGTACACCTCATCTTGCTGTGGCTCAGAGTGCCCCAGAGAATCAAATTACCCTGAGAATCAACCCACTACCACCATGATCATGGGCAGGAGGCCGCTAAACCCGCTAAAAGTGTGGCTTTGTGGAGATGCACGCGAGCCTGCAATGCAGCAGACTTGTTACCCAGAGTGCCACACGGAAACCCAGAGTGCCGCACGATGACCCAGAGTTCACCTCCCTGAGTGCAGGTGACCCAGAGTTCCAATGATGATTCTCTGGGTTTGGACCATAAATCCAGACTCTCTATACTGAACTTAAGTGTTCCCCAAGCCAACACTCAAGAATCCCCACAGCTCCCCAGGATTCCTCAGAATTCCCAGGATTTCAGAAGATGACCCTGAGTGCCACATGATTTTCAGGGACTCGAGTCAGTTCGAAGCCAGTCTGCAATCAAAGTGATGCGTAACCTTGAAGAACCGTTGTGGATGCGCAGACTGGATACTTTCGAGGAGTCGAGAGGGAGTCCTGCACCATACTAAACCAAGTCTAAGGACCCACAATTGGCACTTTCGACGCCGTGCGACAATGGATTCGCAAGCAGATCGCAAGTTTGGACCGCTGAACCCAAGGTATACTCAAGACAAGACATTTGACCCCAAGCATAGTGAACAGAAGATATTTTCCCGAAGAAGTAAGAGAGAGAGAGAAGTAGCTGATAAAAGACAAACAGAGTTCAATTTTCACTGTACTGCGCAAGTGACTTCGGCCAAGCCTGCCGACGGAAATCCGGAGGACCCCCGAGACTACGACCGCGGGACGCTAAGGGCACATCAACGGCGAAGGACAGCCGTCTGTGTGGACTCCATCAACTCAAGTCCAGTTAGGTGGGGGCCAGCGACGGCCTTGGGCTTCCTGGAGTGATCCATCTATTCCATATCCTCGTTGGGTCACTTGCTGTGCCGTGGTAGCCCATTTCATATTATTCCATAGGGTATTCTGGGGTGCTAGGTAGTCGCCTCCAGGATTTTGTATTGACTGCTTGTGTGAAGGGAAGTTAACTGATAGTGATTGTATTTTCCTCCTTTATTGGAGGTGGTGCGCGTTTGTGTGAGTCTCAGGGGAGCTAGGCCCCTGAATTTCAGACTCGAGTGAGCCTAGTGTGTGTGTGACCCACCGTCCAAGGGTCCAAAAGAATAAATGACGGCTAGTTGTAGTGTTTGTATACTCTGTATTTGTTGGTTTTATCGAGCTAGGAGGGCATTTGGGTAAGGTGTCTTATGAGTTCCAAGTCCCAGAGTTGACTGAAATCCTGGACACTGAATTCGTGATATTCTGGGTTTCAGGGGGTCTGATTCTCTGGGTTTGCCTTTTGGTGTGGAGGTGCGTTCTGAAGTAGACGTGCGCTTCCGCACTTCTTCGAGGCTACATTTTCAACCGGTGGAGTGCCGTTCCGTCGAAGACAAACGAGCCGACAGGGATTACACAAGGTACCCACGCCAACCAAGGAGTGTGCTTCTCAGGGTTTAAAGCTTTGCGGCTGCGAATCTCTGGGTCTATCTTCTTGCCGTTGACTTTCAAGTCGATTCTCTGGGTCTACCCCTGGGGAACAGTCTTGGGCTGCGCTATACGAACCCCCCTAGGCGATAAAGGTTTCATCGGTCTCGCCTCAGTGGCGCTGCCAGCAACCTCAGCGCCGGCGAGCGCGAAGAGCGTACGACGTGTTACTACCGCGGGTATAAGTACGTCCGCGCATGGGCGTCGTCACGCTAGATCTCCTACCGATGCAGCAAGTTCCGCCAAGGACAGGGGTGCGCCGGCACGATGGAGTTCACCATCGCCGCTATGGGGTTTGCTACAGGCCGTCCCCATACGTGCCGTGTGCCGTTGGAGGCTAGCAGTGTCGTCAACATCGCTGAGGCCATGAAGAGAGAGGCGGATACGCTGGCGATCCAGCAGGTTGCGATGCCGGCGCGCTACATCTGGGAGGTGCTCCGCGATCAATTATACGGCTCTGGCGATGCCAACGTCGTGCGTGGCCTGGCGGAGCAGCAAGTGCTTCGTCGAGTGTATCGAACGCGCAATCAACACTTCAGCGGTGACGTGCATGGGACCGTGGAAATCCCACCCCTTTCACTGGCATTGAATGAGACTGTGCCCTTTTTTCAGCTTCACTACGTTACTATCACTCGCAACAATTTGAACAAGCCGACACGGTTGTTGGGGTGGGCGCATCCGGCGCTAGTGAACCTACTTCGCTGCAATGGGGTCACACTGTTTGTTGACGGCACGTTTCCCAGCGTGCAGCGTGGCTACAAGCAGTGCGTAATATTCATGGTCCACGATCGCGCATCGGGTTTGTTCGTCCCGGTCTACTATGTACTGAGCACCTCGCACACGGGCGACTAGTACTGGAACATGATGCACTTTGTGCTGCAATCCACCGACCAACATCTCGAGCCAGCAGAGGTTATTTGCGACTTTGAGGGTGCTCTCATTATTGACGCCGTGCAAACGCAATTTCCGAATGCCATGGTACTGGGCTGTCTGTTCCACCTAAAACAAGCACTCTGCCGTGTCATGAAGCGATTCGCAATCCCAGATGAAGAGTGCAGCATCTGTAGTGGGCCTACCTTGGCTCACTACTATGGCGTACACGTATGCGCACGTGTATGAGAAAGCGTAGGTTTCTTTTACTTGAGTTAAGTATACTCGAGATCCACGAGTATACTTTAAACAAGATAAAGACTCCAAGTAGCGGGTTTTGGTAAAAGATGAGAACTGCTATTTGTGTTTTTGTTTCTGACTTCCTCTAAATGTAATATTTTAAACAAGGAATCTGCCAACGGCTGGAGGACAGAATTCCAATGCTATGCATGTCACTCATTGGCTAAAAGATGCTGCTTTCAGCCAATAGGAATCCTAAATGTGTATGGACCACCCGTCGTGGTGGTCGAAAATGTATGTAGCCATTGGTGTACCTTACACCAAGGTCGAGGAAGTGTTCAAACCTCTAACAGACATCGCATCTGTTAGAGTAACAAGTGACTGTAGCCACTTGTGCGTGTAACCCCGTTACACCATCCCCCCCGTCAAGGTTAGACGTGCCGGTCCGGGCACGTCAACCACCATTGACCGCTTGGTCAATGCGTGACGTTTGAAGAGAGCGTGCTCGTTCCGTAACGAGCACGTCGAAGTTGAAGACCCCTGGCGCAGCAGCAGAGAGGTTCTCTGCTGCTGAGTAGCATGCGCGGCAACGTGCGAAGCGCGTCGGTGCCGCGGGGGCAGGTACCTACGTCTGCCCTCGAAGTGTCTTCGGGCGCTGCTGTTAACAGCAGCGCTCGCATTACGTTCCAGTATGTAGCGCATGGTGGGCTTCGTATGCCCTCACCATGTCCGGGACGTCTTCGAGCAAGACGTTCCGCGGCTCCCATGTATCTTGGTTGGGAGGGAATCCTCTCCAACGGATACGAAAACGAACTGGTTGCCTGTTCGTTCTCGGGATACTGTGATCAACAATCCGCTCAACAATTCATCGAGTTGAGCCGTGTGCATCACGAATCGGCGGCGGTGGTGGTGGAAACATGCCCCGTGTGTGGTCAACTTGGTGTTGACCCTGATCTCGCGTCTCCCCACGACCGAGTTCCGGTCGTGGAGTAGTTCCAAAACGCTGGATTCGGCGCTCTGAAGTATCCTCAGGTTGCGGCGGCCTCCCAGACCGCCTCGATCGGTCCGGCCGAGCTGGGCCATTAGCTCGACCCGCTGCTCCAGCGCGACTTCGCGCTGGAGAGGATGATGGCTTCCGCCGAGTCTTCTGCTTCGGTTCAGCCGAGCTAGGTAGCTCGTGCTGCAGATATGGCTTCAGGCGTCTGACGTAGAACGTCGGATGGAGGCACATACTAGACGGTATGTCCAGTGTGTGGGCGTTGCCGTGCCGTGCCAGCACAGTGAACGGTCCGATGAAGCGCGGCGCGAGCTTGCTCGCCCCGAAGTCGGAAACTGCATGTTTAGGCAGGTTTTGAGTAGCTAACAAGACTAATGAACCCTTCTCGAATTCATTAGTGCTGTCCCTGCCAACATTGTCTGCGTTCAGCTTCTGTCGGTCGACAGAAGCTGCAATAGCGTCTTGGACAAACCGAATGACGGCTTGTCTGCGCTGCACGAAGTTGATTGCGTCCGAGCTGAACTCGTTCAGCTCGTTTCCAGCAGCAGGCCCGGCTGCGTTCGTCTTCGTGGTGTCTGTGCCCTGCACAGACACGTTCATCTTGTTCTTGTTCTTGTTGGTGTCTGTGCCCTGCACAGACACGTTCATCTTGTTCTTGTTCTTGTTGGTGTCTGTGCCCCGCACTGACACGTTCATCGTGCGCTTTTCGGCGTCTGTGCAAGGCACAGACGCGCGGTTCTTGGCTTTACTTCGTGTCGTTGCGGCTGACACTGTGCAAGTGTCAGAGGCATTCTGCCGCTGCTGCGTTGCAGTCGTAGATCCTCCCCCACTTAAGGAAGGAGCCACCATCCCGAGTAGACTCGGGAGGCGTGGGTGCCTGATGGCATTCACGTAGAACGGTGTATGCCCGGTCGAGGCATGCACCGAGTTGTTGATGGCGAACTCCGCCATCGGCAGGCAGTCGCTCCAGTGTTGGAACGAGTGAGCGTAGCTCTTAAGCACGTCTACGAGCACGCGGTTGACGCGCTCGGTCTGCCCGTCCGTCTGCGGATGGTCCGCAGTCGACATCGAAAGTTGACTCCCAAGAAGTGTAAACACTTCTTGCCAAAGGTGTGCAGTGAAGCGCGGATCTCGATCCGACACAATGTCGATTGGCATGCCATGGTGTATGAACACTATGTCAACGAACAGACGAGCCGTCTGTTTCGCAGTCACTTCAGCGGGTACCGCAGCAAGATGTACCATCTTGCTGAAGCGGTCAGCAAAGACCACAACGCCCGTGTTCCCCTGGCTGTCCGGGGGAAGACCGAACACGAAGTCCAAAGACATGGACTGCCAACACTCCCGTGGGGTTGGTAGTGACTGCAAGGGAGCCTGCGTGAAAGGCGCAGGCTTCACACGTTGACAAACCTCGCAAGCACGGACGTACTTGCGCACCCATTTATACTGGTGGGTCCAGTAGAAGTCTCGCGTGAGAAGAAGGTATGTTTTCTCACGGCCCGGATGCCCCGCAGTCGGTGCATCGTGATACTCATACATGATCCTGAGTCGCAGGTCATGGTCATTGGGCACGACAACGCGGTCCGCGTTATCGTCGACGGCACTGTAGAGTAATAACCCGTCGTGCACCCGGTAACGGTGTGCACGAGCACGAAGATGCTTCGGCAGCTTCTGACGAGCTTGGTCAGAAGGCGCTGAGCCGTAGGCCAGCAAGAGCTTCGCGTCCGCGTCGTGCGCGTACACGACCTTCACGTCGTCCAACAGTAACGACGTCGGGGTGCTCGATCGCATGGCGTCAATGGCATTGACGTCGGCATCAGTCGTGGCGTAGTCAGGTCGACGCGAGAGCGCGTCGGCCACCACATTGACTCTTCCGGGTTTGTACTCAACCCGGAAGTTATACTCTGCGAAGAATGAGAGCCATCTCGCCATCCGTTGCGAGATGTGCGGGGACTTCACAGCCGTCCGCAGCGACGCGTGGTCCGTAAAGACCACGAACGGTTTGCTTCCGAGTAGATATACTCGGAATCGCGAGTGTGTACTTCATGGCAAGGAGTTCCTTGTCATGTACCGGGTAGTTGCGCTCAGCTAGCTTCAGCTGACGCGATTGGTAGTAGACGACACGATCACGGCCCTCGTGATCGTGTTGCATCAACGCACATCCGATTGCGAAGTCGGATGCGTCACACACAACGTGGAATGGGCGATCTTGGTGGCCACCTCCAAGATCGGCGCCTCAGTCAAGCCCCGCTTGACTGCATCAAAGGCCTGCTGACACTCAGCAGTCCAAACCCACTCGGCGTCCTTCTTCAGGAGCTGTGGCAGCGGGCGTATCATGCCCGCGTAGTCCTTCACGTACTTGCACAAGTACGTGGCCAAGCCAAGGAACTGCCGCAGTTCCTTGACGTTCGACGGCGTCGACCACTGATTGATCACTCTGACCTTCTCAGGGTCAGGGCGGACACCGTTCTTCCCAACGAGACACCCGAGCACGGGTATCTCGCTCGCTCCGAAGATGCACTTATTCAGGTTCGCATAGAGCTTGTGCTTGCGCATGAGCGCAAGCAGCTTCCGGAGATGCACCTTGTGCATCTCAACATCGCTCATCCCGTCCGCAGCCCGGCTGTGGACGAACACATCGTCGAAGTAGCTCGGTCCGAAGTCGCGCACCGAGCGCAACAACTGGGTCACGCACCTGTTGAAGGTCGCAGGGGCGTTCTTCAGACCCTGTGGCATCACTAGCCACTCCCAGAGCATGCCGCTCGGCGTGCTCACAGCCGTGAGAAGGATATCGCTCTCACGCTGATAGAACCCATCGCGCTGATCAAGAGCACTGTAGATAGTGCTCCTGGCTATCGAATCGATGATTACATCTTTTCGCGGTATCGGTGTCTGCGCCGGTATCGTCGCATCGTTCAGCTTGTTGTACACATGAACGATGCGCCAGCCGCCCTGTGGCTTCTTGACTCTCAAAGAAGTCGTCGATCGCCTTGACCTGCTCTCGCAGCAGTGGCCACTGCCGCGTGACACAGTACTTCGTCCCCAGCACGAGATCAATCTCGTCTTGGATGCCCTTATCCTGCGGAAGCTCCGCAGGAATCTCTTCCGGAAGTACGTCCGCGTACTCCCGTAAGATCTCGTAGTAGGGACTCGTCTTCAACGAGACCCAGCTCTGCTCCTCAAAGCGCTCCTTCTTCGTCTTCGCACTGAGAGTGTCCTGGCTCTCAGTGGTGCTCTCCTTGAAGAACTGCCTCAGTTCTTCATTTTCGCTCTTCGTTCTCTCGGCGTCCGAGAGAATGCATATTTGCTCGATGCGTCCATCGTGCAAGTCACGCGCGAAGCGCTTCCAGCTCATGACTGGAAGCGAAGTCAACTCCGACGCTTGCGTCGGAGGGTTAGCGAGAGTCATCTCCCCGTACCGGAATCCGGCACAGGTACGCGTCAAGACGTTCAGCGTCTCGACGTCTGGCTTCTCAGCCTCCTTCTGCCCAGCAGACATTTCTTGTAGCGTCTCGGCCCCACGCCGAGACTTGCGCAGCGATCTTCGCATGCGCCGTCTTTTTGTTTTGGGGAGCCCGGCTTCGCTTGGTTCTTGACCTCGCCCAGGCCCAGCCGTGGACGTGTGACGCGGTGTCGATCCCTAAATTCGGGTGAATGCACCTGAACCTGGGAAGTCCCAATGATGTGGAGCTTGGTGATACTGGATGATTTGGAGTCTCCTATAAAAACAAGGGTAATGTCTGCGAATGGACGCTGAATCCCGGAAGATAGATCAATGTGGGCGAGTTGATCCCGGTCCATGAAGTGCAACGGAATGCGAGCGATCCTCCCCAGTATATCTAAGTACGGCGGAACTCGACTCTGGCTTACAACCTGGGAGCTGAGGCACTTCTCAGATTCCCCGTTGTTTTCCCGGAATAACGATTCCCAGACTTCGCGTTCCCAGACTTACCTCCCACAAAATTCCAAGAACGACCTCGGCTTGAGGCGTTCCGAGGCTCCAAACCCAAGAACACTTGGTTTCACTATGGCATCTTCCAAGATCCTAGGTGTACCCAACAACTCCGAGAAGGTATCCAATTTGGCGACCCTTCAAGGCCAGACCAACACTCCGCAGAAAGATCGCAGTCTCCGAAGGGTCGCTTAGGAAAGATTTCGTCTGCATGTGACCTTTAACCAAACAGAGTTCGTTTTGCTTCTAAGGGCACAAGTGTTTCTTTCAGAGCCTGGAAGGCCGTTCTCCACGACAAAATTCAAAGTACTTTAGGTAAGTGATCCACTGCTTCAGCCTGGAGGTGATCATATCTATTCCATATCTGTATATTTGGCGGATTGCAGACCGTCTTTGTTGTATATTTGCCGTCTATTGGACCTGTGTCGAACTGAAGAAGTTGGCGACAGGGTAGATCGTTTCCTCTCTCCGAGAGGTGGTGCGCGTCCCCAAGATTGATCAAGTGTCTTGGATTTGGACCAGTTGACTTGTATTTTGGCCTTAGCCTTGGGCCTAGAGAAAGAAGAGAGGGCAAAGAAGTATTTGTGTGATTGTATAACGTGTATAACTCTATTCGGGTTGGATTGTTCCAGCGTTAGCCCGGCGTAGCTGTCTGATTCACGGGGTCGATACTAACCTCCTGGTGAAAAGAACCGCTACCCAAGGGATACACATCGTGCGCCTGACCAACAGCGTGTACTGGACAACACACACCCTGTGCCAGCCGAGACGGATCCAAAGCTCTAGTAGCCTGAGGTCTGTTAAGGAGGGCCTATAACTGTTTTCTGGGAGAAAACACCGCATCGCCTCGTCACAACTGGTGCGCGTGCCCGGATCAGGGGTTGGAAGTTGAACGTGCATTGTGAGAGTTATGCCTACTAACGCTAACGCGATTGTGCCTGTTCGAGTCCTGGAGGGCGCGGACGAGGTCGTGGACGCGGTCAAAAGGTAATCAACGAGTGTCAAGACCACTGCAACTCCCTGTCCCGCCGCCGAGGCCCGGACAAGATCCTGCGATGTCGACGAAGACCGAACAACAACTGGCGCTGGCCGAACCAGCGCGCCCGACATCGACCCATTCGACGCCAAGACGAGCTTCTCAACTGATGGTTCCCCGTTCTGTGCAGTCCAGCCCTGGACGGCCCCTAGACCGTGGTTCCGACGCTCAAGCAGCACGTCTGCCGACGGAGTTGGCGCTGAACCCTGCGGCTGCAAGCGCTCTTGGAAAACGTGATCATGTGGTGCTGCGAGAGTGGCGCGAGACGAGGGTCCCGGATTCCGGTGCACCACTACGTCTTGGGCCTGCTCCTGGCACTCGTGTCTTCGGACCTGAACTGCCAACCACGCTGCACTCGACGTTCCAAGATCCGCTTCCGCTGATTCCACGGGGCACGAGTGAAATCCCAGGATCCGACGTAAACTGTCTTGCTGACGACGAAGCCCGAGCGTATGGAGCCGAACAACTGATCCGCTGGAGCTCTCTTCCAGGGGAAGTCATCTCTCCAGTCGACGTCGTCTACGACGAGGGAGAAGAAGAGTACGACATGGAGGCTTGGGTCTTCGCTGCATTCGAGACTGGGAAATACTTGGGTCGTGTGAACGCTGGACGGACTTCCGAGTCCTGGATTAAAGCGCTGTCCGCCAAACGCAGACGGCAACCACTGGTCTCGGACATGAAGGCTGTCAACGTATCGCCCAAGTTGCTTCCGGCTGCTGCATGCGTCGCTGTGCTCCAGACCATGTTAATGGAGGCCGGCTTCGAGTTCCGCAATGTGATTCCTACGTGGAGGGAAGTCCGCGCGGTGTCCGAGGTGTCTGAGAATCTGATCCGCCGAGGTGTTGAAGAAGTTCAACTCAGACTCGCAGTTGAAAGTCTTGAGTCGAACAAACTGATGGATGGCGTAGGGTTTCACATCCGACAGCCGCTGGAGCCTCTCCCAGCTGTGCAACTATCCGAGCGAAGTACAAGTTCCCCGACTGATGCCGATGGAGATGTCCTAATGACGGACGACGCCGTGGAACTGCTTGGCGAAGAATTGTTGCGCCGCTTGAGGATCCCGCGGACCAGAAGAAGAAGTCCTGCGACATTGTCGTCCCAGAGTCTGGTGCCCTAACCATCGGTATCCCAGAACGTCGTGCCTCGGACTCAGAGCCTAGTCCCTAGAGAGCTCCAAGTCTTGAGGCTGATGGCTAGTGTGGACTCAGTTCCTAGTCTGGTGGGACCAAGTGGTGCTTCCGATGAGCCGATGAACGCGGCCGCTGAAGGAACAGACCTGTCGGGGCACAGCTCCTCAGGATCGTCGTTCTTGTCCGCGGCGGACTACATGGCTGGCAGTGCATGCCTGGACCAAGCCCGATGGCGATGGAAATGATTGCGCAGGAGAGCACGGTTGCAGCAGCTGCCGACCCGGGTTTCGGTGTCTCGGCAGGTGCTGTGCAGTATCCAGTGCCGGTTTCAGCACGCCCTGCGCCTTCGCTGCAGCCCCTTCAGGAATCGCCCGCGCATGTACCGCTGCCCGAGTCATCAGAGAGCAGCGCAAGTCTCCAGCCAGAACACTCGACGCAACCTGCTCCCGGGTTGCATCCAACGTCCTTGCCCCCTCCAAGCTTCGTGTCTTCCACCACACCCGCAGCCGGCATGAACCGTGGCGTCTCCGCATCAAGTGCTATGCCATGGACTCAAGCCACTTCGACAAAGGTCGCGGACCCGGAGTCTGAGAAGAAACCACAGAAGTCCGTGCATTCTGGGAAGTTATCGCGATCCGGGAAGTCCGCCGCGAAATCTGCGTCGTCCAAGTCTTCGATGTCAGGAATCTCCTCTCGCGTGTCGTCCTCGAGGTCGTCGCGTTCCGGCGCGTCCGAGGTCGCCCTGGTCATGATGAGGCAGCAGGAGGCCACCCTCAACCAAGTACGCGCCGACATGGCTGCCGAGTTGCGTGGCATTCGCCTAGACAACCAGCAGCAGACCGCTTCCCTCATGGAGCGTCTTCAACGGAGCGAAGAAGACCTTGCCGCCGAACGTATGTCCCGCCGTCGCGACGCCGAAATTGCTGAAGCTCGGGTTGCTACCGCGGTGAAGGTAGAGCAGTCCCCAGTACCATCGCGACCGGAGGCGATTGCAGCCTCGGCGCATTCGCATGTAGTTTAGCCTGCCTCAGACTAAACTCTTCCTGCATCGCAAGAGTAATCGCAGCTTCGAGAGTACCTGGGTACTCACGGAAGAGATAGGTCTTTACAGGCCCATCTCTCAGACCCTTCATGGACGTGACGACCTTGGTCGCCTCGTCTATCGGGTTGGTCACAATGTTTGAGACCAAGTACCGTGCTCTCTGCGCGTAAGCATGGACATCATGCTTACCCTGCTGCAGGTCGAGGAACTCCGCCCTCGACCGGAACTCGTTTTTTTGGGGGCTCAAACGTTTGTCTGAGCTCTTCCTTGAAACCCTCGTACGTGCTAAAGCACGTAGGATCCGAGAGTCGGCGTCCATACGCCCAACTTCTTGCACGTCCGCCAAGACATGACATGGCAAACGCGACCTTCGACAACGGGTCGACGATGCGTCGAGCCGCAATGGCAGTGTCGAGTTCGACAAGCCAACGGAAAAGGGGCTCGCCCTCTCTTCCAACGTAATTACTCACGCTGAGCTTCAGCGATTGCGCGCGCGGTGTCGTCCCTGGTAGATGAAGCAGCATCTCGCTGCTCTCTCATGATGAATCCCAGAGCAACACCATGTTGCTCTGTCGGCGTTAGCGTGCGCAGCATCGTAGCTACAGCCGCGTCACCAATGACTGTTGACAGTCGTTGGAGAGCTTCCTACTCTGGGTCCGACAGGTGGGGACAGTCAGCGCGTGCAACGTGAGTTGCACGCGTAGTGGAGCTTTCCATGGACACCTCCGTATCCATGGGAAGGTTCTCAGCTCCGCGTTCGTGCGGTGACGTACGAACTCAGGTAGTCGGTCTTTGGACGGACTACAAAGTGCTACCAGGTGTACTGGGCCTACCTTGGCTCACTACTACGGCTTACACGTATGCGCACGTGTATGAGAAAGCGTAGGTTTCTTTTACTTGAGTTAAGTATACTCGAGATCCACGAGTATACTTTAAACAAGATAAAGACTCCAAGTAGCGGGTTTTGGTAAAAGATGAGAACTGCTATTTGTGTTTTTGTTTCTGACTTCCTCTAAATGTAATATTTTAAACAAGGAATCTGCCAACGGCTGGAGGACAGAATTCCAATGCTATGCATGTCACTCATTGGCTAAAAGATGCTGCTTTCAGCCAATAGGAATCCTAAATGTGTATGGACCACCCGTCGTGGTGGTCGAAAATGTATGTAGCCATTGGTGTACCTTACACCAAGGTCGAGGAAGTGTTCAAACCTCTAACAGACATCGCATCTGTTAGAGTAACAAGTGACTGTAGCCACTTGTGCGTGTAACCCCGTTACAGCATCGCCAAGACGCGTGGCGTTCTCGACGCGCTGACTGTGATCGATCCCAGTCAAGTGGAGCAAGGAACGAAATGGGTCAAACGGGAGATACGGCAACGTTACGCAGTGGCGGGGATTGTCTATTCTAAGGCAAAGTGGCGCGGCTTTTGGGGATATTTTGATCGGACGTGGGTCGAGCAGTATGGTGTGGGTGTGTGGAACGTCTTCGGGCTGAGCGACGAGCTCATCGCTCGCACAACCAACCCCGTAGAGCGCTATAGCAGAGAGTTAAACGGCCGTTTTCCCAAGTCCCATCCAAGCATGACGACGTTTGTGGGCGTCATCAAGACGTTGTCTGACGAGTATGTTCGCCGGCTCGCTGATGTTCCGCGCGGACGTGCACGCCGCCCTCCCCGCGAACGGATCAAGGTACCTGACCCAGTCGAAATTCCGGCCGACATCCAGGACGACTCGGACGATGACGAACCTGCTGTCGTCGAGCAGCCGTCCGAGCAAAGCAACGACGAAGAGGAGGACACGGCGAGTGTCGAGCTGTAGATGGTGTGTGCGAGGCTTGAGTAGCTTTGGTCGCTGCTTTTTAGTAACCGAACACAGTTGACATCGTTCGCAAGACATCTAAATAATGAGAGAGATTGATGTCTCCAATGCTACTCTAACACTCCCAACGTTCTTGAACCTGCTCCATCATCTGATCACTTACAAAGCTAATGAATCTGTTCAAAGAACAGATCAGTTCCGTATATGATCACAATAAAAATCTACCAACGTAAGAGCATAAGGGTAATATCATATTCCCCATTTATGTCGTAGCGCCATCTACCATCTCAGCCGATCAATAGTGCTTATTTTGGCGAAAGGAGAATAGCATCACTATATTGATCGGCTGTAAATTGTGTCGTTTTTGATCATTGGAGGTACCCTTTGCGGATCGGCCGGTTTCAAAGACAACCTCAACGTTCGTGATAGAGGATGGAAAACCCATGTACGTGATCGAGGGGCTCGATCGGAGGGCCACGGCGGTGCGCGGATAGATGGGAGAGCTGGACTTGTATAAAACTGAGAAGTAAACCCACCTGTCCGAGGTGGCGGAAACTCGCTGTTGGTTCGTATTAAATTGTTCCCTCTTAAATAGCCTGGTTGGTTATAGGTAACATTATAGATGCTCAGTTCATCAATTATGACTTATGATTCCACATATTATGCCTTTCTAAGAGATTAGCGCATATACCTTGCCAAAATTAGGAGCCCTGCATGATTGGTTCATTTCATCTAGAAAATAAAATTTCTTGGACAAAAATAAATATGCCTTTTGTTCTGTACGGACTCGAAGTCACTGTCTTGGGTTTTGTTGTTGCTGATGTCTCTCTTGACTAGATCTTCAATAGATTCCGCAGTTCCACCTTTTTCAGCTGGAGCTTCATCATGTTGGAGAAAATAAGCACCAAATTCTTGGTGTTTGCGTCCTACAACAGATTGCGAGGTTGCGTGCGTACAAACTTGTGCGCAGGGAAGTCTCTTTCGGCGACGGCACTTGTGCACGCTGAGGCGAAAACCGTGGCCACGGTGTTCCGTAACACCGCAAAGCCGTGTACTCCACCCCAAAATACGCTCTCAGCGGCTCAATACAAGCTTGATTTGGCGTGTTTGTTGTTGGGCGGCCGCTTACAGCTTGAAGCGATCAACCACTGTCGTATCCTCGTTCTCGGCATCATTCAACTTGACGGCCCGTGATTCTTGGCCCATGTCATGCCCAGCGTAGCGCTGGTCGAGCAGATACGAGACACCATGTGCGTCGCCATGGACGAAGTCGAACTAGTGGCGGATCACTTCGGTTATGACTCCAAACTCGGAGACGGGCATCGTCCTCTTACCAAACAAGACTGCCCATGCACGTCGACAGAGAACCTCATCGCGTGTCACCGGGTAAAGCGAGTTTCTTCAAGCTTTTTGCCTCATCTGCCGGTGGGGTCGAAACCACACTTTGAAGTTCGTTTTGCTGAAGACCACGAGCCGTTTGCACTCAGATTGAAGCTTGTCAAGCCGCGGAATCTGTGCTACCATGTCTTTTGCCAGTAAATATAGTCCCCGGCAACAATATCCGCGGAAGAAGACGTTTAGGAAATCGGGCTGCAGTTCATCCCCCATCGCGTTGTTAGCTGCCGTATTGTCGGTCACGATTGCGTTGAGAAACTTATACTTGAAGATGAGACGACGAGCGTCGTGCGAGAAAAGGTTAACCACACATACAAGATAAGGAATGACACTGGTCTAGACAGGGTCAATCCACGGAAAGAATCAATCCACGGATTCACCCTGCCTAGACCTGTGTCATTCCTTGTTGTGTTTTACGCTCTTTTTATTTAACCCCTTGAAACCGGGGTAGTACCGTACCCCATCTGAACCGAAGCCCCAGACGCTCTAACATGTATGAGCGGGGAAGGGTTCAAATACAAAGCTCTATATGATTTCATACCTTGTATTGGTGACAGGCGCAGGATAACCCAAAACCTCGATGAAGACCTCTTGTATGATTCACCATTTAGAATGCTTTAGCAATTTCCATATAAATCATTAAGGGATTAACGTGTATGTTGCACAGCAAAGCCATTACGGCAATGTGTTACAAAGGTGAAAAGCTAATCACAGCCGCGATTGAAGTGTGTAGAATAGCAGCAGCAACAACAGATGCGGCCTGAGACGGATGATGTGTCCTATGGTTATACAAACCCTCCATACAACTTGACGGACGCAACCAGCACATACGTCAGTCACCTCCGGGCGGAAGTGCTTAGACGGGTGGGCACCCATCACAGCGGACGCATCATACGATTGCTCCTGGTACTCCCTCAGTGAGGGGTCCTCACGCACCGTACCGTAGTGTTATGCAAAGCGCCCATCAAGTTGATGGCATCAACTACATGTCATGGCATGCCCGTTTTGCTTTTTATGGTGTGCCATTCCATCCCTAAGCAGAACATGGGCCACCATGTATCTTCGTACGTTGAGCTTATTTAATTGATTAAGGCCAGAATTGCCACTAGCGAAAGTAGTTTGAGTAGTACGACCCTCAACTTCGGTTGATGCAAGTGCATGATTCCGGTGGCAAAGCTTGTTATGTAGCCTTAAAGTGTATTATACAAAAATATTTACTGTTATGATGTACTATACACGGTAACGGAACTTAGAGAAATCAAACTTGGGTGCGACCTTGGATACAGTACTGCCCACTATAACTATTCACCATTGAAATAGCAGAGCACGCCCAAACTTCACGCGCGTCTCTATCGGAACCCCATTGTGTCTCAATACAAGTATCATTACACGGTTATGCTACCTAAACAACTATGAAATCTATCTTGAAATATACTCCGTCCGCCGGACCATGGATTGCTGTGGCTTGTGTTTGCTTAGTACGCTCGGAGAAGCAATCGATGTAATAGAAAACCATTTAGACGCTGCGCTCCTGCCAACCCCACTTGACTTTCGTCAGATATGATACGACAGCGAGCGGTGCGCCCTGCGTCCCGAACGGTTTTGAAATAATAGCCCCTTGATCGCATTGCCGGCTAGAACCAAGCACCACCACCACGTGTTCTTGAGGTGGTCTTGAATGGTGGAAGCAAGATCAAAGCGAACCTAGTTCTGGAACACAGAATAACCACCACATATACAAGATTAGACAGATGATATCTTGGACCATACTCGATATGAACTCGTGGACTTCCACTAGAGCCTCTGCACCGCTCCAGCGTGAAAACGGTAAATCATCGAACCAGTGTGGGTCAAAGTGAGGCTCTACCTGGTAGGGGTCAAATCGGGTGAAGCGGCGTGAAGAGAGAAGGGTAATTCGGCCTGCTGGTTGGGATCGAAGGGGCTGCACCACGCTGCGCAAATACACGGTAGCACGAAATGCGTACGGTTAAAGTGAAAGAGCGAATCAATTTTGATGAATAGCGCGAGCCGCAGACTTACCATTGCCTCGACGACTTTGGTATCAGCATCCAGTACCCTGAGATCAGCCTTTCTTCGATTTCTTTGCCGTCTAAATCTTCACGCACATCAAACACAGTCAGAATAACTTGCAGAATTACCTACGGCTTATTAGCACTTACCGATGCAAATACGCCTTGCCTGCGGGTACCCTTGTCTTAGCAGCTTTTTGCGGGACGCGGCAGGTTCTGTGGAGAGTGGCGAGGTTCTGTGGGGGAGCGGCGAGGTTCTGCGTGCGAGCGTGAAAATCTGCGAGTGAGGCAGTTTCGTGTGGCGCCGGCTGAACTCCGTCAAGACCACCGATCTTCGGATGGGATGATGGCCTTTTTCGAGGTATAATTTATGTCTATAGTAGCATTGTTCGGGAAAGCATGGGTACGCTCCCTAACCCTTGTTAACTTGAAATTTGTAACAGACTTTACAAAAATCAAGTATAAAATTGCTTAACTTATATGGTTCACGTTAAGAAAGTGTTGCTAACTTGTAGGGTCCAGGCTGTCGGGTTCAAGGGGTTAAATTGTCTTGGAAATCGAATTAACGTAAGTATCAGTTTTTGTGCATTTCTTGTATAATAATTCCATTTCTTTGAAAAGAAAAATGGCTGATATGTACTGGGTAAGGGACTGGCGCCTCATTCATTTGAAGTCACAAAGGTAAGGGGGCCCACCAAATATTTGTAACCGGATACAAAGATAACCGTCATGTACACTTATGTCGCAATTTGACGTGTCGGCCAGAGCCCGCAAGCGCCCGCGCGACGGCTCCTGGCACCTGCCGACGCGGCGCAACATAAAGATGGCGACCTCCGGCAAGTGATTTCTCAACTCCTTTGTCTGCGAGACCTGGATGAGTTCAACGACCGCTATATCGAAGCCCTCGGGGGGGGGGGGGCAAAGTCACGGTGGTTCGCACGATCGGGTTCGTCGCTAAGCTCGACGATTGCTACTCTGACCGAGTCTCTTTCTCACTTCACTGTAAGTGCCGAGATGCACGGGAAGAGTAGAGTCACGCACATTCGGCCACCGACATGTATATAAATAAGCTACTGCATCTCGGACTCCTCTCGTGGACTTCACTCCATGGGGGCCTTTGCGCTGTTAGCACCACGCGCAAATCACGCGACAAGTACGGAGCTTTCTATCGTCGAGTGATGACGATGAAAAGATCCCGATCGCGCGAACCACCGTGACTTTGACTCCCCCCCCCCCCGAGAGCGTCGATATAGCGGTCGTTGAACTCATCCAGGTCTCGCCCACTAAGAAATTGAGAAATCACTTGCCGGAGGTCGCGGATTCCCGCAGGAGTCAAGTCTAGCTCAAGGAAGTGAAACAATCGTCGTATTCCCACTTGAAACTCGAGCCACTTCTTCCAGCCTCCCCCTTGAAAGAGATTTGCTTCCTTGGTGCCCTTGTACCTCCCTCGGGATTTGAATCTCACACTCCCTCCGTGTTCGTCTTGGCCTGTCATCGTAGGTCTTCACACGATTGAAATTTCAATTTGATGTGCTAGTGGGGGTTCTAAGGCAAATCACAAAGTGGCAAATCGTTTAGGCTTAGCTTCTGTCCCTCGAGGGGGTTGCCGATTACCATCAATCTAAGCCTTCTGAAAAATTAACACAATGCGCTTATTCCCAGAAACGGATAGTGACGCTTAATAGCAACGGCCAGGTCTTCGTCTTCTTGAACGGTTCAAAGTACGAGGTGCGCCAACGACATTCGTATAGGTAGTTGACCCCCTTGGTCTTCTTTATCCCGCGCTCGCTTTTCTTTCGAACCTTAATCTTAACCTCCCAGATTCATTTGATGCGGTTGGTACACGCACCCATGGATGGAACCACAAATTTCTTGGAGTGGCTAACCCACTGGTGCGTGTAACGCATGCCGGTAACGAACCTCTTGTTCTCGAGCGTGTAGAGCGTCCACTTCTTGTAGCCGCTAGACACCTTAGTCACGTAAGACTTAAACTGGTCAGACATTAAAAGTGTTCTTAGCAATCAAAGTTAGCATGCATAAGTTTGTACCGCAACATTAAAAATACACGTACCTGGGTTTGATGTACGTCTTGATAGATTTGGGCAAGTTGCGCTTGGTTCGGCCGTCGTATCGACCTAAGCGGACCAATTCTTCGTAGTGAATCCACGGCGCCAAAACCCCAGTAGTCTCCATGCTTTTTATTCGTGATTGCGGTTTTGCTCTTCTTCATGCTGCTTTCGTCAATTTCCACCAGGTGCCCTTTTACACTGACCTCTATATCCTAACAAATTTTACAAACGACACACAGCAAAGTTCTATTTAAAAAAATTACGCAACTTCATATCGCATTGTAACATCACCACGGAGCACGTGCCAATGTCTTGTAGTGTTCAAGAGTGGGGGTCCTTGAAGAAGAGGTGAGCGCTGGTGTTTTCGTGCCTTTCCTACTGAATGCTTTTTCGCTGTGCATGCTGACCGTCTTGGGCCCTGACCACGATGGAGCCCTGTCGAGCCCAAGGGTAAATTCCAGGTGGTGTCCTGCGCGGCGCGGGACATTCGGCACATGCTCATCTTCCAAGACGAGATGGCTGGCTATGACAAGGGCTCAGTAATGACTCAAACTGCCGTGCCCTTTCTGCGAATGGAGAACGCGGTAGGCGGTAGCGTATTGTGACGCATGTGGCCTGAAAATGGCAGAGGTCTGATCGGGAAACAGCCACCTAGAAGCAGAAGTACGAGCACAAGGTAAACGAAAACGAATGAAAACAGCTTAACCTGGGTGTGTCCTTGGTAGAGGGATGTCCGTCATTGTCAAGTCGCACGACGGTCGTCAGGACGCACTTCCTGATTGAGATCAATAGGTACCTGTGCACCGTTGCAATAACTCGGATTCAAAGCTCAGTCACAAACAACACCGCCCAGCGTTTCTTGCGCAAGCTACGAACCGATATTGAACTCCTCACGCATAAGCGAACGTGTCCGTCTGAAAAATACAAATCCCAACTCAAATCTCTTGGACGGGTATGCGGTTAGTATAGGATTTTGTAAGAGGATTGGGTGTTCCTATTTTTGGTCACTTGGCAAAATTGTGTTATATATGCAAGCTGCCATTTGGAGTGTAAAAACACGAGTGTCAGTGCATGTTATGTCTTTCCCAACATGTGTTCTAGCCTCTGTCCAAACCGCACATTAAAATGATAAGAATTGACATAGTTATGAGGGCTTGGAGCAGCCGCGTTCGTATAATTTTGACCGGGAGTGGAAACGGAAAGCATGAAAATAAAAGAAAGAGGTGAGGGTAGGCACATAGCTCATAAAAAACAAGCAGAATTATGCAAATGTCTCCCAGGGTTCGTGTAGGTGCACAGCAAGGCGGCATATGACAACTGCCCAGACACTAGAGGGGGTATATTAAAGGCTGTTGCGGGGTGGATCTTGAGTGGTTGCAAGTTATACCGCTGCCCAGCTTGTTAAGTGAGCCGTTAATCAGGCGTAAAAGTAGGTATATTATATCCAATATTGTAACGGCGCACCAGCGTCACGGCCCTCGGCTAGGATGTGTCTAGTGCAACTCTTTGCATTATCTACCACTATGCTACCCGACAGGCACATGCGTAGTCGAAGATAATCGCTATGTTTGGAAAAGCAAATTAAAGAGTGCGCGGCCATGGCCTTCATTCTTTTCATTTGAAATTACCATAGAAGGTCGACGCTAGACCGGTTCAGGTGAACCGCGTCCTCGACTACCTTCAAGATTCAGTATCAAGAACTACGGAGAATCTAGTATAGTGAAATGCATATAACTACGTAGGGTAACTAGGGACTACCTCCATGAGGTATCTCGTAGCCGACAAACAACTAACCATTTCAATCTCACTTTCCAATTTACCAACTTCGGCTCGAGTCTTCCACAAGACTCGTAGCCGCCCCCGCCCAATACCGCGCCACACGACTCCTCGACCCATCTTCCGTGGATCTTCGCTCGAGTCATTTCTTCCTCTGCTTCCACCAGCCGTCCAAATATATACATTATAAAAGATCATACAGCAGAAGTTCATTTGTAATCTTTCTAAACGTCCTACAAGGTACAAGTTCTGTGGTTAGTTTGTCCTTACAGTTTATTGAGTCTTAGAAAAGCAAAACCACGTTTCCGGTCAGAGATTCTGTAGATGCGTGTCTGACACCGTAGTCGGGCTAGTCATTCAGCGAATCGTCTTCACAGATCTCAAGGATCTGCAATTTAAATGATCCCAATTTCATGCTATGTTTACTGTTGCGCTCACGCGCTTGCCAGCGCGTCTGCGTGGCTTCTTCTCCCCGCTGGGAGGAAGAGGGAGGGGTGGGGGTGGCATGCCCAGCGCCACAGCTACCACGACCATGCGCTCATGATGCGGTTTGGTCCGCGTCTCCGGCGGTATGGTATCTGCGGGCGCGCTCATGACCGGGCTGTGCTGCTGCGACACCAGTCTGCAGGCGGCGCCTGTCAGGCGCATCTTTTGCAACTGCGTGCACCGGCCCTGGTGTCGGGCGTTGCAAAGACCCTGCTGGACGGCAGGGGCTTGCAGCACCCATATGGTTCAGCTCGAGGCGCCTTGGAGGTCAGGCAGTCGAAAAGATCCATTGAAGAAGTGAAAAAGTGGTAATAATAGACGCAAAATATAGGCCAATCTTTTTAACTCCGGTTGTTGGTTAATAGTCGCCTTCTCTGCGCTTGCCGGCAAAAGTTGATTACCATTTCTGGGGGCGTCTTTTCTGCGCTCGGCAGCAAATTTGAAATTCGTGGAATAATTGTGAGAATTTTTAGATGCTGACAGATACACTCTGATTAATGGTTTGGATACAATTCATGCCAATGGCAATTATTTGTGATTGGTTTTGCTACAGATGCCTGCCCAGCCTAAATTAGTACGGGGTAACTTATTCAGCATCTATCGAAGCAGTAGTTACCTGTTTATTTATGTACAGTTTGTTGCACAGCTACCTGCTTATAAGCGAGGACCCGAACGACGATCCCAAGTGGCGCTACATCAACGTCACGCTCACATGCCTGATCTACGCTTTAACACTAGCAACGGTCCCGACGATGAACCGACCAAGCTTTTGCTATACGTCGAGTTCCCGGTTATGCCCCCGATGCTGAATCCGGTCGGCCTTGCAGTCTGGCTAGTCCATCGCGGCGACAGGATGCTGGCCGTGATCGAGGCCAAGCCATGCGGCATTAGGAGGGTTCCGCTACTCGCGATGATGGAAGCACTATTGGAATCTCATTATTCCGTAGTACAAGATGCAGGCCATTTGCACCGACTTCCAGAACTGGTTGTTTGTGGAGCTATCTTGCAGAAGAAATGTAAAGATACGGCACCGTCCGCGGAGAGGTTTGAGGATACCCTACTTGAAATCTAGGGGCGCGCGTATACCACGTTTCTTTATCAATGTAGATAACGACAGGCGGAGCTGACAGACTCAAAAGGCCGGTATTACAAAAAAGAGATGAAACACAAATACAAAAAAACAATTTTGAGCAAGTTAAAGGCGGTAGATTATCTTTATCTTTTTAATGAATCATTGCTCGTACAGAATCGGCTGGATAACGTAAGACTCGGTGCCCGCCACACCTAATTCCGAGAGCCACGTCTCCAATGGTGATGAAGCAACACCGCTACACCGTTCAGTAAAAGCGTGAAGGCGTTCCGCTAACCATTATGATTGGCGCCGAATAGGCTGCGCTCGAACTCGACCGGCTTCGTGAAACCCTGTTTGGGCGGTGCAAGCGCCATAGCGTTTTCGCTCTTGTAACATTCACGAAGGCAACTTAACTCGTTCAGTACCGCTAATCCGTTACAGGTCGTTCTCTACCTGTAAGAATGACCAATGACATTTACATTTAAAAGAGTTTTCAGCCAATCATTTTGTAGCAGTGGAATGACGTGTCCAATCTGTTTTTACCTAAAGCGAGGCGCTGCACCGACTAATAATGCGTGTGCGCTTTGGAACCTGCTGAATACTTGACAGCCCACATCCCTACATCCGCTCTGCACATGAAGAGACTCGCCGCTAGCTGCTGCTACTGCTGCTGCTCCTGCAGGAGCTGCAGACGATGTTGCTACGGCAAGGAGCGCTGGCAGCCCGTGACCGGCTTCCTCGTGGTCGCGTGCGACCTGCTGAGCCGCCTCCTGTCGCTGCCCGACCTGGACGCCAACACGGACTTCTGCCTGCAACGTGAGCCAGAACGGCATGGTCGCCCCCTGCTAACCCCGAGAGTACGCCCTCCACGCCCTACCGTCTGGACGACGTGAGCGGCTAAAAGGCACTCAAGGCCACGCTCTGTGCGCTCAAATATATCATCAAGGGTAGCGGCGAGGCCTTCCTGTAGCAGCAGGCGGCGAAAGACGGGGCCTAACACTTCGTCCACCTGACGCCGCAGATCCTGGAGCTCGTGGTCACCAAGAGCGGCTTCCGCATCAACTGCCAGGTCCGTGCCATCGGCCTGGATGCGATCACAGAGCTGTCGGATGTCCTTAGAGGTGATCCTGACCAGCGCGAGTGACGTGCCGAACAAGTGCAGCAAGCGGAGCGAGACAATTAGTGCCAGGTGCGCCTCGCAACCTTCTTCTCGGTGATCACCTTCTTACTGAAGCTGCAGGAATCGGGTCGCGTCGGGCGCCAACCCGCGTGCAGAAGTTCTCCCAGGAGCCGTGAAGCAAGATCATGGGAAACCAGTGGTGGCCAGGTACGCCAACGAGGTCAGCAACTACTACGTGGACATGAACTACCACGGCGTGCTTGGGCGAGCATGTCAGGTCGGCGCCGAGCTGAAAATGCAGGTGGACTCGAGTCGGGTCACCCGACGGCTCACACGGGGTGCCCCATGAAGGCGTTGCGAGCCGCTTTGGGCTCGAACATTCGTACAACCTTTCAAATTCAATATTATGTAGTAATATTACGTAGTATATAATTCAATATTATGTTTTATAAAATGCGGTTCTCTGAAGTGTGGTTTACACAATGATCGGTTTCCTCAAGCCAAGAAGTCGAAGACGCGGCTGGCTAAATGAGGAAGGCTGGTTTTTCTGATCGTGAGAAGTAGCAGATAGAACGTAGATTTAGGCTCGACAGAGCTCCGTTTTGGTTTTCCTTCGTTCCGATAACCTCCAAGGCTTGACGACCCTTCGCCCGCACCTTTTGGACTACTTGTGCCAGAGAATATGGCTGCCCTCACGCGCTATGCGCTGCTGAAGCCCGCCACGCTGGAGACAGTCGGGAAGGCCGTGTCTGGCCCTCAACAGGGACAGCTGGATGTCGAGCGCGTAGCGAGCGGTAGATGGAAGGAGCTGGGAGACTGCAGCGCGAAGGTGGATGCTAGAGATGTGAAGATGAGAGCGGTTACGGAGGGGGAAGCGCTTAGTGGCATTGGAACTTACGTCGGTAGCGCTGTTTCTGTAGCAAGAGTCCCCTACGGGAAAACCAAAGGTTTGGGACTACGGCATTGCGGTGGGTTACAATTGGAAGTCGGCGGACCGCAAGGGCACCCTCCAAGTTACGTTCAATAACGAAACACTGGAGCTGGAGTACCGGGAGGGCGAGATTCAAGACCTGGCATTGGAGACTTATGCTCTGAGGCCGTGTTGGTTGCGAAGTGTGATGGAAACCATGCCCGGGGAGATGCGTGCGCTTCATGACACGGTGCAAGATCACTTCAACGGGATTGGCCAAGCTGCTCGTCGCAGTTCGGCTACGGTGCTGAAAAAGGCAAGCGGTTGTGCATGAAGTACGTCTCTGCTGAAGGATGCCCAGGGGAAGGAAAGACCTGCGTGTATGATTATCGCGGTCATTTCGTGCCTACGAAGTTACCCAGCATCGTTTCAAAGTTTATCGAGAAAGCGTACGGCGGTCTTCGGGCCGTATCGACAGCGGACAAGAAGGAGGAGTCAACCGCTTGAAGGTGCCATGAAGTGGAAATGGAGGTGTCCATCTTCAGGCCACCAGAAAGCCTCCCCCTGCTTGCCCAAGTCTGCTTTCCGCAGTCGTCCCTGTGGAAAGGGATAACGGTCTGCCGCTACAACTCGCTGATAGGTCGATATCCGAACCATTGTCGAGTCTTATTCCCGTTGTAGGTGAGGAGAAGCTGCCGGCGGTGCATTGTAGGCTGGTAAATAGCCCCATCGTGGATAAAGGTCCTGATGAAGGCCGCTGCACGATCAGTGTAGGCAGGTAAATAGCCGCATCGTGGATGAACATCTCGATTCAGGCGATAACATGCCGCTGCATGATCAATGCAGGCAGGTAAATAGCCGTGACGTGGGTTTAACTATCTACGGAGGCAACGATGCGCCGCTGCAATTTCGTTGCAGGCAGGCTGACAGCTGGTATCCATGTGCGACGCACAGCGGTGGAGCGGAATGGCCTCAGGAATTGTCAAGGCTATCTCGGAGCGGGACAACGGAAACGTCGAGTACCGGCCTGCGTGTAAACCGGACTTCACCGACTGGGTCAGCGCCAATGCAGCTGCACCACTTTATCCAAAAGCAGGAACACCGATACGCTTTGTCTCTGTTAGCCAGAGAACGCTTGCTCTCGCTTGATCGAACGAAAGGGCAAACAGAGCTTGCCAATGCTCTGCGTCGCTTTGGAATTACTCCACCAGGACCAAGTCCGGCATTTGTATTGAAAAACGGTCATAAGTGCCACCTGATCGACAAGACCAAGCAGTATGCGCTCAGCGAGCTGCTACGTCGATCTCGCCAAAGCCTCCCAGAGTTTATTCGTCTCGTACGAGGTGAGTCACAGAGCGACCCCCGCCCTAATAAGGCGCTTACGGTTCCTGGCCATCTCCCGTGCTGGCGCCACTACCCATTCAAAGATCAGTGGCGCGACATCGTCGCACACGGTGTGCGTCCTAAGTGGAGATCAGCATTCCCGAACCAATCTAAACCTCCTCCGAATCATGGATCGGCTCGGCGAGCGCTAAATGTCGTGATAAAGAACCCAGGATGCGAATCGCTACTTGGTTTTGGATATCGACTTGCTACCAATACTACAAGGTGTCACATGTAGCCCATTTGGTGCTGTCCCAAAAGGAGACGCAGATCTGACTGTGGACGGCAGAGTCATCCATGACTTATCACACCCGAAAGGCGCGTCGGTAAATGATCAAGAATTAGAGGAAAGCGGTGTGGTTGTAACTTACGACGGAGCGGCGATTCTTGCAAAACGAGCGCTTCATGTAGCTGCACTTCATCCTGGCGCTGTCCGGATGTCGACCGGTGACGTGGAAGGAGCCTTCAGAAACATCCGGATTGCTGCGGAAGCGGCTGGCCGGTTCTCAGCAACTATACCTGAGTTGGGAATTTTGGTCATCGATTTGTGTTGTTCCGACCCACCACTCCTCAACCCGCTAAAGGACGAATGAAAATCAAACTTGCCCCACGAACTCACGATCAATGAAAACCGCTTTTGCAATCCTCGAGGGAGCAGCCAAAAACAAGACGTGCGGGCTGTTGGCGCCGTGCGGGACGGCGGGTCGTAGTGCGGCTGGTCCTCGGTCGGGGATGCGGCCGTCGAGGCCGGCGGCAGCAGCAGCAGTGAGCGTAGAACAAGGAGGAGGAGATGTGGGTGGGGACCATCAGCAGCAGCAGCACCAACGACAACAACAATATCGTATCCTCGCTGTGGCCGCGGGTGCCGCAAACAAGCCGAAACCCTGTACGTCTCCTGAACAGCTGTCCGCTGGCTGTATCGGTGGAAAGGTGGCCATTTATGCGACCCACAAGGTAGTGGACACACGCCATCAACGTACTGCTGCGGCAAGCAGCGCTCCCTCCCCCTCCCCACTGCACATTGCGCAGTCTGCAATCTGCATCAAGGGCCCCACTCAAGCACAAGAAAGGCACGCGCAACCGGCTCAACAACTTCCTGTACCAGAACCACGAATTCGATTCGTACGTGGACCTGTCGACATTGACTGAAAGGAGCGCAGTGATTCGGATAGCCGTTCTTCCAGAGGCAGGGCAAGACGATCGCGCTGATGCTCGCTCAAGAGGTGGGGATCACAACGTTGTGCACGGTGAAGGACTGCGTGAGTACATGAGCGTGAAGACGCGCGTGGTGTTCCGTGCGCACAAGGACCTGGGTGGCAACGGACTCGATGAGAAGTAAGTGCTGACCAACGACATTGCTGGTGCTGGTGGTGGACCTGCTCCCACTTTTGCTGACCAACGTACTCAAGGGGGCATAGTGGTGATCAACGATATTTCTGAGCTGGACTACGCGGACAGCGCGCAGTGAATCGGCCTCCATCTACAGACAGCTAAGGTACGATTCTCATCGAGTTGACCGATATTCAAAAGCATTTGCTAACATGTACTGAATGATGTATTATGCAGATTAATGGACTCTCTTCTACGTTCCACGCCTACGCTTCTGCCGAGCCTGTTTCTTTTGCTTCTGTGTATGTGCCGGTTTGTTGTTGGACGATGACTTAGGCTTCCGAGCTGGTACTTCTTTTGCCTCGAGGTCGACGAACTTGCGCACGAATCGACGGTCCTCGAAGCGAACAATCTGCTCAGGGTTCAAGTGCTTTGGCGGCTCCCACGTCGGCTCCCAATCCACCAGGTACAGTGTGGTTCCATCTTCTGCTCTCATCTTCCACAGTATGCACCTTATTTGCCAAGTCAGGTCTTGGTCGAGCGCCGTCTTCACGGCCCTCGCAGCATCATCGGCCCCACGATTGCGTATGATCGAAGCGGCGAGGACCCAGGCCGCATGGCAGACGTCGAGTGCAGCCTGCTCAGCGTCGGTTTCGTCCATGGTGGACCGGGCCAGAGCTGTTCCAAGTGCTTTTCCGGCCTCATCAGACGTCTGTAGCGTGTTGCCCTCCTTGTGCAAGGCTTCAGCAAGGTCCGTCCACTCGCGCCGCTGTTGTCGCTCGTCGTCGGAGGTCGACATCGCCACGACGCCCAGGGCGTCGATCAGATTGGCCCCGCAGGCGTATTTTTCCTGGGCCGCCGGCGTGGCATCTCCCGCTGTCGTTGTGATGGTCGCGGTTGAGTCTGTTGCCGCCGTGCCTTGTGCCGTCGTGCCTGTTACCAACTTGTGGCCACCGGCGTTGACTGGAGTCCCCAACCTGGCGGCTTCGCGTGCAGCTTGCAGAAACTTGCGAATGTGATCTTCCTTGATGTCTTCGACCTCTGCGTCCTGCTCTAGAATGGTGCGTAGTATTAAGCCCACTAGTTTAGCTCCTGCTTCCTCATCAGCTACTTCTAAGTCCTTATACATGTAAATAATTGCTTTCTTGTCTATTGAAACCTCTCGATCCGGATAGGTAGGATAGAACACGACCTGTCTGCAAAAGTCAATGAACTCCTGCCGCGTAAATACTTCTCTTGCCACTGGCATTGTGGTTTTTGTTGTGATGCAGGGCTTGTCGCCGCGCAGTATGCCCGAGCGTCTATGCAGCTTTCTTGTAACCACCGCTAACCGCTTCAATCTCAAAATAAGACTAACGCTTCAACCTCAAAACCGCTATGAGGGTTCTTCCAAATAAAAGTTCATGAGATGGTACCCCGTATTGGAACCTGATTATTTTATTACCGTGATAATATTGATTGCGGATTTGTTCATATAATTGTGTTTTTTAGCATGACCGACACAGGATCCCTCTCAGATCCTATCGGATCCCGGTACAACTACTGAAGAGCTTGGGCGTTTCAAGATTTTACGTGCTCTATGTATCTCCTGTGTGAGTCACACAGACTTGCGCAGCAGAGGACACTAAGTCACCGGAGCTGCAGTCTCCGAAGCCATGTCGTCAGCAGCGTTCATGGCGAAGTGGGTGCAGGTGCTCGTGGCGGGATTGCCGGTGGTGGCCAGCTGGGGACGGAGCTCGTGTTGGCGGCGATGGCATCAGTTCGCCGAAGACCTCCTCGTCACAGCTCTCTTCGCTGTCGTTAGAGCCATGAACAATGTCGAAGTCTTCGCAATCGTGACTCTCAGCGTTGGAGCATAAGTCTAAGCGTCGGTTTGAGTGGAGTAGACGAAAGCGCCTGTCCCACTGAAGAAGACGTACTTGCCTGGGCGCTGATGCGTCTTGCTCGGAAGCGACAGAACAAGCGCAGTTCCGGCCTGCTAGCACTCTAGGCAGCCCATGTGGTACTCAAAGCTGGATCCACCGGGCGACAAGGTTATGATCAAAACGAACGACCGGTGATCAACTGGCATCTGATGGGCATCACCGTCGACGCCATCAAACTTAAAGCTGGGATATCCAGCCGCACTGACCGACTATATTGTTTTGGCCATTCTGGACTGCGTGGAGGTGACAAGCTAGCACGTAAACCCCGGGGAGGTGTGCAGACTCAACGCCAATTATGCTGATCGCGATATCACTGTCGACTGTATGGACTGGTTGTTTCATCTGCTAAGTAAGAACCCGCGTATCGATGCCGAATTGTTCGCTGAGGCACTGGTCAAACTCACGTAGCTCATGGCATACAAGCGCTATGTTTCATCGATGAAGCGCCTCAACAAGGTTCCGTACCTCGAGAGCTGCTTCCGGGAACCCCCACAATTGCCAGGTCCTCTGATCACTACGTCCTGCGTCATAGGAACGGGCATCCCAGGTGGCGCATTCGTACCGGCAAACAAAGAAATTGGCACCGATCTGTTCTCATTGACGAGAGGCTCTGGCGAGGGGCGGCTTCGAGAACAAGTTCGATCGCTTCATCGACAGTATATACTTGATTTCAAGGAAGCCATGCTTTTATGACGTTTCCAAAAGTAAAACAAATATGACTTGGTGAACGATAGACTATCAACCTCCAGGACCTTTACCCAACCGGATCATTTGGGAGTTTTCATGGTACAACCACCGCTAGACTCTCGTCAAGCTCACAGCACCACTGTGACGAGCCTACGAGTTGGGGGGACGCTCAGTCGGCGATGAAGCTCGTCTCGGATGAAGAGCGGAAAGGGATGGGTGTATCATTGTGTATACGATTCCTCGGTAGTGGTGTTCGGGCCGCTCACCAGTTTGCTGTTATGAAGCGGGAGGCAAGTTGGTTTACTCTGGAGATCCGGGGTCAAATGCAACCAAGTTGGTAAACTACTTTTTACCTGAAACGAGCTCAAATTATTTATCTACTAGCTCAACACTAACGGCTAGCGACCATGCATGTTTACGGGCGTTTCTGCAGCGCAGAGTCACATTCCAATCGTGCTACAAGTAGTTCGGTAAAATTAGCTTGTCAAGCGCGGTTGTGGAGTTGTTCAGGCGTCGGCGTGTCTTCGAGGGCGCGTTTCCGTTTTCGGCATCGCTAAGGACTTGCAAAGCTTTCGCAACACTTGGAGTTGGATTGGTAAATTGTTCCCTATGGTGCACAACAGCGAAACATGCAACGTGGTAGCCAATGAGGCATTTGGTGCATCCATAGCTTGACTTGGAAGTCTTGATGTCTTCAAGACTGCACAGATAGCAAACCAACTTCCCGCTGGAATGTTCGCGACTATTTGGCGTAAGAATGTGAGGCTCGCTATCGCCTCCACTCATAGTTGTGAGCGATTCAGGTCTGGATCGGTTCGGCTCAGCATTTTTCTCCTTTCTTGTAGCGCACTGAGCAGCCGCCAAAGATTCACACACTCGGCGTTTAAATTCACGTAGCGTCTGCGGTGCCTTGGGCTTCTTTTGGATGTGTTTCATCAGCGCGAACGAATTGATGATCGAGAGGTCCAACAACCAAGTGAACAAGCTCATCGAGAGTCGCATTTCCTTGCGTCGGGTAGGATTGGTGTAGCGCAGTTGATCCACGCGGTCGACACCGTTCATGCCGATGTTGTACGCAGCCACAATAGCCGGGCCATAATGGTTGTTCGATGCATGACCTCAGTTCCCGTCCATCGTCGGATCGGATACAACCCGTGGCAACACTCAATGGCTTCCCTCGTGTCGCCACCAAGCACACGTGCGCTTGGGGTTTTCGCGAGATCGTTCGTATAAAATAGAACCGGTTTCTTGTCGCGAAAGACAATGAATCCAGCTCGATCCGAAAATTGGCAAAACGGTGAATACTTAGTGCGGAGACGCGGCGGCAGCTTCTTTTGTTCTTCAGCGTGGGCATCTCTTGCTGTCTTTGAATCGATCTCGTTCACTGCAGCAATGAACTCCCATGATCCACGCGGCATTTGACTTACCCGGGCAATGGAATCGGCTACCGCCTCCAGATTCAAATGGCCCATCCAGTCCCTCCTGACGTTTCCAAGTATGCGTACTCCGCCGTCCGTCATCGCAAGAACAGCTTTAGCCAAGTTGTGTCTGGTGTAAAAATTGTCGCTGACAATCAATCGCCTGCCCGGGGTCGCAGGGTGTAGCTTGGTTTGGTGTGCGATCATTGTCATCCATAATGCGGACGCAGATTCAGGCTTGACGTGGATGTTGGGTTTCTTGAGGGTGACTCGGAGAGGTAGTCGCTGGCTTGGGAATAACCGGGTATAGCGTTGAACTGCCGTTGTCGGCATGGTGTTACCAGATCCGTTATCCCAGAGCGAATGAACATAAAGCGAATGCCATCCTACCACCGCGTAAAAGCGAATTCCGAATTTATCAGGCTTTAGTGGCAAGAACGACTTTGCCAATGTATGGGCTTTAGTACGGACCCCGATTTCATCAACGCTGCTGGTACTGATTGGAACAGCAATTGTAGCAAACTTGCGCTGGAAATGTTCGAGGAGCAGGCGGCTATGCCGAAGTGGATCTTGCCTGACAATCTCCTCTGCAGCCGAACCCTGCGCAATCCATTGTAATACCTCCGATGTATAATTTTGCTCAACAGCCTCTATCGTTGCCTCCATTGCAATTTCCGCGCGCCGACGAATTGATGAAGCGTTTGTTAAAGTCTTGCGTGCAGCGATCCTTCGCTGAGGAAAGCCCAGACGAAAGTGGATCGGCTCCAACAAGAGAAGTACGTTTTGGCGCAGCTGAAGGAAGTCGAGGAGAAATCCGCAAGAAGGGAGACGAGATTGCGGAGTTGCTACGAGAGGGCAAGACGCATGCCGAAAGCAGAGAGAAACAAGCCAATCAAAAGGTACAAGATCTCCAAGAGAAGCTGGATGCTATGACGGCTCGGGTGGCGCGTGCGGAAAAGGCGTTGGCTGAGGCTAATCCGACGAAAGCTGAAAAGACAAACCCCGAGCAGCCAGCAATCGAACCGGGAGCGGTTAACGCTAGTCTTGGCGAAGATGAGAGGACGCTCGCTCAAGAGCTTGAGCAAGCGAAGAAAGACCTCCAAGCTGCAAACAGCCGTGTCGACCGTTTGGACAGCCTCCTCCACAGCTCGTACTCCTTGGCATCATCAGTTATCGCAGCTACGCATGTACTGCACGAACGAGTAGCTCCATGTTGCGAGGAGTTGGGGACTTTACTCCGCGTATTTGAAGCCGCTGGCAGAAATGTGACTGCTACTCTCGAAGCTTCTCGAAATGGTGTCCGTGTTGTGGTGCACCACCAACCGGAACTGACACAAGTCAGGTTTGTAAGCGGAACGGAAGGTGCGACAGCAACTGAGATGGCCAAGCAATGTTGTCAGCCCCTCGGGCCGTTTCTTCGTGGAGTTCGACCCGCTGGAGGCGAAGGCACAAGCAGCACAGGCAGGACGGCAACTGATCAAGCGTAAGCTGGCGACCCAGGTACGGTATCATCGAGATATTTGTGTCTGATGTGAAATTGAGGATGACAAATGGTTCAGTGTGTAGATTATTCCGATGGTAGGGAGAGGAAAAGAGCGAAGAAGCGATGTGCCACGGTGAACAGCTCTTTCAAGACTTCACGTGGATGCCTGCAACTGCCGCGCTCAGCCACCAAGAATTTCTCGAGTGCTGCAGAGACGCCGTTAGCGCGTTTTCCGAGAAAGCGCATACTGAGCAGCTGGAACGATTGATTATTGGAATAACGGAGCAGCTTCAAGATGTTTACCAGAAACTGTTACCAGCTCAAGCTGCGCATACGACCTTTGCGAAAATGGTGGACGACTGGCGCATCAGCTGGAAAAAATGGGTGAAGAGCAAATGAAGGGTTTGCACGTTCGGATCGTTGAGTTTCCTCCGTTTAATCGTTTTGATCAATCGAGTGATGATAGATCTCGTAACTTCGTATAATCACTGCAATACCTTAGAACAGGTTTGAAATCATGAATTTTTAGCCGCGTGTGTTTTTTTCACTTGCTTCTCCTGTTCTGTCCATTGTAACAGATCGATGTCCTTCGAAAACCGCTGCTTCTCTCGACTCCCCTCTGCCAGTTGTACGTTGTGCAACTTGTACTCATTAGAGTTCAATAAAGTGAACGGGACGCCCTCGGTATCATGGTGATAGGTCGCTTCTGCTGTGTCAGCGATGTACGCCGTCGTGGTGTACCTTAGTCGCCTTCTGGTAACGATCCGTAAATAATCGGCAGGTCTCCTTGCCTTTTGCACTTCTTGTGCTGCCCATTGAGCTCTACACACAAACGTCCATCCCTGTAAAAAGCTTGAAACTCCTTGGTACTCTTTGCACTGACCCCGAATCGAATCTCAATTGAAAGCTCGTTCACGGCGTCATTTTCATTACAAATCTAACCACTTGGATTTGCTCAACGGATACTATTCGTCGCACGTATTACACCCCCATGGACTGCGATGACGAGCTGCGGACACTGCCAAATAGTGGAGACGACATTGTTCCAGCCTTCAACATATTGTAATGAGATGTGATTGGATCAAATGCGGTTCATGACAGGTTGGTAATTGAAAGGAGGGCGTAGACACACAATTCCCAAAGCCTCAACTCCTGTTCAGACGATGGAGCTCGACGCGATATTGGGCGAGTGGGATCCAGACGACTGGGAACATGTTGCCGATGAAGAGACTGGACTAGCGCCTACGAAAAATGCACAAATCTACATCGGCAGCCTGATAAGTCAAAGTGGTTTGCACTTGCGAAAACGAAACGAAACCGAAGCTACCTACAGGTCCCATTCGGAGAAGGTGCTTTTCGGGCTTTTCGTCACTGAGAAACTGAAGGCATCGTGGCGAACTTGGACGAATGCTGTCCTTGTTGAAAAAGGTAAACGTCCAGTTTCGGAAATCGAATTGGACGCGTGCATCGGTCTAGAGATGGCGATGAGCTTGGTACCAATTACCGATATCAAGGAATTCTGGTCCGACAAGAAATTTCAAGGCCACGCCGACTTCAAAGCCACGATGGGCCGAGACCGTTTTTAAGCGATTTGAGGAGCTTTTCAAGTCCACCCACCGTTTAAACCCAGTGACGTCGTAGATACCGCTGAATGCTCGGACACCGACGCAGCCGCTGGATCTGCCGAGGCTGCCGCCACCGCAGCAGCTGCTGTTGCTGCTGCACAAGCCGCCGAATCCGCTACCGCGGCTGCAGAAGCCGCTAAAGCAGCTGCCAAAGCTGCCGAAGTTGCTATTGCCGCCGCGGCTGATGCCGCTGTGGCGTCAGGTGGTTCGAGGCGTCCCAATGCAGCGAGCTGTGATCGTTGAAGATCGAATGAGCTCACATAAGCAGCGTACGCGGTGCACTGGGTACACTCGAGGAGGCCATCGCGCTTCGTGGTATGCTTCGGGGCCTTCATCAGGACTGTTGAGTTTGTCTTCTCTTGATGCTTGTCTTCTCGCTCCATGTGGACGATTGATCTGGATATTTGAAATGACCCCGCCAAAAAGGGGGGATTTGTAGATGCGGTTTGTTTTTCAAGCAGACCGCTCTCACTCTGTAAATTTCCTACGACAGAAAGGCGTCCTTTTGAGTACCGCATAAATCCCAGTAAATCGGAAGGTGTGGGGATATTAGCAAGAAGCCAACATGGTAAAGTGAATTTCGTATTAGAACACTTCGGCAATTCTTCCACACCTACAAATAGTGGCCGACGTTACTACGACCCGCATTTGATGGTCTGCCGAGAACCACTACCACTTGAGTTGTGTGTCGCTCTGTTGTAGAACATGTTGCATGAGGTTTCTAACTCTAACCCAAGTACGAATGCGCCAGGAGTATTTCTATCCCATACAGACCGGAAGAAAACCAAATTCTAAAGTTATGAAGTAGCGAATCCATTCAATCCTTATTTATCGACCGACCCAAACAACATAATCGTTTACAAGCGATACCACCCTACTGTCGTCCGTCAACCGTGCTTCTTGATGAACACACTGGACTCAAAACCAGTTGCAATTTTGTGATTTCTTCGCTGAGTCTGCGTACAAGCCAGCCTGCTAAAATCAAAGCCAATCCGCCAGTCAGTCCTAGTGAGCATCATCTTGCGCAGCTAACATACCCCATGTAGGTGCCTTACTTCTTGGAGTCAAAAAATTAGAAAGTGAGGTGCCAATTGAGTGTGGAGCATTTATACTACAGACAACGACGGATAAATCCGGCACCACTGAATGGCATCCTCCATAGTAAATGTGCCAGAATTCTCTGTCTGGAACGATAGAGATTGTACAAGGCGATGACATAAAATATACGTAATGGAGCATAAAGTACACACAAATTTAGAGAAAGTACTTAAAACCATATGGAATACAAATGTCAAGTGTAAATCTCGAAGTTGATTGGCTATCTGAATTTCTTATTGTAAAAAGTACAACATATGTGTGCCGGGTTTTGCGTTGCCGTATTTATCCGTCGTTGTCTGTAGTGGACTTGCGGCTCCAGCGCTTACGCGCCAGTTTCGTGACGTCAGGAGCTCATGCGGCTGACGTCAGAACTGACCAAACCATACATAATGTAGTACTTCCAATACAAAAAGCCAAAGTAAAAATGGGGATAATTGCACTTGCGACATCTAGAAATGCCCATTTTTCAGTTCCCAAATCAGCATACACTAGGACAATGTGAGGGGGAGATGACGTCATTCGCCGTTGGGTTGTGTCCATCGACATTTGATATCCTGCTGTATCTGTTGCCACGGTTCGCCCAATATTATTGTTATTGGGCCAATAACCGTAACTTGGCTGCATAATCGATTATTCCCTCTAGAATCGATTCATCTGCCAACGACGGCTACCTCGCGAACCACCAGTTGCACTTCCGAAGTACGAGATTTGGCCTTTGCGACTGACGCGCTTCCCAGCACCAAGCACTACGTACAATCGATGCTGGAAGCGCCAAAGGTTTGCTTCTGCTCACGAAGATTGCTCAGTAGGATCGTGATTTCTGTATAAACGTGTGGCTTACCCTATAATGCAACAGTGCTGGTGTGTTTTGTAGCAAGAAGGAGTTTTGATGCGGGACCGTTTAGCATCATTTGAACGCATTGTCAGTCCCCCAGGCGCATTGACCTTGATATGATGTCTGTGGATGCCGCGACCGCCGCTAAGCTGCTCAACAAACCGTCCCCGGCCAAGTCAAAATCGCACAATAACCAAGGGTGTGTTCCGCAGCGGATGTGCTTTTCCGCTGGGAAGAGGCAAACCGATGCTTTGGGGATTCCGCTAGAAGCGTTTGCGGAACACACAGATTTCAGTCCACCAGACGCTGAATGGCACTGTAGGTTGTTGGTGCAGTATAAGCGCAAGAAATGTATATATGTTTGAAAGAGGAGATGACGCGGGGCGCTCATTTGTTATGTACTCTCTCAGAAGACTTGCACCTCCGTCATGGCTGCTCGGTGCGCGACCACGAATGACGTAGAATGTATACAGCGGGCAAGCCCCTGTACGGTGCTAAAGCAATACGCACAAGACAACGTCAATCGTGCGGCCACAGAGCTCCAACAGATCACGACCCTCGGCACCATGACTGCCATGCAGCTCATGATTCCAGGTCATGAATAAGCTGGAGGCAACAGAGCTGCAACCTGCAGCAGTCCATGGCAGGCCTAGTAGTAGCATCGGACAGCAGCAATAACGACGAAACACGCGTACAGCGATGCAGTCGAAATCGACTTGCAGCACATTCAATTCAATAGCTCTCAGACACGCCACGAGGTACGGAGCCGCATGAATGTCCTGAAATTGGCCCTGATTTGGGCGGGTGAGCAGAGAGTTAACCGCTGCTGTCGTTGAGGCTTTCACGACACATCTTTGCTATCGTAAAACGGATAATACATTATCGCCACGGGCAGGTATGCCGAAAATACGATATATATCTATTTTCTCAAGTTCACGAAATACGTATTTGTTTGTATACCAAGGAGAGAAGAAATAAATAATCTGAAGACCCCGTGCTGACGCAGTAAATTATTCAGTAAATTGCTGCAATCGTGTTACCTTCATGGGTTCTTACAAACACTGCCCACGGTCGCCACATCCGTGTTAAGGTTGCTGAACAACATCATTTTAGCATAAAGGGAAAATTTGATGGCGTTAACACAATGAAAATTAGGGGAAAAACTTCTCAATTATGAAGGATATATTCAACCGCAGAAATAAAATCTAGAAGTTTTGATCTAAGCTGGAATAAATACCGGATAAACCAAGGAGGTATACCTACAATAAAATATTGATTCCGAAAATACAAATATATTTCCGGGCGTATTTATTTTTCGGGATCCCTGCCCACGGGGCATAGCCACCGGGCTTGCGGGATAAACTTTTGGACGCTTGGAGTCTGCCGAACGAGATGCGAATCACTTCAGTAGTAGTAGCAACGATCCCTGTCCCAAGGAATTATTAGGCGGTAACGCTACATCCAGCTCGTCAGCACCAATCGGACATCTTATTTGTGGAAAAAAAAACTCGTGAACACCGGCAATGCCAGGCGGTTTTTACAGTTCGTCCAAGAATTTCAAGCTTTAGGTCTAGCGAGAGGAAGTGCTTCACGGGTTCAGGCACGTCGTAATGGAAAGGAGAAACACGCTTTGATCCCGCGCAGCATCTCCAGGATACGGGTTACTGCATTGACCACAGTTTGGGGTTGCAATGCTAACCGGAAATTATAATATTCATCACTGCTTGAGTTTCCGCTCGCCATCAGAGCGAACACTTTGTAGATCCACCACGCGTCTGGTATACATCCTCGTATCGATGAAATCACTCTTGAATACACGTGCACAACATATCTTAGAGCTTTGCGTAGTTTGCGTAACCCCACTTAGCCCAGTCCGTAGGACAAATGGAAGGACCAAAAGTTAGGCGCCTCGCTCCGTATAACTAGAAACAAATAGGATCATGTGACTACATGGGCACAATCCCCCGTCCTAGCTGTCCTTGTGGCCTTATCGGTTTAGCGTCCTCCATTGGCCTTCTCGAGATATAAGCCGTTGAAAACTTGTCTCTTGTAACATCGAATTTTGCCGATTTGTCCTAGCCTAGGACAATTTTGACTTGATTTCAGTATGGTCTCAGCTGGAGCTATCTTTAGCGCCGATTTCCCTGCCCGATGCGCCTTATAAGACACACCTTTGGGGGATCAAAAACACCCCATACAAATATTAAGTCATTTTGGTCCTTTTTCGGGCTCCCTAGGACAAAAACGACCGGTGTGTGCCACACCAAAACACGATTTGGTCCTATCTCCTAGGACAAATCTAAGTGGGGTAAGTTCCATTTTCGCATAAGTATTCTGAACTTGCAGGTTCACTGTTACTTTATTTGTACTGTTGCTCAGCAAATATATATTCACATGTGCGAACGACACCGCAAGAAGCAGCTCTGGCAAAATACCACTGAAGGGAACGTCTCTGGGAGACAATGGATTTACCCGTAGGCTCGACTTTATGTAGCCAGCACTGCCAGCACCTGCAGGGTTGGTGCCTTAGATTCTACACTAAAAGCGAGTCCCCAAAAAAGTCACTAACAAGTACTGGTGCTTGTCGACCTCGCGGCTCATGGAATGTTTAGCGCTTGCTACCAAGCCGACATGTTTTCTCGTGTTTCTTTGAGCCAGAGTCATTGATGCTTCCAATTTCGGAGGCTGGCACTGGTGGTTGATCAACTTGGAGATGTAGGTCTCCTCGGTTGCATGCAGTATGTAGGGTAGTAGCCGCCCGGGTGGAAAAGATGGATGGATCGAGCGCCTTGTACGCTAGATGATTTCTTCCGTGCTGCGAATCATAAGGTGGCACGCTCTTGGGGTACAAGGCTTGCGAGTGCAGCCGTTCGCGACCCATTTCATTCCACGACATGGACTCAGGGCAAGTATCACTACCGTTGCGGACTGACAGTTAAATCGGAGGGGTGATTAGCTGACGATTCAGGCCCATGTGGGCTGAGTCGGTGCAGCACGCAGTAGCTGCCGGTACTTTTCATGGGATGGCCTCTGCGAGTCGGCTGTGGACTATGCACGGGCGAAACGGCGTCTCGTGAGCGGCAAGAGCGGTGTGCCAAGACCAAGCGTACCAAGAAATTTCGTCCAGGCGAGTGCTAGAAGTCTCGCGACTCTATGAACGGCAAGCGCCCCCGGGGACGTCGTGGCCGAGGTGCTGATATCTTCCTTGAGTCGCTCGGCACGCGCGCGCGCCGAGCAACGACAATTGAATTCTCTTCCAAACGTTTATCAAACTACTTCATGAGCGGCGACCGCTTTACCGGCGCCAGCATCCAGACCTATTTGGTGCGCCTCGTGTCGGGCGAGCGCACCTACCGCATCCTCGAAATGGTGATTGGCGCTGACACTGCAGCCCGCAGACCGCAAGCGCTGATTCCGGGATCTGTCCAAGGGCCACATGATTCGTTTGTTTGTCGCGCGATGCGGCTGTTGCGTTAATGATGGTGGATACAACCAAGCTCGTGCGCGCCGTGAGTGTGCGTCGAATTTGCGCTGGTACCGACTGTGTTGTGATACACTCATCGCGCGCTCAATAAGGCGCTGTAGGGCACGCTGGCCAGCTTGGAGCAAGTGAGTGTGGTCATACACAGCATCACTTGTTTCAACTGAAAGCCAATCATTACCTTGGGCCAAAGCGTCCCTACGGCCTTGTAGGCCTCGGTTGGTATATGCCGCAGCAGGGTCTGCCTTTGTTGAGCAGTGAGCTGCTGCGCGCCACGAAAAAAAGAGGTACTTGTTATCTTGTCGTTGCTGTTCTCGAACGGTTCACGGCCAGTAAGTGTTGGCGTGGATCTTGCTCAGCAAGAAGTGCGCCTCAAGCGACAGGATCTTCTGGTATGGTCTAGTTCGATGGGACCTGCGTCAGGTCATCCATATCCAGCTTGAGAACCGCCCATGAACACGCGCACACGACCACGCGTCGAAAATTATCGGTAATGCTAATTTTACCTTTAATTTTAGTGATTCCTGATTAAATAACGATAAGGTTGGCATCAGCTTCAGCATTGGTGAATTCCAGGGCCTGTTACAGGTCATATTAGTCCTGTAAGTAACAGCCACAACTATCTGTATTAATTTCATCCAATTATATCGCTGTATTTCAATGGTAGAGGTCCGTCTAGCCCTATTAGAGGGGTCGTGCCCTGGACGTACTGAAAGAGTTAAGGTATGCGATAACGTGCCTTTTCAACGTTAGTATTGACTATTGTGACGGCTCTCTTAACTCACGCAATGATTGACTCCATAGGGGTACACGAACCCGACCGGTGTGTACACTGCATGAAAGAGTACGAAAACGCCCGTAGCAGTCCCTAGAGCGAATGCGCCAGCGTATCTGATAGCGGTAAAAAAGCTATGTTGGCAATATTTGTATTTTAATAGATTATAGCCATAATCCTGACTGTAGAGCCGTTGGGAAAACGCGCCAAGTTCAGGGTTGAGCTTTGGTGCAAGTACTGTTAATGGTGCCCTAGTCGACAAAACTACCAAATTTGATATATCGTCGACAGGTTTTTGGGCTATCAACGGCTGTAAGAATCCTGCTCAAATCGCAAAGATGATCGAGGACACCGGTAGAATGACAGCAGTTCTTACCGTTTGTGAAGACGGTACGCTCTAACATTTTTCATTGTTGAAAAACTGTTTGTAATCTATTTTATTGCTGTTTCTGGGATTCTAGCTTCAGATTCTTTTCAATATCCGCGGAAAACTTGGCGACGGTATCCACTGCGACGAGCTACCGCATCCCCTCCTCGTCACTACTACACAGACCACTTAAAAAGTGGGACAAGTCACTTTTTCCACATTCTATCAGGAAGTGACCTATTCTGGAGGCAGGATGTGGGAAAAGTGGGAATCAATACATAAACACTGATATTCCGAAGATGGGTACAGCTAAAAGGTGGGAATGTTACTAATATTTGTTTCCACCCTATGTGGGGCGTTATTAGAGATTGTATCGGATTCGCAATTTGCCAAAAAAATGGGAAATGTGGGAATTTTTAAAATGTTCCCACTTTTGAAGTGGTCTGCTACTACACAATCCTAAATAAGGAATGAATAGACGCTGTAAGGTGGAAATTTTACGTACGAAACTTGCTAAAAAGCAGTCATAGGACCCACGGTTCTCCTCACCGATAATTTTGACTCTCATGTTTCTGAGGTCATGGATTTGTTAGTCACCAAAACTATGCTACGGTGGTTCCTTTTCCGCCCAATACGGCTGCGTTTTGTCAACCGCTCGATATTGGCGTAGCGCTTACGTGTACAAGTCGGAGTGCTGGATGCAGGCAGGCAACCGCGAGTCACCGATCCACATGGACCACGGACGGGTTCGTGTCGTTTCTCCCTCCGTGTGCCAAGGCCGCATTCAAGATATGGGTCTTCTTTCCTCAGGAGTCTGTGCAGCCCACCACGTTCAATTACGGTCACAAGGAAAATTCATTCAACCGGATGCTGCTGGAACCCGGTAGTGGTGTGATGGTGCAACAGCCGGGTGACGTCGTTGTCCTTAACAACCTCGTCTATCACTCGGTCTTCCGGGTCTACGAAAAAGGCACCGCGGAAGCTGACAAGTGGGATGGGATCTTCGGCGACGTCATCGTCTGCAAGCAAGATCGAGTTACTTCATTTCACTACGCGACGAAGGTGGCATGCGGCGCTCAAAAAGGGTCACGAGACTCGTGGGAATCGCTCCTATCTGCGTACAGTGTGATGGAGGACGGCGACTACAACCCGGAGGATTTCGAGGAAGCGAAGAAGTCGGAGAAGGCACGCGTTGGGGCAGCGGCAACGAAGGACATAAAGCGTGAGATGCAAGAGAGGGTGGAGAAGGTGCGCGCCAGAAAGAGGAAACCTAGTTGGCTAAGAGGATTAATTTGGGAATATATTGATCCATTTTGCGCGTAAATTTTGTTTTCGCAGCCTATCTTTTAAAACGAAGTAACCAAACCAGAGCCTTGGTGACTTAGCATTATGCACGCATACCAAATAACTTGTTTAACACCATTTTTCACTAAGTACTACATTCGTCTATCCTCGATTCATTGAGGTTAGTATTAGCTTTTTTTTTCTTTTCGCAGCCTATTTTGATGTGTTGGTTCGTGCGCACACCGATGCTCCTGAACATCTCCGTACCCTATTGTAACCCTCCCGTACGTGTAAATAGCTGGTAGAACAACTTTTACAAGCCCGTTCACCTTTACGATGCATCAATGTAGCTGGATCTACATTTGAAAAAGCTCCGCGTGTGAGAGGGTGCAGTTGTATTTAGACGAATGTTTAACCTGCTGAGTACTGGTTATGAATCTACTCTCTCTCAAGCTTGTCTGTTCTTCTTGGGCCTCCCCACCCTAGCCGATGTGCCTTTTCGAGTGCTAGCGCTGCGGTTCACCAACGTCTCCCTGCCCATCTGGTCAGTAGTACATCGGATCTCCATACCATCAAGTACATGAATGCAGGACCCATAGTTGATCCAGAAGTTGCAGGGGCACGAGCTGTCTTTCATGTTCACTGCCCATCCTGGCGTAGGCATTGCGCGTGTTTCCATGCTAGCAGTGAGCTTGTTGGGCTGAGATGACACATGGAGATCTTTTTGTGTCCTGCGCCGCGTCTCGTTATACACGCGCGGGGCTGGAGAGCTCAAAACCCTCACCACATCCGCCTGGTCTTCGTTTGAGCTATCCGAGAGAAGAAATGCGATGCTACTTTTCATCGTAGAGTGTAGCGAGAGTAAGTCGGCATGTGTCATCGCTCGAGTGCGCCTCACCAGCTTAGCATCGAGCTCATAGACCGTCGCAAACGTCCTTGCAGTCATACCCTCACTTTCACAGAGCGTGAGAAACTGGGGGATCAGGGCGCCAATCTTCAGCTTGCGGCGCAACGTCACGTCCCGCTTGACTGCAGCATTGTAGGTCTCGCATGGATTGTTTGTGGTACCAAAACCACACGGTGTGTGGAAGCACTGCCAACGCCGAAAGCGCTGATTCAACCGCACCCTGGAAAAGTAGCCGAAACACTTCTTCAACTCTTTCGTCATCTCCCACTTTTCTTGCACCTTGGCTAGCTCCGCCTCAAAAGCCTCGTCATTTCTTGCGAAGTGCAAGTCATGGATGTCACTCATCACGGCCGCTGTCGTGTCCGTGCGCATCGAGCGGGTTTTCTCGAAAACCTTCTTAGTCACGTGAAGGTAGCACATCAGATAGACGTAATCGCTGCCCGCACCGAAAACATCGTCCACAGCACTCCACTGGGCTGCGTCGGCGTCACCCATGACGTAACGCACACGAAGCGGCTTGGCAGTCACATCCTTAAACATAAATCGCAGCAGAGCAAGCACCTCGGCGTGCTGCTGCTGCTGCGAGACGATAAAAATCGCCTGTAGGTGGAAGCGTCGTGCTCTGTCCGAGATCCGAACGACGATGCCCGAATAGTCAACTTATGTCAGCTTGTAGGTTGCATCTACGTGTAAGATGAACGACGCTGGGTCTTAGTCAGCGCGACGAAGCATTGTTTTTGGAGCTGATATCCAGCACGAAAGGGTCAGCGTCGCTCCCGTTTCCGGTCACCGGGCGGCCAGTCGCATCACTGTGCGTCGTAAACGTGAATGTGACGGCCTCTTCCTCGTGACCGGTAAACCTGTACCTTGCGCCGCACAGCTTCGCGAATGCCTCCTAGCCGCCCCGAGACGTGGTGATGAACAAAACGCTGCACCATGGCGCCGCCAATTCGTTGAGATTGAAGTGCTGTAGAATCATGTTCCAGATGCGTTTTGGCCTGAGGCCTTGCTGAGCCCAGTCCACCACGACGATCTTCATTTGAGGAGTCAGCACGGGCTTGCGGGGAGCTCGAGCCGGTGTTGTGTGCGTGTACGTCTCCTCAACGGTGACAAGCTCTTGGACTTGGCACGTCATCACGCGAGATCGCCAGGGGCACGTCGCGGCCATCGTCACATCCACGCTCGCCTTGCACGCGCAGAGCAAGCGCTGTAAGCGCATGGCATGGGGCGCTAAAAGCATGCACACGTAGCAGTCGACCAGGTCGCTCTTGCCATGGTGTTCAGTGGGGGGGGGTAGGGATGCTGGGATTGTTGGTAGGGTGAAGCTCGACTCTACTTTTCATTGGTTGAAATTATGGGTAATCTACGGTTCGAATTGGCCAAAGTATCTCGTGAGTGCTGCCCTCAGGCCAATGGTGCTCGTGGTAGTTCTGCAGTTTCGAGTCTCCCTAAATCAGTGGCCCTCAGGGCGCGTTCGGTGCTAGCGAGGGTCTTACGGTGCTGTCAGAACAGTTGTGGTGTTTGCGTTGCGAAAGACGGTGTAGAGAGTAGTCCCTCCCTCTGAGAGCTTGGGAGGTCCACCCTTTTTACTCTGCGGGCGGTAATCTGTGTCACCTCCCGGAAATCACAACAGCTATTGTGGTTTTCAACTATTTTGCTGCCCGATTTGACGTGTTATCTCGGAGTCCGATTTATATAAAATAGAGCTCCTACATGATCGGTTAGTCCAATTTAGCTATATCTGACCTGAATTAGTAGCATAAGGCTCAGAGGGGAGGCATTCCAAGTTGGACATACCTCCCCACCTCTCATGACGCATTAGAACTGCAAGACACTGGGGACAATAGTACACTGTATATAGCCACTTTATAGCACTATGGCCATCTAAATCACCTGTGTGAACATCGCCGCTACAACTCCGTGCACGCCGATCTGAGAGGGCCCCAGACATGTTTTCGCGGCGGTCCCTTTTGCCGGCGAAAAGCGGCATTTCTGGCCCCTGCTTCGCAACTCGCAGCCCCCAGACGCAAATCGGGCCAGATATAGTTTGCTTCCCTCAGCCCCTCCTGCTAAATCGGAGCCCTCCAGCAAATCGGGCCCGATATATCGCGTCTTGGACATGAAAGCCACAAAAACGTAATCTACCATATAAATACCATGTTGTTTGACTGCGTCCCACAAAAACCTGTGCGAGCTACAAACGTTGGTCAACATTCGCAATCATCATGAGCGACTCGAATGGCGTCGACATGGACGCCGAGTTGGCGCAGCTTCTGCGCGAGCAGGAGCAGTTCCTGAGCCAGAAGAAGGCGCCCGCAGCTAAAGTCTCCAGGCGCGGGGCTCCTCCCAAAGTTTCCGCTGCAAAGGCCCCCTCCGCCGCCTCAGAGTCCGCCCCAGACGACGCCCCTCAGGTGCTCAAGCGCGTCGTGGAGCGGCAGGTGGCGCCCGTGGGCCAGAAATCGCTCGTCATCGCCCCAGAGGCCTCGGGATTCCCCGCCGTCAAGCGGCGCGGCCCTGGCCAGAGCCTCTTCGGGCGCAGACGGCGAGAGGCGAAGGCTGCGGCCGCCAAGGAGCCGCCACAGGAGCAGCAGCAGCCTCTGGACCAGGAGAGCAGGGACATCGACGCTGCGAGCAGGGCCAAGCTGCAGGAGATGAGTCCGCAGGAGATCCTGGAGGCCCAGCAGGAGCTGCTGAGGACGCTGGACCCGGAGCTGGTGCAGAAGCTCAAGAACCGACGCAAGAAGAGCGCCCAGAAGACGGTGAAGAGCGAGAGAAGTGCTGTATCTACTGCTGCTGCTGCTGTCTCTAGTGACGTGGTGGCTGAGAAGAAGAAGAAGGTGGTGATTGGAGCGTCCGTGGTGAAGGAGGAGCTGGAGGACAGGGAGCAGGTGCAGAAGGAGGAGTTGATCAAGAGTCTGGCGGCTGTGAAGACGGAGGAGGAGCTGAAAGAGCAGACCAAGCTGTTGCCCGCTGAAGAGCGCGCCAAGTTGGACTGGACACAGAGCACCAAGGAGAAGAAGGACGGCCAGGCTGCACACCACAAGAAGATTGCGCGTCCGGTGGTGGAAGACGCCACGCTGGAACGCTTCGACATGGACGGAAATGTGCTTAACGCGACAAATGAGGAGCTGCCCGCGCACTCTGGACTGTTTCACCATGGCGACGACCCGGACGCTGCGGGGTACACGCTTCCAGAGCTGCTGCACCTTGCGCGGAGCTCCGTCGCTAGTCAGCGCGCGCTGGCACTCACTGTCGTGGCGAAGATCCTGCACAAGCGTCAACTGCAGGCGCAAGCGTCGCTCCCAGTGGCGCCGCGCGTGTTGCCTCGCGACATGGCGATCACGCTGCGAATCGTGCTCGACGACCAGAACTACACGGCGCTGAGTGCAGGAGTATCCGCGCTGCACGCCTTTATCGTCCCCGTTGTTACTGGAAGTGATGGAGAGGATTATCTGCCGGAACTGGTGCGTGGCAACGTGGTTCTTCCGCCCCGAGTGCATCTTCATCGAAATGGAGCTGTGTCTGGAGCGCAAGGCAAGGACTACGCTGCCAACACCGTTGAAGAAGTGGTTTATATTGACACGAGCGAGGCTGACGACGGATCTAGCATCAGTGACGAAGATCTGGCGGCGCTGGATCCGGTGCAGGCGCTCCTCAACATGGACCTGGGCACGCGACTGCGGTACATTCTTGAGACGATCCAGCTGCCAGATCAATTCGCCACGGAGAAGATGCTGGAGATTTTGATCGCAGTGGCTAGTTATTCGCCGCGTGCTGCTCACGAGATCAGCTCGAACGCAAGACTGATGAAGCTTCTGCAGCAGCAATACCTCGAGAATGAACAGGTGCTGACTTTCCAAGAGGGCAACATTCGCTCGCTGCAGCTCACCCTGAAGGCCCTGAAGCTCGTGCGAGTTGTGTGCCAAGGCCAACGCAGCGTGGCTTCTGCTTTGATCTCGAGCGGCTTGATTCAGAGCACAAAGGGCTTCCTCGCGTTGAAGGAAATCCCCAGTGGCGAAGAAAATGAGGAAGCAGCAGCTCTGTTCGGGAAGATGCAAGTCGAGAGCCTTCGGATCTGGCGCGTCCTCCTTGGATACAGCCTCGACTTCCACTGCTTCGCGTATTTGTTCCCCGCTCTGTCGGGCTTCATGCAGAATGCTTCAGGAGCACCAGCTGCTCGAAACTCGGCGCTGTTTTCGGCTTTGGAAACGTTTTGTGGGCTTGGAGCGGTGCATGAAGCGCAGCATTATTTCAACCAAATGGGGTTCTTCTTGAATGCTGCGAAGGATGAGGCTGTCCAACTCATCCGTGCGCTGCTGAACGTGTCGGAGTTGAATAACGTCAAGTCTATCGTGTTGCTTTCCACGACGCTTAGATTCCTCGCCGCGGCAAGCGCCCACGCTACCAAGTACAATCTGGAAACCAGCGCTCTGATCGAGGTGTTCAGGCTGGTGCAGTCACGCGAGGTCACGCGGGATCTCCTTCCGCGGCTTCAGGATACGGTGGCCAAGAGAGATCTGTTGCTTGGGTTTGTACGCTTCCACCGCAAGATTGTGGTGAACGGCTTGCTCTCAGATGACATGGATGACGAGGAGGTCGTGCAGACGTTTTCGCGTGAAGTGAAGGGCTCTCTAGTCGCTGCAGCAACCTCTGCCGTTGCAAGTTCTTCGTCCACATTCAGCACTACGTTGATACAAGCCTGTGAAGTTACGCTACTGTTGGGAGAGCTCATTGCTGATGGTAAGAGTGATGCTGCCAACTTTAACGCCGAGTTCGTGCAGAAGGTGTACCACCAGGCGTTGATCCTGGTGGAGCGTCTTGGTGGCGGTGCGGAGTACCTGATCGCGCGGTTGTTTGCAAGTGTGTTGTTCCACCAGAGCTCGCTCCAGTTGCTTGGCGTATTCAGTGACGAAGCTGACTCGACGCGCATGAGCCGCGTATTGACTCCAATCTACCAGGCGCTTGTGAACGCTCCCCACGAGCAGGAAGCCCACTCGGCGCAGATCTTCACTGGTGTCTCGGCTTCTACCATGTTCTCGCATCATCTGCGCCTCCCTCTAGAGGAGCAGTCGTATATCCCGAGTAACCTGCCACTGCCGAGCTTCTGGATGGTGTGCCCGTTGTCCCGTATCGAGTATAGCAGCAGCAGTGCGGATGGCAAGTCTCAGGCTGATGTGGGTCCGACGAGGGCGCAGAGCGAGGAGATGAAGCTGATCGTGAGTGCTACTTGCCGATTTGTGTTCGAGTTCGAGCGACTGGCGCCGCAGATGTCGTCTATCCCCTCCATCGCTGAGTTGCGCCCGGAGGACAAGCTTTTCCACTTGATGCACGTGTTCTTCGCTGGCAGCGACGTACTTTTCGATGACCACGTGGACGCGGCGCTGCGTCAACTGCTTCCGAAGCTGGTCCAGCCTATCCTGAGCTCACCTGAAGACTCGCGGCTGCTGTACGAAGGCATCCTGCGGAATCTCAAGCGCTTCCAGAGCCTTGAGTCCGGGGAGCAGGTCGACCCGGCTCCGACGAGTAACGCGGTGTCCTTCTCGTCGGATGACCAACAAGTGCTGACGTTCGTGGAGAAGTTAATGGCCGAGTTCACGGCGTCTTCCTTCGGCAACACGCACTTCGCGCAGTGCGTCACGTTGCTGCTGGCCCGTGACTTCCCTCTGCAGTTGCGCAAGTTCGTGTGGAAGGAGTTGCAGGATTCGCATCAGCTGCACACGCTGTCACCCTTTGAAGTGTCCAGCGCGCAGCTACTGAAGCGATGCACGCGAGGTGGAGTATCACCCGTCGTGGATGACAAGTTGCTGCAGCTCATGCAGCTGGCCGTGTGCCAGCAGAAGCTGTCGCCTGCCAAGGGTGTGTTCGGCTACTCCGTCGCCATCCACCACCTCGTGGCCTACTTATTCGCTGAGGACAGCGGCACGCTCAGTTTCGCGCGCCAGCATTTCGCGCAGACACTAGCGACCGAGGCGTCTCCAGCCATTTGGGGCCACCTTCTGAGCTACGACGTCAACAGCACAGTGCTGCTAAGTGATGAGCGCGGAGTTGTGCGTCCTGAGCGCGTTGCCAAGATCCGGACTCAAGCTGCGCTGTCTTCAGACCAACTCCTCGCCTTCGAGGCCACTGTGTCACTGCTTGAAAGCATGAAATAGACCCAAAACGCAGGTGATCTCGAAGTCTTTTGACCTCCATTATCTTACACCAGCGTCGGTGTGATCCTTTTCCTCTTCTTCTCTCCAGCAACAGGCTTCTTCGTCACCATGGGCGCTGCAGTCTTGGCGTATTTGAAGTAGAGCAGCGGACGCACCGTGCTCTCGCTCGTGTTGGCGAGACCTCGGTGCCACACTCTATAGTCCATGACAAGGGGCGTCCCAGCCTCCACATAGGCCGTGACACTGGCCAAGTCTTCGTACCCTTCGAACGCCGTGCCGCGAGCTCCGTTGTCGTGGATGTGCGACTTTTTCTTCATCTCCGTTCCCCCGGTCAGCTCCGTGATGGCCACCAGCGGCACAAACACATTGAGCCGGTCAACTAGAAGACATGAGTTCGTCAGAAACCTACAGATCCTAAATAATGAGGAAAATATTGACCTTGATCCTAACACTTCTTACCAGGTTCATGGACTTTTTGGTTGCGGTGCACTCCATCAAGATGCCAGTTCTGGTCACTATCTCCCGGTCGAGACAGCACGCAGCCAATGTACTCGAGGTGGAATTTATTGGCAGGGCCGAAGAGCTCCTTGAGCACGGGCTGCCACTTGTCCGCCATCTCCTCCAACAGCTTCATATCCACCGAGTGCACAGTCTCCACCGTGTGCGGCGTCTGGGGCCGCGTCTGGAAGGCCGACGTGCTCAGCTGCATGTCGATCCGCCCGCCCTCGCGCGCGTAGAAGCCCGGGAGTCGCTCCGAGTGCTCGCGCAGTGTCAAGTCCAGCTGCTGCCTGTCAGCTTCGGCCAGGAATTCCTCGTAGCGGGCGAACACTTGAGTGCGCATCAGCTCCACATCGGAGGACGAGGGTCCATAGGCTGCAATGGGCAACGCCACGAACCCGTCGGCGTGGACACTCGCAGCCAGCTCCGCAGCGCTCATACATGTACTTGTAGGCTCTTGGCAATCCTGAAGTGAGACCGTGCTCTTTTTATGGCCGTTTGGAGCAAAGTTTTAGGATGTTTTTTAGGATAAGAACATGTATCTTGACTTGATGCACATGTATCAACGAGAGTCTTCACCTTAGCAGTGCGACTGGGAACGCGCTAACTTTCCGTCCTTGTTGCCTTCCTTGGACGGGTCTGAGATGAAGGAGAAGTCTGGCTCCGAGTTGCGGTCGTCTTCGTCTTCTTCATAGTCGTTGCTGTTGTTGGAGTTTTTGGCCACTTCGTGCGGCGACGGCAGGTAGACCATCATCTCTTCTTCGGTCTTCTCTGGCTGTTCGTCCTCCTGCTCTTCGCCTTCCTCTTGGTTGTTACCGGTAACGCTGACCCTGACAACCTTGTGAGCTTCCGACAACGATCCTAGCTCCTGGCTGGCAATGTGCGCGCGCAGGTCCACGCCGAGAAACTTGCCCAGCGTGGCAACGAACAGCCTCTCACTGCGTCTGCACGCCGGCCACGTCGTGGCGATGCGCACGCAGTAGTCGAGGAAGATCTCGAGCATCTGCGACCGCTCCTGGACGTCCTGCAGACTCGGCGGGAACAGCGTGCGCCGCGGGAACTTGACGGCCGCGAGCTGCTGGTACGTGGACTCGCACTCAGGGCACTGGATGCAGCGCGGGCGCGTGAGCATCTCGACCAGCTCCGCACCGGCGGAGATCTGCGGTTCATCGCCGTAGCCGACCACTGTGCTGCGGCGCACAGGCAGCCGGCCACGGCAGGTCTTGAGAACCTCGAGGAGGCGCTTACGCAGCAGGAAGAAGCTCTGGAAGCGCTGGATGCAGCGGCCGCGCAGCTGCAGCTCGGCCACGGCGACGTCCATGGTGTAGCGCACGTGCTTGGACTCGGTGGGGCCGCGCACGACGTAGAGCCCCGCGAACTGCACCATCTTGTCCTGGCCGTTTAGATAATGGTTCTCGGGCATGCACGCGCCCAGCACGGCGGCCGACGCGCTGGCTTCGCGTGCTCGCAATTGCTCGGCGGCGACTTTCTGCGCGACGGCGTGCTCGAGTTGCGTGCTCGTCGTCGAGTCGGGCTTCAGGCTTGGGTTCGAGCTGAGCGCGACGGCTGTAGCGGCGCTCAGCGGCTGGATGGTGTCCACGACGACCGGCATGGAGTTGCGTTGAGTTGTGGCGACCTGTTGGTGCTGTGGGAGACTTTGAGCTGCGTCCGCTGTGGAGGATAAGAAAGTGGTTGCTTTGCGAGAGGCAGAGGCGTCCGTGAGCTTGAGACTACACAGGGAGGACCTATTTTTCGAGCGAATGTACAAGTCCGGAGTGGCGAGATGCCAATTGTGGTGTGGTGGTGCCGGCAGAGGCTGCCTTTCCACCGCCCGCGCGCTTCCTGTCGTCCAGCTGGGCGTTGCAAGTGACAAGGTGACGGATGACCAGCTAACTCTCGTGAACGAGCGAGCGGCATAGAGGCGTAGATAAGTGAGCGAGCGAGTAGAGTGAGTTTCGCCGCTTGCTTGCACTTGCGCGCGGCGGCTGGGCTCAAGTCGAGTCAGCGCGAAAAACGCCTCGACGTTGGGAGTTTTGCCTGAAGCCTCAGCTGTGAGACCGTCCCTCGCTCTTCTACATGAGCTCCAGTTGTTGCAAAGCGACGTCTCGCAGCAGGCTCTAACCGCTTAAACTCGAAACTTGGGACGTCATGAGGCGCTTGCCGCGCGCGCGCGAGGAGCGGCTCATTATATCGGAGCATTTGCGACGGCATGCTGTCGTGGTGACGAAGGGATCAGCAACGCTGAGCTAAGTGTAGCCATGTCGAGAAGTGCAAGTGTAGGTTGCAGTTTGAAACGGCTCTCGTCATGTGCGTCACTGAGTTCCTGAAGTTTGCCGATACGTGAACATGAACATGGAGTCCGTCCAGCAATAAGAACACCAAGTCTTGAGGAGAAGAGGAGGAGGAAGAAGACGATGGCAGCGACGTCCCAACGTTCAAGTCCACTTCTTATCTTACAGCCAGGTACTGTACTGTACAGTTCGTATCAACACAACCAAGAGGCAAACGCAAACTTATATGCAAGTGGCTGGGTAGCTACCGTTCTCGTCCTGCTCTTATAATACACGCGCCAGCCAGCACCGCGCCCACGAAGAGCCAAGCGCAGCGCTGCGCCCCGCAACACAACGCCGCATTGCTCTTCTCCCCCTCCCGATCCTCCCGTCGTGACACTTGGCCAATAGTGAGGGCAGCCAGTCTCCCTCATAAAAGAAAGCGAGAGAGATGATCCCCTCAACTTCCCTGTAGAAACCGTTCCAAATCCTCCACTCTCAGACCCCCAGGAAGTCCATAGCAGAGGACAGCGCCTGCCGCGTGCGCACAGTGGCGGGTTTGGCGTCCTTCGGGTTCACGGTCGGGTCCAGGAACCCGTTGGCAGCGCTCTGCTGGGCGCGCTGCGAGTCGGACTGCAGGCTGCGCACGATCACGGCCTCGTGCTTGCGCTTCTCGCTCTCCTCGCGCCGCACCTGCTTCTCGATGTCGTACTTCTTCTGGTGCATGCGATACAGCTCCTTCTCGGCGCGGCGCAGGCGCTCCTCGGCCATGGAGCGGCGTCGCGTCTCCTCCTCGAAGCGCGCCTCCCAGCTCTTAAGTTGCTCTTGCAGCGCCGCCTTCTCCTGTTGCCATCGTCTGCAGCAAGTAGTTCACATATCAGTTAGAGAGATGATTTTTTTTTCGGTTTAGGTGTCACTTAAAGCGACAGGGAGGGAGGGGAAATGATCGGATTTCGTTTACGCACTTTTCGTCCTCGGCCTTCTGTGCGTCCAGCGTGATGCGGTCGAGCGCCTCCTGCTCGAGGCGGCGCTCCAGGTCCTCGTTCACGTACTCGAGGTCGTTCTGGCGCCGCGCCTGCGCCTCCACGAAGCGCTTGGCGTCCGCCAGCTCGTTCTGCAGGCGCTGCACCAGCTGGCTGTCGTTGCGGTGCTCGCGCTCGAAGAGCGGCACGCTGTCCATGTCCGTGCGCAAGTTCCCCCAGTTGCTTGCCGGCGCCTGCGTGCCCAACATGGGTCTGTGTGTTCTTTAAACACTCTCTAAAGCGAGAGGGCGGCGGGAGGAAGCTGCGCGCGCTCGTCCTCCGGGTCTGCTCGCGTTCGTGCCGACTGTTGCCAAGTGAGTGACTGGCCACCTCAAAATAGTGCTTTGGTCAAGTTTCAGCTCCCCTGTTGACGCGTCGTAAAATAGTCATCTATAGTGAAACCAAGTCTGGCGGCAAGGGAATTCTGGTGCAACAAGCGCAACATGGTTTCTCAAGCCGCGGGTGGTTAGAGACACCTGGGGCCAAATCCAGCGAGAGCTGGAGGCAAGTGAGCGGATGTATTGCATGCTTCCTCAATCGATTCGGTCGATAAAAATTATTCGCAGCCTTCATGGCTGAAGTTGTGACCGGTAGCGCATCCTGTGATGGCAAAAGGTGGCACCTACAATGAGTGCGAGATTTTCACTGCGGCCTGGACGCAGTAAAATATTCTTCAATGTTTCAGTGTTGCGACGCCGTGATGTGTTGCACGAATGGAGCCACATGAGCGTTCCGACATCTTGCAACATTAGTTCATTTTCGTCTGCACTGATACACATGCAGCTTGCATCGGTCTCAGTTAGCAACGACCAACTGGAATCCTTCGATGGGGGAGCTCCAACTTTAATTCAACACTCCTCGGTGGCCGAACATCGTATCCGCCGAGACCTCGCGCTGCAACAGCAACAACAAAATTTGACAAAGTTGTCGACAGCAACTTTTAGCCCCCCCCCCTTGCCTGCCAGTCATAATAAAAAGAAGTGTTAAACGGCATCACAACTTACCATCGGATCGTACCGCACTTGGTCCAAAGTGCGACCATGAGCTCGCACGGCCGCCATGAGCGCCACGCTTTCGTCCTGCTCTCGCTGGCCACTGTCACCTGCGCTCCACGTGCGAACCTTCCTGCAGATCGTGCGCAATAGTGCAGCGCCAATACACAGAGCGACGACCAGGTCGGCCCAGAAGCCCTTGCAGTCGTAGGTGAACCACGAGCACGCCACGCAGGACGAAGCTCCAGGCGCCGAATCAGACCCCGCGGGGCAAAGATCGCACTTTTCCTTCCCTTCGAGCGCCGAAAAAGTCCCTCGAGGGCACGACGCGCACTTCAACGACCCGCTCGAAGCAGAGAACGACCCCACCGCACACGGAAGACACTCGCGAGTTGAATACTCAGCACCTAGAGAGAAATACGTCCCCGGGGTGCAGGCCACAGCACGGGTTGAAGTGAACGCGGGGTCGACAACTGAAAGGTTTACCATGTCGGCCGTCAAAGCGCCGTCAAACAACTTCAAGTGGTCGAATTGCCGCACCAAATCATTTCGGAACGAACTTGAAGTTGCCAACTCCAAAACTCGCCGCTCTTCGCTTTGACTTGCATTCCCATAAATCGAGCCATTGAGCTCGTCCAGCAAGGCGCCAAGCGCACTTTCAGCCGCTTTGACAACATTTCCAACTTTACCGGATGATTTTTCACCTGCTGAGATTTTCGTCTCTATCGCGACGAGGATCTGTGTGGAAGTTGTAGACACGATCGAGTGGGCGACTTGCAGTACGTGCAACTGGTAGTTAGACGCCGTGTAGCTCGTCAAGACGTCGGTCCACGTCTGGGTCAGGTCTTCCAACGTTTTGCCAGCAATTTCATGTAGCACAACGCCAACCAATGTCAATGCAACACGGGGCCACTCCACTTGCTCGTACACCTCACCAGGTTTTGCCGAAATGCACTCGACACCTCCAGGCAGGAAACTGAACGATGGTGGTGTGCATTGAGTGCAAACTGCCGAGCCCTCCATAGCAGTTATGTGGTTGGGTGGACACAGTTCCGCTCTCGTTGCTCCTTCACTGTTAACATACGCTCCAACTGGGGCTTTTTCACACGTCGACGAGCCTTCACTGGCTGCGAAGCTTCCTTCGCCACAAGGAGAACACGCTTGGGCTCCTTCATCTGCTGCAAATGTTCCCGGCGTGCAGGGCTGGCAACTTCGTTTTGTACCATCGTTAAACGTTCCTGCGTCACACTTCACAGCAACTGAAGTAGCTTCAGAAGACTCGAAGCCCCTTCCGGGGGAGGCAACGGCAAGACACTTCTCACTTCCAGCACTCTCTGCGACTCGTCCATCCCCGCACTTGTTGCACTCAGTCTGTGCCGCTGCAGCAGTAAACGTGTCTGGACGACACAAAGTGCAAGCTTTGGATTCCATGTCGAAAAAACTTCCAGGTGAACAAGGTACGCACTTCACGTGCCCAACGCTGGGAGCAACATACCCCACTGGGCACGCCGTGCACTCCGCGGATCCAGCAACATCTTGGTACGTGCCCTTGGAGCACAACAAACACCCCGCCTCACCTTCAGTGTCTGCATACGACCCAGCTGGACAGGGAGAACACACGGTTGCCCCCATGAGATCAGAGAAGGTTCCCACCGGACAAAGTGCACATCGTGAGGATCCTTGGCCTGCTGTGAACTCTCCAGGGTCGCACAAATCGCATGAAGTCGCACCGATACCAGTCGAAAATGCCCCCGGAGGGCATGGAGTGCAAGCGTTTGACCCACTCTCGTTGCTGAACGTGCCAGGGAGGCAAAACTCGCAGTGATCTGCGACTCCATGAGTTGAACGCGATGGAGCAGATCCAGGAGGACACAACGCGCACTTCTGGTTGGTGCTGGCATTCGAGTACGAGCCCCCGGGGCAGGGTAGGCACAATTCAGCAGCTTCGTTGGCAGGCATCGCTTCTTGTCTGGAATCGCCATTTGAGTTTGTTGCAGTAAGTTGGCTCGACTTTGTCGTGTATCCGTTGCCGCAGACGCAAGTAAGGCTGCTCGGTAGCAAAGCGGGCGGAATCGGGCACAAGAAGTCATTTCCACTCAAATCTGCAGGCTTCACGTGCTCCAGTCTGCAATGCAATACACAATTGTTAGTCTGCTTTGTAGGATTTCAACTAACACTAGTTGACCTACAAAGACGGCGGGAGCTGCGGTATGAAGCCACTGAGCTTGTTGGTGTGAACATCGCTACGGGGAAACAGGAAAAGTTAGCGACGCTATCTTTTGATAAGCCACTATAGAATTGTGCTTCGCTTACAATTGGTGCAGGGACGACTGATTCAAAATCGTCGGCAGAGCACTCGTAAAAAGATTGTTTGACACGTTCCTGTAACGCCAACAAAGGTGAGGACAAGTGGGCAAGCAAAGCAGAATCACAACAATGATGAACTTACACAATTGCCAGAACAGAATCCTCGTCAGGGTCGTGCGGATCTTCTCGCCCCCAGAGCGACATGCTTTGAGGAAGCTCCCCAGTGAAGTAGTTCGACGATATATCGCTGTACATTTTGAAGCAACACGGTCAAGATGCATCATACTTCCTTCCGATAACCGATTGTCCACACGTACAAGAACTCCAAGTGCTGGAATCGCGAGAGCTCTGGTAGATCTCCATAAAATGCATTGTGACTGAGATTTCTGGAGCACGACAAGCATTATTACCAACACATCAAGGAGGGGGAATTTATTCTGCTCACATGCAGCGCATGCGTACATGGAGCGCAGGAATTCACTTGCAACTAGGTTCTTCGGTAGTTCCAGTGCGATTTTGTTGCTTGATAGATCTCTGCTCGATACAAACACAGCAAATGCGTGTCAAACCGGATAGGAAAGCTTTCAAATACAATAATCAATCGCACAGGTGCTGAAGTCGATGGAATGCATCGAAAAAGCTGAGTGTCGTCGCCGTGAGATTGTTTCCTGACAAGTTGCTGCATTGCAAAGCACGCACTGGTGAGAATCACAAGATGAAGACGCCATCGTTATAAAGGCTGGCTCACATTAGCTCTAGGGCATCGTTGTCGGCGAAGGACGACGGGATATCGCCGTTGAGTCGATTGTCCTGGAGGTTTAGCAGCCGTAGCAGCGTCATCTCGCCTAGCCACGCCGGGAACGCTCCGTAAAGCTGGTTTCCCGATAGATCTCTGTTGCCAGGAAAACAATACACCATTCCAGTTAAACGATGTACCTGACAACTAAGTCATGCACAGAATGACACCCACAGCTGCTCTAGCGACACCATGACGCTCAAACCTAACTCCGCTAACTCGCATTCCAAGCCCTCGTTCGGAAGATAGCTAAATTGTTGTGCGGTTGCATTAGGACCTCAAAATCCCCGCCAATGTGATAGCAGGTGCTTACATGTGAGTCACCGTAGTCGGATCGGTGAACGCATCGCAGCGAAGCCCTTCCCACGGCCACAAAAACTCAACTCTATCCTCTTCAGCGCTTCTGTTGGCGTGGAGTACGCGACCACTGCATGGATGCGTCTGAACGCCCTGCGGACACAAAACGTCATGGTCTCTTCCAGCCCCAACGGAGTCCACGTCACTGCCAGTACACCACGTTCTCATCGCAGCAGACCTCTCAGTACGGCACGTTCGGTACATCTGCATCAATACTTCTAATTCCTCTGACGCCAATGGATACGTGGTGTCGACGGGCTTCGAAGCAACCCCATCCTCCGACGCTTCTCTCGCAGCTTGCTCTGCTAGCCCTTCCAGGTCAATGAACGACGCCAGCAGGTCCATGATCCCATCGCTAGCGCAGCCTTGGATCACCAACAGCACGAGAATCACCAGGAACCGCAATGTCAGCACCTTCATCTTCCTCCACAATACTTGAGTCGCGATAAGCCTCACTCTACACGAAACAAATAAGAAACAAATAGGATGGGGACAGTCCACCACCCGCGTATTAGTCAAAGGCAAACTGCATTTTCTTGGCACTTTGCGGTTTATTCTGTCGGTCGATCGTCTCGCAGACGAGTGGTCTGTAAAGGTACATGGGGGAGCGGTCATGTAACAAGGAGCAGAGTAGACCAGGCTGCTCCGTCGCTGCTGTCCCCGCTTTTTGTTCTCTTGGGGTGGTTCCGGCACTCGTAAGTGAAGTTCGGGCTTGGACTCTATCGCCTTAGGAGTGCGTAACTGGGTTAATTGGCTCCGTCAGCGGCCGGGTGTCACGCTTCGGCTGGAACGGTTTGACCTCTGGAACAGGCCGCGCGTGGAAAATCATCTCTTTGCGGCGCATGCGCTTGATCTCCTCCTCCTTCAGCTGACGCTCCTGCTGCTCTCGTTGCTCACGGAACGCTTCCTCTCGCTCGCGGCGCTCTTTCTCGGCCGCCTCAAAGGCAGCGCGTTCTGCCGCACGGGTTTTAGTTGCCAGCATGGGGGACTCAGTCTGAGTGAGGGGCCTGGCACTGGAGACTACTTGGACGCTGTCAGACTCGAACACTGGCATGGGCTTCGCGCGAAAATTTCCTGAAGCAGCGGCGCGCTCTTCCTCTTCCCGGCGCTTCTGCTCTAAGCGCTCGCGAGCTTGCTCGTGGAAGCGTTCTCCAGGCAACTCGAACGGCTTCACCTCAGTCAGTGGCTTTGTCGATCCCTCGAATCTAGCAGGAGTCGACGTCACACGCATTGGCTGTGCTCTGAATTGGCGCTGCTTCTCTTTCTCCTCCTCTTCAGCCTCAATCTTGCGGCGGAAGTTCTCCTGGTACTCCCGATGCAATTGAATGCTTTTGAGCGGTGGGGTTTCCGGGATCACAGGGCGACGGACAGACGGTGGGCCCGATCTTAGCTGAGTAGTTTGATCCGCTTGACGAGCTTTCATTCGTTGCTCGCGCTCTTTACGGTGACGCTCCATTTCCGCGGCGACTGAAGCAGCTCGATCCGTTGCGCTTTGACGGGTTACCGAACGTGCACTAGTCGGCAGCTTCGGTGCCACTGGCTGAGTTAAACGGGCTTTGCTGTCCGATTTCGCCGGAGAGTACCGAGGGTACGATTTCGGCTGCAGAATGTTCTTGTTCACAGGCCGAGCGTGAAATTTCTTGGCCAACTCTTCGGCGTCGTGATCGACGACTTCAACTGGCCGGCGATGCGTAGCTGCTCGTCGACTTGTTTCTAGCTGCGGAGTCATTGGCTACAGTAGAATAGCAAAATATTAACAATACGTAAGCTTACAGCACAGCAAGGCGCACTCAGAACGAACTCGAACCTGTGTAAGACCACCAAATTTCGGGCGACTGTAACTAGTCACAGCGGGCTTCTTTTCCTCACGCGACAGTGGAGCTGGTGGTGGGCGGTGAGCTGCACGCGTAGCCGTGTGGAGCTGCGGCGAGTGTGGTGTCTGCAACATTATCAACGAGCACATCATTAGTCTCAGAAGCATAACACTCTTGTCACTAAACGCCTCTTACCGTCAACGCGTGCCGAGTTTCCCGGGTATGTGGCGGCGCCGGAAGTGAGAAATCTCGAGACAGCAGTTTCTCCGCAGCAATGGGCGGTTCTGCCGTCTCCTTCGCGGATCCATCACTTCCAACACTGCTCTCACTGTTACTGTGCAAGCGACGAACTCGATTATCCACTTGGAAGTGCGGCGTCTGCGGGACCGTGAGCTGCTTGGTCGACCGCTGGTGCACGTTGGTGGGTGGGCGCTGCACCTTGGTCTTCTCGTGGAACTCTCGGATCTTGAGCTTCTCGAGCTGCAGGTGCAGTCTTTCCTCCTGGATCTTGAGCAGCTCCCTGCTGGTACTGCTCATGCGCGACGGGTCCTTCGGGTTGCTCGAGCGCGGCTTAGAGTGCAGCTTGGGGCTTCTCGGGCGCGTGACGCGGTGCGGCTTCTCCTCCACGGGGACGTCCTCCATGAAGCTCTGCTCCCTCATCCTCTGCTCGGCCTGCAGGCGTCTCAAGTACGACTGCGTGGGCTGCATGAGCTTGGACGAGACGCCGTCTCTGCTCTTGGACGGTCCAGCGCTCGAGTCCGTTCCTGCTCCTGCTCTCAACGCTGCAGAGGACGACGAGGTCTGCGAGCTGTGAGGGGAGAAGTGTCCTCCTGCTCCTCCGTGGGTCGAGCTGTGGGTGGACGTGTCCAGCTCGTGCAGCAGGTACGAGGACGTGGCGGACGACTGCGACGACGACGCGTAGTGCCTGAAGACCTCCTCGAAGCTCTCCTCCCGGTCGTCCAGCAGGTTGCTCCTGTTCATCACCTCCTGCACGTCCTCCTCTTCTTCTTCTTCTTCTGCCTCCTCCTCCTCCTCTGGGCCGGCCATGGTCGTGTCCAGCATCTTGGTGGTGGCGTTCATGTCGTCCACCTCCATGTCCTCATTGTTGTCAGCCTCAATCTCCTCCTCAAAGCTTTTACTGGAGTTTTTATTAAGTTTGAAGGACGAGGAGCTGGCGGACGGCGCGGGCGACGAGAAGTAGCCGTCCGCGTTGTTGACGTAGCGCCGCTCGAGCGCCGGGTTCTTGAGGTCGTAGTAGGACGGCGCGTTGAAGTGGAAGTCCTCGTCGTCGTCGTCCTCGTCCTCGGGCGCGTCCGTCTCGGGCTCGGCGTCGGCCGGAGACGTCGAGAGCAGGTGGTGGCTGCTGCTGCTGCTGTTGCTCTGCGCCGCGTGCTGCTCGGGCTCGGCCGCCTCCATCGTCGTGTCCAGCAGCGACGCCATGGCGCCGAGAGCAGGAGGAGTGCGGAATGGCGGCACCAATATTCAAAACGCGGCGCAAACCTGCGAGAATAGATGGTAGAGGAGGCCGCAGAGATATAAGTACGCAATATATCATTATACGGAGGCATATTAGTACGGATTGGGGTTCACATTTTAACCTATTTGTGATGCTGCGATTATTTGAATAGACGGGTATCGGTGTTCGAGGGTATTACGTTTGACTCGTCGCCGGACTTTTCTTGGTTCATGCCGTTACCCAGGCCCTCTTATCCAGCATCTCGCCAGTGATCGACCGACGGTACTGTATGTACCCTCACTTCCGACATCGGTTTTTCTATCGGATTTAAAGGGGGATTGTATTTGTTTGGGTTTAAGCTGTATTTTGGCTCATAGAGGTCAAGCTCATCATGGTCGCAGATGCATTGAGAGGCAAGACTACATGTATGGATAGCACCAGCAGTGGAGACGAGTTTAGCGCACATCGTACCGCAGATTACCTCGCTCCATTGCATTGGAGTTAGCTGGTCTTTGTAGGCCTTCTCCAAAAGCTCCGTCCGTGGGCTGCAAGCTCAGCGCGCTGAACACGACTCAGCTCCAGCCCCAGTAGCATGGGCTAAGATATAGCGCAGGCACTTCGCGCTTGAGCGCTCCGTTTCGCTGCACGAGGCACTGTCGGCGCACGTGCTGGACGCGTCCACAGGACGTACGTTTCCTGGGTGGCGTCGAGCAGCTTTTTCCTATCCGCGGCGGCGCTGCTCTTCGCCTTCGTCCCGCGAGAGGTCTAAATCTCAGAAGTAATAAGGAGTATTAGGTGTCGGAAGTGAGGGTACCTACAGTATCAATTATCCGAGCCAACGTAAGCGTGAGGTGCTCATGGAGCTGCTGAGCTCGTCGCTGCGTCCGCGCGCCGCGCGCCTGCTGAACGCGGCGTCGCGCAAGTGTCTGGTAAGGGTTCACCTCTCCACCACCTGTGCACCCTCCTATTTCTAATATCCTTCCTGCGCTCTAGCACACCGTGCGCCGCGAGGGTCAGCCTGGCACGCTGGACTGCCGCTACTTCTTCTACGACTCGCTGGGCCGCAAGCAGTCGCCGTGGCACCACGTGCCGCTGTACGCGCCCTCAGCACTCGACCACCCTCAGGAGATCACCAGCTCGGCCGTGTTCCACTTCGTGAACGAGATCCCCAGGGGCTCGCGCGAGAAGATGGAGATCGCCGGCACGGAGGAGTTCAACCCCATCAAGCAGGACGAGCGCAAGGGCGCGCCCCGCCTGTACCACAGCGCGTCGCTCGTCAACTACGGCTGCCTGCCGCAGACGTGGGAGGACCCGAACCACGTGGACGCCGCCACCAAGCACGGAGGGGACAACGACCCCATCGACGTGTGCGAGATCGGCAGCCGCGTGGCCGCCATCGGCGAGATCTACCCCGTCAAGGTGCTGGGCGTGCTGGGCATGATCGACGGCGGCGAGACGGACTGGAAGGTCATCGCCATCAACGTCAACGACCCGCTGGCCGAGCACGTCAACGACCTGCGCGACCTGCGCGACACGCCGCTGCACGACGTCGTGGGCCAGGTGCACCGCTGGTTCCGCGACTACAAGATCCCGGACGGCAAGCCGCCGAGTGACTTCGCATTCAACGGCGAGGCGCAGCCCCGGGACTTCGCTGTCGAGGTGATCCAGCAGACCCACGAGAGCTGGAAGCAGCTCGTGGGCGACGAGCTCGCCTTCAACACCAAGCTCTGGACCTGCACCCGCACAGACATTTAAAGCGGTGGTGTGGGTAGAAGATCGGCTTCTATTGCGTGACGGAAAGAAATACACACTGTGCAAAGATTTCGAGCGGGTCAGTGCTTTTGCTTGCAGTAAGTGGCTGGCAGTGGGTCGTCGTGAACAGGTGAGGGATGCAACTGGAGATCATCACTATGCAGTACCTACATGTACCTACGCTCTCCTTCTTGAACAATGAAACTCTATTAATGCTTTACGCAGTCTCCTCAGTCGTCAGCACTGGGGGCCTCAAACTCCTTTGGTGGGGCTTTTCGAAGATTGCCAGTAAGGCGGTCACGCGTAGCAGGGTCCACCTCCACGTAGCACAGGAATTGGATGCCGAACGAGGCCTCGCCCTGGGTCTTGGAACGCAGCAATGTAGCGTAGCCGACCATGTGCGCCAGTGGCACGTGCGCGTGCACGATAGAGCGGCCCTGGTTGGCGATGGAGTCGCCTCCATCACCACCCGAAGCAGAGCCCACCTCCTGGATATGAGCACGCCGTTGTGAGCTCAAATCGGCGAGCACATCGCCTACACATCGATCGGGAGAGCGGACTTCCAGCTTCATCATCGGCTCCAAAATCACAGGCTCCGCCTCCTTAAGAGCTTGCTTCAACCCCAGAGCAGCCGCAGCACGGAAGGAAGCCGCGCTCGAGTCCGAGTCCCATTCGCAATCAGCTTCGTCCACCGTGACCTTGACGTACGCAACGCGGTTCGGCGTCAAGACACCGCGGCTGAGTCCAGCCTTCAGACCCTCCTCAATAGCAAGAGCGAAGGCGTGCGGCATCTTCTTTGCGCCCTGGTTCTTCCAGTGCACCACGTTGCTGTTGTTTTCATCCTCCTCCTCGTCGCCACCTTCCTGGCTGTCTTCTTGGTGGTCAAGCAACGGGTCAACGTGCACAGTGAGCTTCGCGAAGTGGCGGTCAGTGCCCAGCATGACGTCGTGCGTGTACGGGAGCTCAACTGAGTTCGTAATGCTCTCCAGATATGCCACACGCATAGCACCGACAGAAGGCTCAAGCTTGTACTCGGTGCGCAGCCGCTCCTTGATAATGTCTAAGTGCAGCTCGCCCATGCCAGACATGAGCGTCTGGCCCGTCTCGTCGTCCACAGTGATCACGAAGCTGGGGTCCTCACGCTGCAGGTTCTCCAGAGCAGTGTCCAGGTCCTTCTGCTTCGCAGACGACTCGGCCTCGATGGAGCACGTGAACACAGGCTTGGGGATCTGGACACCAGGCAGCACCAACTGGTGGGCTGCATCCTTGGCGCTCACAAGCGTGTCGCCAGTGAACGTGTGCTTCAAACCCACAGCAGCGCCGATGTGACCAGCTGAGATGCTCTCCACAGCCTCCTGGTCATCGGCAGCCACATGCATCAGCCTCGTCAGTCTCTCCTTCGTGCCACCACGAGAAGCGTTGAGCAACTGCGACTTGGCAGTCAGCACGCCGGAATACACGCGGAAGAAGACCACCAGGCCGCGCTGCCGGTCGTGCTGCACCTTGAAAGCAAGTGCACACAGCGGCTCGTCCGAGGAGGCCTTCAGCTGCACCACCTTGTTCTCCGCGCCTTGGCCACGACCACGGGTCTTCTTCCCGCCCACAACGGTGTGCGCTTCAAATGGAGACAAGTCCAGGGGCGACGGCAAGTAATCCACCACAGCGTCAAGCAGCGGCTGCACGCCCTTGTTCTTCAGCGCACTGCCGCACAGTGTGACGACAACCTGCGACGCCATCCCACGCTGCATCGTGATCCGTCGCAATGCCGCCTTCAGCGTCTCATTATCGATCTCCTCCTCCATCAGGAACAGCTCTCCCAGCTCATCATCGAAATTCGACGCACGTTCAATCAGCGTCTGCCGCCCCTCCAGTGCCTTCGCATACAGGTCCGCCATCTTGCCGCCGGCGGAGGGCAACAATGGCAACCGCTGAACCTGCTCGCCCTCTTTGTCCACCCACTTGACCAGCTGCATGTCCACCAAGTCCAGCAGCCCCTCGAACTCCGATTCCTCGCCGACTGGCAGCTGCACGCACAGCGTCTGCACTCCGAACCTAGCTTCGATGGACTCGCAGGACCTGGCAAAGCTCGCTCCTTCACGGTCAAGTTTGTTCACGAAGGCGATGCGCGGTACCTTGTACCTATCCGCCTGCTCCCAGACCGTCTCGGTCTGCGCTTCCACGCCGGCGACGCCGTCTAGCACCGCCACAGCACCATCCAGCACGCGGACAGCTCTCTCCACCTCAATAGTGAAGTCCACGTGACCCGGCGTGTCGATGAGGTTGATGTGGTGCTCGCGCCACGGGAAGCTGATGGCGGCGGCACCGATGGTGATGCCGCGCTCGCGCTCCTGGGGCATAAAGTCCATGGTGGCGTCGCCGTCGTGCACCTCGCCCATGCGGCGGATAGCCCCAGCATAGAACAGCATGCGTTCCGTTGTCGTGGTCTTGCCGGCGTCAATGTGCGCCAGAATACCGATGTTGCGGATGGCGGCGACGCTCGCGGCGTCCTCCTGGTCGCCCTTCGAGGCGGTGATTGACGCCGAGGAGCTCCATCGACGCGCCTGATGCCGGCGCAGAAGAGCAGACCCGGAGAACGGTGTGGTGGTCGCTCGGGACGACGCCAGCAGCGCGGACGCGCCGCGCGGTCGGGTCCGCAGAAGTCGACCCAGCATTTTGTTAGCGTGTGGCTGAAAATGCAGCAAATGACAATTATTGGTATAGCTTTAATTTGGATTGAGTGATCCAGAAAATTAAATTCAGAATAATTAAGAATCTACCTTGGTGATTGTATCGCGCTCAATCATTGCAGTGTGGCGAAATTAATGGCTACTTTTATTTGATGTTGAAGTGGTACGTTAGCGACTGCGATCGTCGCCGAGTTCATGGGTATGGCTCGCCGGTGGACGAGCGCATTGGCTGTGTATGCAATATTGATCTATCCTGCATTGTATCACCGCTCACTGGTAGCGAGGCAGCGTGTCCACGGGAGCAAAAGAGCACGATCCAGGCTTGTAGCTCTTGATGTGCGTGGCCATCTGCGCCGTCGCGAAGCACGGGCAGCAGGTGACGGACGTGCAGTCGTTGGCGCTGGAGCCTGGGATCATGAACTGGCTGCGGATGCGCTTCCGCAGTACCCACAGCGCAGTGGCGAGCGTCGCGTGGGCCAGCACTGCAACCGTCACGAGCATTCCGTTGATCGCTGGGCGGGGCTCGACCACGCGGTGCGCGTGGAAGTAGTGGAACGTCTCGTTGTGTCCGAGGATCGCCACGGAGACGAACTGCTGGATCGTGAGCACCACTACGAGCAGTTCCAGGGAGCACAGCAGCGCGAAGAACAGCAGCGCCGTGTTGAACGGCACCATGCCCAGTCGGCTGGAAATCTGGGCGAGCGACACGCACGGACACAACGTCGCCATGAACGCGTTCGGCACAAGGTCGTCGAAGCTGTCGAAGAGGTTCGTGCTCCAGTATCCAGTCGCGATGCCGAGCACGATGTCGTCGTCGATGCGCTTGTAGGCACTGGGGCCGTCGCCCTCGGGCGTACAGGGTACAACCACCTCGGGAACTAGCGTATCGTCCAGCTGGATGGCGTACGGAGCACGAGGAGTTTCCTTGGGAGTCACGACGGCGAGCGGCTCAGACATGGTGATGGTAGATGAACGAGGATGTGGTGGAAGAGCTAGCAAAAACTAGAATGGTTGGGTGATGCACTTGGATCGGATCGGCGCGAGCAAGCAACACGTTGGCGGGGCTTGCCGTCCCATGAGTGGGGCCGCGAAGGTGCATTGCTTTGGTGTCCGATGCTGCATCATCCCGTGCGTGAATGTTTTAGTGAACTATTCCACGATCCGCGATGCTCAGTTTCCGTCCAGACTCCATGCGATGAAACGCGTTGGCGCTTGGTCGAGCATCGACACGCAGTTAATGCAAACCCGTCAGTTTCAACCTTCATGAATGGTGCTCCACGTAGGTTTCACGTCAAAGAGCTCGAGGCGCAGTGCACATAGAGAAGTGTGCGCGCGCGAGCCAACCCGCTCTTGGGAAGCGTGCTAATACGCAAGTGATCCTAGTCGCAAGATGCATCAGCCAACGGAAACCCTTTCTTGCTGAGCAAGTGCATTTAACGGTTCTTCAACTCAACTACAGGACACCGCTCTCGAGGATTCTGAACGAGTTAGTGGACGAATCCAACGAAGTCTGGCACCCCAGTGGGATGGTTGCGATTGGGTTGGTATGACCGACGTCCACGCCGTACAGAATGGGGAAAGTTGTGCCTCGGGTGTGATGGCGGATCAACAGTTGAAGTTCCTCCACCTGTGCTTCTGAATAAGCAAACGCACGACCCACAACGAGTCCTTTGATCTTGCCGAACGTGCCATCGATTCGTAGCCATCCAAGCGCGATGTTGACGTCCTGGAGCGCCATTCCCTGGTCGAACTGCGCTCCTTCGGGCGTCTCTATCAGTAGAATGGTGTCCTGCAAGTTGGGCATGTACTCGGTGCCTCGCACTTGAAGCAGAGTGGGCAGACAGCCACCCAGGATTCGCCCAGTAGCCCTGCCAGGCCTCAACCATTCGTAACCGGGGTTATCCTTCATCAACTCTTGGTACGAGACATCAGCACGCGTCAACCAGTTGGCCGTCTTGTCGTCGGTCCACTCCTCGGACGGCGCCACCTCTCCAATCGGCTCTGAAGGTGACAGCACCGCCTTCCAGAAGAAGTCCATCGTGTACGACAGCGGCGTTGGGAATTCTCCAAACTGAACAATAGCCATTGGTCCGTAGAAGCTGCAAAACTGCGCTTTCGCGTACAGTGCCAGATGCAGTGTCGTGATGTCCGAGAACCCGCAGAAAATCTTCGGGTGAGCGGCAGTGACGTCGAAGTTCAGGTACTCCAAGATTTCGTGGGAGGTGAAGCCTCCGATAGTGCAGACAATAGCCACCACCTCTGGGTCCTGAAAAGCCTGCATCAGTTCATCCGCCCGTGTCTCGGCGTCTGCGGAACTATACGAGCTGCACGTCGCTCGATCAATCGCATCGACCGATTCGCCACCTTGATCCTCAGCATTGTCTTGAGCCGTGCGAGTGACGGAGGGATAGATTCTCACTCGAAATCCGTGTCGCTCCAATTCTTGACGAGCTTTTGCCAGTCGGTGTGGCACTAACGCCGCAAGACCGGAAGCGGGTGCCACAAATGCGATAGTGTCACCCTTCTTGAGGGCGGGGGCGCGGCGAAGTGGAGACATCGATTTGCGTGTTTGGTTTGAAGCTTTTCCGGATGTGGCGAGGGGCTGCAATACATGTAGCTCATCCTGTCAGTAAATCCAACCGATTGTGGACCAGAAGAATGTTCGTGGATTTTCTCGACTACATAAAAGCTTTGTGCGTTGTACCGTACGAGTAGCGATGCACTTCATCTGCAGTCAGCTTCAACCTGCAAGTATTGTCAATTCCGTTGAAAATTTCCAAATCGGGCCGATTTCGAAAATCGACCAATACAAATTCAAGTACAGATCGAAACCGCTCCAAACAAGAATGCCATATGTAAATCGTACTTAATCGAGTTCCAATAGACAATCCAAGTGGCCGGGGCGATTGGGGAGCGATTTGGCTCGGGCGATTGCAATCGGCCGGTTCGGAAATTTTGAGTAGAACCCACAATATTAATACTTAATGAGTATCATCTGCTTGATTATATGGGTCCGGACCCGAGTCATTATCACACTTGTGACCTAAACGCAATATTTATTTTTGGTATCGAAACCACATTTTCACAAGAGCACCATGGCGAAGAAGAAGAAGGCAGGTATCTCCATCCGCGCTTATGCTGCAGCATCTTCAGTGACAGCACGGCGCGAGACACAGACCCCTGTTCGGCAGGAAGCACGCCTTTCACGTCAAAATGATAGTGCACTTCAAATGCTCATGGAAGAGCGAGAGCAAGCCACCCTTCAGAAGGCTATCAACAGTCGACCAATTAATACAAAACGGAAGTACGAGGGCTACCAAAAGGAGTTTGCAGAGTGGAGCCAATCGATGGGGTTTAGCGTTGGTGTTACGGTCACTGGTAGCAAGCTTCATCTCTTTTTGGACACCCAAGTCGTAGGCAGAGAGTCGAAGAAGAAGAGGGTAAAGTCATTGGCGCCTCAACCGTGTACGGCTACGTCAACGCTATTGTAGACCTATACAATCAGCAGGTCGCCAACAAGATGAACGCTAACGATCATCCTCGCACGTATACGGTGAAGCAACTGTTGTCGACTGTCCAGGCAGAAACTACATCGACACGAAAGAAAAACTACACATGGGATCACTGCTGGACGGCTATCAGTCCGAGGCTCAATTCACTCAGATTTGTGATACTTTTTTCGTTTTGGATGATCTCATGGGGAGGGCTGCGTTTTTGGTATCGCATTTTGGCTTACTACGAGGCGAAAACATTCGTGATCTGGGGCTGGCTGATATGTTTTCCCAGGAACTTGACAAGGAGGGTTTTCAGCCGTGCATTGCGTTGATCCTGCTAATCCAACATGGGAAAACGAATACGTTTGGAAAACTTCAGCATGTCGGCTTCATGCGCAATAAGGCTGTTCATTTATGCCCTGTTGGAGCGGTTGCTTTCGAGCGCTTTCATCTCAATAGTGAACCATTTCCCTCCTTTCGGAGATCGGAGGACTGGTATGACATCAAGTTCCTAAGTGGCCGAGATCGAAATAAAGCTATATCCTACAACACTCACAAGAAAAGCTACGAGGCTGTTTTTGATCATCTCAGCCTTACGTTCAATAAAAAGACTCATATCAACCGCCAATAGGGCGTACGACAACTGGAAGGTGCTGATGTCGACATCTCCCAAACTCGCCGACATGGCCGATGGGGCCTTGACACCGTGGAAGCAGTATATTCCGCTCCTCTGGCGCGAGAAGCGATTCGTGCTCTGTCAGGACACCCCCCACGCGCACGTCTTTATTATTTGGAACGCGCCATTGTGGACCCACCCAATGATCTCAAGCAACAGATTTTCCCTGGGCTTGAAAGTTACAAACAGAAGCTATTCGATGGTGAGTGGGAATGCAACCTCGCCGCTCGAGGGTTCATTGAATTGTTGGAATTCTTACGCACCGTGTTGCTTCAAGATGCTGCATTTTTATTTGACGTCCTTCCTGCTCGACTTCGCCGCCATCCGATCTTCGGTGGACCGTTTCAACAATTCCGCGCTCAAGCACTTGCTAGCGTTCAGGCGACGCAGCACCCGGTGGAAATGCAGCTTCAGCTTGCCATGCCAGTCCTGTCGCAACAAATTAGCACGCAGCACGCAGCAACTATGCAGCGGTTAGAATCTCAGCACTTGGCTCTCGTTGACATGGTGAAGCAATCCCAAGATCAGCTTGCTTCATTTCTCCACGGTGACGTCCTTTACCGACTTCTTCCCTTATCTAACAACGCAGCTGGAGCTGATCCAAGCCAGCTTCCTCTACGTGACAGCACTCCTGTGTCAACCTCGGTAAACGCAACGCTACAGCAACATGAACCTGCACGGTATGGAGAGCATGGTGAGCATTGGCTTGAAGGAGCTGGGGTGACATATTGATTTATGGAAAGGTTCACATACGAGAGATATACTAAGTAGTCAACATAGCTCGGCATCTAACATCGTAAGTGTATTACCGCGACACATGCTAGGTACGATGGCAGATATCCCGCTGCGCGATAATGCGCAAGGCAACTACCAGGACGACAACCCGATTCGAAATGGCATGGAAATGCCAGTAGAATTGCTTAAATACAAGACAATGACATGGTCCTTTGCAACGCGTGAGTGCTCCAATTCCCGAGCGCAAACGGCAACGCCGGGTCACGTACGGATGAAAAAGTAAGCACTACTTCATTATTGAGAATAAACTATGCCGTATTTCCCCATACCCGTCACCAACTACGCATCATCACGGGGCCATTTCTGCTTTTGCAATCGGCGCTCTAGTAGACGGCTATTGAGGCAGCGTTATGTCGTTCCTAGGCCCATCTTAAAGCCATCGCGAATGAACTTCCTCGTAATAGCCCACATACACTTGATCAGAGCACGCCTGCTGCGCCGCCAGCACTTCGGGGTCAGAGGTGAGCATGAACTCCTTACGCGCTGCAAGGCTCGAACACAGGGCGATATACAGCGGTGGGTCAGTGTCGCCGGCTTGCTTGGCGTCATCAGGGAAAAAAATGTCGTTGAGCTTCGTCAGTTCGGACCTCCTAATCTCGTGCTTCTTGGCGCCTGTGATCTGCAGATACACCACGTTGCTCTTCTTTCCGGAGGAAGCCTTAGCCTTGAGCTTTACAATGCTGTCGATGTTGGGGAAGTCGTCGCAATCCGGGACCCAGTACGTGAAAGCACTAATATCCTTCCACTCCCTCAAAACGCGTTCGTAATCTTGTACTGCGCCCACCTCACAGCTCCACCGTGTTGCACCTCCATCTTCTCCATAGGCTGCTCCAGGTTTCTTGCCACCGTCACTAGTGCAAACTTGGATATGCGAAGTCAAAGTCGATTCTCGGCAGCAAGGCTGTGAATGTACATTTCGAGAGCGCATCCAGCCAACGGTGCGACTCCAGCACCTCGAGCCCAAGTGTAAGCTAGAAAGAGATCCTCCGAACACAGCCTGAAAGAGAGAGCGCGGAAAGCGAATTCCGAGTCAATGACTTGTTCCCAATGACGTGGCGAGGTGAACTGAGCGATTTCACTCGAGGTTTCTACAAACGTGCGACGCAGACGATCAAATTGTGATTCTCCATACAAAATCGAACCCCTCGAGGATACAAGCAGCGACACATTCTCCGGTTTGCCAACTACGTGATCGACGCCTCGACATATGTCGTCTACCGTGTCCATCGCACACTGCCACCGGAATAGTAGAACCTAGTCTCCATTTCGTCCTCCTCAAACTTGTACAGCGATCTTCCCAACGCCACCAGATCCGTCTTTGACCAACTTGGCAACAGACAGCAATGCATGCTAAGTACTTTAGGTCCGCTTGCTGCGATGTCGCGAGCATCTTAAATTCCCACACACCCCGACGGATTTGATCGAGAGGAAACCCATCCAATAAGCCCCAGACGTTTTCGGCACCAATTTTTCTAGCGAGCGCTTTGTAGATCTTGTTGGCCCGAGTGTCGGCACACAAAGGGATCGCGAAATAAACCACTTGGCCCGCGTCGTGCGTCATGTAGAGAAGACTATTTCCTTTCTTCGGTCCAAACCCCCGTCGATACAAAAACACATTCTTCTTGTGCTTGAACACGAGGTAGAAGGCCATCAGGCACAGCAGAGTCGACTTGCCGATTCCCGGGGACCCAATGAGAATACTCGTCTTGTTCGCAAAGGCATTACGGTTGTCAGGGGTGGACTTCCGAAACCACCCATCCATGATCAGCGACACGACCTGCTTGTCTTCCAGACGCCAAAAGATCTTCCCAGTCTCGGTACATCCACCCAACTGGCTCATAAATCTGGAGATGGCTGGAATCTCGTGCACAGTGCCGATGCTCCAATCGTCAAGTGAGCTGCATTCCTGAGCAATCTTCTCCTGGTCTTTCAAAGGCGTTGCGGGAGGTATCGGGTCCGTCTTCGGCACTTCGACGATAAGCGCATCTTTCACTGATCCACCACGCATGTCAAGTGATGCGTCCTCGTCCAATGGCGCGCTGTTCTCGTCAGCGTATCCCTTTCTGCTCTCGTAAATTTTTAGCCAGTTAGGTGGAATATGGGTCAAGACGTCCTTCCCAAGGGGCGGAAAGCGATCATAGGCTGCATGAATCTTCGCGCGGACGTCTTCAATATCACGGACGCCGTCAGATTGAACCGAAGCTGGCCTGCAACCCTTGAAAGGGAGTCCGGTGTTGTCCACCAACTGGAACCACACTTTTCGACTCATCGCGTCCGCGTCAACCCTCAGAGGAGATGAGAATTCCGGAATGAGGGCGACCTAATTGATGTGGCGGACACAACGGACAAAGTCAGTTGCAAACCGCGACTGTACCCACAACTGGGTACAGTTCTAGCCAAGCAATTCGCAGTTCGAAGACATCGAACGACATTCGCGCTACATTCGTAGGTTCCCCGCTAGCGGATGACATCGAACGACATTCATGCCACATGAAACCGTGGATCTTCCTCAATCAATCAGCGCTCGGATTGACACGGTAGATAAACAGACAACTGGAATTATAAGTTGAAATCGTAGCCTGTTAGCTCTGTAATAAAGTTGTGCCTGAAGTCACATCGTAGTCGCGGAGCTCGTGCAGTGTGCCGTTCCGCCAAGCTGGGGGCGAAAGACTTTCAGAAGTTCAAACGGAGTAGCCACGCACGTAGAAAGCCACGCTTGGCTTGGTGACCATTATCATACACACTTGCTCAAGAAAATTATGAAATTATGCGTAATAGATCGCCTTACTGGTATTATTTGAAAAAAAGCACCTCCAATTTATGCTAGGCCTCGAAGATGGTTTGAATCAGTTCTCGACCCTAAAGTTTCTAAAGTGGCCCGAGTCGACGATTACTTGACTCATTCCATTTCTGGGCTTGCTCGCAGAAACGAAACTTTAATTTAAAACTGGGCCTGTTTGTTGAGCACTTGCCTGATCGGCTTAGCCGTAGTTTGTTTTTGATGTAAACCAGATTATTCAGTTTAGACATGAACACACGGGTTCTACAGACTACGACGAAATATCCGGCAAGATGAAGTCCGGTAGACAAAGTCGTGCAATGAACAACAAGAAATTCGCCTTCCAATATGATGTGCTGTTTTGTACTTCATACTTTTGTGCGTATTTTATGCCGTGTCACAGTATTTTCAAAATTTACATATACCAGGTGTCGAACCGCGCTGAAGGGCAAGAACGTATGCAACCCGAGAAAGTGGACTCCATCAAAATACACGTTTTATGGAGAAAGAATGCAAGAATGCAGCCCGTGCTACTTTGTTCGTCGTAGTAGCATGCATCGTATAGCTAGCTACTGACAACTATATTCTACAACGTTGAGCTCAATGTTGGGCATACGTCCTGATGATGCTGATCGTGAGCCCAACCACAGCTTCCAAATAAACTATACGGACGTTATCACAGCACTACGTCGTACTTGTACATGTAATATGTTCAGAGCACTTAAAATTGTACTTTACTGACCCCATTGGCTATCGATCCGATCGTATTCTATGACCTCCTCTTTCAGACACACTAGAAGATGATATTGCAAACGTACTCCACATGCATAGTTCTGTGAGCCGATTGCCTACGAGGAGGATTAATTGGTCATGTAAAATTATCCTGGAAGAGGATCTTGACAGGGTGAATTCCTGCACATTCATTAGAACCTGTCTTTGTGGATTGAGCACCCAACAAGACTTCCACGAAAAATATTAAAGTTGTGTGAGCCAAGGTAGATTGCTTGCTACTGTTTCTTATTTGCCGAACCCCTTTTAGGCACAAGCAAACCATTTTGCGATTGAGAGGATACCATGTTGTCACTGAATGCGGTGTATCCGTATTTAAGATGGTTCCTTCTGAAAACGCCTTACACAGCGGCAAGTAGAGCTTTGGCATATGCATGTATCAAGCGAAAACTAATTATACCGATTTTTGCAGCACTGGCAAAGTTACGACCTCTTAGTCAACTGCGTTTCGTTTAGATCCACCAGCTGCTTTGGGATTTTTAAGGCATCTTCTGTTTTTGAATAATAATTTTTGAATGATTAATCAAGGCTTGATCTCGACAAGAGCTCATCGAGTTTGGTTTCATTTTGTAGCATTTTATCGGTCCAAACTAACCAAACAAAAATCTTTGTTAGGTCTGACCGTGAGCTTGCAGCAGACGAACCGAAAGCACCTTACCAGGTATGTACTCCCCGACTTGTGAGTTTGAAGCAGATGCAACGTGTTCAAGCTGTAAAATTCACTACAGGCGGGGCCAGCGCTATAAATTCGTCACGATGGCAGCTAGTCTGAGCAACATGCATCCACAATAGCGGTCTAGTACAGGTACAAAGCTAAAGAATACTTCTAATATCTATCCCCTGCACATCACCATACCCGGCAGATGCTGCGGCTGCGAAGCAGGCGCAGGAGATGCCTGTGAATAGCACAACTTTGATAATGTTAACAGGAAATTGCGCGCGCGGAGTCTGCTGCTTGTTTTACTTTTAAGTACTTACTTGGCTACGAGATATCCGACGATGTAAGCAAGCGTCGCAATTTTAATCTATGTTTATCTACATGTACGTGTAGTATCCACAGGTTGATTTGGTTTTATTTTTCTGTGAATACAGGCAGTCTACTGGGCGAACCTCATCTAGAACTATTTCGGCGTACATTCACCTTCATTAGCTCTAATGCTTCATGTAGCTTCGAACTGCGAAACCCCCCCGGGTTCACCACCCGGGTCACCAATATTCTTTCTGTCCGCCACACCAATTAAGCCGCCCAAAATGTTTTCCCCTTCTCATTCGGGAATCTCTTCCTGGCTTGGACTGGATGAGTCAGAAAGTGTGGTTCCAGTTGGTGGCTCCCTTTTCAAGGGTTGCAGGCCAGCTTCGGTTCAATCTGACGGCGTTCGTGATATCGGATCCGTCTGCGCAAAGATCCATGCAGCCTATGATGGGAAACAACCTTCTGGGAGAGACATATTGGGCCATCTTCATTCCGATGAGCTAGGCGTTTACGAGAACAGAGCCATGTATGACGCGAAGAGCGACCCACTGACCGAGGATACGCTGATTGAGATGCGTGGCGGATCAGTGAAAGATGCGCTTATCGTGGAAGTGCCGGGGAAGGATCCAGTGATACCTCGCACCGCTACCATGGACGACCAGGAGAAGATTGCTCAGGAATGCAGCTCACTTGACGATTGGAGCATCGGCACTGTGCACGAGATTCCAGCCATCTCCAGATTTATGAGCCAGTTGGGTGGATGTACCGAGACTGGGAAGATCTTTTGGCGTCTGGAAGACAAGCAGGTCGTGTCGCTGATCATCGATGGGTGGTTCCGGGAGTCCACCACTGAGAATCGCAATGCTCTTGAGAACAAGAAGAGCATTCTCATTGGGTCTCCGGGAATCGGCAAGTCGACCCTGCTGTGCCTGATGGCCTTCTACCTCGTGTTCAAGCGCAAGAAGAATGTGTTTTTGTATCGGCGGACGTATGAACAGGGGTTCAACAGGTGTCTCCTATATATGACACACGACGCGGTCCAAGTGGTCTGCTTCTCAGTCCCTTCGTTGGAAGACCCTGAGGCGAGCGAAATCTATGAAGCGCTCACCAGTCAAATCTGCGCCAAGAATATCTGGGTCCTGTTGGATGGGTTTCCTTACGGTGAAATCCCCGCGGGTTTCGAGCCATTTGACATGCTCGCAACATCGCAGCAAGTGGACCTGAAGTCCCTGGAGGCAGTTGGCTCGTATTGCTGCCTTTTGCCTAGTTGGTCAAAGACGGATCTGATGTCGTTGGGAAGATTGCTGTACGAGTTTGCGGAGGATGAAATGGAGACTAGATTCTATTATTCCGGTGGCAGTGTGCGCGACTTCACGATGGACACGGTAGACGACATGCGTCGAGGCGTCGACAACGTTGTTACCAGATCAGAGAATACGCAGCTGCTTTTTTCGTCGAGGGGTTCGATTTTGTCTGGGAACTCACAATTTGATCGTCTGCGTCGCACGTTTGTGGAAAACTCGAGTGAAATCGCTCAGTTCGCCTTGCCACGACATTGGGAACAAGTCATTGACTCGGAATACGCTCTCCGCAGCCTCTCTGAGCCCGGATGATCTATTTCGAATGTATACCTGGGCTCGAGGTGCTGGGCATGTGGATGGATTTTCGCAAGGTCCATTCACAGCCTTGCTGCCGTGAATCAGCTCAGACTTCACATATCCAAGTACGACCGACCAATGCCAAGAAAGCCGAAGCAACCACGGCATCTGGAGATGAAGTCGCAAAAGTCGTGCTCCTTGGCGACAGTGATCTGCAGATACGCCACGTTGCTCTTCTTCCCGGAGGAATATTTTAGTTTCACGATGTTGGGGAAGTTGTCGCAGTCCGGGATTCAGTAAGTGAAAGCACTATCCTTCCACTCCCTCGAGACCTTTCGATTTGCTTTTTATTCATAACTTTACCATTTTGCACGATCAACTAAGCCGAGCTGTTTCTTCCCAGATGTCGTCAGTGACACTGACCCACCGCTGTATACTTAAGTATTGCTCTGTGTCCGAGCCTTGCAGCGTGTAAGGAGTTTGTGCTAAAATCTGGCCCTGATCAAGTGTATGTGGGCTATTACGAGGAAGTTCATTTCGGGATTGCCCAAGGAACGGCGTGCCTCTGCGCGACACAACACCCGGTCTCAAACGCAAAAACGTCCCCGTGGACCACGGGGACGTACCACGGGCCGTGGTGGTGCGTAGCTGGGAAAGATGTCCCACACCAAGTAACAGTACTTTATACTGCATAGTAGTTTTTTTTTCGCATTGTAGGTGCAACCTCCGCTTAGCGGTGTCCACTTTAATATACTCAATTGCAATGCACCACCTCGTTGCTCTTCATAAGCTACATGACAAGTGGCATGTCCTCATCCAACGGCGCACTCTTCTTGTCAGCATGCGCCTCCCCGTAAATCGCTATGATAGTCTGTTAGGTGGAATATGGGTCAAGACGTCTACCGAAGGAGGTGGAAAGCGATCGTCGGCGTGAATCTTCGCGCGGACGTGCTCAATATCGCGAACACCATCCGATATTAGTAGAACCTGAATCCCCGGTAAGGGCGTCGAGTCTCCGCGTCCATCAACTGGAACCACACGTTGCTCGCTCGCCAAACCCATCAATAAGTCGAGGGTGGGCCAATTGTTTTAGAGGGCCAAGGAGTTGGGAACTTCGGAAAGCTCCACGAGAAGGTCGTGAAAGCCATCAATGGAGTTGGGAACCGTAGGTATTGCATAGTGGTGATCTACTGTACCTCACACTAGGTAAAAATTCCAGACACAAATGCACGAGTCAGCGCCGACGGACACTAGCTGTCGCTCATCGGGGCTCCAAGCTAGCGAGTTGACGGTGTTGGAGTGTCCGCGTGCCGATGCAAGCAGCGACGAAGAGCCGATATCGAAGAGCTTCACTTCGCAGTCTTCGCCACATGTCGCCAAGAACCGCCCGGAGGGTGACACGACCGCACACGAGACTTTGAGACGGCTGGGGTCGACGATCTGCTGGACGGGCTCCGGTTCGTCGCAGTCCCAGAAGAGAAGCCTGCCATCAGCGCCCGCCGTCACGATCTCCGTCTCGCTGTCCAATCTCTGGGTGATCCCGTGGAAGGCGCCTTCGCGAACTTGTTGCGCTACAATCCGTCGAGCCCCTTTCAGGTCGTAGATGAACAGAGCCTTGTCAACTCCGCAAGAGTGAACTCGATGAGGCAGCTTGAGATCGACCAGGACCCCCGTGACCGCGCGCTTGTGCTCGTGGAACTGAAGCACTAACTCGCGCGTGGCAAAAGACCAAATGCTGACTCCACCGTCACTAGCACCACTCACCACATACTGAGCACTGCAAGCGACTGCGTTAACCTCTCCACGATGCGCCATCGCAATGTGCCACTTCGGCTGTGCAGTTACAGCGTCATACGCCCGAAGCCAGCCATCAGCCCAACCAGAGATCACTAGCGCCGATTGACTCGACGCAGTCGGAGTTTTAGTGATGGTAATGCACAGCCCTGCCACGGCCTCGGTCGCCATGCACTTGAGGTGGTAAGTGGAGAGATCCCATACGCGTAAACTGCCGTCCGCGGAAATGGTGGCAAACTCCTCGCATGAATTCCCGAAGGCGCAGCCTGTGACGGACCCCAAGTGGCTGCTCGCCAGCTCGGAAGTCACGAGAGTCGTGGCAACGATGTGGTACATTTTACCTGCAGAGGTTCCGGCAAACAATTGCGCTCCGCCTGGACTGATCGATATGCTGGTGATGCCCCCGACAAGTTGAACTTGACCCACGAGGTTCCAGTCCGAGTCGCGGCCTACCAGTTTCTTGAGAACACCGTCTCCAGCGCCCACGTACACGTATCCGGTGTCTCCACATGCAGCGACGCTGTGCACGCCATTCCTGACGACGGGCACTGCGTTGCGGTACACCAGCGATTCCGTATTGAAAACGACAAGCTCCCCAGCAGAAGTGCCAGCCAACACGTCCGTACGTGTCTGGGTGATCGTGGCGCAGATATAACTGCGTGCGATCCCAACATTGGGCATCGAGAAGGTCGACACCTCGAGTCGGTACTGCATGCCGGCAATGTCGTAGGCTAACTCGCCGAACAAGAGCTGGCTAGAGTGAGCAAAACAGAGCGAGTACTTCGGACGACGACACTTTTCGTCCATCTTGCCCCAGTTGAGGACCGTGACGGGAGTCGGGAACGCTTTGGTCAGCACCACCTCGGATGTCTGACACGGAAAAACAAGCAAGCATGCACATCAGTCTAACCCTGGCGACGAGTTACGATGTGCTTATGAATGCTACAGTACTCACCCGCATATCCCAGAGAATGATGCGGCAATCTTCAGAGGAAGCAGCGAGGAAGTGATCGTCCGGGGAGAAGGCCATTTGCAGCACGGGACGGAAGAACCCTTCGAGACGGTAGCGTTCTCGTCCCGACGCCAGATCCCAGATGACAATGAACGCGCCGCCTCGATCCGTTCGACCCGAGTGCGGAGGGATCTGCGCTGATGCGAGCAACGCGCCCGTGTTCGACATACTCAGCACGTTGATTTCCTCCTCGTGCGCGCACAGCAGCTCCTGACTCTGCGAGTCGTGGATCTTGCCGATCACCACAGCCGAGCCCATACTGGCGTGCAGCACCAACGCCAATGTTAACTCCTCCCCATCCTCCTATTGCCTGCAAATTCATACGTACCAGGTGATGTAGCTGTCCGGGTCCGTCGGGTGTGCGTGGATCGTGCTTTTGCCTTTGCCGGTGTATCCGCTGAGGTGCTCGAGCTCGATCGAGAGACTCGGGTGGCCTTGGTGCTCCGGCAATACCTGGTTGTTGCTCGACGCGTACATGTCGTAGTCATTGCGGTAGCCGCTGTGCGACGACGAGGACGAGCTGATGCCGCCGCGCGAGTCGAAGCCGCTGGAGGCCGACGACGGAGCCTTCGCGTACCTATCAGCACTGGCGGAACTCAGCGCGCTGGGCGCGAACAGCTCTGGATCGATGCCGCGACTCTGGCGGTGCGTCATGGCCGTCGTCAATGACTAAAGTGCACATGGAGGGGTGCGTCGCTTCAAGATCGAAACTGCTTGACCATGGCGGAAACTTTTGTGGAAGAGAGTACTGCGCGATTTGTGCCCACTTTTTGGGTGTGGAGCCGGTGCAAAAATACGGCTGTGACTCAGATCTATCGCCGAAGCTTCCCGCTGAAGTGCACGTGCACAAGAATGGGGAGAAGACGTCAAGGGCGAGCGCTTCTCCAGGCTCAAAGGCTTTCAGTGCTACGTAGTGCTCGTCCAGTCGCTCTGCCTTTGACGTCCGTTCGGCCGGAAATCAGGTCAGCTTCGGCACCAGCCGTCGGCTAGTGCCGAAGCGTTTCGCAGCGGACCAGAATCAGGACCCAATTGGTGTATCCACCTGCGTTTTCCGCCAATCGTAACGCGTGAAAAAGCATTTCCGCCAATCTCAGATGGGGGCGTGGATCTGCGAAAAATACGTCGGTCTAAAAATTAGAGCGCCCTTTTTCACCCCAAGAGAGACCGCATTGCTACGAGAACAAACGACGATCAGCCCTAAAGCGCTTGCTGTGAGGTGAGGTCGCGGGGAGCAAGGGCGATATCTCGTCTCCCAGGTCGCGTCCGCAGGTGCCGCCGGTCTCTGAGTGAAGCCGAGACGCCGCTGCGTCCTCTCATCCGCGCGCGAGCCTCCCCCGACGCCTGTAGCGCGCGCTATCGCTGCGTACAGCTCGCGCCCCTTTTCGCCAGTATACCAACCAACCCCCGAGATCCCGCGGTCTTTTAGCCGCCCCGGGGGCCTTAATTAATCCCCACAGATACCGTAATGCTGCGCGCCAAGCACATGGGCTTCAAGAGCGTGCGCCGCGTGGAGGTGAAGGCCGAGACGACGACGCCCGGCGAGCTGCGCGCCACCACGGACGCGTCGGGCGCGCGCGTGGGCACGTCGCGCAGCCGCCGTACGCTGCCCAAGCTCGAGTTCACGGTGGACGAGGAGGGCGCCGTGCTGCACGGGCCGCAGCGCGGCTCGTACCCGTTCTACGCCACGTCGGGCAACGACCCGAACGTCGCGGTCACCGCGGCGGACGCTGCGCCGTTCAACTCGGCGCTGGAGAGGGACCTGGCCGCCAGCTTCCAGGCGCTGCACATGCGCGACTTCCCGTCGCCGCCGGGAGGCAGTAGCGGGGAGAACGAGGAGAACGAGGGAACAGAGGGCTGCGAGGTAGAACGGCGGGAGAACGACGACGACGCAGCGGGGGCCCCCACGCCGCCCCCGCAGATGAAGGAGTGCGTGCTGAACGACACACGCGCCACGACGCTGGCGCTGAAGTACGACAACGCGGTGGGGAAGTTCGTGTGCGGCTCGTCCATCGAGCGGTTCTCGGGCCACACGGGCGTCTGCCGAGTGCTGGGCAGCAAGAAGTACCCCATCATCCCGCACAGCTTGAGGCTGGGCGATCTACTGAGGATCGGCTCTGTGGGGCTCGTGGTGTGCGAGCTGAACCGCACGGCCAGCGAGGAGACGGAGGAGGCGCTGACCAACGAGCAGTACGAGTTCTTGAAGGAGAACTACCTGAGTCTGCCCCTGCAGCAGACGTTCCACCCGACGGAGAGATCCCCCGACATGGAGGACGGAGAAGAGCACGACGACGACCAGAAGGACCATGAGCGCACGATGCGCGTGGGAGGAGACACGTCGGACGAGGGCGAGTCGGAGGAGGACAAGGACAGGAAGGCGGCGAGACGCTCCAGTGCCGACGCCGGGGACAGCGCGGACGCCCGCCACAACAACATGCCGCTGGGCGTGGCTGGCACCACGGGCAAGAAGTTCTGCTACATTTGCTACGACGGAGACGAGTTCCCGGACACCAACCCGCTGGTTGCCCCCTGCCACTGCAAGGGCGACACCAAGTACGTGCACCTGGACTGCCTGCAGCGCTGGAACAACAACTTGGACGCGGACGGCACCAACCCGAACCAGAAGGTGTGCGCGGTCACCAACACGGACGGACTGGATGTGTGCAGCATCTGCAAGGCCACGTATCTGACGAGTGTGCGTCTGGAGGATGGCCGGGTGGTGTCGCTGCTGGCCAAGAAGCTGCCGCCACCGTACGTCACATTCGCCGTTGTCACGCAGCACGAGACGCGGAACCGCTCGACGGCACTCACAAACACGCGTTTCCAGCTCAGCTTCGCGAAGTAAGTTCGTGGAATTTGGGTCGTACTGGTTAGATTTTTCTGATACTGACGCTGTTGTGGTTTGTTCACACAGTTTGCCGCGTAGCCAACAATTCCTGACCATCGGTCGGTCGACTACAAACAACATGACGCTGCGGTACCGCACCGTGTCCCAGTTGCACGCCAAGGTCAAATACCAGGATGTAAGTGTGCTGATTCGAGGGTGCGCTGGGTTGCGCTACGGGGTGGATGATCTAATTTTGTGCTTTGTTATTCGTGCTGTTAGAACAACTTCTTCCTTTTTGATTCTTCAAGTTCGAACGGCACAATGTTATTCCTGAGCAAACCTCTGGAACTGGAATGGAACAAGACGATGCACGTGAAGATCGGACGCACGATCCTTACCCTCAAAGCGAAGAAAAAATGGAAATGGGCAGGACCCGGATCTAGCGACGATGAAGAAGACGAGGAAGGGGGGCGCGTGTCGTCACCGCGTATGAGTGCACGGGATTTTGAGAACCGTCTTTCAAGCCCGGGGTCGGCAGCGAGGAGTAATGGATTCGGTATGAGCCGCAGCAGTGCGATTAATGACCCGAGCGCCGAATTAGTGACTGCACCGTATTCCAGCCACCTCCCGCGGACATACACGGCGCCGAATGTGCTCGGCTCGCGCTGGAATCGCAGTATGCCGTCCAACGCGCTGGGATCCAGACCACCACGCCAGCGGTCTCTGTCGAGCTCAGCTCCAGTGATGCTGCATGGAGACAACAGCATCGATGAGTTGGACATCCCCTCGGCCTTCCACGTCGACGAGCTGGAGCCTGACGAACCGGACACATTTGCGACGCAGGCTGTCCGTGAGCCGGTGGCGTTATCAGCATCATCGACGAGCTTCCGCGATTTCGCCGCCGCGAATGCGTCACCCTCATTGACATCTCAGCTCGCTGGTGAAGGGATCGGTCGGACGCACGTGGACCTGCCCGTTCAACGGCGCAGTCTTTATGACATGGTGGACTCGCTGTCCGAGCGCGGATCAAGCCCCGTCGTGGCAGCGGCGAGTCCTGCTGGCCGCCTCACGGAGCAAAACTAACTGGGAATGGTGTTGTTGCCGTTCGTTCCTCTTCCCTTCGCTGGCGACGCCGTGGGGCGACTGGCGCCCTGTTCTGTTTCCTGGATGCTGGCGGCGGCGTGTGCTTTCTACTCGTATATTTAACCACAGAAGGACCGGCAAGAGCACCGCACGTAAAACCACCTCAAAGACTGTGCACATTTTTCATTTTGGTCTGTTGGATGTCTTACATAAGTTGAATATCGTACACAAGCGGATATTAGTCAGTACTTTACTACGTATACATGCAATACCCTGCATATTCTCATCGCTGCGTGTACGATCACTTCATCTGCTATCAGCTTCACAACAACACAAACCGGACGCGAAGGCGACATCAAAAGAGAAGACAACCACAGCATTGTCCAAGCGTGGGGTAAACACAATGAGCACCAGATCCCTTGTCATGGCGATGGGTAAATTCCAAGGTGCGGTAAAACCACTCCCTCTTCCAGGACATGTAGTGAAGTCCTCGAGCTCTCGATACAGCACAGTGGTCGTTCCGACGAGTGAAGCGGTCGAAAACGTTATGAAGAAAGTGTCGGTGAAGGTGAGATACACGCACAAGGTCCAGCAACTGCTGTACATGGCAGAGTTCCTTGTGCTTCTCAACTACATGGAGGTCGCCGTGCCTCTCGTCTTCTGTAAGTGATTTAACCTACATATTCCACTCATTTGTTCAACGCTCTCTATTTTGCAGCGATCTACATGCTCACGACTTATCTGCTGCCCAACCGGGAATATTACGCTCAACTCCGCGGAATGACGCAGAATGAGCTGATCCAAACGTTGGTGAGCGTCATGTTTTACTGCACACTGCAGCTCGGCTCGTTGCTGCTGCTATTCTTCATCTTACAGCGGAAATTGGGGCTGCCACCGATACACCAGTTGGCGTTTGTGTTGGAGAAGCAGTACGTCGGTGTTCAGGTCCGGTTCATCTTCTGGGTGTTTTACCATGCGCAGGCGTCCCTGCAACATCTAGGTCTGTCCACAAGCTCCTTTCTTCTTGAGTGGAATACAGGTAACGCTAACGCGCATTTTGTGTGATTTCTAGGTTACGACTACTCGTTTCGATTTGCATGGTTAGACAATAGGATAACTTAAGTGGCTCCAGCTTGAGTTTTGTGTTTTCGCTCAAGCCCTACAGCTTCAAAATAGTGTGATCACGAATTAATCGTTTGGCTTGATAAGCCAACACGCCAATTCTCACTTGTGACTTACCCTCAGAATCGGCGCTAACCCAGCTAAAAGCGGAGGGCTCGAGCACGTCTTCACTATATTTGTGTGCGAACTGCCTCAGCGTAATCTCTTACCGCCACGTCCATATCGATGCGGGTTCAATGGAATCGGCTCGTTCAGCTGTGGGAATCGGCGCAAGTGGAGCTGCATGGGAAATACTCGACCGAGCGCGTGCTGCAACTCGCCAAATACACGCGTGAAACCAGCTACCTCCACGCCTTCATCGTTTTAGTAGTGACTCCGTTGCCCTGTTTGGTCGTGACTGTGCTGGTTGACGTTATACCGCTTGCTGATCCGTCCAAAGGAGTCGCAGCCAACACGTTGTTCTTCGTGCGAGACCAGCTCATCACGTACGTACTGACGTTCATCTGCATTAACCAGTTTCGCGTAAGCCTCCCAGTCCTCCCGTACCCCATTTACAAGGCGTTCTGGCACTCGGTGTGGATTTCTGGGCTTAGTATGGGGGCTTTGTACACTTTATCCTCCACTATTGGCTTTCCTTTTCCATTCTCGTTGATGGTTGTGACCCCGACTTGGGTCACTTTAATCTCGATATCGATGGCATACGAATGGCTGAAGAAAATACGGGAAACTCCGGGGGCTCCAGCTATGGTAGGCAACGTGATCAAGGTCTGGATGTGCCAAGTAATACTGGAGTTCATCTACCCGCCGTACTACTACATCTTCAGTACTTTACCCGACAGGGCTCAGACAGTGTTTGCTATACTTCTGCCGGTAATTAAGTTGACAATGAGGAACGTTTTCGCTCGAACTGTGGTCCATCTGAGCGACGAAATGCCCGAAGTAATTTTGTTTAATGTGGAGCTCTTCAACGCGCTGTTTGTGTCGTACTGCATGCAGAATTCGCCGTCTATTTGGACGACTCTGGAGCTGATGCTCATTGACATCGGGATGATTATTTTTTCGTTGCGGGACATGGAGAAGGCTCGAGTTGGCTTGAAGGACTTGGAGCGACGTATTGAGGAAGATAAACGCTGGAATGATTATTGTAAGTCCATCGGCTACAGCACAGAAAACCGAGCGGTAACTACGTTAGAGCGGACGAGAATACTATTGGAACAACAACACAAACCGGACGCGAAGGTGACATCAAAAGAGAAGACAACCACAGCATTGTCCAAGCGTGGGGGAAACACAATGAACACCAGATCCCTTGTCATGGCGATGGGTAAATTCCAAGGTGCGGTAAAACCACTCCCTCTTCCAGGACATGCAGCGAAGTCCTCGAGCTCTCGATACAGCGCAGTGGTCGTTCCGACCAGTGAAGCGGTCGAAAACGTTATGAAGAAAGTGTCGGTGAAGGTGAGATACACGCACAAGGTCCAGCAACTGCTGTACATGGCCGAATTCCTACTGCTTCTCAACTACGTGGAGATAGTCATCCCTCTCGTCTTTTGTACGTGGGAAATATACCAATGAATGAGGCGTGTAGGTCGATGACTATCTAACTTTTTCTTTATCCCTCCTCTCTTTTTACAGCGATTTACATGGTTGCTACGTACAAGTTACCTAACCGGGAATACTACGCATAACTCCACGGAATGACGCAGAGCGAGCTGATCCAAACACTGGAGAACGTCATGTTCTACTGCTCCCTACAGGTCTGCTCGTTGCTGCTACTGGTGTTTATCCTGCGCAAGCAATTGGGGCTGTCCCTGATCCACCAACTGGCGTTTGTGCTGGAGAAGCAGTGCGCTGGTGTTCAAATTCGACTTGTGTTCTGAGTGTTTTACAACGCACAGGCCTCCCTACAACACAACGGTTCGTCTGCCGCCTACAGTTCCTATTGTCTTCGAGCCGTACAGTATGCTGACACACATTGTTTGCCGTAACTTGTAGGCTACGACTACACTTTCAGATTCCAGTGGCTCCGTAGTGCCAGCTCTAGTGGAAGCGGGTCAACGTAAATCGCAATCTCAAATTTAAATGCTGCATAATTATTTTTTTAACGTATATTGAAACATGAGGGTTGCATAGACTAAGTAAAAGTTAAGGGTTTGTCGAAATGATCGACATGGATCAGTAGTGAACTCTATCAAAGACAGTCACAAAGCGTTGAAGTCGGTGTCATCCTGCTCCCCTTTAGTTCACGTATAGACCAACAAACTACCGCGCCTGGAATAGCACTGCACGTACTGCACTACACAGTGTTGCGTCCAACCAGGTGATCCTGTTCTTCCAGTCCCCAATGCGTCTCAGGTTCGGCACTTTCATCGAGCTATGGGAGGCGACTCAAGTGGAGCTTCACGGCAGGTACTCGGCGGAACGGACCCTCGATCTGGCAGAGTACGCGACAAAGCCTCCGGGGCTCGAGTTTTCGCGGTCTTGCTCGCAACCCCATTGCCATGTTTGGCTACAACAATCCTCATTGACATTCTACCGCTTGATGACCCGTCCAAGGGCTTGAAAGCCAACACAATGTTCCTTCTGCGCGAATACTGCAGCTACCTCGTGATGAACTTCCTCTCCATCCAGCAATTTCGCACTAGCGTCCGAATTTTGCCTTCCCCCATGAACCGTGTTATTGTGAATACGACCATAATATCGGCGCTTTGTCTCGGGTCCTACTACGTCTGCGCACTGATTATGGGGTTTCCGGTACCGTTCTCGATCGTGACCGTGATGCCGGCTTGGGCCTTATTCATCTCGACTTCGATGGCTATTGAGTGGTTCAAGAAAATTCAGGAGACCCCGGGGGCAGGGGCAATGGTGGTGAATGTACTGAAGGTCTGGACGTGCGAGATGCTGCTCGTGCTGATCTACCCGCCGTACTACTACTTGTTCACCACTCTAACCGAGACCAGCCAGATGGGGTTCGCTCTACTGTTGCCGTGTATCAAGATCCTCATGCGCAACGTGTTCATGCACACGGTGGTGCATCTGCGAGACGATCTGCCAGAGGTGGTGATCTTTAACGTGGAGGTTTTCAACGCCCTGTTCGTATCCTACTGCATGCAGAACTCGCCCTCATTCTGGACGACGTTGGAGCTCATGGAGGTGGATATTCTACTACTGGGGTTGTCCTTGCGGGATATCGAGGCCGCTCGTCGGGGCTTGGAGGAATTGGAGCTACGCGTTGAGCAGGAGAGCGGGTGGGTCGGTAATGTCCATTCTACCGGTAACTGGTCTACAAGGACGCTGGAGCGGGTTTCGAGGCTTCTGCAACAAATGAATGAGGGCCCCCAGGCCCTCGATATGTCACGGACGGTATCAATCGGTCCGGGGTTAACAGCTTTGGCTCAATTCCGCCAAGAGCAGCCAACCCCGATGAAAAAGTCGCTTGTGGTCATGGCGAGAGATGCGTGCAGTACCTTCGCGCTAGCTCCGCACCCCCTCCGAGCTGCCAAACAATTACTGAACAAGGGCAACATCCACCCCGTTGTGGAAGTTGTTCCAAACGGTAAGCATACCCCTAAAATTTCCGCCAAGCTGAGCTACACGAGGAAGGTTCGGCGGTTGTTGTACATGGCCGAGTTCGTTCTTCTCCTCAACTACGTCGAGGTGGTCATCCCGCTCGTCTTCTGTACGTCTGTACTGCCTTTAGTGCGTTATTTTACACTTGGTTTTAACTCTGCTTATGTCGTTCCCAGCGATTTACTTGGGCGTCATGTACGAGCTGCCAAACCGTCGCTACTACGCTCAGCTCGAGGGCATGAACCAGGACCAACTCTTCCTGACGCTCAAGAACGTGCTGTTTTACTGCTCGCTCCAGTTTATCTCACTGGTATTGCTAATTCTCACGCTACGACGCAAGTTGGGTCTATCACCTACTCGGCAACTGGCTTTTGTCCTGGAGAAGCAGTTCACCGGCATTCAGATTAAGCTCGTCTTCTGGGTGTTTTACAACGTCCAGGCATCGCTCAAACACGCAGGTTCGTGGAAATTACGGGAATTCACTTACTGTACGTACTGCACTAACCTTCGGAGTTTGACATTGCAGGTTATGAATATTCCTTTTACTTTGCCTGGCTTCATGGCCAACCCGACCACCCTAGGCACAATAAACCCGATTAGTGCGTTTATTAAAGCAGTATCCGTGATAACTTCAACAGTGAGGTCACAGTCTTTAGGAATAAAAAACTGTGACCTCACTGTTGAAGTTATCACGGATACTGCATATCCGTCTCTCGTCGTAATACTGGCAACCCCGCTTCCATGCCTATTAGCGACAGTCCTCGTCGACGTGGTGAAGCTGGACGATCCGTCTCTAGGCCTTCAAGGGAATACAACCTTCATCGTGCGGGAGTATGCCAGCTACTGGCTCATGAGCTTTCTAGGTGCTCAACAATTCCGAACCAGTGTACCGATTCTCCCGTACCCGATGAGGCTTGTGGTATTTAACACCTTTATTGTTGCGGCAATCAGTGTCGGCGTGCTGTATGGATTAGGCTTGATAATAGGCTTTCCAGTTCCATTCACGATCATCGTCGGGTGCACGGGGTGGGTCACCTCTCTCTCGGCTTCGCTGGTGCTTGTGTGGAGGAGGGAAATTCGAGAAAAACCCGAAGCGTGGCCGATGGTGATCAACGTCTTCAAGCAGTGGATGTGCCAGGTGACGCTGGTGATTGTCTACCCGCTGTATTTCTTCGTGTTCACGACGCTATCGCACGTCGGCCAGATCATTTTTGCGCTGCTTTTACCGATTATCAAGATTTTCGCTCGTAGTGCTCTCACGCGTACGATGGTGCACGCTCGAGACGACATGCCATAGGTTGTGATCTTTAACGCCGAGATTTTCAACGCGTTGTTCGTATCGTACTGCATGCAGAACTCTCCATCGATTTGGACGACGCTGGAGCTCATGGCCGTGGATGTGATTCAGATGATGTTGTCTCTGAGGAAGATGAAGATTGCCCACCACAAACTGGAGACACTATCACGCCAAGTCGAGCAAGAGAGCAGCTGGGAGACCCGCGTACTCTCGTCCAAGCGCAACGGCAAGACAGAATCGGTATCGACGCCGTTGGGACGAGCTCAGTTGCTGCTGAGTACTTCTCACGGTGGTGTAGTGGAAACTCAATCTGCTGCAGTTTCCCCCTTGGTGCGAATGACGAGCGTGCTAATTCAGCCTGCGGTAAAACGGGAGAATGAAAAGCCTAATGGATCAACGGAGCAAACTCGTAGCGGGTTTGGAGTTACGAACCGTTTGATGATCTGGTCGAGGCGGAATAGCGTGGCGCCAACACGTTCCTTACCGCAGCTTCCGATTACGATGCAGTACACGATGGAAGTCCGGCGTCTGCTATTACGTCGAAGTGATCATCCCGCTTGTCTTTTGTACGTCTTTTAAAGCATCCAACGATCGTTTGTGCTGCCCTCCTCTGTAGCCTACTAACTTATGTTTTTATTAATAATGGTAGCAATCTACTTGGCGATCATGTACCAGCTTCCGAATCGCAAGTATTACGCTCAATTGACCGATATAGACGAAGGCGAACTACTTCAAACGCTGCACAACGTCTTGCTGTACTGCGTGCTCCAGTTCATCTCGCTACTGGCAATGGTTATCATGCTTCACACTCAGCTCGGACTTGCACCCATCCATCAGCTCGCGTTTGTGTTGGAGAAACAATTCGCTGGGGCACAAATCAAGCTCATCTTCTGGGTGTTTTACAACGTCCAAGCCTCGCTTCAGCACTGTGGTAGGCATGCTCTCGTTCTACCTAGCTAGCTATTTGATATTCTTTCTGAGTTCCCGCCTCCCTAATGTGCAGGTTTCGATTACACGTTCGAGTTTGCGTGGCTGAATCAAGACACCAAATAGTATAATGTACTACTAGAAGTAGCAGATTTTTGCCGTAAAACGTTCTCCGCAGACTTATAATAATTGACTCTGCTTCTGTTACACAAGTTGGCGGGCTGAAGACGATAGTGTCGGTCTATCTTGAGCTCTCTTTTATAAGAGCTTCTTCCTCAGTCCAGAGACAATTTATCACCAAGACGCAGTGTTCGTTTTTGCCGTGTTCACTTGATCACGGTGACTGGCAACTAACTACCACAAGCCTTGGGGATGCCCAGTCCGCAGCAGAGGTTCATCAAGGCGTGGGAACGCACCCAGGTGGAGCTCCATGGCAGCTAAGCTACTCCACCGATCGAGTGCTGGCGCTGGCTCAGTACACTCGAGAGAAGAGCTGGGCCCACGTTATCATGGTCTTGCTGGTCACTCCGCTGCCGTGTCTGGTCATCACCGTGATCAGTGACGTGCTCCCTTTGAACGACCCGTCGGAAGGCGTCAAGGTCAACAAGATGTTCCAGGTGCGCCAGTACTACAGCTACGTGGTCATGACGTTCCTCGCGGTGCAGCAGTTCCGTACCAGCGTCCGAGCACTACCGTACCCAAACATACGCGCCGCTAGGAACACCGTCGTCGTGGCCGCTCTCATGGCTGCGGTCTTGTATGGGTTCGCGTCGTGGATCGGCTTCCCGACCCCGTTCTCGATCGTCGTAGTGATGCCCGTGTGGGTGGTTATTCTGTCGGTAGCCATGGCGATGGAGTGGCTTCGTCCTATTCAGCAGAACCCGGGGACGGGGATGATGGTGTTCAACACCATCAAGGTCTGGCTGTGCGAGGTGCTGCTCGTGGTCACCTACCCGCCGTACTACTACGTGTTCACGACGCTCTCAAGGACGGGGCAAATGTTCTTCGCCTCGCTGTTGCCAGTGATCAAGTTGATCATGCGCAACATCTTCACTCTGACGGTCGTGCACTTAAGTGACGAGATGCCGGAGGTGGTCGTGTTCAACTCGGAGGTCTTCAACGCGCTATTCGTGTCGTATTGTATGCAGAATTCCCCGTCATTCGGCACTACGCTGATGGTGACGGCGGCGCTTTTGACGCAGTTAGCCATGTCACTTAGAGACGTGAACGAGGCAGTGCATCGCATGGATAAAATCGGCCGAAAGCTGATTCACGAAGAGATTTACAGTAATCCGGACCAAGGGGTCCCCAAGTCGCGCACGGGCATCCACGTTGCTACGTGCTTAGAGCGAGCGGAGATGATGTTGCTGGATCAACGAGAGGCGATGCAGGTGTATGGAGCCAAGTCGAACAGCGGACCGTCAACACCGCAGAATGTCCAGGGGGCTGACCCAGACTTTAACTTTGAAGCTCGAGGTGGAGCACGGATCCATCCAGCACCTGAGCGCCAAGCGACAACGAGGGATAGTGGTGACACAAAGGAGATCACTGCGACGTCGCTTCAGTACGTGCTAGAGGTGCGACGACTGCTCTACCTGACGGAGTTCCTCGTGCTGATCAACTACGTCGGCGTCTTCATCCCCCTCATATTCTGTAAGTGCCGTACCTACAGTAGCCCAACGTGTTTGAACTTTTTACTAAAGATTTTTACGGGTATTTTGTTGTTGTTGTTTATACTAGCGATCTACATGGGCGCGATGTACAAGTTGCCCAACCGACTGTACTACGCTCAGTTGGCGGATTTGACTGTGGAAGACCTCACCCAGGCGCTGCAGAACGTCATGTTCAACTGCTCACTCAAGCTCATCTCCCTTCTTCTGCTGTGCGGTGTACTGCAGTACCGACTTCATCCGCCAACTAGCGTTTGTATTGGAGAAGCAGTGGCCCGGCGTGCACACCATAATCTGCTTCTGGGTGTTCTATAACGTACAAGCGTCACTGGAGCACCACGGTACAAACAGCCCGTCTTATATTTTACGCTACGATTGACCATCTAACTTTCATGGTTGGTTCTAGGCTTCGACTACACGTTCAAGTTTGCGTGGCTGAACGAGGATTCGACGTCCATGGCCAGTAACTCAACCAGCACGTAGGATTCAAGAGCCATCCAGTTATATGGTGTGTGAGGTAAACCCTGGGATGATGCAAGGGTTTTCGATACACCTGATCGCACCAGCAACTATCGTACTATACTACCTCACCTCCAGCGTTCACCAGAGTTTGTCATTCTCCAATCTTCCCCACCGAGCGCAAGTACCACCACCAACCGACCCAACAATGACCAAGTTCGCTTTCTTCGCAGCCATCCTTGTCGTCATCGCCACCGTGCAGCTGGCCCAGGCTGAAGAGGCCCCGCAGGACTTCGCACCATTCGACCCTGCCGAGGATGGAAGTGGCTTCGTGAACACGACGCTGGAGGAGCGCTGCTGCCTGTAAGAAGGCCCAAGCCTCTCCTGAAATTTGAGGGCAGTAGTGGCTACCAGACTTCACTTTCTCTCATGAAACCATTTCACCTATGACCTCTAAACAAATTAAAAGAACTACAAACTTCTGGTCAACGACGTCGAGCTTAGAGCAGGCCATCAACTGTTTCTCTACTGTTTCTTATGTTGGTTAAGGATATTATGGAAGTGTACGGTGGGGTGGGGTGCATCGTGGCTTGTTCCATTCATGTTCGAAATAGCGAGACCTCCAAAGTTATGCGAGCGCTGAGGTCCTCCGTGCTGGTCTTTGCTACTGAGACAACACGCCCGACATTGTTATCGATATCCTCGGAGCAATGGAAACCTTCAGCCTCGCTTGTGGCAGGGCATCAGACCGTCCTGATAAGTCCAATTTGAGGATGAAGAATATACTGCAACATCCCGTCACACCCACGACATCTGCACGACCTCATCACCTCACTACCAACTCGTTCGTCTGATCAGCTCATTAGACACCTTTTGCTCACGTATTTTACGGATTCTGCTGCCTCTCTGAGTTTCGTAAATTGTAAAATTGCCAACGACACTTTTTGCCCACGTATATTCAATTAAGTACGAATATCAATCTTCGACAGGGAATCGAGGCCAGCTAAGTACCACACGGACTTTACAGCTCTAGTTGATGGCCCCTGGCGCTAGGATAAAGGGTTTACACTATAGCTGGAGTCGTCCGAGGTGACGAGAGGAAGTCGGGTTGGTGCTGCTCTCGTCCTGAGTGCTCCCAGCGTTTTCCCGCAAAACCTCAAACACATAAAAGTAAAAACCTTCAGTATTGACACCGGGGAGCCTCGAACTACGTGTACATCGGGCAGATGAAGAAACTCTCGTGGATACTCCAGCGTTGACACTCGGTCCAGGGCCAGCTCCTTCCACCCGAAATGGGTCTTTCGTCACGCGTTCTAAGACGGTGACGGTCTTGAACCCCATCGTCTACACACAAGCGCCTTATATCGAACATAACGTTTCCACCGTGTTTCCGATTGATTTCAGCTAAGCTGAACATGTTCGTAGATTCAGACGATTTTCATCCGTTCATCATGCAGCCACTCGGAAATGTAAAAGCTGAAATCTGCTCTCCTTGAAAAATACTTCTCTAGCTACGCCTTACGGCGTACTTGAAAGATCGATTAGACAACCGGTACCGCATGCAGTTTGCTTGAAGGGCTTTTGGTGTTAACGTAGACTTATACTACTTAGAGCAGCAAACAACGGACGCGTTGGCAATATATACATATCGTTGGTAAATTGTCAAAAGCTCGAACATGTTTGCAGAGTACACTATTCTGCAGCATGTACGTCATGCGTTTGTACTACTCATGCAAGATTCACAAGCGGATCAGCTTTATCGCGCTTGACGAACAGCCCATCCAGCACAAGATCACCAAGTGCGTTGAAGGATGCGATTAATGGGATACACAGAAGCCTGTTCAGAGCCAAACTGTTGGTTATGAGGCCTACAACGAGTTTTTGACCGCCTTGCGGTCAGATATGGAACTATATAATAACTGTGTGCGGTAGAAAAAATATGTTTGGCCCAACTGACCGGAACACGTCAATTTTCATCAACTATGATCAAGGACAAGTGAGCATAATACTCCTCGTTCGGCTTTACCTCGATACAAGCACAGCGGCGCTGCCGAGATCGTGCGGCTACGACGCGTTGATGCGCATGCCGTCTTATTTGTACAACTCCACGGCAGCTACTCCACCGACCGGGTGCTCGAACTAGCGCAGTACACTCGAGAGAAGAGCTGGGTCCACATCGCCATGGTCCTACTGATCACCCCACTACCCTGTCTAACCATCACAGTGCTCAGCGACGTGCTGCCTCTCGATGAACCGTCCGAAGGCCTCAAGGCTAACAAGATGTTCCAAGTTCAACAGTTCTACAGCTACGTCGTCATGAGCTTCCTGTGCGCGCAGCAGTTCCGCACCAGCGTCCGAGCGCTCCCATACCCGAACCGGAACGTGATCAGAGACACCGCCATCGTTGCAGCTCCCATGGCTGCGGTCTTGTACGGATTCGCCTCGTGGTTCGGCTTCCCGACCCCATTCTCCATCGTCATCGCGATGCCCGTCTGGGTCGTGATCATCACTGTGGCCATGGCGATCGAGTGGCTCCGACCTATTCAGCAGAACCCGGGGACGGGCACGATGGTGATCAACACCATCAAGGTCTGGCTGTGTGAGGTGCTGCTTGTAGTCACCTACCCTCCGTACTACTACGTGTTCACGACGCTCTCAAGGACGGGGCAACATACATCGACCGAGGTACTGCCGTTTTTACTGTACGTACTTGGTTTGCCTGAACTTGTCATTCGCCAATCTTCCTCGCCAAGAAACAAGCACCAGCACCAACCGACTCAACAATGGCCAAGCTTGTTCTCTTCGCTGCCATCCTTCTCATGGTCGGAGTCGTCCAATTGGCTCAAGCTGAGGAGGTACCCAAGATTTCGCTCCCTTGGACTCCGCTGACGGCAGTGGATTCGTCAACACAACGCTGGAGGAGCGCTGCTGCCTCTGAGAGCGTCCTGGTGGAACCCAGAAACCAGAACCGATAGTGGGTCCATCGAACGCCGTTGAGAGGAGAAGGTCGTAGTAACTATAACTACCCCGCACCTTTTTTCCTAATCTGGGCATCCTCCACTCGCTTTTGGACGTGGCTGTCCTGTTCCTATCCTTTCCATCACCACGAAGCTCGCCATGACTTCAGCAAGTTGGTACCAGCGGCTTGTTTCGCTTTGGGAGGCCACACAAGTCGAGCTGCATGGGACCTACTCTGCCGATCGACTGCTTTGCCTCGCGACATCTACAAGAGAGACCAGTTGGCTTCGTGTGCTGGCCATTGTGCTGCTGACACCAGTGCCCTGCCTGCTTTTGACAGTTATTATCGACATTCTACCACTTTCAAACCCGGTGGAAGGACTGCACGCCAACTACGTCTTTGTATTTCGAGAATTTTACACGTACCTGATGTTCACGTTTCTGGCTAAAAACCAGTTCCGATATACTATACGGTAACGGTTCTGCCTTACCCTCTCGCGAGAACGTTTGGTAACACGGCGGTGGTATCGATCTTTAGCGTCGGTATCTTCCTTAGGTTCTCCTCAGTTATTGGGTTCCCACTGCCGTTCACAATGATAACGCTGACCCCATTGTGGGTAACACTGATCGCCATCACGCTCGCTATTGTGGAAGAGAACAATACGAGAAATCCCGGGGTCGAGCGTGATGGTGGTTAACGCCATTAAGTTGTGGATGGTCCAGGTCCTAATGGTTTTCATCTATCCGCCGTATTTTTACGCGTACACGACGATGTCCAAGAGTGCTCAGACATGGTTCGCAATGTTGCTTCCGGTTATCAAGGTGGCTATGCGGAATATCTACTTTCGCACTGTCGTTCACATCAGCGACGAGTTGCGGGAGGTGATCAATTTCAACATTGAGATTTTCAACGCGCTATTCATTTCGTACTGCAAGCAAAACTCGCCGTCAATTTGGTGCAATTGGTTCTATCATTACGAGATGTACACGAAGCTGTGCGAAGAATTGATTTGAAAGGCCGTCAACTTCAGGAAGAGAGTGGAAATGTGGTCAATTCTCGCATATTTGCTCCACGCGCCAATCCTGCGAGCATCCGCACGGATTTAGGGCGTGCCGAGACAGTTTTACTCGAAATAAAGAGAGTTCTGCAACGAGAACGACAACCGAGTAGTGGCAATTTCCAGCGGTTTAAGACTTTCAGCAGGTTACAGCAAATAGCGCCCCAGGTGACGGTGGTGAAGCCCTACGCGCAAAGCAGCGGTGGACCCCAACTTACAAGACAGTTCTTGGACGAAAATCGAGTACATCCTACTCCAGAAAAGCCACACGAGTTACGTGGTGCGCACCGTGAAATATCGGCCGCGTCACTGGTGTATGTTCTGGAAGTGCGACGACTATTATTTCTTACGGAGTTTATCATTCTCCTGAACTACGTCGGCGTCTTCATTCCTCTCGTTTTCTGGTCAAGGCGCCAAACATATTTGCTGTTATAGTTGACACTAACTCTCTCCTATTGACCAGCCATTTACCTCCTAGCTATGTTCAATTTGCCCAATCACTTCTACTACACGCAGCTACTTGACGTGGCTCTACCAAGCGCTGCAGAAAGTGATGTTCAATTGCTCAATGAAGCTACTGGCTCTACTACTACTATGCGTTGTGCTGCAGTACAAGCTTCGGTTTTCGGCGATTCACCAACTGGCGTTCGTCTTGGAGAAGCAGTGGGTAAGCGTACAAACGAAGACCGTCTTCTGGTTTTTTTTACAATGTTCAAGCTTCATTACTGCATCAAGGTAGCTGTCGTGTTTTTACCTGCACTGAGCGTCCGCCCGAAAACTTCACGAACTCACACTTTGTATTCCCGTAGGTTACGACTGCACGTTCCAGTTTCCATGGTTATACAGCGGCCCATCGATTGCTCCAAACACCGCTGACTCAACACACACCTAAGAGGCATCGGGCAACAACTTCCATGTTGTCGAAGAACTGGGATAAGAAAACACAAACCATGTAATGCCAATGTTATCGTCTTCAGATAATTATGGCGTCTATTTTTTTTAGACTGGAGGCAGCCTGGGTCTACCCCGGTCTGCCAATAGCTCCTCTGTCGTGTAACGGATAGCCGTCGTCGGGGATGAGTTCGTGACAATGAAGATAAGAGCATCCCATTGAGTTCCCTTTATAGCATTGCTGCGTTTCCAATTTTGACAAACTTCCGTGCCCTTGACTCATACTTCGTAGTAGGAATCTATCAAACGCCATTCTGCCAATACTGGGATATCGTTCGTGTACGATGCCTTTCGTGATACATGCACCTCGCTTACACCAACGCCTGATCAAGATGTGGGAGTCCACCCAGGTGGAATTGAATGGGAGCTACTCGTCCGAACGCGTTAGTGACCTCGCCCAGTACTCTCGAGAGACCAGTTGGTTCCACGTCCTCGCTGTCATCTTCCTGACACCGCTGCCGTGTCTACTAGTGACCGTCGTGATCGACGCTTTGCCTCTTGCAGACCCATCCGAGGGAGTCTACGCCAACGTCGTCTTCTGGGTCCGTGAATACTACACGTTTCTAGTCATCACCTTCCTGGCCACGGAGCAGTTCCGCTACAGCGTCCCCATCCTTCCGTACCCGCTCAAGCGCGCGATCGTAAGCACCGCAGTCGCGGCAGCTCTCAGTGTCGGATTAATGTTCGGCCTCACTGTGCTCATCGGCTTCCCGCTACCGTTCTCAATTCTGTTCGTGACGCCCCCGTGGCTTTCGTTTATCGCTTTCTTCTTAGTTATTGAATGGGCGAAAAAGATTCGAGAGACGCCAGGTTCAGCGTCAATGCTGATCAACGTCATCAAGCTGTGGATGTGCCAGGTTTTGATGGTGTTTATCTACCCTCCGTACTACTTCATCTTTACGACGTTGTCTCCCAGTGGCCAGACTGCGTTCTCGATGCTATTGCCAGTGATCAAGCTGGTCATGCGCAACATCTTCGTGCGGACCGTTGTTCATTTGAGCGACGAGCTGCCCGAAGTCATCACGTTCAACATCGAGATCTACAACGCGCTCTTCATCTCGTACTGCATGCAGGACTCTCCGTCTTTTGGAACGACTTTGATGGTGACTGCAGCGCTACTGGTGCAGTTGGCGATGAGCTTGAGAGACGTTCACGATGCTACTCACCGGATGGAGTACGTGGCCAGACAGCTCAGTGAAGAGCGCCAGTATGGAGACCCGCGCTACTTGATCTTGAAGTCAAGTACTGGCGCCCGTAAATTGAGCGCTTTGCAGCACGCAGACACGCTTTTAGGCGGCGAAGCCACTCGACAAGGGCTCAAACCAATGAGCAGCATACGAGTTCGGTCAGCGAGTAATCTTCAGCAAGATGGGAACGTTTTAGCTGAAACGAGCAGCCAAAGTTTGATTCCAGGGGACGATCGAGCGTTCAAGTTTGAATCGCGTGGCACTCTACAGTTTCAACCACCTGGAGCTCGGATTCTACCCGCTCCGGAGCCCGTTAAATCGGCGCGTATCAAGCCAAAACCACATTCGAGCAGCGTCGAGTGCAGTCGCTACAGGACGAAGACTGCGAACTCCTGGTGCACTGCTCCGGTACCTATTTGGTGTAGATATCATCAACAATTCTTACTGTCTGAATAACTGGTGGGGTGTACTCTGCAGGTTTGGCGGCCAAGCACTTGGCTGGAGACGATTCGGTCTTCCCAATCCGCGGCCAGATCATCAACGTGCACAACCCGAAGCTGAACCAGCTGAAAGTGAGTCTCGACAAGGATGGAGAGCACGCATACATTATCCCTCGGCCCAACGGCGACGTTGTCCTTGGTGGCACAGTGCAAGAGCACAACTGGAACACTGAGAACGACGAGCAGGACGTCGAAGGAGTGTGGGAGCGCTCCTGCCGTCTGTGGCCTGAGGTTCGCAACAGCAAGGTGATCGCCAAGATGGCGGGGCTTGTAGGAAGTACTTGGAGCATGCATGTCAGTGGCTTTACCAATCGGCGGTCGCCCCTACGAAGCTTCTCGAATCTCCTAAGGATCTGTCGTGGGTACGACTCTGGTGTCGTAACCGTGTACCCCCACCATGGGGTTATACCTACGTGCCTGCAGCACTTCCAACAGGGCTTCGTCCAGGACGCGCTGGAGGCGTGCGCCTCGAGATGGAACCAGCTCCCACCCGTCGTGGCGCTGTGCTTGTCCACAACTACGGGCACGGTGGATCAGGCCACACGCTGCACTGGGGCTGCGCCCAAGAGGTGGTCGAGCTGGCCAAGCAGCGATTCCCCGATGAACCAGCCAGCAAGCTCTAGTCTTCGTCTGAATCCGTGTCTGATCCCAAGCGGACAATGAAGAAAAGCAGGTCAATAATACATTGGTACCTGCGCACGAGTCGCCTCCTAGTTCGTCGTCCAATAAACTTCATAAACCTTGGGGGTTAGTCCTAATTTTCCCTAACGATGCAGTCTGCCACCACCCTACTCGAACTTCTTCAGGTCGGCGTGGCTCCACTCCTTGAGTCCCTCCGCCCCACTCTCGTAGTCCGCCACTATGCCCTTCGCCACCGCCTTCACCGTGATCTGGTACGACTGCGACAACACGAGCACAAACTGTTAGACAACTACCCCCACGTAAACGTCAGCTGCGTAGAATACACCACCCACCCCCGGGATCATCCAGCCGAACATCTTCTCGTTGCCTCGCAGCAGGTCTCCGCGCTGCAGCATGCCCGGGCGGAAGATGGAGGTGCGCGCGAACTGAAGTTGCTGCACCTTGTCCTCCACCTCGCCCTTGGTCTGCGGGTACAGGAACCAGCTGTTCTTGTTGGCGCCCTGCGACGTCAGCAGCCCCATGTACGGCACTTCGGCAGCCTTGGACAGCTCGGCAAACTTCGTCACGTACTCGAGATCAACTGCAACAACACGCCAGCACCATTAGCGCAAGTTAAGCTCATATCTCGGGCTATAGAGCGGCTCTACCTTTTCGGAAGGCCTCGGCCGAGCCTGCGTCCTTGCGCGTCGTTCCCAGGCACGAGAAGGCGGCGTCCACCTTGTCGTTGGCTGAGATATCGGCGTCCGAGAGGCTGTCGAAGTCCACGCGCCGCACCTCCAGCTTGCCCTTGGCCGCCTCCGCGTCCAGCGACGGGAACGTGGAGCTCCAGGCCGCCTCGGGCACCTCGCGGCGCGCCAGAGCAATGACCTTGGAGCACTTGGCAGAGGCCACGAGCTCCGCCACGACGTCGCGGCCCACGGCGCCGGTCGAGCCGATCACGAGCGCAACGTAAGAGGGCATTGACACACTTTGAGAGAGATCGCTAAATGAGCTCTTCGTTCCCGACTTAAGGTGTCTGTGACATGTGAAAATAGCGTTTATCGCTGTCGCAGAAATGATGATCTGGATGTTGGGTTTTGTATGATTGGTGAATAGTTATGGGGATCGATTAGCCGGGATAACATGAGCTAAACATCGAGCGCTACAGAATCAAGCGGCATGGGTGTTGCAGCTTCATGTTGCAGCTTCGTGTAAGGCAGAACTAAAGTGTAGTGTAAGCAGGGGCTAATGTTAACTCGGAAATGGGTAATATTGATATTGATATAATACCAAGCACCTTCGGTTTTGATATGTAACATATTATATGATATTTTGATACCTCGGGAAAAGTAATATTAATAATAATATTGCTATATTATATGATACATTAAGATCTCATTGGGGACGAAGTCCCCACTTATAATCATCTATCACTCCTCTTTACTCTATTTCTTACCTCTCTTTACTTACCTCTCTTAATCTGAGACATGAACGGTTAGGGTTTACATCTAAAATCACTTCCCCGGGGCCAAAAATTGCGCAAAAAACCTCGGTTGAACAACCCTCTCTTGATCCATAGACACGCTTAACTGCGTAAGAACTGGAGTGACCCCTTCTGAGAAGGGGTCGATGCCATTAAAGTGGGGGGACACGATTTAGCCTCGACGATAAACGCTAATTAAACAGGCATCGGGAAGCGAATCGCGGGTTTAGATAAATTGCTACACTTTAGATAGCACCGAGCGCAAAAAAATCGCCACCAAGTCCTCGGCTTCACTCTGATTTAGAGCGCCAAGTCAGCGCTTGTATCCATTACTACGAGTGAGTTAGTGCTGGGAAGGGTAGAATTAGTGCACTTCAACTTGCCTGCATGGATACGTGCTACGCAAAGCTCACCATGTCCAACACTCTGTGAAGCTACAGCCTGTTGCCTACAGATAGCTCCTGGCAGTGAGGCAGGTGGTCTCCTTACACCTTGGGGGCCCGCACCCCACACTACGGAACTAGCTCCAAGCCGCAACGACGGGTTCGTTCGCTGCCCTGCTGGTTGCTGGGCCCTCCTACGCGGACATGCTTCACGGGCACCCCGCGCGGGTTTGCTTTAGCTGTGCTCCTCGCAACCACTTGCTGCCGATAGAATAGAGAATCTTGCGATAGTGTAACAATTTTTAAATTGTGTTATTAATACCGGTAAGTGATATGGTATAAGTGATATGGTATGTAGCACTAGAGAGGAAGTACGGCGGGCATCGGGAGCCGAGATGCTGTATTGAGTACGCTGGAAACCGAAACTGAATATTATAGCTTTTAACAACAATTATCCCTTGCTACATGTATTTTGCTTTGGGCTGTCGGCTACCACTAATTGATCTTGAACCGCTGGTGCTGCAGCTCACCCTTGCGGTTAACCGTGATCTAGGGTTTCGCGAGATATAGTCCAGCATCATTAGTGCTCTCTTGCTGCTGGTGTGTAATTGCCGTTGATTATCTTGACCTCGCGATAGATAGTAACGATATTTGCTGATAATGAAGACTTCATCATGCAGCTCCACCAGTGTTGCTAATTGCTTATTGGTTTGATGGCCTGCACGGGTTAAACTGAGACTCTAAATTGCAACGGTCGCGAACACGTCCTTAGCCCTAAGTTTGCTTCACTACACTACAAAAAATAGTAATGGTGATTGATAAGATCGATTAGAGGGTGGGGACGTCGGCCTGAAGTGGAGACTCCACTGCAGGGTGTCGACCCCCGAAGCAACTCAACGGAGCAACGCGACTGAGATGCTCCATTACTAGTTAAGTACGAAATGATTACGTATATCTAGTCTTTTTGGCCAATCGATAGCTAGCTTGAGGCAGGAGTTTAAAAACACGAATAAGTATATAATAGTAAGAAGCCAATGGCTTCTTACTATGGCTTCAAGCCATTGCAACCTACTTTTGTTGTGAAAATATTACAGAAATCGAGCTGAATTGTAATAGAATGCGATATACTAAAAACAAAAATTTCGAACCCTAGTGAGGTTTGTAAGATCTGAATTACAGGTGCATGGAATCTAAGGCATGCTTTGGTAAGCGTAGGATATGCTGTACGATGATGGGTAACCGAAATAAACTATTCACACGAGCTAAACACTTTTGTTCTTCTCCCCTTTATGCTCAACTCTTTTTTAACTCTACACTTGAGTTGTGGCTACATTAGTGAGGGGAAATAAGAAAATAACCCAATTATTAATTGGGGAAGGTTGGAGAGTCCAATCAATATCATATTGTATTTTGCTTAGCCCGACTCGGGCTACCTTTCAAGACCGGCTACATGACCTGTAAGGGTGCACATGGACACCATGCAAGACAAGTTTATCACTACAAACTCACTTTGTAAGCAGCTCTCAAACCCGCACAACGTTCGCCACAGATCCCAAGTCTACTCCCAGCTTGGCACCATGCGTCTTCGCTACTTCCTTCTCGTCACGACGGCCACTCTTCTCGCAACTGTCTACGCCTCTCCAAAAACCTCCAGTGTCATGTCACCCGAAACCAACGCCACAGACGACTCGTATACTCTGAAGCTCCATACAGCTGCCACCAAAGATTCGAGTATTCGCGGTGGAAAATTCGCACTGTCAAGTACCCAAGATGACGATTCAGACGACAAAGAGAAGCGTGCGGCCTGCTGGGACAGTCTTGACGCTTGCCAAAGCGGATTCGACGAAGAAGTCGTCGTGGCTGAACGCTCTACTGGTAAGGCTTGCCAAGAAGACATCCTGGGGCCTAAAATCGCCACCCCAAGGAAAAGGCAACTATCGCCACCACATACCGAAGGTGAGGTTTGAGTAAACGAATTGCCATGGGCCATGATTGGGCAGGTAGTTAAAGCAATGAAAGAAAACCCACGAAGTACGCGTTGTCATATAGCCCCTTGGCCAATACGAAGTACTTAAGTATCAGTTGTGCAATTCGCATGCCCAGTGAAAAAATATCCCCGCCGTGAGCTGCCATAGTTGTAGCAAGTCAGAGCTAACTTCCTATCGTAGTACATGTAGTAGCTTCAGCTTGTCTGGAGAGTCCTAAAGCTCGGCTTGTTTGTCACTCGCGACCGGAACAGGTTCGTGTTGCTTCAAGTCAGCATTGCTCCACTCCTTCAGCCCCTCGCTTCCACTTTCATAGTCCACCAGTATTCCCTTTGCAATAGCACGAGTTGTCACCTGAAAACAGAAGACAAATCAAATCAATATACTCCGTCGCTGTAGAAAGCAACCACAAAAACAAAGAACTCACACTGGGTAGGAGGTAGCCAGCGATCGACTCTACGGTACGCGCCAGTTCACCACGGTTAATCAGCCCCGGTCGGAAAATCGACGTGCGCTCGAACTCCAGCTTCTTTATGTTCTCCTCCACTTCTCCCTTAGTCTGTGGGTACAGAAACCAACTGTCTTTATTGGCATTCTGCAACATCTCACACCACCATTGTCAGTATCAACCCTCCCCCCACTTTCGACACAATTCATCACAATATCTTACACTGGCCGTCAGTAGACCGAAATACGGCACTCCTGCGTCCTTCGCCAGCTGCGCGAACTTCGTCACATACTCCAAATCGACTGAACAACGTAAAAGAAAGAAATAAAAATAAATAAATAAAAAATAGTTCCCGCTTTTTGACAACCAAGTCCAAAATTTCCCCCACCTTTGCGGAAGGCTTCGGCCGAGCCCGCATCTTTGCGGGTCGTGCCCAGACACGAGAACGCAGCGTCGACACTGCCCGCGACTTTCTTCCAATCGCGATGCAACTCCTCGAAATCCACCGGAACAATTTCAAGTTTCGTTTGGGCAGCAGCGACGTCCATGGAGGGGAACGCTTGCCCCCACTGCGTCTCGGGGATCTCCCGACGCGTGAGGGCGACGACGCGACTGCATAAGGGGGATTGCACCAGCTCAGCCACCAGATCGCGCCCTACAGCGCCCGTGGCGCCCTGTACCAACGCGACGTATCCCATTGTCGATGATGAGCTTTCGAGAAAATGAAAATGACACGCAAAATCAGCGACAAGAAATGCTTATGTTGCGGGAAATTCATGTCGACCTTATGTTGCATTAGGAACTTATTGTGCTTTAGAGTAAAATTTGCTCAAATTTTGTCGGAAGTCTGGGACTTTGATGTGCGTTCCTCTTTATATAGACTTGACGACTATTTTTGCTTGCATGCACGCTCTTGTGGCTAGCGCGCTCGACATTTCCATCTTGGCGCAGAAGCGCTCAGGCCGGGGCGAGTCAAAACTCAGCAAGGATGGCGGACGACGATCAAAACAGTGTCCGGGAAGCCGAACTCGCGAATGAAAGCGAAACTCCGCACTTCGACGCGTTGTTTGCTCAGTACGATACAGGAAAATGGTACGCAAGCTTCGTATTTTACTTCATAATTTCCATCAGCGTTTTCATACTTACGCGATGATATCTGCTTAGCGTATTCGGCACGGAGCATCTAGGCAGCCTTCTCATCGACATGGGCTTCAACGCGTCCCCAAAGGTCCTCGACCGAGCGCTCGACGACATGGACCCGAACGCGACGGGGGAAATCGCCAAGCTGACGTTTCTCGAGTGGTTCGAAGAAAACGCTGACGACATCGACGACGCTCCCCCCGCGGCGCCAGCGCAGACGTCGCTCCCCATTTCACCGCGCTCGCAGCAGCAGGACGAAGCGTACTCCGAGCTGCAAAGTGCCATGCTGGATGCAAAGAATCAGCGCAGACAAGCGGAGGTTGACGCCCAACTGCTGGCCAACCGCTTGGCGCATCTTCGGGCGGAGGACGATCGAGCGCAAAAGCGCATCGAAGAAGCCAAGCGCCGAGCGCGAGAGATCGAAGCCATCAAGAAGCGCAACGAGAATCGACAGCGCGCCAAGCAGGAGGCCATGGAGCAGATGCAACGAGACATCAGGACCGCCTGCGAGTACAACAACATGATGCAGTCTTCCTCGCGAGAGCGCCGCAACCAGCTGATCGCTGAGTACACTTCGCAGCGTGTCCAGATTGTCCAGGAGACACGCGCCGAGAGGAAGACGCACCTCGACCAAATCCGTCGCCAGCGGGAGATGGATCGGTCGTGGCTGGCCGAACGCTCCCAGGAGATCCGAGACAATGAAAAACGCGCGGTGCGGCAGCGGCAGATTGCGCAGAAGAACTACGAGAAGGAATTGCTGAAGAAAGCTCGCGATAATCTGGCGCGCGAGCACGAGAAGCGGTTGCTGTCCGAGAAGAAGATCCACAGGATGGAGGCGGAGGAGGCCGAGTTGATCGCCAAGTTGCGTGTGACGCAGGAGCTCCAGCGCGCAGCTTATGAGGAGCTCGAGTTTGTCATGCAAGACGAGTGACCACGAAAGTTCCTCACGGGAGCGCTCAAATGGGTAAACATTGAACAATAATAAAAAATAATCACGAAGCAACGATGAAGCTTGGGTTTATCGTGGTGGAACTCGCACAATTACTTTAGAAAGTGTTACTACATGCAATTTTTTACTTTAGCGTCGCAGCGCTTCTGGCTCCTGCTCTATTAGCCGCAGTCATTGTTGGCAAACTGTGCCTGCGATACATATTGAATCGAAGTTCCATTCACCGTTTAATCGTTCACTGCTTATCGCTCTTTGCAAGCAAGTCAGTTGTTGTTGGGGATCATTAAAAACTTGCGTCGATACTTGAAGGTTCGGCCAACATCTCCTTCATTATGGAGTCCATATGCGTATCAGAACGTTCTCGGACAAAGTCAATAGTGAAAGCAGGTATGTAAGACTCAAAAGGTAGACTCTCATTATTTTATTTGTTGTGTGCACTTCAAGATAAACGCGGGTTTCCTAGCACGAAATACCACACGTGGATCCCACGATAAAAATTGCGTAGTTGCGCTGTCATTCGGTCATGTGGTTGGCTCGTTCTACCCACTTGTAGCGCGGGACCCTCCAATACAATACATTGCGATATTTCTTGGCTATCCGGTTGAGAATTGTAGTAGTGGCCCACTGATTACTTGGTACATATACTCAGTATTGCGGTGCCACTGGTAGCAGTGATGGCCAAAAATGTATTGCAGATATTGGCATTTACCAATACTTATTGCAATGCCATACTGCAAGCTTGCAAGCTATTGCAATACATATTGCGGCAAGGCTGTCAATGTCAAGATAATAATGTTCTCAAAACCCAGTTCCGACGGCATATGTGCTATCGGCGACCTCTACGACGACAGAGTAGTATGGTTATAGTATTGCAGTAATTATTGCAAGAACGACCAGTATTGCAGTTATTATTGCTGGTGCCTTGGTACTGCAATTCATATTGCTACAGATCGCTTTACCTCCAATGCCTTCCCGTACATTTTTGGCCATCACTGACTACTGTAGTAGTGACACCGTAGTACTGAATAGATGTACCAAATAATCTTCTCAGCGAATGTATAATGCAACACTTTCCAACATTCTCGATGTGGAACAAAAATGACATGTTGTAGTTCTTGGAATAAAGGTGCAGTGGTAGGCTAAAGAGAAAATCTAAGAATGAGCTACGCTAGATCTGGACAAATTGTCCCTGCGAGGTCTCAACGCTCAGGAAATCATCCAAATAACAAGTACAAGGAACTTACACTTGATCGGTGCATATCTTCGATGATCCCCGCATCGTAATACTGAAGGTAATCCATGCCTTCAATCACAGCACGTGTCTTCTAATTAAATAATGTCCTAAGTAAGAGCCACCACTCTGGCTGGTGTGCTACTCTTATCCATGGTACAGAAGTCTCCGTGGGACTTTGACAGTGCGTGGATTTCGTTTCATTCTGCGATTCGCTCCCCAACGCACAGCAACAAGCAGTACAAGCTCAACCGCCGCCAAGAAAAACATTTTACCATGCGTCTGGCCAGCATCGTACTCGCAGTCGTGGCTACATGTAGCTTGTTCGTAAGCTCCGATGCCAGCGATTCTGCACATGTGGTCACGAAAATCTTCACGATCACGTCTGGCAAAACCGACAACACGTTTGAGGGAGCGTACGTCCGGAGCGGCGGCAAGTCGTTTACGATCCCGAATCTTCGAGTGGCCAAGAAGAGAGAGGTCTGGGTGACACCTTTACGAAGATCGCGGACAAGGTCGCCAAGAAGATTGTGCCGTCGGCCGTCAAGAAAAACCTCCCGACACCCCCTCGAATCCCGGCACGCCTTCGTCCTTTCAGGGTGGACGGGTAAGCCCAATTGGCATCGTGTTGACGGCAACCTATAGAAAAGCAAGGCGCTCGGCCGATTGAAAATGCACTCATTGAAGTATTGCCGACTAATCCCCGCATGCGGCACGATCACTGATGGTTGTTTCGACGCTGCGATGGCTTACGCGGTAGTTACCGCACACTTGAAGCCCATGTCTACAGCTTACTGACATTTTTGATGGGAAAATGCTGCGCGGCGAGGGTAACCACATCCTGTGCGCACCCCCAGTGAAGCGTGTGGCCCGACCCGCCGTGTGCGTAGTTGTGAATGACGAGAGCTCCACGTCTCGTTGGACGGGCCTCCGCCTCCAGGCGCACGCCACCAGTACGTCCAGGACGCAAGCCGGCCACGGGACCGATAACGTTGCTGTTGCGCACCTCTGGCCACAGCTTGCAGCAGCGTTCCCACACGCCCTCCACATCTACGTCATCGTTTTCTGTGCTCCAGTTGTGAGGCTGCACTGTTCCACCCAGGACAACGTCACCGCGCGGTCGAGGGATGATGTACGTATGGTGTCCGTCCCGATGAATGACAGCTGCGTACTTGTCCAGCTTGGGGTTGTGAACCTGTCGTTTAGATAAAAAGAAACATCAGTACACGCAGTGTAGATTCCAAAACCAAAACAGGCAGCAGCCTACCTTGATGACCTGGCCACGAATCGGGTAAACTGTGTCATCTTTAGCTAGCTCTTTCGCCGCAAGCCCTGGAAAACAGATAAAACTTCAATTAGTAAAAACAACAGCTAGCTTCAGGACATGACATTCGGCCGAATCGCACCGGAGCAGTTCACCAGCAGGTCACAGTTCTCCTCGTCGAAGTCAGTCACACGGCGTTGCTCGAACGTGCCTCCGAGCTGGCGAACCTGCTTCTGGAGCCACGTCATGAACACGCTGAAACCACACCAAACATTCAATCCAGAGATCGTAAGAACGACAGCAACTAGAACATCCGACGCACATAATAAAATGACCGCAAGTATCGATACCCTGTGTTGTAGATGATCGTTCCGAACGCGAATCCGTGCACCGCATCCGGTGACACTTGCTCCGCCTCCTCTCGACTCAACAGTCGAAAGTTCTTCACACAGTGAGCCCAGTATGGGTGCACCTGGTAAAAGAAACAAAAACGTTACTAAATAATAATTGTGAAGAAATGTGGCTACGCTAGTGTCCAGACTCACCACCAACGGGGGTCCTTCACTGGACACCTCCACGCCATCCACTACATGAATCCCCGCTTCCTCTCCGTCTTTCTCCATCACGTGGGCCAGCCACTCGTAGCTCACCTCGCACCACTTTCTGCATCATATTACTACCAAATTAGTACATAAATATTATACGAAGTCGAAATAAACAATTATATTGTACCGAGCCTTGGTGGGGTCAGCGTCGTCCGGCAGCGAGAACGGCATCCACAGTCCGCCAGCCACGTGCGACGTGGTGTCATCGAAGCTGTCGGCGACCACATGCACGTGCTTGAAGCCGCTTTGCAGCAGCGCCAGGGCCGAGGTGAGGCCGATCACGCCGCCGCCAACAACCCGCACTCGACACTTAGCGGCGCCCTTCATCGTCAATTGCTTCAAGTCTTAATATAATTTTGATAGTAAATAATATTGTTCTATTAGTTTGTACTTCCTGGTTTTTGCAACGCGGATCCCACAATAATTGAATCCCACAATAATTGTATTCTATAACAATTGTATATCATAACAATTGTAAACCAAAACAATCGTATCCCATAATAATTGTTTCCCACAATCCCAGTGTAATTGTATCCCACAATAGTTGTGACGGTTGAAATTATGAGGTCATTTATGGTACTAGTAGTTCGTTTAATTTGAAATTGGATCCGAAGTTAGCCCGAAATTAGAGCACCTGTTGCATTCGCAAATTGGTGCTGCGCCGCCAGCATGGCGAATGGTACGCACTTCTATTGCGCTCTTCGCCGCTGCGTAAATGCACATTCCCGTGCCCGTCCGCAACTGGCCTGCGCTCTGCCGACAGCTGACCCTCTCCTCTCTCTGTCCACCCCCTGCTCTCCTTCTCAGCTACGCTGGATCCGGAGCAATTCTACCTCGTGCGTGGCGCTCAGAGCAGTACGTTGTTCTCCTCTATCTTTTATCTTTCTTCTTCTTTCTTCCTTCTTCTTCCTCTACGTCCTCTGCTAATCTTTATTCTGTCACATTTATTATTTTCCATCATCGCAGTCGAGAAGGATGAGGTGGACTACCGCAACCTCATGACGCACTACAAGCTGGAGCCGCAGCTCGCCAAGATGGCGGACGCGACGCTGCCTAGCACGTACCACCACCTGCTGCGCGGCGTGGGGGAGGCGCGCGACTCGCTCACGCCCGGGGAGGCCACAGGCGACCTCTTGTCGCTGCTGGAGGGCGTGCCCTTCGACCGCCCCATCGAGCCGCTGCCCGAGAGCGTGGTCAAGAGCGCGCTGCAGCTGCCGGCGGGCAGCAAGAGCGGCCCCGTGCTGCACCCGCTGAGCAGCCGCAAGACGGCGGGGCTGATCCACGCGCCGCCTCCTACGGGCGCGGAGCGAGCAGCGCACGCTGAGAAGCAGAAGGGCAAGGCCAAGGACGACAAGGACCGCAAGGAGAAGAAGGAGAAGAAGAAGAAGAAAAGGGAACGAGAGGACGCCACTGTGCTGCAGAAGCTGCTGGCCCCGCTGGTCGCCGAGCTGCGTGGACTCACGTGGGCGGGCTGGGTCGTCAGCGGTAAACCCGGCAACCCGTTCTTGCAGAAGTTCACCAAGGAGAACTGCAAGCGCCTGGGCGTGCCCAACTACTTCGACTACATCAAGAACCCGATGGACCTCACGCGCATGAAGGAGAAGGTCGAGCGCGCCGAGTACTCCAAGATCGACCAGTTCTCGTCGGATATTAAGCTCATGGCTACGAACGCCAAGACGTTCAACCGCGTGGGGGAGCCCGTGCACCAGATGGCCATCGAGATCGAGCAGCTCTACGAGTCCAAGCTGCCGACGTACAAGAAGATGTTCGACGACCTGCAGCAGGAGCGCAAGAAGCGCAAGAAGGAGAAGAAGAAGCGAAAAGAGAAGAAGAAGGAGAAGTGAGGGGAGGAAGTTAAGCTCTGGACAGCTGCAATGGTTCATAATCTCTTTGGTTTCTATTCATTCACTCCACCACTAGCTGCAGCGTCTCCTCTCCTTCGTTATCATCGTCACGCTCTCTTCTTCCTCCCATAGCCGCGTCCAGCATGGGCGTCGTAGGCAGCCACCAGCTCCCTACATCCCGACCAAAGTACACCGTCACGTTGTGCGTGAAGCTGCAGTCCGCGAGCTCTCCCCTCTTGCCGGCCAGGAACTCGAGCGTCGTCTTGCCCTCGCGCAGCAGCCACAGGTGGAAGACGAAGTAGCCGGCCAGCAGCAGCCCCACGCCCAGCGACAGCACCCAGCCGCACTTGAGCAGCGACTCGTAGTAGCGGAAGCGCGGGTCCCACACCAGCGGAGACGCCATGGCGTTGAACACGAGGCAGCTCAGCGACGTGTAGAGCAGGAAGAGCAGGAAGAACTTCTTGTTGCTCCAGGCCACGCAGTTGCCCGTCCAGGGGCAGTGGTGGTCCATTCGGTACACGCAGCGGTTGCACACACTGCAGTGGTGCACGTGCTCGGCCTTGTCGGCGTCGCAGCGCTCGCAGTAGCGCGTCACGCGCTCAAACTCGACGCTCGCGGGTCTCCGGCTGACGGGGCGAGTGCGCATCGCGCGCGCGTAGCTCCAGAGCATGAGCGCGGTGAACAGGAGGTAGAGGCCGTTGAGGGGCAGACTGGCCTGCGCGCGCACCACCGCCGCCCACGTGTAGAGCTTGAGCAGCATGAGCCCGAGGGCCACGGCCACGAAGCCCCCGCTCATGGCTCTAAGTGGCACTGAGTAACGGACTGGGAGGAATCTTCCTGTAGAAGAACGTTATATCCTGTATAAAGGATCACATGGATACATCTGTGACGTGACGACAGGACAAGGCGCACAATACAAGGGGCTTTGCGTGAGGCTGGGAAGACAGTTAAAGTAGTATATGAAGTGGAAACAGTGTACTTATCTTCACGGATCCAAAGGTTAGAATGTTGTGAACCTGCGATGACCTCGACAATAAGCAAACAAAAGATTCAAGGGTGCGGCAAGCGGGTAGCGCATTATTTCCCGTTGCACCTCTTTTTTGAGTATGGGGTCAGCTCGATTATGCATATCGTTTCCGTGTCCGGGCACGACGACAAGGCCGATGCATTCAGGGATGGACATTGAGTTAGACTCTGCGAGTGTAGCTCCGTCGTAGCTTAGAGCACGTAGCCCTAGCTCTCGCTCGTGGCCAGGGGGGGAAATTGCTATGTAGTTAACTTCGGAGCTGGAAGCAACGCTTCTGCGATGCTGCGCTGTTCAAGTCGCGGTGAGCTTGAACTTGTTAGCGTACAGCTCCAGTCAAGCTGTGTGAACGTTATGTATCACCGATGTGATGTTGTCCGAATGATGCTTGTGGTACGAGCAACTGTTTTTGGACGAATTAATGTCTGTGAGGCTGTCCATACAGCTCTTCTAGCTGTCTTCCCAGGGTAATGGTGTAAGTTTGTGGGCATGTAATTCACTGGTACACTGCGTGACGACTTTTTGGGGCCATACAACGGTAAGGTGTTTTCACCCGATTCCGATGGGCGAGCGCACGAACGATACTGTACGTACCCTTTGTCATCACATACAACCCACCTACACCTATTTACCCTAACCGCACTAATCAGCTGAAACTCGATCTACACTTGGAGCAATGCAAGGCAAGCATGTGCATCTATTTATCTAGCAACAAAAACTCTTCGTCGAAGTCGTCAGTCGCAGATCTTGGCCTACCGCCTTATCAACGCCAAATAGACAATAAGCTAAGACGCCTGTTTGACCAACGTTGCACATTTTGACACCCTCAGCTCTATTGCCTTTAGCTGGCAAGCTCCGCAGCAAGTTTAGCGAGGATCTGTCCTTGCCAAGCGGTGTCAATACGGTACCTACACCCACCGTCTGGACTTTTCGCTTGTCTGCTCTGCTTGGCTCTGCGTACAGCAGCTCGATGCTGGCGCGACCGCGCTTCCAGCTCTGTGTGAGTGTTTGCCGACTTTGGTTGGGTAGTGTAGGGTAGAAATTGTTGATGGTGGCAAGGAAGGATATTGTCAAGTACTTTGAGCTTCTCGGCAGCCGGGGACGACGTCACCGAGTGCCTTAATGTCTTCCTCTCCTTTGCGTCAGGCAAGCGAGGCCACCCGAGTCAGTCCGCAACTGAGCGTAATTGGTAGGCGAGGAGTGCCTGTATGCGCTCAGGTGAAAATGCCATTGATTGGCTAATATTAGCCTGTATGTCATAACAAGCAGTATGTGATGACAAAGGGATGCCGGTACTTGCAGGCTACAACTTGCAGATCTAACGCGATCAGCAAGTTCAGCTTATGGAAAAGAAGGCCAAGACAAGCCGTGTCGAGAGCTGGTGGTAAGTCACTTATGCGTATGTTTCATTTGGCTTGCACTCTCAAGAAGCAATGGCGGCATGGTGCCAAGACAACCCATCTTGCTACCTCTGTTCACCAGACGCCACGTTGTATTGAACATCCATGCAGGAGAAAGAACCTGTAGCGTGCATCGGGTCTCCTTGTGCGAAAGGTAAGCGATGAAGCAAGAACACATCGCAGTCGACCTATTTAGAACATATGCACGAGAATATTGCACGAATAACAGGTCTTCAAGGAAGAAGAGCGATGACGAGCTCCATCGGAAAAAAATATATAGGACAGCCTTGGGGCAAAATAGTGCTATGAAGTGGACGCTACGCACCAAGCATGCCTGGATCTACACATATTACTGTTAAAACGTAGTGTGGGCAAATGCATGCAGCACCAGTTACTCGTGTTCAAACAGTATCAAGGGAATACTACAAGTGTGGGGTAAGTGGGTACAGTCGTTACAGTAGAGCTCGAACGATATACGGTACTGTGCTTTGATATGTATTTTGAGCAGATACTATTCTGCTGTGTGGCAGGCTGCCAGCACTTCCAAGCTGCCTGCTGGGATGGGGATCCCATCCCAAAAAACTATCCTGTAGGCTAACGACCTCCCTGTCAGTGACAGGCTGTCACTGACTCTCAAGCTTTCATCGCCACACCACTGTACAGTACGCTCACGTGCCAGTTGAGTTTTTGCTCTCCAAGACCCAAGACCAAGAAAGTATCTCTGCAGACGTAGCAGGCCTTCTTCGTCCTTCTCGTCGCAATCATCCTCTTCACGAGCGCTGAGGCTGCCGGAGTGAACGCTGAAGCTGTTGCCAAGCTTACGAAGAGCTCGTCCACGAAGAGCAATTCGGTCATGAACAACCTCCTCAGGACGGTTATCAGGAAGATGATCCCCAAGAACTACAGAACGTCGGAGGCGAAGATGGGGACCCACACTGGACGCTATCACCCGTTTAGGCCGACCTTCGAGGGGCAATAAGGGCATCTTGGAAGCTAGTATCGAACGCTCAAGTAATACACGCAGCTAGAACAAGTGTTCTCTTCACTGTCCTTGCTAAGTCGTCCCCGAGACAGCATCCAGAAATCAAGGTAAAACATTCGAAGCACAAGCTGGGGTTCCAATGGTTGTCAATTTCGTCATTGCCAGAATGCACTGAGTCGTGCAGGGAAGCAGGGAAGCACATTCACGTCACGTCGAGGATTTAGTTAAAGGTACTTCTGCCACTTGGCCGCACACCTTGTTGAAATTTCTCGGGTTACCTTAAGAGTTTGACTAGCACCCAAGCCCCCCCCCCCACTTCACGATATTTATCACGTACACGGATCACTCAATATGTTTCATGCTGAGTCACCTCGCGAACTTCCGATATCCAGTTGTGCTAAGCAGACATCACCTTGTTTCACTCCGACCCGAATGGCGTGGACCACGAACAGAACTTGGCTTACGTGGAGGCGCTAGTTAGAGATGCAAAGATAGTCGTAGTGGCAGCTTTGGAGCTCCTGTGTTTCTTGAATACCTCCCCTCCGGCTCCTTCATCGGCTAGGAATCAGCGCTTCGTCCTGGCTTATGAGGACATTTCTGCTTCACGATTCCGTACTCGTACAATGACTACTGTATGCTTGACCAACTGAGAAGCTTCGCCGCTCTTTCAAGGGATCAGGGAGCGGCGCTTAAGAGTAAGCGATCGACTTCCTGGGGACGTTGTTAATACCACTCTGCACGACGGTGGGGACGAGAGCATGACATAGAACATTACCACGGCGAAGGTCACAAGCAGTAGATCCACCGTTCTGTCGTGAACAAAGTACATGTACAAACGAGACGCTAAAGTTCACAACAACGCGCGCCGTTTAAAATCCAACATTCCTTATAAGAAGGTGAGTTACTCCAGCTACGGTTTCTCAATCTTGCGAAGCCAGTTAGGGTGCATCTTCTTGAAATACTTCAAGCACTTGTACCAGAAGAGACGGCAGAGCGTTGTTTTTGTTCTCATCGCAAGTTTCGGGTTGAGGCGCAGCGTGGTGAGCACATCGTCTGGGTCGTGGTGTATTTCTTCGGAAGCGCTGACTTGGATCGTGTCAGCTTCTCAACCACCGCGTTTTTTTTTCCTTTGTGGGAGGGACGACATGTAGTTCACCGCGGAAAAGCGAGAAATTTACTGGATCGCTCCACATCAGCTCAAACCAGCGTTCAGAGGAAGGATATGTCCTACACCGTATGGGGTCGATTCGACAAGCGGCTAGATGATATTACGTTTCTATCTTTTAGGCCAACTAACGAGCGAGAAAAAGCTTGTCTTGTCGAGGACTACGTGTGCAATCATGAAGTGAAGAGAAGCATGACGGAGGTAATAGGTATCTTGCTCTTCACAGTTTAGGGTTAATACATTGCCGAAGACACTCGCCAAACTCGTGTCACCGAGCTGCTGAAAGCAAGCTGTAGTCGAATAACTTCTACTTAAGTACACCAACATCGATAGACGTCGAGCTCTCCTTTCGTCTACGACCGCTTAGCAATCGACAATGTCATGAGCTTATGAAACTTAAGACACGGAGAGTATTAGCAGGGTTCAGAAAAAAATATAATTGCACTGTAATACATGTACAGCAATTACTGAACGTGTTGAGAGGAATTCGCACTAAATTCTTATTAGAGTCGAGCTGGCCAATGCGACGCAGTATATGCATATGGTTGTCTTCCAAATCGGTTGCTGGTTAGTTAGATCTAGCATTTTGCGTTTGCGTGGGATTAAAAACAAGAACTTGTGGCTCATCTACAGATCTACATCGTTCATATTCGTCAACGCTACGGGTACGGCCTAGAATGATGAAATTTGCTCACAACTTTCGAGTTGCCACGATAATTGGTGCGTGAATCACATGTCTTAATTTGGTTTTGTATTCGAAGCAGCAAATAAAATTCAATACAGAAAACAGGGTGCCAAGCAGTACACTACAAGTATTCGGCAAGAAATCAGGGCACAGAGGTACTCGAAAAAAATTGCGGTACCACGATCCTCTTCGTATTTGTATTGTTTCTCGCCGATGGATACGGTGCAAGTGCTCTGAAATTGCTGAGCCATCGACAAAGAACAATTTAGTTAGTAGAGTGCCGATGCTGAGTTTCTACCTCATTTTTCATGGCACCTAAGTTTGTCATCCATAGCGTGACTACAGTAGATGCCGTCTGCACGTATGGATTGCGCGTAATGTAAATCTGTATAGTATGTCGGCGTTACGGCTGCAGCAAATAGGCAACTGGAAGCAGGGACGTTATCAACTCGACCAAATCTGTCGGCGGGAGTTTTGAGCTGCTTCGCATTCGAATCTCGTATCAATACTACATGTAAATATCGTAGCACATACAGTGCATGATAAACAGTGTAATGGGCATGAAGACAAACGAGTGAATCGTTCTTTTAGGTTCATGAGTGCATGAGGAAACTTTTTCGTGGTTAGGGCTCATTAACTAATAAGGTTCCATCACTTGCTTTGGCATTTATGTTTGTTTAACCCTTAAAAGTGAAAAAATTGGCGTCCTATATTAGTTACCATCGTGACATTTATTAAGTAAATAACCTTTTTACTCGAAGTATTATTTGAAGAAAAGAAAACACATGAATTGCATATTACGGTGTAACTGAAGTGCATCGCCCGACAACAATATTACATTGAGCAGTTTTGATTTTAGATTATAGTCATGGTTGCGAGAATACCGAAAAATCGACAGAAAGTCGTGCGTTTTCTACTTTGTAGAATAGGACAGCCCAGTTGTGCATGCAAAATGCTTTGAGCAGCTATATATGGCACGCAAGCGTAACGTGCAGCTATGATAGCTGCACGCTGAGCTATCACAGCTGCATAAACACGATGGAGGACGGCTCAATCACCATTCGTTGCACTAATCGCAGTAAAGAGCTATATATATATCTAATAAAATAGCATTTCCCTGATGCTTAAATCTTGCGCCTGTGCCATCGTAGCTCGTCCACCTTGGGAGCAACAAGTCTTCAACTCATTAGCAACGTTGTCACGGATTTATCGGCGCTTGAGTTGTATTCAATCCGTAGTTTGCTTTTCCGAAACGCTTGTGAATTCTGTGATGATCGAGGAGTCGTTAACTGCCATGTAAATCAGGATAAAGACTTCGTTAGTACGCCCACCAGGGCCTCGATGACACGAAATACGAAATGAGCTTGTCGGATAATGCAGTTAACGTTAGTAGATTTCGCCGCTTTTATACTGTTCTTTCGGAGAGTGAAACCGCGGGTGCACTGCTTTAACAATGTCGCGCGACTGTTGCGAGAATGTCGTTCGATGGCAAACTCCCAGAAGCAAAATCTGAGGGGGGTCGGGGGGGGGGCTGTAAGTCGCAAGAAAGCGAACCTAGCTCATCAGGGTCGAATTCGCCGTTCGAAGAACTGGCCCAGGTGCTTAGACCAACAACATTTGAGTACCATGCGGCCAAGCTTCGCCGTCGCGTCCGCAGCATGCATATTGCAGATTTATCATGTTTTGCTGATGCGTGTTCTGACAAAAAGTCATAAATGTACAGACCAACGGAATGCAAAAGTGATGTTGGTACATATGTACATGTATCACGCATTTGCCGCGCGCTTGAATATCAACACCTTGAAGTACCTCTCGTCCGTAGTATTTAGATAATTGCGTGGCAGTGCTTCCCACCACAACAAGCCGGACGAAGTCCATCACTTTCACAACTTGAAGGTATGCACCACAAGATAAATGTACGATCTGCTGGTGGTGGCAGACGCTGCAATATGGAGCTGGGCTTTCAAAACGTTCAACGCGTCCGATCAGATCAATTCAACCTCTTGGTCGATTCCCTCCCATTTCCCAATTAGCGCGCTATCGATCGGACCCTCCCACAATGCGCGCCGTCTTCGTCTTCGTCCTGCTCACACTGCTAGTGTGCTCCAATGGGATCGCCAGCGCCAAGAGTTCCGCCATGGTGAGCGCCCTGCATTCCGAAGCTGTTGAGGCCCCAGTCAGTAGCGACGCCACTCGTCGCAGACTCAGGGGTACCGTCGTGGTCGATGAAGAGCGAGTGCTGGGGCTGGAGAAGCTGGCGAACAGCGTGGCGAGTATTTTCAAGAGGAAGCCGGGTCTCATCCAAAAAGTCGAGAAGCTGCAGAGCAGTCCCAGCGCGGTCAAGGCGTTGGAGAAGGCGACACTCTCAGGAAAGAGCTCAAACAAGCTGCGCGCGTACTTCGCGAGACTTGCAGCGAACAGCAACAAGGCGCAGCAGTTCTTCATCCTCGCAACCATCGTGCTATTCGCGGCTGGTGTTACAGTAACCTGGTTGACGTAAAATATAACGAGAGCGACCTGGCACCTCGAATTATACTACTAGTTACCTTACAGACTGAAAAGAACTCTGCTTGCAATGTATTCCGACATCGCTACTGTACGTATTTCAGAGCGCGTATGGACTGCGACTATTCGAACGCGACTTCCGAAAGAGTACGCTACGACTATTGAAAGAGGAGGTGGTGCCGCGAGCTTTTGGACTGGGAAGCACGGACAACTATCGGATACTACCTGCAATCCTTCTGCATTCCAACATCTTCTACACGTTCATTAAGATTAATGCTTCAAAGCGTGAGCTCTCTGACCTCCGGCAGCATTACTAAGGAATTTGTAGGAGTTTGCAGTGATTGTAAAATCTTCTTGCAATTAGCAGGTGAAAGCTGAGGAGGATATTGCCATGCACATGTGAATGTACTTCGGGGGTATTACAGTCCAAATGCTTACTGGCGAGGAGTAAGCGTGCGGGTTGCCGTTGTCGCGTTTCTTGATCCGTGTACCGATTTCACAGCACGTTCGGCGTACGCCAGCGTAATACGTTGCAATACATGGCACGGGTAGTCTTTCACTCCAACTCATTTCAGCTTTCGCTCCAAGACTAAGAAGACACGAGGCGCACTATCGACATCATCCCTCTGCAGCTCTAAAGACCGTGCGCCTACTCTTCACCGAGCGTTCTGGTCGCTACCATCCTTTTCGCAAATGCCGAAGCTGCTGCAGTTAACATTAAGGCGATTACCAAGCTTACCAAAAGCGCGTCTGCGAACTACGCTTCGCTGTGGAACAAGTTGGCCGTGAAGTTGTTAAAGGGGATTACACCAAAAAGATTCCAGGTAAAGGGGGAAAACAAGCTCGCGAAATCCCCATCGAATCGATTTCAACAAACAGTCCATCCGGACTGCTGCTGAGTAGACTGGAGGCAAGTCGACGTGTGCATATATGTAGCACGCAGTCGTTAATACATTGTTGGAGACACGACCCCTTGTGACCATTATTGAAACTTTTAGTGCTCCAACACTACTTCACTAATCGATTCCAAGCACCCAAGTTTCCATTGGTTTGGATACATGCTCCACTTCACTGGCCCGTCGTCTCTCATGCGTGGGGAGCGATCATCGGAGCCTCATGCTGCTGCGAATTGTTGTTCTGCTTCCGCAAGCCGCGCTCAACGCGTGGGCGCCTGTTTTCCTTGGACTTGTTATTCTTGACGCCCTGCGCGCCGCTGTTCTCGTCACTTGCACGCGGGGCGCGAGGACGGCGCGGCTTGGATCCGTTCGTCGGAGACCCGTCCGCGGACTTGTTGCCACTGTTACTATTACTACCCTTCTCCCCCTTCTCCTTCCAGCGCCGGCCCTGCCCTCGACGACGTTGGGTGTTCTTGCCCCGTGGGCTGTTCTCTTCCGAACCAGCTTCCTTCTTCTCAGTTTCAGACGAGCCCGACGAGCCCAACGGAGACGGCGTGCGCTCGCTCGTCAGACCCGCAGTAACTGCGGCAAACGAGAGCGGAGGGGCAGGAACAGACTCCGGCGCAGGCGCAGCCGCAACCGTGGCTTCAACCTGCTCTTCGATCTTGACATTTTGCTCGATGATTTCTTCCTCCGCAGCTTCGATCTGGACATCAACAGCGACGACTTCGGCAACTTCCTCGCTCTGCTCCACCTCATCAGCGGCCTCTTCACCCTGCACCGACTCCAACTGCGACTCAGTAAAGAAGCTGATCTCCGGCATGGTGTTGATCTCGGCGGGCACGACCGGGACATCCGACACTTCTGCGACCACGACCACTGCCTCTTCAACGGTCTCCTCCACCACTTCTTCGTCCTCCTCAGCAGACTCCTCCTCCGTCTTCCCTGACGACACGTTGGCCAGCTGGTCCACGGACGCACGCAGGCCGCTGTACGTCGTATCGCACGCGAACACCTTGTCGCTGTCCGTCAGATACTTCTTGGCCTCCTCCAGCGAATCCATCAGGTTCTCCTCGTACGACAGCTCAGCGGGCGGGCGCGTGTTGCCCAGCAGCACCTTGGAGAAGAAGTCCAGCACCATGGGGACCTCCTTACCCAGCGCCTGGTGCAGATTCACCACGTGCAGCGTCTTCAGCAGCTCGTACACGTCAGCAAAGCTCTTCTTCTCTTGCTGCTCCGTCTTCTCCACGGCCTCCTGAAGCTCCTGGGCCTCCTCTGGAGCTGCTTCTTGCTGCTCTGCAACCTGCTCCTCCTGCTCTGTCTCCTGCACCTGCTCCGCAGCCTCAGTCTCCTCTCCAGACGCCGCAATCTCCTTCTCCTTCTTCGCCTCCTCCTGCTGCTTCTTCTGCTCCAGCTCCTGCGTGAACACGCCCACGAACTGCTCGCGCAGCAAATCGAGCTCCGCCACGAGCTTCTCCAGCGTCGCCTTGCTGCCCATGAGCTCCAGCTGCTGCGCGTTGAGGCGCTTGTCGCCCGCGGCCTGCGCCGCCTCCAGGCCCTTGATCTTCTCGAGCTTCTTGCGGTGCGAGCGCAGCCGCTTGTACAGCACGCTCAGGTACGGGTGGTCCAGGCTTAAGTTGCCCAAGGTGTCGGCCTCGTCCATCGAGGCTTGAGTTGCCACAACGGCCGCAACAGCCGCCTTGTCCTTGCTGGTCTTACTCTTCTTAGCCTTAGCGCCCTTCACAGAGGGGGATGGAGACTCGGACAAGGACGCAGCGACAGCCACGGACTCGCTCTTGTCGACGCTGGGCGTGGCGCTGGCCATGGTGCTCTCTGGGCGGCAGGACGGCGGCGGCAAGGGGGCGACTCCGGTACGAGGGTCGCGGCTTGGGCGCTTTTCGAGAAATGAGGGTGTCATGGAAAAGGAATCCTGTGGAAGGTTGGTGTGGTGTACACAACAAGCAACATAAGGAAAAGTCTATGGAGGAATGGCGTGGTGTACACAAAATGCAACATTTGAATTTCAATTACACAGCCTCGGTGATCTCGTCCACGATGACCTCGTCCACCTTGATGCCGAACGTGCCGTCGCCGATGATGACGGTCTCGAGCGTCGTCGTGGACGACGGAGGTCCACTTGGTACCGGTACGGGCGACTGGATTGGCCCGGCCTCGGATTCCACGGCAGAGGTCGGCTGTTCGTCTACAGGTGGAGCAACTTCAACTTGACCCTCCTCCGTCTCGGGGATCAGCCTGGCCAGCGCCTCCTCGTCCGCCGAAGTGTCTTCAGTCTCCGTCACTTCTTCAGTTGTGGCAGCAGTCTCTGTCTCCTCGTCATGAGTCGCCTGGTGCTCCATTGGCTGGTCCTGCTCAGCCTCTTCCGTCTCAGCTGATGCTGCTTGGTCAGCGGTGGACTCGGCGGTGGGCTGCTCCTGCTCTGCCTCTTGCTGTTCTTCTTGCTCACTTCCGTCGGTGGCTGTGGCCGGCACCTCGATCGCGACTTCTTGTGGCAACAGCCCGAGCTGCTCCTTCAGCTGCGGACACACGGCGTCGATCACTGCGCACGTCTCGTCGAACAGCGTCTGGCTACTGTTCTCGGTGCTCGCGCGCTCGAGGATGTCTTCGGCCTTCAACACCAGCAGCAGGTTGTACAGCGACTGCAGCGTCGTCTCGAACACGACGCTCGACTGCTGCGACCGCATCGTGGAGGAGCTGGAGGGCACGAGCTTGTTGGCCAGTCGACGCAGAACCTTCAGCCACAGGTCGGGGAAGTCCTGCAGCTCCATCAGCACGTTGAGGTTGTGAAGAAACGTCTTGGACAGCAGCGTGACGCTGTAAAGCGGAGCTTCGCGCGCTTTCCTCACAGCGCCATCATTGACCTGGTCATCGAACGCAAAGATGATCTCGTCGAAGCACTGCTTCCACGTGTCCTTGGCGATCGGCACTCCAGGCAACAGCAGCGAGTTGCGGAGACAGTCCCAAGCGGTCTTCGCCACCGGCGGTCGGTCGTCATCCAGGTACTTGAGCATCACGCGCATCACTTGCAGCCACGAGCTGCCGTTCATCTTGTACGTGTTGTCACTGTTGGCCAGTCCTTGCAGCAGCTTCAACGCGTCCACAGCGTAAGACGTCCGGTGGCGCACAAACGCGCAGCACAGAGACATCCACGGCGCGAAGTTGTCGTCGTTCAAGTGTCCTCCTTCAGCGAGCACCATGACGCTTTCCCAGCAGGCCGACCGGCTGTTGATGTATTCGACCACGTTCTCCAGAATACCCAGGAGCACCGCCCAGTCGTCAAAGTCGTGCATGTACACGAGATTCGCCTTGAGCAGCATCGTCATTCCTGACGCCAACCGGTCACTCAGCGCCTTGTACATCTCCCTGTCCATCGTCAATAGCAGCTCGATGGTCGCCACCAGCTTCGGTCGGACCTTCTCGTCGTGGAACAGGCGGATGCTCACGCGCAAGATATGCACAACCACGCGCTCAACGAGTCCCTGCATGTGCAGTTCATTCAACGGTGTTGAGAGGATGCGCTTCGCGTACAAGTGGAACGAGTCCCACAGGTTCAGCGCCAAGATCCGCTGCGCGTTGACCAAGATAATGTCCACACTCATCTCCAGCACCAGAATGGCATTCTCCTGCATCATTGCGTCCACGCCCGAGTCCGACGGCTGCATGATGCACTTGAAGGGGTCACGGCATGAAATCAATGTCTCCAGCAGACTCGTCAGCGAATTCTCCTGTAGTTTACGCGTCAAGCGCAGCCAGTTTTCCTTCTCGAGAATTCCACCGCCGAGCTTCAGCACCTCGTCGCGGAGCATCTGATTGACGAGCGAGAAGCTTTCGTCAACCTTCTCCTCCTCAGCCCAGAGATAGTATGATAGAGAGTTCCACAGGGATCCGCTATTCGCGCTCTGACCATGGCTTCCGTACGATGCACCATTGTTGGCTTGTGTCATGCTCTTCATGCGACTGCGAATGGCAGCTTGGCGCTCTGCCTGTCGACGAGAACGCTCACGAGTCTTACCCGAAAGACCCGCTCCGCCCTGACCACGACCTGGGGACAACTTAGGCGGTGACGGTGTGTGAGTCGTAGCACCTCCCTGCATGGGCGGCAACGGCACACCGCGAGAGTCCACGAAATCGTCGATCTCTACCAACGAGGTAGGAACCGCATCCAGCTCGTTGAACATTAGCATGCACTCCACCACGTTGGCCCAGCCCTTGCGGAAGTACTCGCTCTTGTTCTGAACAAACTGGAACAGCAATTTTAGTGACAGCAGAGCACGACGTGTCTTGGCACCTTGCACCAGATCCTCATCGATTGATCCACCCGGTTGTTGCGGGGCTGCCAGGACTTCAATTTCCGAGCCATCGTCTTGACGGCGAACAATTCGTTCTCCGATAGTCTCCGCTGATCCATGCTCGGACGAGGAAGGCAGGGTAGACGACGCCGAGTGCTTCAATACGTTGCTGGCGCTTGGGGGCACGTACACCTTCTCACCGCTCAAAATTCCGTGAGCGAACGTGAGGAAGTACGACGACAGGGCTCCCATGATCTTGTTGAACTCATCAGCCATGTCGTAGTAGAGCATGATCTTGGCACAGTTGCTCAGTCCTTCGAGCGAACGCTCCATGTTGTTCAAGTCGCACGTCTTCTCAAAGGCCAGCAGGATGCTCTTAATGGTGCTCTCGGAAATCAGGTTGAACATGTCCTTCTCGTACAGACCGGCGCGAAGCTTCAGGATGCTCGAGTTCGAGGTGAAGCTGGCTCCGACCACGTTCTCCGAGCGCTTGAGCACGCCGTCCCACTGCATGGAATACCGGTCGACGGTCGAGGATGGGGACTCCATGAAGTCTGACACATCGTGCTGCATCTGGATCTCCTTCTCCAAGATGTTGTAGTACAGGTTGGTCAGGTACTCCGACGGCAGATCTTGGCCCGCGTTAATGCCGCGGTTGTTGCGAACGAACTCCTCCACGGTCATTTTCTTCGCAATGTGGTCCGAGTGCAAGTCCGTGTTGAGCATAATGATACTGAACGCCAGCACATAGGCCGCGTCAGCATCCGCCAGTGGCCCAGACGAACCTGCTTGTAGGTAGAACTGTTTCGAGAACGCTTCCATCATGCGGTCAATCTTCTGCGCTTCACCTGGCAGACGGAACTTGGCCAGAAACATTCGCAGCGCCTCATCCAGCGACGGCGCCGAGCGGAAGTCGAACATGGCAACGTATGCGTCTCGCACCGCGGCGTTAAATGGGTACTTCTCAATAGGTCCATCGCCAATATAGTCGCCGATCAGCGTCTTGTTCAGCCCGGGGGTGTGCAGCAGGAAAGACGCAACGGATTCTGGGGTCAGCTTCTCCGGTAGAAGACCAATCTGCTGCGAGAACGCCATCCAGTTCTTCTGGTCGTTGTTGAACTTTTCAGCGGCCAATGCGTAGCGCTTTTTGGCATGCTTGCGCTGCTGCAACACTTCAGCGGTTCGCTCTCGCGCTGTGTGCAGCCAAGCCAGCTGGTCCGCCGCGTTGTCGGGCTCACTTTGCTCCGAGTCCGAGTCGCTCTCACTTCCTGACATCACGAGGTGCATAAGATCCCGCACTGAAGACATGGGGGAAATGTCCTCCATCGGGAACTCGCCGGACGAGCTCTCAGTGACAGGGGAAGCTCCAGCCGTAAACCGCGCAAGGTCAGAGCCCTTGAGGCTCAACACGCCCGAGTTGCTTCCGAACGTTCTGGACCCTGACGTCTTCGCGGGAGTGTTCAGTGGGCAACGTCGAGCGATGGACTCGATAACAGCCAGAAGACCCTCGAGACACAGCAGCGTGAGAGCGTTCAAGCTGCCGTCGGCTCCGGACATGGACTGGCAGTTCTTGGCCAGCGACTTGCACAGCACCTCGAACAAGTTCGTGCAGTGCACGTCGCAGTCGTAGTTGATGTACAGGTCGAGCATAAGCGCCGGCTCACGGCAGAACTCGAGCAGCGACTCCAACGCCAGCTCCTTCTGTTCATCCGAACACGACGGCGAGTCGATGATGCGCATGTGGACGCTGGTGAAGAACACCTCCAGTTGCACCTTGAGATGGTCCTTGATTGAGTTAAACAGGTTGAACACCACCCGCAGCGTCAGCGACAGAATCCCGAGCTCCTCCGTCTCCGAGTTCTGCAGCAAGAACTTGGACAGATCTCCCTGCAGCACCGACACCAGGCACGGGTGATTGCCCAGCCCCGTCCCTGCCGTCTCCAAGACGACGTTAATCAGTCTCAGCCCCAGGACGCACGTCGCCTCCTCGTTCTCCGTGGGGGAGATCAGACCCGAGATGAAGTGCAGGATCCGCTCCAGCAGCGGAATCCCGTAGGGTTTATCTGCCGCCTTTGCGACCTCCACCGTCGGCTCCACGGGCGGAGCCGCCACACTCTGCTGCTCCTCCATATCCAGACTCTCGTCGTACTCGGGCAGCTCCAGCTGCAGCTGCAACTGTTGCGGCTTCTCCTCCTTCTTCTCTTCTTCTAGTTTCTGACTCTTAGCTTCATTGTGCGGCGACAAGGGTGCGTCATCATTGTCGTTATCGTTGCCATTGTCGTTGTCGTTGTTCTTCCTCTGCGGCTCCAGCTCGTCGATCCGGTCGAACACCGTGAGCACCAGGTGCGACAGCGTGTTGTCCGCCGACCTGCACAAGTGCATGGAGGACCGCGGCTGGCACCTGATGCTGTAGCACAGCTGCAGCATCTTCCAGAGGTTCTCGCCCGAGATCAGGTGGCCGGCGTCGCAGCGCACGCTGTACTCCACCAGCTCCAGCAGCTTCATGAGCACGGCCTCGTCGTCGGCCCGATGGGTCTCCTCGAAGCGGCAGCGCGACACGCACACGGCGATGCGGTTGATGGCGACGTCCGCGCGCAGCGACTCGCACGTGATGAGCCCGTAGAGCAGGAACTTGTTGATGGCCGAGATGGCCGCGCCCGTGATGAAGCCGCTCGTGCGCTCCGACTCGATGACCATCACGAAGGGCAGCAGGTACGTGACCGTGTCCACGTCCGCCAGGTCCGTGACCGACTGCAGCTCGTAGTGCAGCTGCTTGAAGGCGCGCATCATGGGCGACTGCGTGGACGCCGGGATCTCCTGCGTGAAGCGGTCCACGCTCGCCCAGCGCGCGTTCACGCGCATCATGGACAGCACATTGTGGATCTCGCCCTTGACGCAGTTCATGGTCGTGGCCCGCCGCGCCAGCAGCAAGCAGGAGGAGTGCTGATGCTACTGAATGAGTGACGTGTCGGTCGGATATATGGTACAGTGTACCACTGATAGGGTATAATTGGGAGCTCTCTCTCTCTCTTAGTTGTTGTAGATATCTGCAAATATTGTTATTTGGAGGTCGTCCACTGCGATCAGACGAGAAGTCGATGAGTTTCGTAGGTCAGTTGAAATGTGAGCTACAGTGTTCATAATGGTATAATATTTGGTAAACTTAAAAGGCAAACAAATCGATAAGCATTGTAAGGCGTTTCCAGTGCCTGAGGCTTGGTCCTCGTTGCGGAGTGTAGGCTCCCGGAAATTGGGCATTAGTCCTCTACAACTTGACTGCAGGCACTTCGATTGTCAAGGTCGCATTGTACGGTTGCATGCTATCCATCCAACGGTTGACTAGGTTACATCTACGCCAAGGGTACAAACAAAAAGAGAGACATCCAGGGCGATTCCTTGCACAAGAATGAAGCACGTCTAGGCTCATACAAGCACGCATTAAAACTTTTTAACTTAAAATAGTGATAATGTTTAGATCCAACACAGAGGTTATGTTTTGTGTATTCAATAAATTTATCCAAAGTTATGAGAGTTACACTACGGTTTCGCTAAGGTTACATTCTGGTTTTGACGCGTCGCCATACGAATTAGAACGAGTTTGAACGCGTAAGAAAGTTATTATTGTGAATGGGAGGGATTTGCACGCCCCCTTCCAACTTAGCTCACTTTACAATGTAAAGTGACATGTCATGTTACCAAGTGCATTCAGCTCGATTCTTATTTATTTAATATTAAATAATGCGTGACCAAGGGACTCGAAGTTTTGAATGGGTATGAAGAACTCAAAATGGCATCAACGAATCTCAAGCTAGAATGAGGAGTAGCAGAGCATTTCACTTTGAATAAAGGCTAGTAAGAGTGCGTATAAACCTATTCTTGAAGCCAAAGAATGCATCAATCAATACTCGACTCAAGGGGGACCTCCGAAATCTCGCCTGACCGCGAGAAATGACCCATGTTAAAAAAATGAACACTTTATCTTAAAATGGTGCACGACGGTCTTTATCTACAGTACTTAACTCGATCTAATAGGGGGTTCCAGTTAATCATTCCTTGAAGGAATGAGCCGAAGAGAAATTGGCGGAAATCAAGGAATGATTTTCATGGGGGGTTTCAGTTTATAAATAGCCACACAAATCTTTTGATCGCAAGGAATGAGCCCAAATAATGAGCTCATTCCTTGGGCTCATCGTTTGAACAAATGATTAACTGAAACCCCCTATTATGAACACATTTGAGGTACTATAGCTCACGTTTCAACTGGCCTACGAAACTCATCGACTTCTCGTGGACGACCTGTGCAAAACCCCAAATAACAATATTTGTAGATATGTTAGATATGTCAAAAAAAAGAGAGAGAGCTCCCAATTATATCCTATCAGTGGTACACTGTACCATATATCCGACCAACACGTCACTCATTCAGTAGCATCAGCACGCTCGCTGCTCCTCCTGCTTGCTGCTGGCGAATGACCTTTGTTTCAGGTAATACATATATCATATACTCGTAAACAAGTGTACTAACGGATTTTCCCGAATACAAGACCGGTAGAAAATAGAAGTCCGATCAGGAATAGGTTGGAGTTACTGAAAATAGAAGTCCTGTACCAAATACAAGACCGGACATCTTTTTTTATAAATGTACTCAAACATTCAGTTTTTAAAATGTTCGCCCGAACTCTGCTTTAGTTCGAGCTCATTCTAACCGTATTGGTTTTGCTTCACAACGATACGATGTACCTGGAAAAAGCAATGAATTGTGGCCGTCAACCGATCTCGCTACATGTACTCCATCAGCATTAATGCTTAGACAAAGATCTATAATACATGTAAACTGCTAAATAAGATGAACTGAACGACTGTTTATCTTTTTCGTGACGAGCATTGAACGCCTACTTGCGCTTTTGCAGCGTCTTGCACGGCCTAGAACTTACTTGTGCGGCCCAGACACTTCGTTCAAAACCATTTTAAGCTGCTGCAAGTGCAGGCAAACGGATAGCGGAAGCGGTTAAACCCCCCACGGCTAATGTACTCGAGGGGCTGCTTCTTACCCAAAAGCTTATCGATGTGAGCTTGAGCATACATCCAGGCACCCTGATTTAGCGGCCCTACCTAAGCCTAGACAAAACTTCTTGGCATCTCGACTTGGCCAGCTTGTCAGTCGTAAATCGGAACGGTGTCAATTCTTTCAGACGAACCAATGCGATGATCTTGGGGTTCTTACTACGAGTGAGACGCTCCTTTGCGAGCTCAGAGAGAATTTGACGAAGAAAAGTAAATCTTCCTTAGTACAGAACCAGCCTTGATGCAACACTTCCATGAAATATAAGTCCTCACCCCAATACAAATCCCCTCCGTCAGAATCGTTCGGTTTGCAGGGGCTTATGAGAATTAGAAGACTGGCTTATATTCGGTAAAATCCGCTACTAGTATATTGGGAGGCGAGAACCAAAGAAGCGCTTGTTTCGCGTTGACAGGGATGTCCCGCCTCTTTTAAACTATATTAGTTTTTTAGCTTTTTAAAAAATGTCTTCCACCTTCTTTTCTCGCAATGGTACATCTTGCCTACGTCTCACGGTGCTAGGCTGTATAATAATTTGACAACAGCATGAAAAAAACATGTCCCAGACAAACACCCTCCCATTCTGGCCGTCAGCTTGGCAGCGGCTGAAAGATTAAGCCTCGACAAGTCTTCGGAATCGTTTGGCACGGGCACCTTCTTCCCTATTGCACGTGCCTTCGAGTAGAATCGTCCATCCCTTGTTGTCGCAGTTGACCACGTTGAAGTAGCATCCATTCTTATAGGCGATACCGTTGCTTCCACAGAGGAGCGTAAGGTTTGCCTCCCACTCGATATTTGCGACACCGGCGCACTCAAAACCTTGAGCAGAGTTTCGCCGACCAGCAGCGAGGTGAGGACGGTCGCAATGATGGCAAACTTCATTACTTCGAGCTTGAGACGGGGGGGGGGGTCTTTGTTGTTCGCAAAAAGCAAAATGAATGATGAATCGGACCCGAGCACGGTGTAAACCAAATCTACGGTGCTTGTGCAACCATTTGACTCGTTGGATGTGCTCTCCAGCAGCCGCTGCGTCCATTGCACTCGAGTCGAATTCACCCTTGAAATACTTGCCCAGCCATCTCATCATCCACAAGGTTTCGTTTCTAGCGGCACCACTTCACTACGTCGAAATGATCGCCATGGATGGATGCATTTACTCCAGATCAGTTGTGCTCGGCACTGCCATAACCAATGCCACAAGAATCCGCACATACTTCATCTTACTTCATTCATCACGCGAAATCCTCATTCAATGATAAAGGGATAGCAAGTTCTGCTCTGTTGGGATATACTCTAAGTAGCTGTCGGTCGTCTACGCACGGAGTTGAAGACGACCAGGTTTTTCTGTTTCGTTGCTTGATCTACAGGACAATGCTACGAAGGACGAGGTCGAAATTTGTTATTATCTGATAGCCTTTTTCCGACACTTATTTCAGAGTACGAGTTGAGTTGCAACCTTGCTCAAGTTCACGACTAGTATCTTGAACCATCTCAGCTTCCCGAATTAGGACACGAAAGGATCGGGCGGTCTTGCTTCAAGACTCTTGAAGAAAGGCACAAAAGGATCTGGTTACCCAGCGCTACCACCACTCGTTCTTTTGACAAAAAGATTTAGCCTATGTGGGGCCTCGCCTGTGTGTCAGTCTCCAATTGTCGTCCATACGTTCAAGAAACATGCGCTTCTCCGTGCTAGAGTTGTTGTTCTCTGTGTATCTGTTGCTCTGCGACCTCACTTGTCCTGTTGGTGGTCAGCAGACAACCACTTGTCCCGGCCGAATCCGAAAGGCATGGGACGACATGACGGCGGCAGAGCAGAGTTTGTACGTGGAGGCGCTTGGTGTCGGGATGCAAAGGGGGTACCACATTCTGTTCACGGAGATGGCATCGGAGATAACTTCTTTTCAGGAATATCTCTACACGGGCGGCTTCTTCTACTGGAATCGTCGCTTCGTCCTAGCCTACGAGAACATGTTGTGCACTCTGGACCCCAAGTACGCGTGCCTCACGATTCCGTACTGGGACTTTTACGCCGACTACGCTCGGTCCATGGGGAGGAAATGTCCAAACGGAGGGACGTCACTGGAAGCTTGTTCGTCAATTCTCCGTGGATTGGGCGGTTCTCAGGGTTCCAGGCGTACCGTCAACATTAACGGGAGATTGGTATCTGGCAACTGCGTGACAAAGGCACCCGCTAACTATTTCTGTGAGAGCTCGACGATCGCAGCATCCACTCAATGCGCTCGCTGCATTCCACGCTCCAACTGGGCCAGCATCGACTTTCCGTCGGGATTCGGGTATGGTGGGTTGGGAGATTTGCTGGCTGGGGCTAACGGGTTCCGAGATGTGAGCGACAAATTTAAGAAGGCCGTATTGTGTACGTACATTGTGTAAGTTTTGTTTATTGGAATGGTTGTGAATAGATTGGCCTGGAGCTTTTGAATTGTGTGCGCAGTTCCATCCACAACTCACTCGGGTCTTCCCTCTCCGATTTCCCCGCCGTAAGCCCAGCCGACCCGCTATTCTTCAGCATCCAGTACGTGCTATCGTGAGTTCCGTCACAATTTGGTGACTGCCCCTACTTACTTCTACGCTGCAGTGCTACCATGGATCTAGTGCTGCAGGTCTACATTGAGTGCCGACTCGGAGACAACCTAGTCCCGACCGACACGGGCGTATCTCGGTGGGCATTCCAGAAGAGTTCTGATCTCTTAGGTGTCGTGCCCCCAACGGAGACGTCACTGGTGAAGCAGCTGTGGATGCTCAACGAATCTTACGCGGCGTCCAGGAGCCCCATCCGGGTGGAGGATCATCCAAAACTCGGGCAATTCTTCAAGCCGCTGCCGACCAAATACTGGGAATTCGTCAACAGCAACCAACTCGGACAGTATTCCTACAAGTACCAGCGCGACGACATCTTCAAAAACATCACGAGCTACCCCTCTGCGTGTCCTAAGCTCGCAACGTCAACGACGACCGCCACCCAGACTGGCATTTCTCCCGGGACCGTAGCTCCAGCCACCCTTCGAAGTAGTGGACTTGGATACCCAAAGCGGCTCGACAACCGGGTCGGACGGAGATATCGCAACATCAAGCAACTTTCGTCGCTCTGCTGGTTCGGGGGGAGTTGAGACCAGCTCTATTGACTCTGACGACGCGCAGGAGCTAGCTATCGACTTTGTAGGAGCTGTTGTAAATGCCACTCTCCATGCCGGCGGGACCGAGAAAATGGCATTCAACCAGGCCGAGCTCATGGAATGCCAGTACTACAATGACAATATCGCCGATGTGGAGGATTATACGCCTGTGTTCCGCAACAACTTCGGCTTAAGTCCCGATGACCACCCGCGCTGCTGGGATTTTACTCAATAAAATATGGGCGGGTAACCTTCGAATCCGCATCCCTGACTGGCGCGACATCATGAATGACCACTTCAACAGCAGCAACGACAGCGGATCCTTTCGAGAAGAAAGTGGTATCTAGTGGCAGAGTTGGGAGGATAATGGATGCGTTGAGTTGAAATACAGCGTGCCGCCCTAGCATTCATTGGAAATATTTTGCTTTCCTTGTAGCGATATCCAGCAGCGGGTAGTGCATCCTTGCACAAGTAAGTGATTTCTTTTCGCTGAACGCTTGGCTTCCGTTTAATTCCTTATCCGTGGGATTCTGCGTGTTTCCTACTTCGAAGTAGTAAATACAACAAAGCTGCTTGTTCATCAGACGGTGGGTCGTCGAAGAACAGACCAGCAAATGGTAATCTCCTACAATAGATTACGACTGCTTTACAATGATGCAATCGATGAGACCACGATCACTCAGCTTCACGTCATTTCTCATCTACATCCCGAAGTATCACATGGTTAAGAAAACTGACTGCAGCGTTCGCCTTCCAGCGTTGATGTGCTTTTTGATCCAGTCGTAAGGGGACTTGCGGGTCGTGTCCAGTTGCCGGGCTAGCGTCTCCAACAGCGTTGCAATCGGCTGTCAATCGCTCGAGGTTTTGCTGGGGAGTTGCGGTCGTGGAGTGGTTTGCGCCTGACTCGATGAGCTCAGTGCATAGAAAATGTGAATGGTGATGGTCCATCAATATCCATTACCCACTAGTATAGCAGCATCCTCACGGCGAATTTTCGCCCCGGTTGCTAGAGGCGCATTGATTCGGGAAATGTTGTATCTTAGCTTCTCAGCACCGCCCCAAGTATCCTATACACACTCATACTTTCACCAAATTGGTTTCAAAAATATAGCACGAAGTGCCGGGTTTGCATCAGATTTTATTAAAATGACCGGGCTTGGAGTTTAATACTTATATATAAGTATGGAAAACGGTATAGGCAGCACGGGGACCGATGCCACGAGCAAGCGCAGCGAGCACTGGTAGACAACGCGCGTGTTCCCGACGTTGCACACATGCTGATCAACTAGAACTTGCATGTCCGAGTCATCCGTCGCCGCCATAAATGAAGACAGGAAAGAGGCTTGACGTAACAGCAAGGGATCTCGTGCCACATCTGGTAGTGCCGTCGTAGCTTTCGACCTCTTTCAACCGTAAATCAATGTATAGTCTTTTACTTAGTCCTGGTTTCCATGCTACAGTAGTATATAAACACTTTGCGAATCATTATAAGTGGCTTTGGCGTTGCCACCGTTGGCCGCTGAATCGATTGCAACAAATTTCCGGGTGGACATCGTTAAATATCCCCCACAGTACCAGGCTAAATCGTGCTCGAGCATTCAGCAAGCCAATATATCAGTAAGCTTGTAACTCATGGCGAAAAATTCAGTCACATTACATTCAACAACCACCGGTATGCACATTTGCTCTTACATTACATTAATTTAAAGCTCATTGAAACAGCGAGACCAGCAGTGTGCCCCCAAACACGTAAGTGCTTTTCACAATAACACAAACTCACTGTAAGTGATTTAAAAGAGCTTCAAGATGAACGACTACACGTCTGACTTCACATACATGTTCGCCAGATTCACTATACAGTAACAAACATTTAACAAACGCTAGTGTTAGCTATACATTTGGCGTTTGTGTAAACATGCAAGACCAAAAGTTGGTGCCAGAATTGCACATTGCTACTTTAACTTGCTCAGGAAATAGCATGCAATTTTGGAGAGCAACGACGTCTTACTTCCTGCGCAAATGACAATACTTCGTCTATTTATCAAGGTTGTCAGAATAATATACCAAATGTCAGGGCAAAAAGAGAATTCTCCACGTTTTCTTCACAGCTACAGAGCATACATCCTGGCTATTGTCTCCACTATATGGCACGTCTGGCCTAGTCACCGCTTTCTGTATCATGCCAATCTTCGCAATCGGTTGCCCCCGCTGCTGCAGAACTGTGTGTAGCAAGCGATTTATAGATTTCTTCAGTCAACGATTGCAGCAACTAATATGGCAACGAATTCTAGTGCTGCCTTCTTGCTTCCGCATGAGTGGTTCGTAATAGTTAGCGGTAGCATAGTATAGCCTTTGGATTTAGACTTCACTGATCCATGCCAGTTTTGCCAAGGACCTATCAGTGTACTGACCGATACCTTGAATTAGGTTATCTATGAATAACTTAATCCAAACGACTCTTCAGTACATTTTTCGTACGTTAGCGGAGACTTTTTATGGAGCTGCCTGACCTCTCATAGGGTTTTTACGGCGGGCTCCACTGTCATTTGCCTCCGTTTAACCGGAGTTCAGCCACCCCTTGAAAAGGGTTCCACGGTCCATGTGCATAAATCGTCGGTCGTCAACTCTTACCTTAAACTTCAACGATTAACGCAATCGTTTGTTTGCTGATACAAACGGGGCGATCTCCGGTTCGATAAAAAGTTGACCTCATTTTAATAACTTGTTATATTGTGTGTTCTGTTCCAAATTTCCATGGGCGGTTTGTTGAACCGCCCGAGCCAAATCTCCGGCCAATCTCCGGGGCCACTAGGATTGGTTATAGACACCCGTTTAAGTACGTATTGGCCTTGAGATGCACCATATGGTTTGGGCCCGGAGATTGGGCAAATGACTTGAGTTTTGTATTTAGCGATTGGAGCGGGGTCTCCAAACCGCCGCGAATTGGAAATTTTGACCGGAATTCACAATACCTTCGACAAGGTAACATTTGAAGGGTCGCGTTTGGGCGCCGTTCAACATGAGTTCGTGTGTTCTTTCAAAGAGATAAAATTCGATCGAAATCGCCCCCGGGCAGGCTATGATACAGTTAATATCCCGAATAAAACGATGTAATCTATTTGGAAAGGTTTAATTTTACTAAACCCTGGCGGGAGTTTTGGCGCGAACTACTGCGCACCAGTCATTGCCACATAGCAACAGCAGCAAGCCCGAAGCAGGTCTTCATACCAGAATTTTCACTGAGCCAAACAAGTACAAGCACGCCATGGGGGCCTGGATGAAAATACATCAGAAGCGAGGCCTCATACAGAAGGCAGCCGACTGCCCCACGATGTCACAAGCAGCGCTCGCAGCGTGGACAAAAGCACACTACAAACTCAAGCGCGCACCAGCCCAGTCGACCGTGTCCGACATACTCAAGATGGCTGCGTTGATCATGAGCAAGGACTACGGCGATGGCAACCCCCGCAAGCCCCTGAAGGTGACCTCGGCGGCGCTGGAGGCGCGACTGTGGGCGTGGATTCAAGCGGTGGAGGCCCAGAACGTCTGTCTGTCCCGCGAGCTGATAAGGATGAAAGCGATTGACATTCAGCGTGAGCTGTGCGACGCATGGACCTGGGGTTTTCCGACGGCTGGCTCACTGCATTTGAACATAGGCATCGCCTTCGCTTCCGCAATCGACTCGGCGGGTCTGGATCCGCTGATCCCGCTGTTGTAGCTCAAGGTCGTCAACGACTCCAAGAAATCACGGATCTCTACCCTGCAAAGGACATCTACAATATGGACGAGACGGGGCTTTGCTACGCAATGGCCCCCGCTCGGTCTATTTTTCGAAGCGGGCGCGAGGAGTCAAGAAGAAGAAGACCCGTATTACGCTTGCTCTCACGGTGAAAGCTGACGGCACGGACGCACTACCGCCGTTGTTCCTGGGTCGCGCCAAGCAGCCTCATTGCTTTGAGAAGCGCTCGGCAGAAAGCCTCGGCTTTTCATACCGGGCTAATGCGAAGGCCTAGTTCATTTGCCCTACCCTTTTCTCAATTGTAATACAGGGGTTCATAAATTGGAGTAAAAAGTACCTGTAAAAAGGGTAAAAAGTATTTATGCACATTTCATTATATGGGGGGTTATGCCCCAATAACCACTATTAATGGGGGGAATCGTGTCTCAAGGGACCTACCCTAAGGCCATACAAAAACCAAGTATAATGACCCGCTGAGACCTTGAATTCTAAGCTGCTTGCAGCTCAACGCCAAGACTGCTCTGTTGCTCTCGTCCTATTGCTATTATTTCCGGTTTCGCGTTCCACATCTCAATGCACCCTCTCCGAGCCCGATATGTCCTCGCTTCATCTGGGATGAGTGTCACCTCCTGGAACAGCGCGTGTTGGAACCATGGTGCGACCAGTGACGAGGTACTGTACAGCAACAACCTTGTCCCCGTGTGATGCTCGTTGCTTGGTTGTAGATAGCTGTTCAAGAGAGGGCTACCGTGGGAAGAAGGCGCTTAGCAGTAGGTCTACTCGAGGATTGAAGTGGGCGACAGTATGTAACGCCCTCTGACTTGTGCAGATAGTCGTGGGGGCCAGGACCTCTGAGTCAGAGACGTGTGTGTAGGCTTCGATTGCACTTACGCCGCCGACAGCGAGGCTTCGGGCGTCCAAATCGCTCAGCATGGAAAAGTACGAAGCGCGAATATAGACCTGTTGATGATAGCCTGCGTTACTGTATAGTCTGTAGCTAGGGAAACTACCATAGGCCTATGGAGTCCATAGGCCTATGGTAGGGTCCATAATGGACCCTATCCGAAAGATATTGATGGCGCCTGTTCCCTCCGCTTTCCCTGATTATTTTCGAAGCACTGTGTGAGCTTCGTCCAGATCCGCGAGACGCAGAGTGGGGAGGACGGGGCCGTGCTCTACGTGGTGAAAGTGCATCAAAATCAGCCAGACCCACCTCCGCCTCCAGCGCTTCAAGGCGATGACACTCCCGCAGCTTCGCCTCCGTCAGCCCGTTCGGCCTCCGTGATACACCGGTCGTTTTCCAACTTTGAACAACTGCGCGACCGAATGTTGAGGGCAGTGAGCGTTGTGCCTCAGTGCACATGTCAGTACTGTGCTGTATATGCGCTACAAACTCAGCCAGCCTCGCACCATCGTCAAGATCACCACCGGGCAGGAGAAGCGCAAGAAGATTCTCACCCAGTTCATGAACGACTTGGTGGCCATGGGCAAGCGTCGAGTGCACAAGACTGGCAAGCGTCGGTGCGAAGCGCAGACTCTCGTTCCGATACTGCTGGAGGACTTTCTACTTGGACGCGAATTGCACAAGCACCAGCAGTGAAATTTTCTAGCAAAACTCTCAGTCAGTCGTTGTCGATCGCGCTGGTCGAGTTGTTTGTGAGACTTTCATGTAGCCACGCGAATGTAAATGTGTAGTCGAAGCCTACAACGGCGTCAGCGTCTGCATCAGATACCTCGATACTACAGTTTAACCAGCAAATGAAAGATGACTAGGTGTAAGACAGTAACGTGGTGTTGCAACGAGGCTTGAACGTTGTAGAAGACCCAGAAGCAAATTTTGATCTGCACACCGGGTCACTGCTTGTCGAGTACGAAGGCTAGTTGACGGATGGCAGAGAACCCCAAGCGATGTTGCAGCACGGCACAGAGCAGCACCAACGAGATGAACTGCAATCCGCAGTTGAACATGACGTTGATCAGCGCTTTTTCAAGCTCAGCCTCTGTGAGTTTGGCTCGGTTGGGCAGTGTGTACATGGCGCCCATGTAATTTGCTGTCAACGTGTAGATTCCGTCAGAACATTTGTTTTAGTCGGAAGATATATTATCATGGATACTTACAAAAGATGAGAGGAATAAAAACACCGACGTAGTAAACGAGGACGAGGAGCTCCGTCAAGTACAACAGCCGCCGAACTTCCAGAATATAATGAACAGAAACAGCAGCCATTTCCTGAGAAACACGGTGTGGCTCCACCAATTCTGCATTGATGGCGTCTGGTTCGGGATGGATGCGACCTCCAACCGGTTGTAGTTGTAGAGTACTGCAACGAGTCTGCTAACGCCAGCTCGCCAGCGGGCCGCCGCCCGTAGTGCTTTTGCTGTGTCCACGCCAAGGTCCGCTGCCATGAGGGGTTTGTCACTTCAACATCAACACCTGTGGGCCACCGCAAAGCAGCCGGGACCTACGCCCCTATTTATTAACCTCAGTACAACCAGGGCAGCTCGTTGTCGTTCTGCGACTCGCTCTCGTCGTTCGTCAGCTCGTCCACGTCCGGCAGCTCGTTCTCGTCCGTCAGTTCGTCCTCGTTCGTCAGCTCGCCGTGCGCCGCTGCAAGGGCTGCGGGTGCCCCCACTTGCTCTCGTCCGGGTACAAACCCAAGTGAGCGCCGCTAGCTCGCGCGGCGACGGAGCACGCCACCCGTCGCGCGCTGCTCACGACTCTCTTCGATCCGTTCCTCGGACCGCTGCCCACGGCGACCCTCTAGCCCAAAGATCCTTCATGTGCGGTTCTCCGCATGGTTGCCACTTCGGGCTGTCGTTGGCGCTTGGGCTCTGCAACCGCTGCCGCGATCACCGTCTGGCATGGCTACATTTCATACCTGTTACAGTACTGCGCGAATCTAAATCTTTGACGTCCAATTTACTGTTTTACACGTGAATTTTGCTCATTCGTTTGGTCTCAAATTGGGTTACCTTTTTTACTTCCCTTATTTCACCCTGACCGGAACTTTTACCCGGAACTCTTTCTTAGTGAAAAAGAGCGCATGTTTTCAATGACCTGAGAATAACCCGGAGAAGATATATTTGCCAAGTTCATGCGGGCATATATATCATCTACATCGCCATCTACTCTAAGAAACTATTATTATCCAAATCTCTCACAAAACTATACTTATCCGCAGCATTCTCGCATGGGAAGGCCCCATGGCAATACTGGTAAGGCAGCAGCACATACCATCTTCCTGCTTTCCGCACAAGCGCAGCTCCCTGTTCAACCACAACCAACTCTCGAGACGTCTAGATGACCCGCCAGGGCACTCGTGCCCAGCAAAAGATGAAGCGCTCCGTCCGTCGCAAGGTCGGCGATGATGCGAGTGGGAACACTCGAGTTGCAAGCGCTGTCCCTTGATGATCCATCTGACCAAGTCCAAGCTGCCGGTGATCACGTGATGCTACCCCCTGCTAGCCAGGAACCCATGCCACGAGCCAAGAAAAAGCGAGGGTCGAAAACGATCAAGATCTACAAGGGCTTTCGATATTGCAAGAACTGGTACTCGAAGAAGCACATTGCATATCGCTGCAGTACTTCGAAGACTTCTGGCTGTAAGGCCACGCTCAAAGTAACCCCGGCCGCTGTTTGATGGGTGGAGGGTGAGCACAAATGATGAGACCGACGCAATGAAACGAACTACAGATCAGCTAGCAACCCAAAATCCAACAATGCCAGAGGGCGACATTTGGGAGCAAGTATGCGAGGCGTTCTACGGTCCCGATAGAGAAGAGCTGTTAGACGGATTGACAGAGGAGCAAGTTATCGGGCGTATCCGTCGCATTCGCCGCCGATACTACGGTGGTGATATTCACGGAGTTGTGGAAGTCCCTCCCTTCTCCAAAGTGAAAGACTCGGCCATCCCATTCTTCCGGTTCCATTTGGTGACGGCCCACCCCGATTCTAAGGGCCCATCCTGCGTTGAAAGAGCTCCTACTCTACAACAGCGTATCTCTTTTCCTCGACGGTACTTTTCGATCTGTACCACGAGGATTTCGCCAGTGCTTGATCTTAATGGTGGATGACCCAGCGCGTAACCTGTTCACACCGGTATACTTCGTGCTCTGTACGTCCCAGACTGAGTCCATGTACGACGATATCCTGCATCTCATCTACCGCGACACCGGCAAAAAGCTCAATCCTACAATTGTCCATGCTCACGCCGTGAGTGGAAACATTTTTGGGTTTACTTAGAAAAACCTGGCTTGAGCGATACTACATCACAGAGTGGAATGTGTTTGGTATCGCCAATACTATCGTGGCGCGCACAAACAACCCCTTGGAGAGGTTTAACAGGGAGATGAACGCCGCGTTCAAGCCCCACCCCAAGCTTCGACACTTTGTTTCTACAATTGCCAAAATTTCAACTGCTTACGCGCAGCGGCAAGCCAACATCACGCGCGGTCTACGCAAGAAGAAACAGCGTCCACCACGCGTTGAGTTGCCGGCTGCCCCCGACTTAGCAACATTGGAAGTTCCGCCTGAGTCGGAAGATGAAGGTGACTATGATGAGCTTGGCGACCAGTCCGACGGCTCAGTCGAATCAGCTCGTAGTGGCGAAGCTGATCACTCTTCGGAGGAAGATGAGCCACCCCGAAATGCGCAGTCGGCCGAAGACTTGCAGCAGGAAATTGATGAGCACGCTAACACTTACAACTTCTTCCTTGACTCGGACAGTGACCACGATCCAGATGAAGAAAATGGCGTGGAGGTGTGGTCATTCTAGCCCCCAGACTGCGATCATGCTGCGACGCGCTGAATAGTCGAGCTACGCACCTGCATAACTCAACACACACCATAACTTACATTAAACACTGCTATTAAATATCACTTCAATGCACACTCTTGCTTTACCCGGATGTTTGGCCTGACCTGGTGTTTTACCCGGGAAAAAGGTCCGGGTAAAAGTTCCGGTCAGGGTGAAATAAGGGTAGTAAAAAATCCTACCTCAAATTGAATGGCGCCAGCTAGCAGTACGCTCCAAAGTACTCAGCTTACGCCCACCACCACTGGACTTCGCGACATTCTGGCGCGGATTGCCATGTTCTCCCGCGAGATGCTTCTCCAACAATTCCGTCCTGTGGGCTGCAATATTCACGTCTCGCAGTGACATCGACAACTGAACGAGAAGAGCTGCGGTCACCATCAGAGTCGTGCCGAACGACGGAGAACTCTGCATGCAATACGACACGAAGAGCGCGTTGAACACCTCCGAGTTGAACACGACCACCTCCGGCATTTCATCGCTCAGGTGCACCGCCGTCATAGTGAAGATTTTGCGCATGGCGAACTTAATCACTGGGAGCAGCGCCGCAAAGAACATTTGACCCGTTTTGGACAGCGTCGTGAACGTGTAGAAGTACGGCGGGTAGATCACAACGAGCAACACCTCGACCGTCAGAACCTTGGCCGTGTTAAGCACCATGGTTTCTATCCCAGGGTTCTGCCGGATCAACCTCAGCCATTCAATCGCCATGGAGATCGTGATGAACACGACCCACGACGGGATCGCGATTATGATCGAGAACGGGACAGGGAAACCGGTCCACAATGCCAAGCCGTACAGCACGGCAACCGTGAGGAAAGCGATGACAATTGAGTTCCTGACCACCCTCCAGTTGGGGTACGGTAGCGCTCGTACGCTTGTTCGGAACTGCTGAGCACACAAGAAGCTGATGATCACGAACGTGTAGAACTGCCGCACTTGAAACATTTTGTTGGCTTCAACCCCGTCGGATGGGTCAGCTAGAGGCAGGACGTCACTCAGTACTGTGATGGTCAAACATGCCAGTGGGGTGACCAGCAACATCATGGCGATGTGAGCCCAGCTCTTCTCTTGAGTATATTGTGCCAGTGCCAGCACTCGATCCGTGGAGTAGGCTCCGTGTAGCTCTACTTGCGTTCGCTCCCAAGCGTTGATCAGTCTGTCGTTAAGACCTGGCATCTTGAGGTAAAACCAGCAATGCTAAAATGAAATACTGATGCGGTGGGATGCAGAGCGATGAATAGCAATGATAAACGAGGTGATAACAACGCTGTTGAGTCTTGATCATGATTGACTGTACTAAAAATGAGCATTCATCATTGAGTATAAATGGAGTTGAAAGACAGGCATTTGAATTCGCATCGGTGCGCTAAGATTAGCGGTATTGTATAATCCTGCAACAATGACGCTTATCCGGAATGCGTGATCGACGAAGGGAACGTCAATTAACTATAATAAGACGACTGATCGATCACTTATTCCCTGAGCGTAAGGCGCACTAACGTTCACAATACAATACAAGACGACTGAAAGACACGATGCTCCGCAACATGTATCTAGTTTTTCACAGCTTGAGCTGCGGCTCATTCGGATGCACCTCCACCAAAGCACGGTTCCGGCCCCGTCAGGGCAAGTCTCGCAAATCTTGATGCAATTCACGGTACTCAGGAACTTAAGCGCGACTATAGTCTTCCAGCGTCGATGAGCTTCATGATCCACTCGTGATTGGGGTTGTTGTTCTTGCGTCGGCCGATCACTTGAGGATGTATCGTCGTTGAGAGCATGGCAGTCTGCTACCAACGGCGCCAGATCCCGATGGGGGGGGGATGGCAGTGGTTGCCTCCATCGTGGTCCAACGAGCGGTAATGAAGAACCCAACACCACCATGCATCTACATGTAGATACCTACATTTTCTCAGCGCCGTTCCAGCTGATGAACAGGGTTAATCGATCACTTAAATCTATAAAATAATTATCCTTGCATGGAGAATGTTTTTATGGATACACGTACTTACGTTTGCAGTTCTCCTGCAGTTGAGACGTTCAATTTTTGGGTCGAACTCCCTGTATTACAGGTCACAAAAGGAAGGAGGATTTGGGATGGTGAGCGTCCCCACCGAGGCGGTACTTTACCATCTTCAAGCGTGTCAAAGCCGAATCGACGCAATGGAGACGGTGTCCACCCGTGGCAGCCTGGCGCCGCTCTCGCCTAGCTCGCCCCCTGCGACGGTGACTCAAAGCGGCGAGGCCATCGAGGTGACGAGCACTCCACCGCTGCAAGAGCCCCGCCGCCACCTCAACCCCTTTGCCCACCGGCGCTGGAAGGCGAGCACGTCCGTGGAATTCCTGACCAGCATCAAGCACGTCGACATCATCGGCACCCACGTCAACCCCAGCAAGGATCGAGCGGTGGTTTACGACCTGGAGGTGCATCTGAAGCGCCCCACATCACGGTTGGCCCCCTCAACCGATACCCCCTCAACTGATACCGACCGCTTGACGTTCGTGGTCGCTCGGAGCTTCTCGGACTTCTCCGAGCTGCGCGACGGAGTGAAAAACGCAGTGAGTGGCACGCCCCCGTGCACGTGCGAGTACTGCCTGGAGCTGCTGATCTACGTCCGCTTCAGCTTGACCCAGCCGCGCGGAATCGTCAAGCCCTTTGCAGCTACCGAGACGTGCAAGAAGATGCTTGCGCAGTTCATCAACGACGTGGTGTTCTTGGGCAGACGTCGAGCGGAGAAGGTCGGCAGTCGCGCGTGTGAGGCGCAGTTGATCATTCCAGGACTACTGGACGATTTTTTACTGGGGACGACGCGTCAAACGTGAACATTCTTTGGTGTGTGAGGTATCTACGCTAACTGTCCTCATTAGATCAACTATGGTGCCGTGTATTATTCCTATTCATGATAACTCACTCCTCTTAGCTGAACGTCTGCGTCTTGGTGGGGGACGCTCGCTTGGCCTTGATATGCTGCTTCTGCAACTTAGTGAGCACCGCATTTGTCACCTTGAGGCGCAGCGCACGCTCGGTCAGCGGCGCTTCTGCGAGCAGGTCGTCCGCCTTGTCAGCGAATGTGTTGAAGAACTGCATGATCTCGTCGATGGGTTTGTCCATGACGAACTCATTGGACAGCTGCAGTAGCGCCACCGCCACTCGCAGCATGATCTTCCAGTTCCGTTCAAAGAGGAAGATATCCCAGATCCGATCCAACGCCTCGGCGGGCAGCACGTTCAGGTACAAATACAGCGTCTGGAACCACCCGACGGCGAACATCTCGATCGGCATCTTCTCGCTAGCGAAATGCTCGGCCAGAGCGGGCTCTGTCAGCTCCAGCAGCCTCTGCGTCTGGAAGCAATGCACGTGCAGCGTGTGCAGCCCCGGAGCAAACATGTCGTGCAACCCATAGCGCTCGAACAGAGTCACCAGTAACCAGAAGGTACTCTCCGCTTCGGCCTTGGTATCAGCAGCGGAGCCGCTCTTCTTGACCTTGTACAGCACGTGAGCAGCGATGTAATCCATGCCCTGACAGTACCCAACCGCTGGGAATCGGCCCGCCAACGCGTGCAGAATCTCGCTCAGTTGTGTGGTCAAGTCTTCCTCCGACACTTCGTCCTTGTGATTGGCCGCTCGCTTGTGAGGCGCCACTCGGCCGTACGTGCGGCGCACGTCCGTCATGATCAACTCCGTCGTGTCGCCCTTGGACAACGCCATCTGCAAGTACGTGTCGTAGTCAAACTCGGACGCCTCACGCGTCTTGCCGAACTTGGTCGTTTTCTCCCAGTACGCGAAGCGGATGCTGGGCGGGAGATAGCCGTAGCGTACGCAGAACTTCTCCAGTTTTCGCTCTGAGGCGATAAAGTCCCTGCAAGCTTTATTCACGCAGGATACTCGAGCTAGGACGGGCAGGTCGCCGCAGAAGAGCAGGATGGTGCCCAGTACGTAAGGCGTGGCGAAGCACTGGCTCGCTGGTGTGGTTGGTGCTGCCTCATTCTCAACCGAATGAGTGCTGGAGTTGCTGATAGCTCGTGCTGCGTCGCAATAAGTATACATGTCAGCCTGACAGGACTATGAGTTATCAAGAAACAAAGGCTCAACCTACACATTCTCAAGAGCCCCATCGCCGCCTTCGAAGGTGATTCGGCCGGAACCGGTACATTGGAAGTCTTGTACTTCTCCAGAAAAAAGCAGCTGACACTCCTTGGGTCCTCCACGCATACGAGCGCCTCCACTGTGGTGTCTCCCAGATAAATGTCCGTCATGACGTTGAGCCCCATGGTGTGGATCCTCTCGGCCACAGGCCCCGCCGCCGCCAGCTTGGTCTTCAACATGCTCCAGCCTTGAGTGGATCCCTCCTTCATCTTACTCGCCGCTGTCGTCAAGCCTAGAATCACCCCAAAAAGTACACAAAAACTAAGTATCCGATACCAATATCCACCCCCTATAGGATCCTAAATCCTACGAACCTGCAGTGGCGGACGTCTTGGCCTTGACGATCGTGGGCTGGTACTTCTCCAACCTGTCATGCACAAAGTGTAGCCATTTAGAAACGTCCATCCTAAAATCCCCTAATGCCCCCAAAAGGATCCTCCTCACTCACTTCTTGCTCGTCATGTCCTTCATGTTGAGTAATTGCGGCCCGAGCGTCTTCTTGGCCGTGGCCGCGCGATCTTTCATCATCCCAAAGGCGCCGGCCAGGCCGTGCGCGTTGCCGGTGGCCGTGGGGGCGCTCGCCGGATCCAGCGGCTTGAGCACCGGCGCGGCGGGCGGCAGTTTCTCGCTCGGCTCCTCTCCGCCGGAGCTCGAGGCCGGCGAGGACGCCGCGGGCGACGCCAAGTCGGCGGGCGTGGGCGCCACCGGCACGGGCGACGCGGCGACGGCGGCGGCGGCTACCGATACAGTCTCCATTGCGCCAGAGTTCGAGTGACTGACGTCCTAAGCCAGCAAGCAGCTCCTGCTCTTATGCGAGAAACTGTCGAGCTTTTACGGCCGGATGGAATGGATGATGATGATGAGGCGGCTAAGTCTGGATTTGTAGCGAGCGAAAATAGGCGGGGCGGACTGGGAGCTTCACCGAGATGGCCGACGCCAGCTAAGAGCAGAGGACCGGGCTGCCTAAGGTGTCGATGGGCCTCCTGACTCGTTGCTTCTACGTTGGAGGAACGCATTCGAGCCACGACTTTGGACTCCTGTTCCGCCCAGTTGGGCAGAACGACTCGACGAATGCGTTATCTGCGCTCGCTCCTCTTCGGTTGACCACCAGCGTGTGGCAACCGTAACTCACGCTTTCCTCGCCGAATCCATGATCCATGGTCGAGGATAGATTGGAGAGGTCGTTCATTGCAGGCTTCACACTCGAGGTGCTGGTGAAAGCCACGGCCAACGGCGCTATACGAGCCTGTGATGTCTCCAGCTTTTTGCTAGAATTTTCAAGCCGTTTGGCTTGCTGTAGTCGCGGCTTTCGTCGCATTCTCCCTTCCAGCTCCGTGGGACGTCGATTCAAGCCATGGCGGCGCTGTTGCTGCGCGTGCTCGTCGTCCTCCCCGCATTCTTTAGCGTCGTTGCCGGCTCGGCGGCGTCCTGCAACACTTCGGAGCTCCTCTCTGCGCTGCAGCCGCTGCGATCCAGCGCCAACTACTCCATGTGCCAGGTGGACGCCAACGCCGCCGCCATCTGCGTCAGCTCGGCCTGCAAGTCCCTCATGGCACCGCTCGCAGGGCTCAACCTTCCCGTCTGCCAGCTCGCGCTCAAGGGCATCGAGTTCAACACGGCCGCACTCCGCTCGCTCTCGTCCGCCTCCTGCCAGCAGCAGCAGCAGTTCCAGCAAGACGCATCCGCCGCCAACATGTTGTGGACCATTCTCCGCCTCATGCGCTGACTATGAAACGGACAGAAGGACACCGGCGGACATCTTCAGACTCAGATACCCAGAATTATGGTACCAATCTGATAAGAGTAAAATGACCCCAAAAATGAAGCATTAACGAACCCATTTTCCCCATTAATCTCCTAAAATGGACATGCTGAACGTGGACGTCCTCCCGCAGCACGACGGGGACGACGAGGGCGGCGACGACCACGCACTGTTGCGTCTACACGTGTCCTCCAGCGGCCTCCAAGACGGCAGCGACGACGCCGCAGCGTACGACGCGTCGCAGCCCTCGGAAGGCCCGTCCCCTTCCTCTCCACTCGGTCGCCGCTCGGGCTCGGGCGCGCGCCGCCGCCGCAAGGTCAGCAAGGGCCTGCAGCTCATTCTATTGCGCAAGTACGTGCAGTGCGCCAAGCAGTTCAACCGCGTGCCCGACCGCCTCACGACGGAGCAGCTGCTGGACCAGGGCTACGACGAGTTCTACTACCAGGGAGGCAGCCTCAGCGAGCCGCGCATGAACTACACGGCGTTCCTCAAGCTCGTGCGCAACAGGAGAAGCGAGGTGGTCAGGCAGACGAGAGGAGGCGCACCCATTTCGCAGCGGTGAGAGCTCCTTTTTGCGGGGTTTTAGAGGTTCTGGAGAGGAATATTGATGGAGTTATGGGTGTTTTTGGTGCTTAGAGGAGGAACGAGGCGATACCAGAAGGAGCAGATGGAGATCCAAGCGCTGATTGATGAGTTGGAGCACGTCCGACATGGGCAGCCAAGAGGAGCGCTGGAGTATGACGCTCTGGGGGCGGGGACGGCTGCTGATCACATGCATTCGGTGACGACGGACACGTCCGTGCCGATTCTCTCGGACTCGTCGTCGATCATGGGCGACGCCGGCACGGACGGAGGAGTGTCGGCCGGGGACCTGTCCACGGCGGAGACGTACACGTCCGTAATGGCGGGCGCCGCGGGAGGCGGCAACGATGACGTCGTCGTTTCGAGGTCTAAGCTGGATTTGATGCTCCGGGTGGCGCAGGAAACGCTCCTGGCGCAGAAGAAGATTCTCGAGGAGGTGAGAGCCATGGAACAGCGCGTCGCGGGGATTCACTAGGCAAAGCTTTTCTGATTGACGGGGAGGTGATGTATGCGAACAAGGGCCAGCCCTGCCGTGGTCGAGTATTTTTTCGGTAATGTATCATGTTTAATCTTGACGGTTGGGTCTCAATGCTGGTGTGAAGTATCCGATACGTGTGGGAAACGAGTCAAGTGTGTTGTCTATCTATCTATGGTGGTTGTGTACGAAGCGTCGGTTGCATCCAGACGGCGGCACAAGTCTAGGAAGCAGTCGCAAAAGCTCGATATCTTCACCGATGGCGAACCTCATCGAGAAGATCGGTCGCTTCTTCGCGGAGCAGGAGGCGCAGATCCAGGAGTCGTTCACGCAAGTCGCTCAGGCCCCAGCTCGGGCATCGTCACCATTGTCCAGACCCCAGCCTCCTGTACACAAGGTTCCCCAACCGTACGCGCATCCACCAGAATTTGGGCAAGGATCTCCGGCTTCAAGTGCTGCACAAAGGCCACCTCGTGGTCACTCGCTAGTTCGGCGACGTATGCCATTCAAGGCTGCTGCGGAGCCTACCCCAACGCCAACGCCGCAGTTTCCTCAAAGCTCGGAAGAAGGTATCGATCAGCTACTCGACGAACTTCAACGCCAGAGCAAAGCCCATGACGTCTCGCCCTCGATTCCGAGCATGCCAACGCGACCAGCAAAGCTTTCGCTACCCCGAGACGACATTTGGAACCACCATTTGAGCGGCGACGTAGTTTCATGGGCTTCGTCTCCCTCTTCGGTATCCACAACCAGCACCAAGATCTTGAGCACTAAAGATGAGGACGCAGCTGAAAGAGCTCGCAAGCCACGGCCGCCACAGCAGAAGCATCGCAAGCGTCTCCGCAAGAAAAAGAGTGGAGTGTCAAAGCGTCCAGGCAACCAGGAGGACGACCAACCCGATCCCAAACAGCTAGCGAAAGAGAACGCTGAGAAGGTCGCAGCAGCGCTAGTTCTCGCTCAAGAGCGCGCCAAGCGTATTCAACAGGAAAAGCTCCAGCTGGATCGAGAACGGGAGCTGGAACGCCAGGAGGCAGCGCTGAGGCTGCAGGAGCAGATGCTGAGGATTGAAGCAGTCCGTGCAAGGTCGTTCAGACAACCTTCGACATCGACGATGACGACTGCGCGCTCGTCGCTATCAAACGGTGAGCCCAGTCATGACACGGAGTCGGTTTGGACCGCGGATACGAACGATATGATGGGGCATCACAAACCACCGAGCGACTTCATGGTGGAGCTCGAAGCTCGGCTTCGAGACAAAGTAAGCTATGCCGGCTATTGGTGTGAGTTTCTTTGTGTACTAACAGTTATTTGTTGCTAGATGTCGCTGGAGATGCACGTGAAGCAGAGCAACATCGAAAAGCACAGGCAGCGCGAACGCGTGCGTCTAAAGCTCGACAAGGTTCTCCAGCAAAATATCGCTCAACGCTCCAAAGTGGCTCGACTGTCAGCTATGAAAGCTTCACTTGAGATGGAACTCGCCGCTGTCCTGGACGACACGGCTCAAACACGTCAGCAACGCCGAGAGCTTGAGCTTGCTGACGAAAAAGAACGGCTTAGACGGCAACGAGAAGCGGAGAGGGAGCTGCAGATCCGTCTGCGGGAGGAAGAGTGGAGTAAAATGATGGAGGAGGAGAAGGCGCGGTCTGAGGTTGCTGCTGAAGCACGAGAGAAAGCCAGCAAGCGGGTGGAAGAACACTCCGCCAAGCTCAGGAGAATGATGCAGTCGAGCCCCGCAGCAGGTCTTTGAGAAATTCGTCATCCACTTCAAGCACCAGCAACAACGGCGAGCACAGCGATGGCGACGGTGATGAAGGATGTAACGTGGCGATGGCTGAGGACCAAGTGAGTGAACCTACGCAGCCGTTCAAGATGAACTTCTTCCTGCCACCGGAGCTCGCAGACTTCGAAGAGGATGGATGCAGTAATACTTAGAACACTACGCCGGCAGTTTTTTTCCTTACCGTAATTTACCAACGAGCACATTCCTGAAACCTTCTTTCGGGACAGCAGCGATTTCAAGACGCAACCTCTCGACCACCTTAGAGCGAAAGCAGCGCCTTTACAATATTAGGGTAGTTTTAGAATCGCTCAACCGCTGAGATCTAACAGCTGTTGGTTTCAACGACGCACCTTCATGTCCGCTTAAGTACGCCAGAAATTCTCCCTCCTCATTCCAGAATCTGCCGGCTCGAGAAAAGATGGTGAAGCTCGTCTGTGCGATCGTTGGTGTGGCGGGAAGCGCTTTCCCTGTGGACATCGACGCGAGTCAGCTGGTCGGAGACTTGAAGAAGGCGATCGCGGAGGATCAGAAGTATGACTTCGCGGCGAGCAAGCTGCAGCTTTCCCTGGCGAAGACGGCGGACGGCGCGTGGCTGCCAGACGACGACCAAGCTGCGCTGGATCTGGAGGACGGAAAGGTTCATGAGGACATTCAAGCGTTGATCGACGGCGAGAAGATGAAGGCTACGTGGACAATTGAGGACGTGTTGACAGCTAACAATATGACCAAACGGAAAGGGCGCGCTCCAAAGTCGAGACAAATCCACGTGCTGGTGGTGGTTCCGGAGGGTGCATTTGGTTCAGCGAGCGAGACTTCCAAGATGGATCAACTCGTCGAAAAGGTTGACAAGATCTACGAGCAGACTGTGCTGGGGAAACGCAAATATGTCCACTCGGAGGTAACCTCGACCCAGGGCAGGCAGCTTCTGAACGACTTGGATATTCGGGTGGAATTTGTGCGCACAGTTCCATTTGATGCTGGAGAGGGATCTTCAGTTGACCCATACGAGTGATTATTGAGAACGGCGAAGAGGTCGTACTCACTGAGGAGCAGCAGCGCAAACGATATCGCCGATACGTGGAACACAACATTGGCGCTGTGCTCAAGGAGAAGCAACTTTGCGTGATTGGCGTGGAAAGAGGCACAAACATCCTCACAGTTAAAGTTCCTGGTCGCGAAATTGAGCTCGCTGGACGTACAGATCTCCTCATACTGAGTGATCTTGTTGAGATGAGGCCGACCGAGGTGCAGTACCTGCCTGGTGTGAAGATGCTGATCGAAGTGAAGAGAGACGTTAAGGCAAGCAACGACTTCCAGGCATTGTCGGAGCTGATCGCTTTGGATCTGCTCGTTGACGACCCAGTAATGGCGCTCCTTACTGATTTGAAAGGAGAGTGGATATTCTTCTGGGTGGCCGAGAAGATAAACAGTTCTGCCCGTATCCACAAAGCGGCGATCAACAAGCCAGGTGAAGCCTTCGAGGTAATTAGAGCGCTACTGGTGCAGCCACCGACTGCACCCGCTGATACTGATACCACCGAGATCAAGCTCCCGTGTTTCCAAAGTCCCGTGAAGAGATTGAAGCTGAGAAAGGCGTTACCACCTATCGGAGAGGGTGGTGACAATGGCGGGATTCGTGAGAGCATCGAACGATACTATGACATCGCCAGTATGTTAGGTCCCGACATTGAGATGGCGCGTGCTGTGGCTCGGCAGGTCACTCGATCTATTCCCACGTTTAGTTATTTCAGCTGATTCTTGTTTGATGCAGCATTAATACATTGTTTTTTATTGATCCTGGTAAATATAAAGTTACTAATATACAACAATGACGTACTCTCCTGAGCAATACCAAGCTAGCAAGGAACGTATCAAAGCAGCGCAGAAGCGCTACTACCAGCGCACACGCGAAGCCCGTTTATCTTATCAAAAAGACTACGATGACAAGAATAGAGACCAGATTCGAGCTCGCAAGCGTAGACCCAAAACCGAACTTATTGACGGTGAAGTCGAACCTAACAACGAAACCGAACTTAATTAATTAATTAATTTTTTTCTCAAATAAAAAGTCAATCCCAATATAGTCAAAGACAATGACTTAAAACCTCCAAAAAGGTATAAGCCAAATATTTGAATTAATTAATTTCAGAATATATTGTAAATGACTAAGATATAAAGTCGATCCTGATACAAGGTCAAATAATTATAAAGTCATATCTACGGAGAATAATATAGTCAAGCATATATAGGCAACATGTTTGCATACGAACTCGAAGGATTAAAGAGATTAAATATTCAACCTATCAAATGGGGTAGTAGCTACCGTGTTAAGGTGCGTGGTAGAACGGGCAAGATGGTTTATGTTAGCAACGTTTCGCGTCCAATCAACAAGAGATTAGTATCTAAGCAGTACAGTGTTTCGATTGAAACCCTTGAAAAACACTTGTCGCCCGACTACAAGGCTGATCCTAAGTACCGCTTTTACAATGGTAATCACATGGAATCGCACCTATATGAGGGTGTCGAGCCATCTGATTTCTACAACAAGCTCGAGAACGTTCTTTCCACACAAACGAGTGCGGTTAAGGTAAATATTGCTCTCGGGTACGAACTTGTAAGCAAGACCGATCCTGACGACACTCGCTACTTCTACCCAAATCTCGCTAATACTCATGTATTCAATAATCCTATCGCTATCAATAGCAAGGCTGATATTCAAAAGAAGGTGATTTCGGAAATCCGTTCTATGGAGTTGGCTGACAAACTGAACTATCCCAGCTCTGGGTATAAGCTAAAGGCGATCACTGCATTCAAGATTTTCATCTACCATCGCGACCATGCTCTCGGGGATAGCGAAGCTGTCATCCCTAAGATTATTCGCAAAAACAAGCATGTGATCAACTTCCCCAAGACCAACAACAAGTGCGTCTTCCACTGTATCGCCTGGCATACATTCCAGAGCCCTAAGAAGGAACCTCGAAGAATTCAGGCTCAGGTGAAGGAGGCATTCAAGCGCTACTGTTCTTTCAAGGGGGTTAAATATTCGTTGAGCCTGTTTAGGAGTTTCAAGCCCATTGACCTACTACAACTCGATGAGGTTGAAGACTGCTTTCAACTTGGTATTAACGTATATAAGATGGATGTAGTTTCTGGAAATGTAGAATGCATTCGTAGATCTGACAAGGGGTATGAGACTATGGATATTTTATCGTTCGAGAATCATGCTCTTTACATCAAGAACATCGATATGCTTCAGGCTAAGTATCAATGTCCTAAGTGTGAAATGGTTTTCGTCAGCGCTGAAAGGGTTAAAAACCATAAAAAGAATCAGTGCGAGCTCGTAAATATCGAAAGCTTCCCAGCTGAGCCAACTATCTACAAACCAGCTCAGAACGCAATACGATCACTACTTACGAAGTATTCAATCAAGAATGCTGACCAGTACATTGATCACTTCATCGTTTATGACTTTGAGGCCATCCTTAATTCTACTGCGACTCAACACGGGGAGAATACTGTCTTCACGAACGAACACATTCCGGTGTCTGTATCAGTAGCTGATAGCCTAACCGAGGAGGTGCGTTGCTTTGTAAATATGATCCGATGATGCTACTTACGGATATGTTCAAATACATCGGTGATGTATCTGTTAAGATCCAGCAGTACAATGTCAATAAGTACAAGTTGCTTCTACAGAAAATCATCAACGCCCACGGTCTGACAGGTATGGAAATTCCAGGAGTCAATCTTGGTAAGACCTACAAGATGTCTGATGTCGAGGGTTGGATCAAACAAGGAAAGAATGCCAGCTTCTTTGACTTCCATAGCGGTCTTCGCTTTGGTAAGCAAAGATCTGATTACGGGAAACTAAAACAGCAGCTTGATCAGGTACCAGTATTTGGTTTCAATTCTGGTCGATACGATATTAACTTGATTAAGAAGGATTTGTTTGCCGTTATCGGTACCGACAACATAAATCTGTCATCAAGAATCCCAGCTACATGTGCATTGCTACATCGAACATAAAAATGCTCGATATTAGCAACTATGTACCAGCTGGTACCAGCTACGACAAGTATCTTACAACATATCTTGGTGGCTGCAAATGTGATGACAAAATTAGATGTGTCTGTGGTCTTGGTAAGGGTCTTTTCCCATACGAGTACATCACCGCGTTCAATGTGCTAAACCAGACTACTATTCCGCCTAAGTCAGCTTTTGATAGCAAGCTCCGTGGAACAAGCATCACCGGCGATGACTACGAACGAGTGAAGTTCGTGTGGGATTACGATGAGATGAAATCGATTAAAGACCTGCTGATCTGGTACAACAATCTCGACGTAGTCCCATTCATCAAGGCTATCAAGGCTCAACGAGAGCTCTTTAAGCGTTTCGATCTGGATATGTTTGCGGATGGAGTGTCGCTACCTGGTCATTCGGAGAAGGTGATGTATCAGACCTGCTTCAATAATCTCCAATACCCGGATAAGAAGCCAGCTAACGCATTCCAATTCCCATCTAAGCGAATGAGTGGATACAAGAGTCAGGATGTTAAGGCAAAGCGAAAATTTGGTATGACACTCGAGCACTTGAATACATTGCTGCAAAAGCAAAAGTATCTGTGTGGTCTATGCTACTGCCAGCTAACCGCTGATACCGCTTCAGCTGATCGTATCAACAATAAGCTTGGCCACATCGACGGCAACATCTTGATCAGCTGTGTGAAGTGCAACCCCGCGCGTAAAGATATGTCCCTCGGGGGATTTCGATACAAGAATTTGCTTGAGTTCAACTCGGACAAACTGATATATTCTATTGATCGAGAGGAAAAGGATATCTACGCTAAGATGAAGGCCAACATCGCCGGAGGTCCATCCATTATCTTTAATCGCTACGCTAAGCGTAATGAAACCAAGATTCGCGGTGGTAAGGTCTGTAAAAAAATTATCGGATTCGATGCTAACGCTCTGTATCTTTGGGCTCTTGGTAATGAGATGCCATGCGGTCGATTGACTACCGTTGAAGCGTATAAAGGTATCATCGACGACATCAACACCGATAAAATATTTGGCTTTCTTGAATGCGATATTCGTACTCCAGACCATCTAAAAGACTACGTTAGTGAAATGACCCCCATTTTCAAGAATGTACTAATCGATTGTACCGACGAGAGTGTCATTGGTAAGCACGTGTTCGATCACAATGAGGCGCGCATGCAAAGTCGAGCAGAGCCAGCTCGCAAGTTGATTGGTAGCTACTTTGGTGAAAAGATTCTCATCTACACTCCTTTGCTCAAGTGGTACCTTTCTCATGGTATGGAGATCACCAAGACTTACTGCTTTATCAAGGCCAGCTCTCACAAGGCTTTTGCTCCATTTATGGAGGCTGTATCAAACGCCCGGCGAGAGGGTGATGTTGATAAGTCGAAGGCGACGATTGCTGAGATGATGAAACTTGTAGGCAACAGTGCTTTCGGTCGATCTGGAATGGATATGAGCAAGCACAAAGAGGTCAAGTGTGAGTCGAATGACAAAGCTATAAAGAACAAGATCGAACACTTTACGTTCCATGGGTTAGAAGAGCTTAATGATGCGTGTGAAATCACCATGAAGAAACGCCGTCTTAATAACAAGAACCCAATCCATTTGTCGATTGCCATCTACCAGCTCGCCAAGCTACGCATGCTCCAGTTCTACTACGACTGCATAGATTTCTACTTTGACCGCTCTGACTTCCAGTATCAGGAGATGGATACTGATTCAGCTTATATCGCTTTCAGCTGTGAGAATCCGTTTCAAGACTGTATCAAGCCTGAGCTACGTACCCACTTCAAGGAGCATAAATACGATTGGTTCCCACGCGACTACAACACTGAGGTAGCTAAGTTTGATCGCCGTACTCCTGGTTTGTTCAAAGATGAATGGTCAGGTGATGCTATGGTCTCACTATCGAGTAAGAACTATATTTGCTATCTACCCGACGAGTCTTACAAGGTAAAAGTTTCAGCGAAGGGTATTCAGCAGGGAGGTGGTCGAAACAATGGTGTTCTTAATCCCGATGGGTTTGAGACTGTTGTACGGGATCGCATCACGCTACAAGGTACAATCAAGGGGTTCAGACTATCGAAAGAAACCAAGTCTATCATCACCTATACTCAAAACAAAACAGCGCTCAACTACTACTATGACAAACGTCGAGTACTTGATGATGGTATCACGACTGAACCACTTGATATTTAAGCAGCTAACCACTGGGGGGATTTTTTTAATGTAAATACAGATCATGGACGCGCTATTAAAGAAACTCTACTATGATCCAAAAACCGGTTTTATCGGAGCTCAAGCTCTGTATCAGAAGGCAAAGGAGTTTAATCCTAAGATAACTTTCAAAATTGTAAAGGATTGGTATGCGAGTCAGACTGATATTCAACGATATCAAGAGCAAAAGAAGAAATTCAATGGCTTCAAAATTGCTTCGCATAACCCCAACTCTTGGCAAATTGATCTTGCGTTTTGGGAGAAGCGACCAATTTGGACTGCTATCAATATCAACTCGAGGTTGGGCTTTGCGAAGGTCTTATCAAACAAGACAGCAGCAACTGTGTTAGCAGCGCTTAAAGCGTTTGTTCGACTCCATAAAGTGGATATCATTACAAGCGATAATGGTAGCGAGTTCATGAACTCGCAGGCTCAAGAGTTCTTCAAAACCAAGAAAATTGAGCACTACAACAACGAGCCCGGTGATCATGGTACTATGGGGAAAATTGAGCGATTTAACAGAACGCTGAAGCAGAGACTAACTAAAATGTCCTCCAAGAGGATTCGCAAAAGCTTATCACTGACGTTATTGAAAACTACAATAGCACGTTTCATCGTTCGATTGGTATGACCCCGAGTGATGCCAAAGGTAAAGTAATGGATGCGGATCTGAGTCATAATCAGGCAGAAGCCGATAGAATTGAGAAGGAGTTTGAGGTCGGATCAAGCGTATTATACCGTCTCAAGAAGCAGGCATTTGGTAAAGAATCGGCTCGGTGGAGCAATGCAGTCTATACGATAGTTGGAATTGATGGCTACCGAGTCCAAATCCGTTCAAAGAATGGTCATACCCTCTACAAGGCCCCAAACGATCTTAAACTGGTTAAAACAGATCCATGTGCTGTTGTATCCATCTTGAACGAGATTGGTAGAGTCAAGTTTCAGAAAGCTTGCCATATTGATTAGTATATGATTCTAATCATATTTTGGATCAATAAATTGGAATTAGTTATAACTGGGATAGGTCGATAACTCTGTCAAAGTTATAACGGATTTGCCCCTTAACCGAATCACATAGCAGGATTTGTCCCTTAGACGCCGTGGCTTTGTTATAGGCAATCATAATGTTCCGTTTGTTTAGTTGAGGGATATTAAAGTCTCGTACAACCATCTGTAAATCACGCTTCGAATTAGCCTTTAAGATTGCTACATATTCTGAATTCAATCGCGGGAGTTTGTCAGTAGGAAGTAGCTATGAGCAATAAATATTGTACTTAAAAAGTGGTGGCGACCTCTAATAAAGAATCCACTAAATAAATTTTTCTGTAGAAGTTTATTCACGCCATAGTCATCAATGATAACTAACTCAACCTTTTTACTGTTTATCGGTGTGCTACGAACGTTATCTACGTTAGGAGGTTCGTCGTAGAATGTGATAAAGCCATCAAGCTTTTCTCTAAGGAAATCGTATATAGGTTGATCTTTATTGCGAGCAATTACATGCAGGTGAGCGAAAACATTGGGCGAATGCTTGAGAATGAACATCACTAAATTTGTTTTGCCGGAATACCTTGGACCGAAAATAAGCATTCTGAACAAGCTTTTGATATCCAATTCTGGGATTGTTTTAACCGATACCCCTCGGTATTTCTTTGGAATAGCATCGTCGTAGTTTGGAATAGCGCTCATGATTGAAAATAGCTGAATCTATATAGGATTAAACAAAATGAGTTCTGGTTTTTCATATCCACAACCAACGTTCCAATCATCGATCTATAACCCAGCGTTCTATTTGACATTGGACGCCAGTGGTTATCTAACCTTTGATTACGCGCAAACTCTGTATTTGAGTAAGGATGATTACAGGATGAGCTACCTAAGCGGAGTAGTGCCAGGAACGGCATCGATAGGATCTGCCCTTGTTCTGGGTGCTTCAGGTAATATCTCCGGCATTTCATCGCTAAGTGCCATTAACCTTACTGGCACGCTACAAACAGCTTCTCAACCGAATATCACTTCGGTTGGAAATTTATCGTTCAATGGATCATCGCGCTCGATATCGATAACAGGTGCTTCAAGCTACATTGATTGTCGGGAATATCGCCAGAACGGGAATACGTACGATCTAAGCCTTCTACAAAACATATCCGGAGTTAGTTTTGGCAGTGCTACTGCAAATAAATTTTTACTATGCGACTCGAGTTTAAATATCGCAAATATTAATACGGTATCAACAACTACACTTAGTTGCACGAACTTACAACCGGGTGGGACGTATTATGATCTCTCTGGGTTCCTAACATCTATTCCGAGCTCGCTGACATTATAAACCTTATATACGACAGGAAACATCGATTGCGGTGGGTTCATCAATGGGTTTTTGGCTTATGGCGACCAATCAAACATAACAACAGTAGGATCGCTGACAGAGCTCGGTATCAACTCTACAGCAACGAATGAGTATTTCTCGATAAAGGGGTCTGGATTATCATATTTAGATGGCAGTTATACGCGAATGCTTACGTTTTCGGGTTCGAATATTACTCCCGTTGAGTTCCAAATTCAGGTCCATAATGGTACTAATTCCACACCCAGCAATGTCACATGGATAGGTAATTACACTAATAACGATCTTCGTTTTGGTATCAATAACTCGACGTCAATGATTTTAACTACGACAGGGCGCTTAGGACTTGGAACTACAACACCAAGCGCTCCTCTGCATATATCAGGTAGCAACAGTATTGTTTTTGGTTCCGATGGTTTAACCATTTATAGGCTCCGAACAGACTCTGGCGCGACAGAGTCGGCTCTTGGGCCGATCACGTACAGCGTCGCCGGTATATTTAGCGGGTACATTGCCTGTACAGCCATGGCGATGACAAGCGATCGCCGATTGAAGCGAAATATTCAATCATGTCCCATTGATCGAATCAAGCGTCTCTATGATCAATGTGAGGTCAAACTGTATGACTGGATAGAGAGCGAGGGTCGCCCTGGTCAAGAGGTAGGCCTCATCGCTCAAGACTTTGTCAAAGCTCATCTTACCGATTTGATCAGTGTCTTCTATCACGATGATATCGAAGAAGGAGAAGACCAATCGTTAGAGCCCGCTAAGCAACAGCTCAACGTTGATTACAGCTCAATTAGCGCTTATAACATGAAAATGATTCAACACCTGTTAAGTGTGAATGAGGATCTCCAGAAGCCAATAAATGAACTACGCTCAATTATCTCAGAGTGAGTATAGAAATCATGCGTATCGAGTATTGGGAAATCAGCCCGTTAGCAACGAAGAAATATCGAGTATGGATCAGACTTGATACTGGAAAGCTACGAAAGATTGATTTTGGTGATAGTAGATACCAACAATTTCGGGATCAAACCCCTTTGAAAGCGTACTCACACCTTGATCATAACGATCCAGAGCGCCGTAGGAGATACTATCTAAGACAAAAAGTTGATTATCCTCCGTATAGTGCCGATTTCCTATCAAAAAAATATCTTTGGTGAATATAACCATGGGTTGTGGTCCGAGTAAAGAGCTCAAAACTAATTTGACTACTGATAAACCTAATCAGATTGTTGGATCTACCATGCTACAAGCCGATAAAATTATTGTTCTTGGCGATTCTGTGTTCCTACCAACACAAAGCCCCGATGGGGAGTCTGCCATACTTGAGATGAGTATCAATGATAGAACAATGAGTGTCTATCGTGGATATCGAAATCGACTTGTACGAAGCGGTATTGCTTAGATAGCGAACGTCTTCACCGTTTTAGTCTTTTTTTTCGGTTGGTAAGCCCAGACGCGACCACCCTCTGTCTGAGTCGATGCATCAACCTTCCTGATAGACTTATCAAGGTCAGTAGCCCAAACAGCTGCCTGAGTCTTCTGTGGGCGATCATTGATGATCAGATTTTTCATAATGGATTTGAGCTCAGCAACGTTGAGATCAGCGTTATCACCATAGCTACCAGCTGAGCTGGAAATAATGCGTGGGTTGAAGAAGAACATTGTTATAGTATATTGTATAAAATCGCTGCGTACATGAATAAAATAGGAACGAGCATAGTTTATGATAGACGCGTGATAATTTCCTTAAACTCTTTATCGTTAATCATTCGGTTGCTATACATATCTACGGTGAGAGACTTGAGCTGCTTGATGATACTTGGATTGTCATTCCCTAACTCCATCTCTCCTTTCAGCTTATCATACTCAGCACGAAGAGTCTCCAGAGGATCTGTGAGTTTATCATGGAAATTGTACTGAAGATGAGTAATGGCGAGGATCTCCTTGAACAGCTTTTTATCATCGATACTGAGCTTATCGTAAGCGGCTTGATCGATATGGTTCTTATACACAAGGGTTCCGATCATGGTTAGAGACTATCGCTGATCTGGCACTTAGGTCCGCATTTGCGTCGGTTGGGCTGTACAATCACGAGCGTTTTGGCATCCAGATCAGGCAAACGGATATACTTGCTACCGAGCTGCTTATAGGTATATGCTGACGGAGTTGCTAAACCCTGAATCTCATTGAGATTATAGGTTCTTCCGCGACGAACTGCACCTTCCAATGGAGCAACACCTGCCCCTCTAAGACCACGCCCCTTCAAGCCACTCCCATTCACTCCTTTTACCCTTCGTTGATCTTGTCGGTCATTAAAGTCTTCTACATCTGTTTTTCCAGGTAAAGCTTGAGTGTATTGCTTCGACTTCGCTGAATAGACTGCCTTTGTCGCTTTCATTATTGATGTCGCTGCCTTCAACGCTGATCTTGCTGATTTTGAGTTTGACCCCTTCACTACCTTTTTAGCTTCTTCAATCGCTTCTGAGCTTCACCATAAGCTTGAAAGGCTGCCTCCGAGTCATCATGAAGCTTTTGCAAATTATCGTCGTGATCATACTGCTCATTACTTTGACGCTTGATATCATGGGCCGATTTAAGGATTGCCTCATTTACTATTTTAAGGTTATCATCAAGGTTTTTACGTCGTTGCTTATTTAGTTTGTTCTCTTTAACCAATTCAGCTGCTTCTTCATCACTTGATGGAAATGGATATTCAACATCCTTGAGATATTTATCCAAATCCTCAAAACCGTTGAGTAATGATGTGAATGTATTCATCCAACTGATAGTTCTCATCAAACCCTTCCAAGCTACACCGGATACTTGTTTATACTGTTTGAACTTTTTGAGCTCTTTATTGTTATCTTCAGTCAATATGTTTAAAGGTTTGGAATCAGTTGGCTGACCAAAATAGTATGTTGGATGAGGTTTAACCCCCTTTTTTCTGAATAAATAATGGGTATTAGTCTGAAAGGGAGTTTAATACCCTTCGAATGAAGTTCTGTGTAATAATCAGGTAAAATATTTTTAGCATCATTGTCCGCGTTGCTCAGCTTTGGGTTCATATCTTCATCGATACCACTCATTGTGCCATATTTAGCTTCTCCGTCGCCTGGTGTGAAATCCTTTACATCAATTTCCTCGTCATTCTTCCCAATTACCTCTAACTGAAGTCCTCTGTCTCTGATCATATTGATAAATGAACGTAGCGTAAGTTGCCAATTGACCTCCTTCGTGATCGCTTGTTTTGCTCGATTGCTACTCTTACCAAAGACGCTGATTGAATTACAATCGACCCATACATAGCCATTATCATCAACAGGTGATGATTTGGCTGTCCCTTTAAGGATGGGAACAATCTTCTTTCTTAGTCCATTGGATTCAAGCAATCCCTTATTTTTACTAATGGTCCAAAACAATTTGAGTTTGCTATCAGACTGATCACTCGCTGTTGAAGTTGAGTTATCGAAGATAAAACTGTCCTCAAGTCTCTGTTTGGTGCGATCAGCAATATCTCCTTCTGAAGCATTGACTCTTTTCCTTTTTGATCCAATATATTGCCACATCTGTTCGGGAGTATTTTTATCATCCTTCCCCATTTCGTAGCGTTCCCTCTTTTCATTGATGTAGTTGAGAAATCGAACGTCATTAGTTAGAACCACACGAATATGGTCATATGTCTCTGACCAATCGATGCTTGGAACTAAAACAAGCTTCTTCAATCTAATACTGTATGTCTTAGCGCCATTTCCAATATAATACTTCGTTAGCTGACGTCCGTTAGACGAAAGAGGATGGATACCCAATTCTGCAAGAATAGGATAAACCTCATATATATCAGCAACCGCTTGTTTTGATCGCTTCTGTTCTTCGATTTCACCGCTGTTTTCATCACTAAATAAGTTCTCATCCGCTGGCTTTTCATCCTCACCAACCTTGACATCAACTAATGAAGGCCTTGCTTGTGTTCCAGCATGATAAGTATCAGGCTTAGCAGTAGATTCGGCATCTACCATAGTTGGAGTTGATACGTCAGGGTTTGTCTGGGAGTATTCATCAATCAGCGTTTTTTTAAGGACTCAGATGACTCGGATGTTGAGTCTGTCTGAGTTGTTGCAGTTGTTTTACTGGGGGCTGTAGTAATCCCATTCGCGATATCAGTAGCCCACGATGCGCCTTGATACATCTCACGCTTCGCTTTAGCTTGACGAACGCGACGCTGAGCTCTTTCAAGAAGCTCTTGACGCTTCTGCTCTCGTTGAGCAAGTGATGTGAAATTTGGAAACATCGTGTCTATATGTTGTGAGCCATAAAAAAATGAGCACTCAAATTACCAATAGCTTGGCATAACCGAATCATGACGGAAAGGTAGATACGAATGACAGATACTGTTTCGTTCGTTTAATAGATTCAAATAACGATCTTTGATACAATGGAAAGGAACGCCAAATATTGCTTCCAATTCGTGTCTGTATTTACGATTGACTACTGTCTTACGAAAATTAGCGGCTGCATCAAGATTCAGCAACTCATTCTTGATTCGACTTACTTCTTCGATGATCCACAGCTTGCGTCTAAGCTTCACAAGCTCACGTTCTTTATCTAAACAATATGGGCACATTGGTATCTATATATCAAGTCAGATAATTTTAAAAATCTCTCAAAAATAGATTGGATAATATACTTGAGTCAAAAAGCTTACAGAGGATGTCTCTTTCAATTAAATTTTTAAGCTAATCACGTCTCATTTTTTTAGCGCCGGGTCAAGTCTGAGCTTCAGCTCTTTGACTTCCAGTACTCGTTTTCAAGAGTTGATCTCTTGTTCTTGTTAATCAACCGTAGGTTATCTTGTGGCTCCCAGGAGTCAGGCTCATTACCAAGCCATTTTAGCAAATATTTGTACTTCCCAGAGCGTGTCTTCTTATGATCCAAAATCTTTTCCGCCTCAAGAATATCGCCTCGATTAATAGTAGCAGCTGTAGTAGCTTTAAAATCGACGTTCCAACCGCTGGAACCACATCCACTGTATCTGTTAGCTTACCTGATGGCCTTTACAGCTATACTGATATCAATCGAAGTATCCAGACTGCTCTCGTCAATGCTGGAGCGTATTTGATCAATCCATCTGGGGGAAATGTCTTCTACATCCAATTATCGGAGAACAGTGTGTATTATGCTGGTCAGTTTGATTTCAGCCCTACACCATCGTCTCTACCTACTGCTGGTGGTACTTGGACAAGACCCGCGATAGGATTGTACTCTCCTGGAGGTACTGGTTTGCCGACTACTACTCGCGTTCCTCGTCTGATCATTGATAACGCCTCTTTTGGAAAGGTAGTAGGGCTGACTGCTGGTACGTATCCTTCTACGTCAGCGACGGTTGCAAGTGCTCAGCTCTCGAATATCATTCCTCAGATTCACCCTACCAGCTCATACATCGTTCGCTGTGATCTGATCAAAAATGACTACGTTGCATCTGGTGATATTCTGAGTGCATTCGATCGAGGTGATGCTCAGGTAGGTCAGCTAATTTCATACAAACCGAGTCAGTATGCTTGGATGAACTGTCTCAATGGCTCGCGTACCTCAATCACGGTCAGTATCTACAATCAGAATGATCAGAAGGTCAAGTTCCGTGATACGTCAGTATCAATCATGCTACTATTGAAACCAAAAAAATAGGGAGGGTAGTACTACTTTTTTTTAATCAAAAGCTCATAATCGAAATGAACCAGCTTGCATAGGCTTCTTCCTCATAGCTCGAATCTTAGCCATATGATCCTTCGCTTCTTGAGAGCCCTTCGCGAATTTCTTACCCTTCGTGGCTACTCCTACTCCATAACGACGACAGACCTCGCCTCGGATAGACTTAATTAGATCCCCATGCTCAGGCTTCGTGGCCTTACTCAGTAGAAACTTCTCTGCACCATCAGCTGCATCGGTTAGAACTCCTTTGCGTTTTGCATATGATAGAGCATTCTTTGCTGTCTTCCTGACATCAGCAATTGATAGACGACCACCTTCTTTCTCCACATCACTGTCAGAGTCGTATATACCGACTCCTGTCAATGACTTAATTGCTGCTCTGGCAGGGATTGCGGCTTGAGGAGCTCCAAATGCCGTTGCAAGAGCTGGTACTGCTGCATCAAGTCCTTTGCTGAGTAATCCACTATCCTTTACGAATTTGAACGCGGAGGATAGACCAGATTTAATCTTACCCCAAATAGAGCCTCCTTGGACTCGCTTATAACCCTTCTTAATTTCATGTCTGGTAATGTCAAGATGCACACCGCGACCTGCCTTGCGAGCTTTGATCGCCTTCTCATAAGAGGCTGGATGGAGATGGATAACAGAGCCACTGCCCTTGAGTTGATCAGCTGTCAGACTTCGCTTACCAGTCTTGAGAGCTTTGGTCAGCTTGGGAGCTCGTACGTCGCTTGAAATAGTTAGTTCGCGATACATTATTGCTATATACCTTGAAACATTTTATGAAAGAATTGTCAAATTTAGATCTTTAAATCGATTTAGGATATTCATCTTATTGTTTTGCTTGCAATATAGCCATAGGATACAGAATGGACCGCAATAATCGCCATACGTACCTTGGTATTGTTTGGGGTTGTATCGTCCTATTCCAAACTTCGTAGGGGCTGCCTCGCCCATTGAATCGAAGTAATTATTATCACAAACACAAACCCAGTGTCCTACATCAAGATTAGGCGGTCCAAGTAGAATCAGATATGTACCTTTCTTTGGGAGCTGCTTCGTTATCTCACTTGATTCAAAGATATCATCGAGATGAACATTTAATTGTTTTGCGAGTTCAATCAGATCATGATCGCTGGTGATTGATTTGATGAGATGGGACATAATATTTAATTTCTCAAAAGTATATTAGAAACCATATAGATTCAACGATGTCTGAAACACAACTTTCCGACCAATACCTTTACCAGAGCTCGCTCAAGAGTGATCCGGAGATTAAGGTCTCCTCTGGCAAGCGCGTGCCTTTTGTTATCGATCTTAACCAAGGTTCGTACCAAGACGGTGTTATCACTATCGATGCTACGTCCCAGCTTAATGGTAGTGAAGGATTTGCCTGCCTCCGCGATGCTTACATCATGCTACCATACAAGGTTTCGATGAAGAACACGCACGCTACAAATGTACAGAATGCAGCCAACCGATTTTGTGTTGGTCTCAAGTGTGGCAACTTTAACGTCATCGATTCGATGTCGCTTGAACTCAATGGTAAAAACATTGTCTCGATGGCAGACTACTAGCTGTTCTGGAACAATATCCGTGCTCAGACCGGGTACAGCCCTCAGTATGTTGAGAAGCATGGTGCTGAATCGTTTCTATACCCGGATGCTGCTCAATCAACCAAGTACAGTAGTGCGACCACTACTACCGGAGACGGGTATTCGAATAACACAGCAATATCTACTACCTTCACCGCCGGTACTATTTCTGCTACGGCATCGGTAGCAAATGATGGTTTTACTAAGCGTCTTCTCTCTAACCCTCCAAATGCTGGAGCTGACTCATCTACGTCGTGGCCGCCTACTGGTGCTGCATCTGCCACCACTACCATTGCTAATCAACTTGGTCGCGGTGCGTTCGTAGCTGGCGCTGGTTCACCTGGTGCTATTATGGGGACGTGGAACTATATGCTTAAGATTAAGCTTACTGATTTACATCCGATTTTCAAGGAGCTTGACTTGATGGCTAATCCACAAATTCGTCTTCGTTTCCGCGTTAACCAGGGCACTTCAGCTATTGATGTTGATGCATCGAGAAATATGACGCTAACGGGAACAACATTATCGAGTGGCAATGTATGTCCAGTAATGGTTGCTTCTGCGACCAGTCCAAACCCAATGTACAATGCTCTTAGTGTCGCTGGTTCCATTGCAGTTTCTTGGGGTGCTGTGGTTAACTCGCTTGAGCCTACAATTGATGGAACCTACATGCCTTTCACGACTTCTCGACTGTATGTTCCTTTCGTTCATTTGGAGAACCCTCAGGCTATCATCTCTAAGCCCGTTAAGAAGGTTCGATACAACGATTGCTATGACCAATGGTTCTACCAGCGCGCTGGTATTGGTAAGCAGTCGACTCAGCTTAATGCTGCATTTGATCTTCAGCTTTCGGCTTCTGTTAAGAACGCTAAGTATGTTATCCTCCTTCCTTTTGCCGAACAGACCGGTAGTTTTGCTTCTGCTGCTATCCAAGAGTTTCAGAGTCCTTTCGATTTGGCTCCTTGGACTCTTCACCCTGGTTCGAGCATTCGCAACTTCAACGTCCGCATTGGTTCGCAACAGACCTTCGACATCAGCCATGACTATGACTTCCACCACTTTACTAACGAGATCGCTAAGATTGCTTCGATTAACGGTGATCTAACTCCCGAGCTGGTGAATGGTCTTCTTGACTATCAGACGTGGTCTCTAACTAACCGCGTCCTTATCGCTGACGTTAGCCGCCTGACGGAGCGTGATGTACCTCAGGCTATTCAGGTCCAGGGTGTCAACGCTGGTTGCCAGGAAACCAACATGCTTGTATTGGTTGTGAGTGAGCAAGAGCTCTCCTACGATCGTCTAACGGGTGAAATTCTTGATTTTACCACTGCTTAGATTTGGATTTAAAAAAAAGATATTTTTTAATTAGGCTGTAAAGCCTCGACAAGCTTAGGACATTTCTCAATTACGAATGGGTTCTTACGAAGCCAATCGATATAATTAGAATCGGTGCGACTAATTTTTTTTAGCGTCTTACCCTTGTACTTGCCCCAACTCATCATATACGAGTTATCATTGGTTAGAAACTTGGAGTGGAGGAATATCTTGATTTCCTCACTAATATTGAGACTTGGTAGGTTGAGCATCCAGCGACAATAACCAGGATCAGAAGTGGATACTTCTTCGATCGGCGTGTTCTTGTATTTCCAAAAGTTAGTTCGTTCGTCATGTTATCGGGGGTATCTATATACCTAGCTACTTTAATTTTTTGAGAAAAAAATAAATTAATTCTGAAATTCAGACGAAACCAACGGTTGTCTGTTCTCAGTGGTCGAGCGATTCTAAAACTACCCTAATATTGTAAAGGCGCTGCTTTCGCTCTAAGGTGGTCGAGAGGTTGCGTCATTGAAATCGCTGCTGTCCCGAAAGAAGGTTTCAGGAATGTTCTCGGTGGTAAATTACGGTAAGGAAAAAAACTGCCGGCGTAATGTTCTAAGTATTACTACTGATGGACTATGCAATAATAGCGAACAACAACCAGCACAAACTCTGGACGACTGTGAATTCAAGTCATCGCAAAACAACGGCGACAATCCCGAGAGGTGCTTGAAATCGACTGCAAAAGGAAATGCAACATTCAAATGGCAAGTCCCGAGCTTCCCCGACCAGACCAAATTCACGGAAGTACTGTTAGAAATGGTCAGCGATGACGACGACGAGTAAACTGCGCAAAAAACACTGCATTTAAGCTCTTGAACTGGTTGACTTCGGGCTGTGGTTATCTACCGCGCTTCACTTCTACATCCACGCTGCCGAATCGTTAAAAGGTTTGAAAACGACGTCACCCTTCTCATCGCACGAGTGCACGATTCCTCGTGTTGGTTCATGACGGTCCGTTGTCGACAGGATAAACGACCGAACTTTGCGACTCGAGGCGACTGCAGCGAACTCGGCACCTGTCGTCTTAGCCCCCACGACGGATCTTCCTTGACACTCGACGTCATCGAAGACCACAAGCTGCGTGCCTCGGGGCTCGGCATCCCAGACGAAAGCTGCAACAGCCTCGCTGGCGGTGCAGAGCGGGTAGCACCGATCCGCGGAATCGAAGCGTACTTGGCCGACGTAATCGTCGAAGCTGCTGTCCCGGTACATGAGGACAGTAAACTCGGCCGTCGCGACGCTGAAGATGAGGATGATAGCCGAAGCCACTGAAGTTCGCATCGTGTGTGTGTGTAGTACGCGGTAGATCGAGGACTAAGCGAGTCCTTCGGCGTCGCTGGCGTGTAGGTTCGAGGTACTGGAGACCGTGTCATCCCGGGTGGGTGGGATCTCGGAGCATGGTGTTATCTCCATCGAACGCTGGTGTCGTAGTGCGGGACTACCATGAGATCTGGCTGTTCGAGGATTGTGCAAAGGGAACAGCCACGGAATCGAGCTGCATATGCAGTTAAACGCTTCTCGTTCCGTGTAAGACAAGAGTAGAACGAGTAGAACTCCTCCATACCAATGTGCCTTGGTCACTCTTGAATTTGCACCGTTCAACTTCAGTATTCAACGTCCCCCGCAATGCAGAGCGTGGCAATCTTCCTGACCGCCTTCCTGGTCGTCGTAACATTCGTGGCCAACGCTGAGAACTGCACGGTGCTGGAGGTGTACACCGCTCTGGAGCCTGTCGCATCCGACGCCAACTTCGCCGCCTGCCAGACGGACAGCAACTACTCCTTGTTGTCGTTCGCGGCCCCAACACTGAATCAGAGCGAGGCGTTCTGCGCCAGCTCCGCGTGTCAGACGCGGCTCAACACGACACTGTCCTCGGGACTGCTGCCGGACTGTCAGGTGGCCATCGGAGCCCACAGACTCAACCTCACGAATGCAGTCACAATCGCCGCGAGGTGCCCAACGAGTCTGATGGAGCGTGCAGTGAGCAAGGAGGAAGACCACGACACGATCGGCCACACAGCAGACAACGTGGCCACCGTCGTGGGCCACTCGGTGCCCATGGACGAACTGGGCGCGGCTCTCTCTACCCTCGGAATTTGAGCTGTGCAATAGTCGATGTAGTCTGTCGATGTAGTAGTGTGCACTACATGTTGAACACAGATTAGTGCTGTATGTACAAGTGCCAGAAGCCTGTATTAACACGTCCCCTTATCGTTTACTCCTCGGTCTTCTGCTCCGTGCGGTGCGCGAAGATCTTGGCGGCCCACTCGCGCACAGTCTGCTTGACCTGCGTCTCGTCGATGGTCGTGAGCTTGTGGTTGTCCAGCAGGTGCTTGCCGTTGATCCAGACGTCCGACACGTGCTCGCGGCCGGCGACGTACACAACGTGGCTGATGGCGCTGTACATGGGGATCATCTCGATGCTGTCGCACTCGACGGCGATCACGTCCGCGCGCTTGCCCACCTCGATGGAGCCGATGTCCTTGTCCAGGCCCAGAGCACGCGCGCCGTTGAGCGTGGCCATCTGCAGCGCGTCCACGGCCGGCACGCTGGAGCTGCGCAGCGTCTGCGCCTTGGCCAGGATGGCGGCCAGCTTCATCTCGGCGAACATGTCGAGCGAGTTGTTGCTGGCGGCGCCGTCCGTGCCGATGCCGACGTTCACGCCGCGGTGAAGCATCTCAGTGACGGGGGCGATGCCCGACGCCAGCTTGAGGTTGGACGACGGGCAGTGGGCCACGTGCGCTCCGGCGGCCGCGACCTCGTCGATCTCGGCCGGCGTGAGCTGCGTCATGTGCGCGCAGATGAGGTGGTCCGAGAGCAGGCCGAGGCGCTTGAGGTTGGCCAGCGGGCGCAGCTTCTGGTCGCTCTGGTGGCAGCTCATGGACGCGCGGTTGAGCGCCTCGCTGTCGCAGCACTCGCTGGCCGTCTCGTGCAGGTGGATGTGCACGCGCGCCTTGTGCTCGCGGGCCAGCGCGTCGACGCGCTGCAGACTCTTGTCCGAGACCGTGTAGGGCGCGTGCGGGGCCACGGTGGTCGTGATGAGGTCGTGGCAGCCGGGCGCGTACTTCTCGAGGTTGGGCGCGGCCTTGGCCAGGTAGTCGTCCGGGCCGGAGCCGTAGACGCCCGGGAACTCCATGACGATCTGCCCCACGGCGGCGCGGAAGCCCGTCTGCTCCAGCACGGCGCAGGCCTCATCCGGGAAGAAGTACATCTCATTGCAGCACGTGGTTCCGCAGCGCAGCATCTCGGCCACGGCGTGCGTCATGCCGTCGCGGATGAAGGCCGGGCCCACGAACTTGCCCTCGGTGGGCCAGATGTCCTGCGTCAGCCAGTCGCACAGCGGCTTGTCGTCCGCCAGGCCGCGCAGCAGCGTCATGGGCGAGTGCGTGTGCAGGTTCACGAGGCCGGGCGTGACGATGTGGTTGGGCAGGTGGCGCTCCTGCGCGCCCTCGTACAGCTTGGCGGCCTCGTCGCGGGGCAGCAGCGCCACGATGCGCGAGTTGTCCACGACGATGGCATGGTCCGACAGCACCACGTCGCGCGGCGCGACGGGGATCACGTGGGCCGCGAAGATGATGAGGTCCACGCGCTGCTTGGTGGCCGGGGCGGTGTCGTCCACGGGGGTCTGGTGCGGCGCCATGGTACAGTTGGTCGAGCGGATAGTTGACGTTTAGCGGAGCGAGCTCCGAGCGTCCACCATTGTGGAGCCATCTATCTTGTGGTTAGGGAAGTCGACGGAGCTGATTGGCTGCTATTTTCAGATCGACTATTCGATTGGACTAAAATTTTGCTTTATCTTTGTGTGCGCCACACCACTCGGCAGCACCAGTAATTCTTGGTCTCCAACCCAACCGCCGCCATCACTCTCGATTCCTTCCGCACTCGCAGACGTCCATGGCTCCGTCCGCCGGGCCGGGTATGGCGCCGCCGGCGTCCGCCGTGTCCATGGAGGAGCTGGAGAAGCCCGTGAAGAGCGTGCAGGACAAGTGGAAGCTGCTGCCGTACTTCCTGCAGCTGCGCGGCCTCGTGAAGCAGCACATCGACTCGTTCGACTACTTCACGTCCGTCGACATGCGCAACATCGTGCGCGCGCAGGCCAACAACGTCGTGCGCAGCGACGCCGACCCCAAGTTCTTCCTGCAGTACACGGACATCCAGCTGGGCGCGCCCTCCATCGACGAGGAGGCCTTCGTCAGCGCCAGCGTCACGCCGCACCAGTGCCGCCTGCGCGACCGCACGTACGCCGCGCCCGTCTACGTGAGCGTGCGCTACCGGCGCGGCAACAAGATCGTGACCAACAACAAGGTGCTCATCGGCCGCATCCCCATCATGCTGCGCAGCTCGCGCTGCGTGCTGGCGGGCAAGAGCGAGGCCGCGCTGGCCAAGCTCAAGGAGTGCCCCTACGACCCGGGTGGTTACTTCATCGTGCGTGGTGTCGAGAAGGTGGTGCTGATCCACGAGCAGCTGTCCAAGAACCGAGTCATCATCGAGGAGGACGGCAAGCGCAACGTCTGCGCCAGCATCACGAGTTCCACGCACGAGCGCAAGTCCAGGACCAACATCTTCCTGAACAAGGGCCGCGTCTACCTCAAGTCCAACTCGTTCGGCAGCGACATCCCCATTGTCATTGTGTTCCGCGGCATGGGCGTCGAGAGCGACCAGGAGATCGTGAGCCTGGTGGGCAGCGAGCCGGACATCTGCGACGCCATGTCCGCGTCCTTCGAGGAGGCCTCGGACCTCAAGGTGTTCACGCAGCAGCAGGCTCTCGAGTACATTGGCTCCAAGATGAACACACTCACGAAGATCGGAGCCATGGGAGGACGCAACCGCGGTGGCGCTGGACGGCCGCAGCAGGACCGCAACTTGGTGGATGCTGCGCGCTCGGCGCTGGCCAACTTGGTGCTGAACCACGTGCCCTGTGAAAACTTCAACTTCCGTCTCAAGAGCATTTACGTGGCGCACATTGTGCGTCGTATTCTCTTCACAGACAAGGACCGCACGCGCTTGGATGACAAGGATTACTACGGAAACAAGCGTCTGGAGCTCGCAGGTCAGCTGCTGTCGTTGCTGTTTGAGGATTTGTTCAAGCGGTTCAACAGCGACTTGAAGCGTCAGGCTGACATGGTGCTGAGCAAGCCGAACCGCGCGTCGGTCTTTGATATCATCAAGTGCGTCCGCACAGACACAATCACGCAGGGTTTCTACCACGCGCTGTCCACCGGTAACTGGACGCTGAAGCGTTTCCGTATGGACCGTGCTGGTGTCACCCACGTGCTTTCGCGACTCTCGTACATGTCGGCTCTCGGTATGATGACGCGTATCTCGTCTCAGTTTGAGAAGACCCGCAAGGTCTCTGGTCCCCGTTCGCTACAGCCGTCGCAGTGGGGTATGCTTTGTCCGGCCGATACGCCTGAAGGTGAAGCATGTGGCCTTGTCAAGAACTTGGCGTTGTTGTGTCACGTGACTTCAGATGAGGAGCCTGGTCCGATTAAGCGATTGTGCTTTGACTTGGGTGTTACGGACGTGTCGTTGAGCTCTGGCGAGGAGATCAACCACGCATCGAACTACCTGGTGATGCTGAACGGTGTGATTATCGGTACTCACGTGAACCCGCGTGCGTTCGTGACTCGTCTGCGTCGTATTCGACGTGCTGGTCTCATCGGCGAATTCGTGTCTGTCATGATCCACGACGTTCAGCGCGTTGTGTACATCGCTTCTGACGGTGGCCGTGTGTGCCGCCCGCTGCTGCTTATTGACCCCGTCACACACCGTACTCGGTTAACTCAGCGTCACCTGGACGAGCTGCGATCGGGAGTGCGCGACCTAAGCAGTCTCATTGTGGAAGGTTGCGTGGAGTATGTGGATGTGAACGAGGAGAACAACTGTCTTGTGACTCTGCACGAAAGTGAGATTGGAGACCGCACGACTCACTTGGAAATCGACCCCGTGACGATTTTGGGTGTTGTGTCGGGCCTTATCCCGTATCCTCACCACAACCAGTCGCCACGTAACACGTACCAGTGTGCTATGGGTAAGCAGGCCATTGGTACGATCGCCATGAACCAGTTCGAGCGTATCGATACGCTGTTGTACACTATGGTGTACCCGCAGATGCCTATGGTGAAGACTCGTGTGCTGGACCTTGTGAACTTCGACCGTGTGCCGGCAGGACAGAACGCCATCGTGGCTGTTATGAGTTACTCTGGTTATGATATTGAAGATGCTATCGTCCTCAACAAGGCCTCGCTGGATCGCGGCTTCGGACGCTGCATGGTGTTTAAGAAGTACCAGACCATGATCAAGAAGTACGCTAATGGCTCGTACGATCGTATCGTTGGACCACCGGATTTCGACAGCCTGGCTGCCCCCGGTGGCGCTGGCATGGGTTTCCGGAATGCCAAGTACTCGTCGCTTGATGCGGACGGTATTAGCCGCGTTGGAGGCATTGTTCAGAATGGTGCGATCATGATCAACAAGGAGCAACCCACGCAGTTTAACGACTCGGTCGATGGGCGTGACCCACTCGATGTGACGTACTCGCCTTCACCGACGACTTACAAGGGACCTATCCCAGCTTATGTCGACAAAGTGCTGCTGACTTCATCAGAAGCTAACCACTTCTTGGTGAAGGTGCTGATCCGCCAGACTCGTCGTCCTGAAATTGGTGACAAGTTTAGCAGTCGTCACGGTCAGAAGGGTGTGTGCGGTACCATTCGCCAGCAGGAGGATATGCCGTTCAACGATCAGGGTATCTGCCCCGATCTGATCATGAACCCTCACGGTTTCCCCAGTCGTATGACTGTGGGTAAGATGATCGAACTGATTGCAGGCAAGGCAGGCGTCCTCACTGGTCGTCGTGCTTACGGTACTGCCTTCGGTGAAAAGTATGGATCGGCTGACCATGTGCTTGATTGCTCGCGTGAGCTCGTCAAGAATGGCTTCAACTATGCTGGCAAGGACTACCTCACGTCGGGTATTACGGGCGAGCCGATTGAGTGCTACATCTTCATGGGACCGATCTACTACCAGAAGCTGAAGCACATGGTGATGGACAAAATGCACGCTCGTGCGCGTGGTCCGCGCGCCGTGCTCACCCGCCAGCCTACTGAAGGTCGTTCACGCGATGGTGGTCTGCGTCTTGGTGAAATGGAGCGCGATTGTCTAATCGGTTATGGTGCCAGTATGCTACTAATGGAGCGCCTCATGCTGTCCAGTGACGCATTCAGCGCAGACGTGTGCCAGGGCTGCCGCATGCTGGGCTACGAGGGCTGGTGCCAGCACTGCAAGTCAGAAGAGAAGGTGGTTAGTATCCGCATTCCTTACGCTTGCAAGTTGCTGTTCCAGGAGCTGCAGGCCATGAACATCGTGCCGAGACTGACGCTCAAGGAGTATTAACAAGCTATCGATCGCAAGTAAGTTCCTGCTCTGTTGCGCGTTTTGTACTACTACACCGGTGCTGTGCTAGACCGTGTTTGCTTTAGACGACAGATCTTGGTGAACAATCAGATTAAAAACACGCATATGCAGCCTGTACACGACTCGACTCTGTCTCTCCCTCTCTTTTCCTGCTGGAACAGCTCAACTTCAAGGGGATTCGCTGCTGCTGCTCCCGTCGAAGTGCTCGCTCATGATGTCACGCCAGTTATCGACACGGATCTCCGCTTTGCCAGTCTGCATCATGTGAAGCAGCTGCCAGCAACGCGTGTGGTCGTTGGGGCCCAGGCCGTAGTTCATGCGGAAGACAGGTGAGTAGTCCTCCACTTCGGCGATGTTGTCATTGTAGTACTGGCACTCGATGAGCTCAGCTTGGGTGAATGCAGTCTTCGCAGTTCCGTCGACTTTGATGGTCGCGTTCAAAGTGGTTTCCAGGAGGTCCGTCGCCTGCTGCTCAATGTACTCACGCTCCTCTTGCTCCGACTCGAACGTTTCGGTCTCCATACTCCCCGATTCAGCTAGCTTGCGGGCGGTGCTTGGTGTCTCAGTAGTTGTTGCATCCAAGGTCGTGGTTGCTTCCACAGCTCCGAATGAGAGGGACGCCTGGATGGGAGTGGTGCGCTTAGGACAGACGAAGCCATTGTTCACCATGTTCGTGATCAGGTCGTTGCGCTGGTACTGGTACGAGAATTGCCCGAGCTGGTTGATGTTGACATACTCCCAGTACTTGGACGGCAGCGGCGTGAAGAACTGGCCAAGCTGCGGGTGGTCTTCCGCGCGAATGGCGGTCGTGGAGGTTGGGTAGGTCGTATCGACCATCCACTGCTGCAGTACGTTCGACGTTGCGGTCGGGCTCACAGCGTCCGGGTACAATGTGCACGTCTGGAACGCCCACCGCGAGACGCCCGTTGCGGTCGGGACGACGTTGTCGCCGAGCTGGCATTCGAGGTAGATCTGGTGAAGCAGGTCGACGGTCGCGCTGGATGGTACACAAACACAAGGGTCAACGTCAGTCGGATACCTCGAACTATGGTAAGTTAGGTAATTCGTACTGGATGCTGTAGAAGACTGGATCCGCGGGGCTAACGTATGTGGCGAGCACGGACGACAATGCGTTGTGAATGGAATCTGCGCACAACACTTCCAGGTTAGTCATCTACCACCGTGCACCAAGCAACCAATCCAACCTCAACGTACTGTGCGTCCCGTTCTGGATCTTGATGCTTACGTCTCGGAAGCCGCTAGCCCCGCTCAGCGTCACCCCCAGCCCAGCGTATCCGAAGCCGGATGGGAACGTCGTGGTGGACCAGTCGGAGCGGGGAATGCAGTGGGCACATCGAGTCGGGTCCGTGATGGTGGAGCTCTCGCAGAACGAGTTGGCTGGTGCGTTGGTGACGCAGTTGCCCGAGATGGTCCTCCCGTTGATGTTCATGGATCGCACCGCTCCCTGCGAGCCGCCGAGTCCGCGCAGAATCGACGAGCAAGCTTCCAGCGAGGTGCCGCCGTTCTCGCACATACCCTCGATGAACCGCGCGTAGTCGGCGAAGTAGTCCCAGTACGGGATCGTGAGGCACGCGTACTTGGGGTCCAGACTGCGCAGCATGTTCTCGTAGGCGAGCACGAAGCGCCGATTCCAGTACAGGAAGCCGCAAGTGCGCAGGAACTCCGATGACGACGCCTTCTCGGACGCCAGCTCCGCGAACAGGATGTGGTATCCCTGCTGCATGCCGACACCAAGCGCTTCGACGTACAAGTTCTGCTCAGCGGTGGTCATGGCCCCCCATGGCTTTCGGACGCGACTGGAGCAAGTGGTTTGAGCACCGACCGAGCGACCAAAGTGCGCGATATCACTTAACGCCAACCAGGCGAGGAGCAGCAGCTCGAGGACGCAGAAACGCATGAAGAAGAGCCTTGCACCGCAGCGCCTTGGAAATGGGCACACGCTCACGATCGACGAAGTTGAAAAGTGAGCTCTCTACATCGCCCAAAATCTTCTTGAAATCTAGGCGAGCAACAACGTACGGCGCTGCGGCGTCGGCATCTGGCATCACCAGTCGCGTGGTGCCGGTTCGAGACCGTTCGCTGCGGATTCCCTTCGTGCATTTGAAATGCGGCGCGAAACTGAGGGCTGGGCTTGCTGGGTCGACTACCCCGAGAACAAGTCGGTTGGTGACATTGACTAGGGGGTGCTGGTTCAATGGCACAAAGAATCAAACCATGTTTCGAGTCACTTGTTGCAACTCGACAACCCGAAGCAAACCGCCGCCCAACCGCCACGTACGAAGGAGCAACAACTGAACTTGCCCAGGACAGGCGCTACGCTGCTCTTCTCCCGCCGATCCGTGACTCACGTGAAGGCACCCACGGGGCCGGAAGAAGTCGCGGCTGGTGAAACACCAGTCCGTTGTGACCAGACGACGTGGCGTGATGGGCGGTAAAGCGACCGGAAGTCAAGTCTCGGGTGATACCAAGGTTGCGGTGCTCGATGTGGTGGCAGGAATCGGTGGAGAATCGAGCTACCTACTCGACTTGATCCGTCGACAGGAGCTGCAGGCAACCGTCTACCGTTTTTTGTGAGTCACGGTGACGCTACTGGCCACGTTGCAGTGCTGAGCGGGGTCTACAGAACTCAGCACACGCCAGCCATTTTCGAGCGTGGAGATGCACACGCGTGAGCGTTTATGGTTTCAAAACAGTGATAGATCGAAGACGTTGCCGACTTCTAGCGCCTATGATTCCTAAATACGTACGAACGGAGAAAGCGGGCTAGAGCGGGAGTCGGATGGCGCGGGAATTGTTCCCGGGTTTGTTGGAGCGTGACTTCGATCATTCAAGCTGACTACTTGACCGCGCCCAAGCCTGTCAACTGGAACGCGAGGACATACATGCTGCTGCCTACGATAGAACGCAGGAAGCTCCACGAGTGAGTGCTAACGTCGGTGCTGGTGGCTCTAGATGTAGATGTTCATCATCTGGAGATGAGAAAGCTGCGTGTCGGGGCGAGGATAAGGTGTTCCATGATGGATCTGAGCCGCATTGGCCGGTTGGTTTCGACTCGCGGACGGGATGAAACACATCCTTTAGTCTCGGCCATGGGTTTGTGATAAGCATTCTCGGGGAGGTGGCCAACTGGACGCACCACTCGCTCAGGTCTGGATCATGTCGCCACACGCCTGTAAGATGCCGCAACAGCGTTGCAAACCATTTCAAGGCGGCAGTAATTTGGCTGAGTGACTCCGTTTTTCGCTGTATCGACTTGCTCTCTGGTACCAAGGTCCGAAACGAGTTCGCCTTTCCGCTTCAAGTCTTCGCGCGCTCTTCGACCATAGACACCAACCGGTCTGGCGCTCTTTGTCCGAGGCGATTGCACTCTGCGGAGGTTACTATTGCATGTATACCAGTGGGCGGGCATCTTCGGCGAAGAAACCTTTGGTGCTTTTCCACCGTTTCCCGTCTTCCAGGATTCAAAGGCGTGCGTGTGACTGCGTGTTGAGCCGGTGAACTGCCTTTGGCCGGATCCATAAACGACGAACACCTGCTGGGTTCGATCTCATTTGCAAACATCATGGCTCCGCGCCACGCAAAGTCTCAGCTCCTCACGCTCCTCGTCTCCATTGTGCTGCTGGTAACACCCTCCAGCGCCAATGTGTGGCCGACTACCGGAGTGTGCGGTCCTCGCGTCCGATATTCGTGGGACGCGCTCACGTCCACCGACAAGCAGCTCTACCGGGACGCCATCTCCACCGCCATGAGCACCGGTTACCACGCTCTGTTCGTGGAAGTGCACTCGGACCTCACGTCCTTCCGGGAGGCGCACAACACGTGCGGCATGATGTTCTGGCACCGCCGCTACCTGCTCGCCTACGAGGAAATGCTGCGCAGTCTCGGGACGAGGTTCGCGTGCATCACGATTCCGTACTGGGACTACTTCGCGGACTACGCCAAGTTCTTGGCCAACACGTGTACGACGTTCGAGAACTGCTCAACCTTCTTGAAGGACATGGGAGGCAGCTCCGGGCCTTACGCGTCGCTCTCGATCAACGGTTTTACGGTGAATGGGAACTGCGTCAACGGGTTGTCTTCCCCGTACGCCGACTTCACCAATTTCTGCGAGAAATCGACAATGAGTGGGTCTGCCTGCGCTGGCTGCATCCCTCGAGGCTCCTGGTCGACGACAAACTTCCCGTCGGGCTTCTGTTACTCCTCGCTCGCAAAGTACCTCAGTCTCCAGTACGGATACGCTTGGTTCTCCCAAAACATTCACTGGGGAGTGCACCAATCGATCCACAACACGGCTTTAGGTGCCCTCGTTACCTACCCGACGTCCGCAGACCCCGTCTTCTACAGCCACCAGTACGTTACTTGTACTGTACATCCATCTTAACTCCTTGTTTTGGGGTGTTCGTACTAACGCATGTGTTGTCATTTAAACAGCGCCACTGTCGACTTGATCCAGCAGCTCTACTTCGACTGCCAGATTGGACGAACCCTGAGCGACTCGGAGAAGCAGACAGGAGCCTACGCGTACCAAACGTGCTCGACCGCCAACTACCCCGGCGTGCCTCCGACTGCTCAGTCGACCATGACCATGTTTTGGAATGCCACCGGGCAGACGCGGATCCCCGTTGAAAGTCACCCGATCCTTGGCAAATTCTTCGCCTACCAGCCGAAGGAGTACTGGCGCTACGTCAGCGCCAGAGACATGGGGAACCTCTCGTATTCGTACGCGTCGGACGACCTCTTCGCTCTTCTGCAAAGTGAGGGACTGTCGTGCCCCAAGAGCAACACCAGGAGGCTGTTCGATGCCAGCTACGTGGACGTGCCGGCCACCGCCAGCTCCAAGGCCAAGGCCATCGGTAGAAGCTACAACCTCTACCAGGACATCATGGAAGCCGCCTCCGCCAACACGAGCACTCAGACGGACGCGATCGACCAGGGCGAGACGCTGGATTGCCTCTGGTATGACGACAACTTCGGCGTGGACGACTTCAACGCGGAGTTCCGCGAGAACTGGAAGATCCCAAGCACCACGCACACTTTGTGCTACAGCCGCGTGCAGGACGTCAAGTACGGCCGGCGGCAGGTCAAGGTGAACAACTGGAAGGACAAGTACATGTTCCACTACTTCCAAATGACCGACTCGCAGTTGGCGAGCGCGTCGACCATCACATCAACGGACGAAACAGCAATGATGAGCTCCGGGTCGACGGCCACCTCGTCCCCGACGACAGCTCCAACCACGGCACCAACCACGGCACCAACCACGGCACCAACCACCACTACTACTTCGACTACCGCGACTACATCACCAACTACTTCTCCGACCTCTACAACATTCACGCCCGTGGCCACCACGGCACCGTAGACGTTGATACTGTATGTCAAAGAGCTCTCTCTCTCTCCATTCCCGTCCTTCCATTTTGACCCAAGACAGTTTGATACAATTGACGCTGTGGTAGTGATGAACGTCAGCAGACTAAAGCCCTCTATGTAAAAGCTCTTTCTATCTCTTACTCTTATAAACACATCAATATCCTTTCACGGTGTGTCTTCTTCCTTCACGTGATGCACAAACAAACTACTTCTCCGCACCTCCGGAATGGGCACTTTTGATATTACTCCGAGCTCCATCATGCAGCTCTCGACGACGGTGATCACTACTTTGCTGTTCGCATCACTTTCGACGATAGACGCAGAGAATTGCAGTGTTCGAGCAGTCGACGACGTTCTCCAGCCACTTGCGACCGACCCGAGCTTCGCCGGCTGCCAGAGCGACAGCAACTACACGCTGTTGTCCTTCGAGACCCCGACGGTCGCTCAGACCAGACGCTTCTGCGCAAGCTCCGCCTGTCACGCGTTGCTGAACATTACGCTGTCTTCGAAATTATTGCCGGATTGCAGCATAACTGTCGGAGCTCTCTCTCTCAACTTGTCGGACGTCGTGAGTGCCGTCGCCTCCAAGTGCGCTCCAGCTCCGAAGAAATTTCTGTCAGAGCGCGCTGTCGACAAAAGTGAACACCAGGGCAAGGTGCAACGAGCCTCGGACCACATCACCTCCATTTTAGGCCACACAGCGCCAATGGACGACGTCGGGGGCGTCGCGGAACTTGCGGGTACGCTGCTGTCGCTGCTGCGGCGATAGTTGACGGCCACTTCAACTTCCGTTTTTGCCTAAAATATGAGTCACAGTTTTCGATTTGGGTAAAGAAAAATGTAGCCATCTGCTTCAACTGCAACGCATGCGCAGTGCATGCAGCCTCGACGCTAGCCTTACTTTCCCCCTATGCAATGGTAATTAGCTTTGGACACTTTGAAACTGATAGCGCGCTTCTGCTACGAATGGCTGCTGCTGCTTGGTGCTGGTTCACGTGGGACTTGATCTCATATATCTTCACTCACACCCCGTGCGTGTTCATGGCCATCTTGGTGCTCCGCAAGTGCGCGAGCAGCTCTGTAACGAGGGACCCCTGCGTGCTGAGCACGTCTAGCAGCGCCTGGCGCTCCTTGCCCTCCTGCTGGGCCTTCTGCTTCTCCCAGGCCAGTCTCTCCTCCTCCAGCGCCACACGCCTCTCCTCGAGACGCAGTTTCCGCTCCTCGAAGCTCAGCGCCGAGTCCACCGTGACCACCGTTTTCTCGACCCGCGCTCTCTTCATCTCCTGACTACCGGCAGCTCCAGCAACTGCCACAACGGGGGCACGCAGCGGCCGCTTGTTGCTGCCGTTCTGCTGTACGCTGGTGCTCTGCTGAACATTCTGCGGCACTGGACTGGGGCTCGGACTCGCGCGACTCGGCACGGCCGCCACCGCCACAGGAGCCGGGGCGATCGGCATCAACGGCGTTGACGGCGCGGGCGGCGTCGAAGCAGCAGCGGGCGGAGGCGTGAGCCCCACGGACGGGGGCACCACCATGCCGGCGGTGCCCTCCAGCTCTGCGAGGTTGCGCAGCGCCACCTGCAGCGCCGCCTGCACGCGCTTCTCGCGCATGGCGCCCTTGTTGAGCGTCTGCTCGTCCACCTGCAATGGCAACCCACACAAGCGTCCATAACTCGGTCAATTCAACTCCAACCCCGCCCCAACCTTCCAGTACAGCAGCAGCAGCGTCTCACCACTCTGGCCAGGATCGCCAGCAGCTTGTTGCGCATGTCGAACTCCTCGGGCGTGCCGGAGCCGCGCAGCCCCGCCATCTCGTTCTTGCGGAAGGCCTCGAGCAGCATGTCGACGCGCCGCTTGACGATGGCGTGGTCCAGCGCGCTGCCGCGCGTGAAGGCCACGCCCTTCATGCTCTCGAGCGTGGACTGCACGCGCGTGGCCACCGACATCCAGGCGGAGCGCGTGCGCCCGTAGCCCGCGGCCCACGGGAAGCAGCGGATGACCTCGCGCACCAGCACCACGTCGAAGGCCGGCTTGAAGCGGAAGAGCCGCCGCTTGGCGCCGGCCGCGTCGCAGTCCTCGTCCTCGGCCTCGGCCTCGTGGGCGGAGGCGCGCAACTCGTCCATGATCTCCATCTTCTGCGCGACTTCCTGCTCCTCCATCTGCATCATGGCGGCGTCTGCCATCAGCGACTGGCGCGCTGGCTGGAGCTGTAGCGGTCTGCGAACTGCCGAATATGGGGGCCAAAAAGGTGGGTTACGTACCGTGTAACCGCTCGCGATTGACTGCGCCATTTGATTACATGTTTGCATCGTGACAGGGGGCTATCTTTTGAGAACGGAAGGAGGCGCGAATTTTCAAATTTCGCCTTCTGCGACAGACTTTGCGCCTTCTGGACCATACTGAACGCAAATGAAAGAAATTCGAAAAAATTGCAGCTGGTGTGGCGCACACACAGGCACAGCGACTCAGTTGCCTTTTTTGTATCATCATTTCGTCGCCGCAGTGACGCATGACGCTGCCCGTGGTGATCGTGGACGACCACCACCACTGTCTGGCGGACATCCACCTGGTATGCACCTGTCCACCTACTCCACTGCATAACATTACAGGCCTTGCAGCTCGGGTTTATTACTGCCGTTGTCAAACTGACAAGTGTACCGCAGGCCATCCGCCAGCGCCGCCTGCCATTCTCCGGCATCCACGTGCTGCATGTGGACGCGCATCCGGACCTGTCCTTCCCGCCTGCAATGGACACAGAGGTGATCTTCCAGCCCGATACGCTCTACGATGCGTTGGACGACTCAGTCGCAGGTTCGGATCCGACGCGAAAGTCTGAAAAAAAAATCCAGCGGAATGATCAATTTTCTGGTTTTGGTGCAGGCATCGCCGAGTTCCTGCTGCCGTTGGTGTTTGCAGGACACGTGAACCAGATCACGTGGCTGAAACCCTCGTGGGCGACGCAGGTGTGATCATATTTGGTGTTAGAATATGAGTGGGGCAGACTGACGAACTTTGAGTATTAGATGCCGACAGGGGCATTCAAGCAACTGGCGATCGGAAAGAGGAAGGCGAACGGTGAGTTTGTGTTGAAGATATTACCCGAAGTGCGCTTAATCTGTAACTCATTGGTGGCAACGCAGCAGCGCTAGGGGTGACGAGTGAGTTGCCTCACTTCGTGGAGGACGAACTGTTTTGCCCCGTGGACGAAATGGACGCGACTTCTGTTCGGTGCGAATTATTCTTTTTAGAGGAAATGCGGGCGTGGCGATGTTTGCACCTGAATATTGTTGCGTGTACGGTGGCTAGATATTGGGACCTGTTTGCTACGGAGACGAGCTCAGCAGCTGAGGCTTCTGCGGTGGCTGCTGAAGCGATCGATAATGCTCGCCAAACCTCAAAAGGTTACGTGCTCGATATCGACCTCGACTATTTCTCGACATGGGATCCATTTCGGAAAGGTGAGTGATAACAACCAGTTGAGTCTCGAGATTTACCGCTGGAAGAACTTACAATATTACTTTTTGTTTGTTTTCATAGACTTGGAGGCGCGGATTGGTGAATCGGCTGTGAAAACCGTCGCCCAAGTGTTTTCATCTCCACGCTATAAGCGATCTCCGCTCGAATCCATAGCGGCAATTGAACGAGATTCAGAGAGGAAACGATTCTGCGAACTCATTGATCGTCTCAGGGCTGTCGGCATGCAGGCAAATCAGCAAGAGTGGATGCAACTTGTGAGTGAACTTGCACTGTTGTATGCAGACGGTGTCGATGTGAATGAGCTTTTCGGCGACTTCGCTCAGTTGTTGGAACGATATCGCCATGACGAAGCTACACGACGCGAGATTTGGGCTGCTGGACCCTTTCTAGGTCTACCCCACCACGAAAGCTCCCCGGGAGAGATAGAGTGCATGGTGACCGAGCTGGAGCGATTCCTGCACTCGCATGCACTGGACGCTACCAACCCTCCTGCTATCGTGACAATCGCCAAGTCCACGGGTGACGAGTATTTACCGCCGCATCAACTGGATGAAGTGCTGCCAAGAGTGCTGCAGATGCTGGAGAGAGTGTTTGGGAAGCTATCGACAAAAGTTGTGGAGTATGAACCAGTCGAAGATGCGGAGGAAGATATTCCAATTTAATACACACTGGCTAATGTCAAAACACTGTACTGTAGACTGGTAATGCTCCTTACAGCACGCGTATAGCAACAGCATTTCGAGTGTACTCGTGGTGCTGGTAGCATGATTTCCGGTCAGAGCGGTTCTCGGATTGATGCTGAGAGTTTGAGACCCCACAAAATTCTCGGGCTTCACCACCACACTACCAGCCTCTAGTTTGATCATCGCCGCAGTCATGTCGTTGCCCGTGGTGATCGTGGACAACCACCACCACTGTCTGCCAGACATCCACCGGGTACCTGACCACTTACCCACTACATGATAATATAGGCATGCGCATTGCTGCTGTCAAACTGACGCCGATATACTGTACTACAGGCCATCCGCCAGCGCCGCCTGCCATTCTCCGACATCCACGTGCTGCATGTGGACGCCCACCCGGACCTGTCCTTCCCCCCTGCAACGGACACCGAGGTGATCTTCCAGCCCGATACGCTCTACGATGCGCTGGACAAGTCAAACGCAGGTTCGGGTCCGACGTGAAGTCTGAAAAATCCCAACGCAATGACCATTTTTCGTGATCTGGTCTGCTCTGGTGCAGGTATCGCTGAGTTCTTGCTGCCGTTGGTGTTTGCGGGGCACATGAACCAAATCACGTGGCTGAAACCTTCGTGGGCGACGCAGGTATGTTCGTGTTTGGTGCCGGTATGCGAGGTTTGGCTGACGACCTAGACTGTCAGATGCCGACAGGGGCATTCAAGCAACTGGTGATCGGAAAGAGGAAGTCGAACGGTGAGTTCGAGTTGGACGTGTGAGTGCTGTCATTTTTTAATCTGCAACGTTTCGGTTGTAATGTAGCGGCACTAGGGGTGACGACGGAGCTATCTTACTTCGTGGCAAACGAACTCTTTTGCCCTGTGGGCGAAATGGAAGCGTCTACTGTTCGGTACGAGGGGTGTTAGAGGTTACAGTTCTGCAGTCCCTGTAGATCAGCTTTGTTTGGTGTGTGTGTGGTGCTGGCTAGATACTGGGACCTGTTTGTTGCGGAGGCGGGCTCAGCAGCTATGTGTGCTGAAGCGATTGATAATGCTCGCCAAAAGTCAAAAGGTTACGTCCTCGACATCGACATCGATTACTTCTCCACGTGGGACCCATTGCGCAGAGGTGGGTGGGTACCAATTGAGTCTTGAGATCGACCGCGTTACGCTTACTGTGGTGTCTTTTGTTCGTAGACTTGGAGGCATGGATCGGTGAATCGGCTGTGAAGGCCGTAAAGCAAGTGCTCTGGTGCTACAGGTGGTCTCCTCTCGAATTGATATCGGCTGTTGAACGCAGTTCAGAGAGGAAAAGTTTCTACGAGCTCATCGATCGCCTCAAGGCTGCCGACACGCAGGCGAACCAGCAAGAGTGGACGCAACTTGTGGGTAAACTCGCCTCGTTGTGTGCAGATGGTATCAATGGCGAGAAGGTTTTCGGCGACTTCGCTCAGTTGTTGTAGCGGTATCGCCACGACGAAGCCACGCGACGTCAGATTTGGGCTGATGGGCCGTATATGGGTCTACCTCACCACGAAAGCTCTCCGGAAGAGATAGAGTGCATGGTGACCGAGCTGGAGCGATTCCTGCACTCGCACGCACTGGACGCTGCCAACCCTCCTGCTATCGTGACAATCGCCAAGTCCACGGGTGACGAGTATTTACCGCCGCATCAACTGGATGAAGTGCTGCCAAGAGTGCTGCAGATGCTGGAGAGAGTGTTTGGGAAGCTATCGACAAAAGTTGTGGGGCATGAACGTGTCCAAGATTCAAAGAAAGTTACTCCAAGTTAATGCTGGGGTAGCAGTAAAGCCCGATTATTTGAAGCCGAACGAGGAAGCCTTCCGTCGGAGTTAACATTTAATAAAATGGACAAATCCGATAGCTTTGAAGTGCATACTCAACCGTTTCATAGTACTATAAACTGGTAGTACTCCTCACACCACGCGTACAGCAGCAGCATCTCGAGTGTGCACTTGTTCACTGCAGCGGCGGTGGTAGTCGCACCGCAAGATGATGCCCACTGGGCCTTGTACGCCGAGTTTTCCTGTCTCCACGCGCAAACCGTGAGTCTTCTCGCCTTCAGACGGTCTCGTGGGAAGTCTTCGTCCAGCTGCGACAGCTCCAGACTCCACAGATCGTCCAGCAGCGTCGTATCGTCCTGTCCACCAAAGAGGAACACGCGCGGCACGCTATTGCCCGGCGGGGAGAAGATGAAGGCGCTAGCTCCCCAGTAACGCGGTGCCGGTAGCTGTTCATCAGTAGAGTCTAAACTTGCTGAAGCACTCACACGAACTGAATGCCACCCGTCGATCATATCTTCCAGTTGCTTCAAGCGAACGTCGAGCTGCGCCTCAAAGCGAGAAGCCGATACCGGTGTGCTCGACCCTAGTGATGCTCGTCGAGGCGGCTTCAGGCCGCGACCAACAGCCATCAACTCGTACGGAGTAAGCAGAGCTGCTCGTCCAACATGAACTCGTCTCTCTGCAATACTGGGACTTTCACTATCCGTTAGTGAGACGAGTTGTGTCCACTTTGCAGTGGGGGCGACACCGAAGGCCACGCTTGGGGTGTAATCCAGCCGATACAAGTCGTTCAACTCCAACCCGGTGCCCCCGCGCGTGCCTCCAAAGACAAACATACTGCTCTGATAGACGACAACCGAGTGCTGGAACCGTGGCGCTGGTGCTGATCCTGTCGCTAGTGCGGATAGGTTGGTCCACGTGAACGCCGGGACGCAGGGTTCAAGGTCGAAAGCGACATCCCACGAGTCCAGCGTGCCGACGTAGCCGTCAGCCGCGGTGTCGGACAGCTCAAGTGTCCAATTACCGGCGACGGGTAGCTGGTGAAACACCGAGAGGGCTTCGAGTGGCGTCCCTGACGTACCAGAACTACTGGCAGACGACACGAAGCTCAGCTTCTGGGTCCCTGACGAGCACGCGATTTTATCGGCAGCTTCCTCTGGACTCCGCAGTAACACTGGGAACGCTCTCGAGTTCGGAGCGGTGTCTGTCGCTCGGTGATCTCCCTGGAAAGCTCCCAGCCCCTGACGATCACTCCACGTTGTCTCCCGAGCCTGTGAATCCACTGGGAAGTGGACACTCTGTTGGCGCCCTGGGAACGTCGCTGGTCCGGGTCCGAATAGTTGTATTCGCAGCTTGTGAGGGCACGCGTGGGTGACCTGCACAGTCACAGACACGTTGGTGACGCAAAGCTGCTCCCCACTGGAGCTAACGCTCTTTGTGCCAACAGCGAAAACTTCTTCTCCATCAGGAATAGCGAGACTGGTTGGTTGTTGGGTATCCAGAGACACGGACGTCTGCTTTGCCGTCGTGGACGACACCGACAGCTCCCACAGATCGTTCAAAGCTTGAGGCCCCCAGGTCGACGCATCGTTGGCGTCCGAGGCATCACTCTGCCGTCCTCCGAAGAGCAGCAGTCGGCCACTCACTAGAGCCATCGAATGTTTTTCACGCGGAGGGGGCAGTATCGCTGGCTGCAGCACTGGCCACCACGTCTCTGTAAGTAAATCGTACCGCCAGAGCTCGTTCGACACTGCGCGTGGTCGCTGTTGCAGTAGACACGGTACTTTGTGCGCCCGGTTGCACTCGTAGCTCTTGGCCAGTCCCCCAAAGAGATACAAGTAATTGTCCATGGCCGTAAGCGAGTGTCCCCGCCGTGCGGACGGCAACCGTAGCAATGGAGGCGTGTTAGTGATCCGCATCCCAGCCCTCGTGGCCTCTTCATCCAAGCTCCGCGTGACGCAACGCTGCCATGTATTTGCTGGCTTCGGAGGCATCCGGAGCGTGATCACATCGCTGTAGACGCCATGGCCGTCGAGCTGCAGTGGCCTCACTCGAAACCGATACGCAGCCGAAGGCGATAGTCCGCTGATCGTGAGATTGCCGCTATCCTTCGTGACTGCAGCGTTGGGGAGAGTGATCAAGCGGACGACTCGGAAGTCTTCGTTTGCCGATCTGTTCGCCATCTCGACCACGAAACCCTCCACAAGTTGTGAAAACCCGTAGGGAGGTGCTTTCCAGCTCACGCTGACGCTTGAAGATGTCAACGGGGTTACGTCAAGTTGTCTTACAGCTTCGCCAGTCGTCTGCGGTCGAAGTCCGGCATCGCTAAGACCAACCTTGGAGGAGTTAAACAGGTCTCCGAAAGAGACGTAGCTGCTTCCGCCACCACCCCCTGCTCCATCGACGCCTGCGCCACCGCCCCCACCGCCGTAGAATCCACTACCACCTCCCCCTCCAGCTTGCTTTCCGCTTTGCCCACTTCCTCCACGTCCGCGTTGACCCTGCGACGGCCAGCGAGCTGCCATCAGCGGAGACACCGCAACTTCCATCAATGACGTTCGCGGGTTAAACAGACACACACCCTCTAGAGAATACTGGTAGGAGCCCGCTGTCCCTGCAAGACCTGGAGCCGTAGGCGAAGCTCCCCGGCCGCCCGTTGCTAGTACGGAATAGTCGGCACTGCTGGCACCAAAGCCCCAGTCCAGGTGCTGATGCCGCGCTGGGAGCCCCACGAAGTCCCGATCGTCACCTGCCACGTTCGAGGAATGGTACTCATCGCGAGGCGCCTGCCCCGTGACAGCCAAGTCCAGTGGAATGGTCGTAGCATCGGCCGCAAGACCCAATTCCGCTTGCTCCAGTCCGCCACCGGCGCCGCCGTGCGCACAGCAATAGTCGGTAGACCCAGCGCCACCTCCTCCAGCAGCTACGAGGATTGTGCGTCCATTAATTCGCACCTCGGAAGACCCACCGCCGCCTCCACCAGGGAAATCCCCCGTTCCTCCATTGCCGCCTCCGTTGAATCCACCACGACCGTCTTCATGCCCTCCACCGCCGACTAAAACGTGAATAACATCCCCCGCGTTTACTCGGAACAGCCCACGCGCAAAGGCACCACCTCCACCATTGCCCAAAGCACTCGAAGATGCGCTTGAAGATCGAGCGCCAGCACCCCCAGCACCCCACGCGTATATGTCGAGCGCAACGATGCGGAGAGCTAATTGTCCGGCTTGTAGCTGTGAGACTTGGTACGCTTGAAGGCCCCCACTGAAGAAAAATGTGCGCTCAGTGAGTCTCTCGCCCGACCAGGTCACGGGGAATATGAGTACGGCTCCGTTCTCACCAGGTTTCGCTGCGAAGCCACTGGCAGCAGAGCCCCCACTGCCGCCATTGCCGGTCATTTGAACGTAGTACCAGTCCTGCTTGTTCGCGCTTTGTTGGCGCGAAGCGGCCAAGACCATTTGCCTTGTTCCAAGGGTTGAATGAAGATGCTCCTCAACGTCATCGACCGTGTAATCTGTCAAGAATTCTGGCGACTGAGAGTAGCTGCCAGCTTGGTTCTCCGCATGAGCAACAGCTCTGACTCGTGTAACGTACGTGGCGTATCCTTCAAGCGACACCATCGAGATGTTCGCGGTGCGTTTGCTGTTGTCAACCAGCGAATCTGGCAGTCGGGTCCACGTGGAACTGCGCGCAATACGATACTCCACCTCGTACGTTAACGAGTCCTCCGTGTGTCCTCCTACTGCTGCAGGAAGGTCCCAAACTACGGTCAAGGGGTCTCGAATCACGCGTAAATTCTCAACGGGGCTTGGAGCTGTGCGGAGAGTCGTGAACGGAGCTGAAACCACGCTAAAGGGGCCTTGGCCATTCGTCGTCGTCGCTGCTACACGAAAGGCGCACGTAGATCCAGGCGGACGCTCCAACGAGGCTGCAACGGTGGAAAATGTGTCCTTGTTCCCACTAAAACCCGGCACAATGCGCTCGCTGATCGTGGTCCAGCCAACCTCATCGTCACACTGCTGCTGTGCATGAAAGCTCACAACGGGAAACAACTCGGTAGCGAAAATGCCGTTGCTCTGCTCCAGATCCCGCCGCATCCGCCACGTGATTGTAAGGAGTGAGGTTGTCGCGCCTAGAAGCGTTGGAGCCGAAGGTGCGCGCGGTAGCTGGGTGGCTGGGATCTTTAACGGCTCGCTGCTCGCACTCCAAGAACTCCAGCCGATGTCGTACGAGTACTGAGCTCGCACGCGGAAGACGAACGTTTTACCGGTTTGCAACGCAGAGACCTCGTAGCTGCACAGGTCTGAGCACATACGACGGTGCTGACTTGGAGAGCTTGGAGCAACTCGCAGATACTGAATAGCCACCTGGTCGCCGTCTCCAGTCCATTGAGCTGACAGTGTCTCGGTGTACAATGACAGCAGTGGAAGGGGGTCTTCGGTGTCATAGTCGATATTGTCAAACAAAATGATCCACTCGAAAGCTCCATTCGCGTCCAGCGCATTCCGGAACACCTGCGCCTTGGTGACCTGCTCCAGCGACTCGATCGCAGCCTTCATCGTGTCTGCGCTCGCATCGAACGCTATTGGAGGCGTCACTACCCCAGCCGTAGCTCGTCCTCCTAATGGGCTTGGACTCGAGCTCTCGTACGACAGCGTCAACCTGAAATACCCGTCGTTGATGGTCTCGCCGGCGTCTGCTCGCGTGAACACGCGCTGCTTGGGCACAGGCTCCGTGGCTTGAGCATTCGGGTCAATGAGAAGACCGCTAAGCGAGTCACTCAACGATTTCCAGGCCCCTGAACCAGACACCGCGTACTGCAGCTCATACGCTTCGACGCTGGTGATGCCGCCGGAACCTTCGAGAGCGTTATCGAACGCTGACCAGGTCACCAACGCAGCGGCAGACCCTGGAATTCCACGGACCACACGCAGCAACTCAGCGGATACTTGTCGATCTACCAGAACCAGCGAAGTCTGCGCGTCGACCTGAGTCGTGAATAGCGTCGACAAGAGCCAAATAATTGTCCAAGGAGTCTGCATTGCCTCCGATGTCAATCAAATGGAGAGACTCACTCCACGCCCATTCGCCACGCGGGCGACTCTTGCCAAAGATTCTGCTGATAAATGGCCACATTTGGTGATCAGGATAGCTTGAAACACGCCTTCACTTCGTTAATTGGTTCCTCTTCCTCTATCTTCTACTACCCCTCCACTGCAGCGACAGCGAGCTTTTCAAAATCGTCCAGACAGTTGTAGACGTGGGCTGACACGCGGACGTAAAGCTTGCCATCCACGCACTTGACCGGCACTTCAATGTGGTGAATGTAGTGGAGTCCGTCCTGAACGCGCTTGGCATCGGTCGAGGTGGCCTTGGGGCCCTTCTCATCCACCACGACACCACCGCAGAGCCGTCGGGAGGTCGGAAGTTGCACGAGGCGCATGGCATGTCGCTTGTGCTGCGGAAACTCGCGCTCTCGAGCGAGGTGGCCGCACATCCCCCATCGCGAATACAGCAGCTCTGCAGCTTCTTGAGCCAGCGAGTGCATGTACTCGCGCGTCTCGTCGACACCTTGACTGCGCCAGAAGGCAAGACATTGCGGCAGCGCGAGCCACGCGCTGTAGTCCTCCAAGCCCGTCCACATGAAGGCGCTCTGCATACCGTAAAAAAATCCGTGCGAGATCACGCGCGGCTCGATAGCTGGTCCATTCTCCCTCGCAACGTGCAGGAAGGCGGCGCCGCGTGCGGAGCAGAACCACTTGTGGCAGTTGCCGACGTAGTAGTCGGCGCCCAAGTCGTCGAGGTCCAGCGGCAGGTTCAGCAGACCATGCGCTCCATCCACGAGCACCGGAACGCGGTCCCTTCGGGAGTGACAGCGCTGCACAATCTCCTTCACAGGCATGGTCACCGCCGTGTTGGACGTGATGTGGTCCACCACCACAAGCGCCACGCGCCGTCCAGCAGCTTCAACAGCTTCCAGCGCGTTCTCCAGCTTCTCCACCACCTTCTGGTCGTCGTACGACTCCTTCAAAGACAGCGGTTCCTCGTGGATATGCACCTTTCCGGCGCTGGAGCCTTCGACCGCTTGCAGCATCTTCCTCACAGCGCCATACCTCGTACTGAACAGCACCACCGTCTTCTCCTCTGCGGCCTCACTCTCCAACACCGAGGCCAGTACAGAATGTAGCCCTGCTGTTGCATTGGGCAGCAGTACCAGCGTCTCCGGCTTGGCAACGCCCACGAACCCTGCGAGCGACTTGATGGCCCTCACCACCAACGGGAACAGCTCTCGGTCATTGAAATTCAGCGGCTGCGCGTCCGCCTGCGCCCTCCAATGATTAGCCGCTTCAATTGCCACCTTCGTAGGAGCTCCGAAGGCCCCGTGGTTGAGGTACGTCCACGTCTCCAGGTCCAGAGCGAAGAGTGAGCGATTCGAGGCATTGGGCGCTGAATTGCTCTGGAGCTGCAAACGCCGCGACGCAATTTCGGACGCGAACACCATTGCCGGATCTGATTCTGTGTCGTCTCGGGCGAACAGCGCGGCGGTGGACGGCGTGTGGAACGAGCCGAAGGCTTCGTACCCGCCGGAAGAAGAGGCTGAGCCGGACATTGTAGACGTTGACTTGAAGCGACGATTCTGATGCCTCTGCGCCGCGGTGGAGAGCGTGTAACGGTTTAAGATGAAGCTACCGGACTGGGGAAGATTGGGAAGCGATCGGGAGGCGGATAGGATGCGTGGGGGCGTATGGAGCGGCGACGCGAGCGAGCGCATGCGCTGCATGACTGCAGTGTCGAGGGAACTGTGTGGATGTGGATTGTGTAATGCACATCAATTTAGGCGGATAAGGCATAAGTTAGGTTTCGCGATTTGATTGGTTGATGGCCAGTGTGCTTTATAGGGCGAGCTGAGAAGCAAAAGTGAAGACCAACAATCCCAGGAGAGCAACTCCATAGGAAACGAGTGAAACACGAGCATGCGAAAGTGCATGAGCAGATGTGTAACGCTGTCATGGCATCGTCATGACGCACAAACTTACCCTATTGTGTACTGTACATGCATGGACATGTGGCCAGCTCGCCACGAGCCATGGATGGCACGCAAAGATGTTGGAGTGGAAGGAGCCGATTTGGCAAAACCAGAGAGCAACTGGAGCCACGCTTTGTTCACTCACCCACGCATTGAGTGAACGGGCTGGTAGGTTGCGTCCAGCGAATCGGTTTCGGCGGCCAAATGGACCGTTGCCGCAGCAGTTGCATCAGCACGAGGTGCTACGATAAGGGGTGCTATCACGAGGCGTGCAATGGTTCTCCACTCCGACGCAGGCCAGCCGGTTGAAGCATGCTTGTCGCCGCGATCACGGGCAGCACTCGACCAGGTTGATGACGAGATGGTACGCAGTCCCGGCTGGGCCCCCCTGACGCGATCTGCGATGATGTGTGCTCCGTCCGAAGCAGGACGATAAAACTTCGTCACCCGTGATAACTGGCGGGCCACAACTGAGTAGAAGACCAAAGTAAAATAACCGCCGCACTCTCAAAAACAGCTCAAAAATAAAACAACTTAAACGAAACAAATGGGCTAAGCTCCTTGACGTGCGCTGGAGTCTATCGCCCTGGGGGCCTCTACACTACGGGGCCGGCCCACATCATCACTGTTGCGTTACCCTCCCAGTCAGTCGCTTGTGGAGTTTTGTCCGCGGGAGCTCCGCTGGTAAACGTAAACGCCGTGGCTAAACGAACCCTAGATGAAAATTTCGGCCAATCGCAGGAAGCTCTCAAAATAGGTTCGTTGACCAGATGCTTTTTCTTTGTCAAAGGCAGACTAGGGTTGATGACATACGAAATCCCCGTCGATCGGGCGGTTTTGGACGCAGCCACTGTTCTGGGCCTTCACTTCCCAAAAAGAGCGACGACCGACGAGCGGCCAAAGTCACGACACAGGCCGACAGACAGACAACCATCCTGCCTAGAGCCATGACGCCCGTGTCGCTGCCCTCGCTGCGCTACGAGCCGCGCCTTGCGTCGCCCTTCCCGGCGTCCGCGCTGCTGCCCGTGCGGCAGCTCCCGGTGCTCAGCAAGCGGCTCTGCCAGCGCCCCGAGGCCGTCAACATCTCGCCCCAGAACTGCGCGCAGCCCGAGCCCACGTGGCGATCCAAGCTGACGCCCGACCAGGCCGCCGCGCTCGCCATCGCGCGTGAGGAGACGGGCTACGCGTCGCCCGTACCCAGCAGCAGGTTGCAGAGCGTGAATGCGAGCGCGGGGTCGCTGCACTCGCCGCCCGCTGGCGCCTCCGCCGAGGCCACCGAGGACTGGAAGAAGGCGCGCAGGAAAGAGCAGTGCCGCATCAACCAGGCTAACTACAGGAAGCGCAAGCGCCAGTACGAGCAGAAGGTGGCGGGCGAGATCCAGGTGCTGGAGCAAAACATCAAACAGCTCGAGGCCCACCGCGCCTCGGCCCTGCAGGGAGGACTCCAGAGCCCCGTCAAGGCCATCGGAGACTTCTACTACGCCGTGGGCGTCGACGGAGAGCAGCAGCGAGTCAACGTGCACAACTTCCGCCTCGCAGACGGCAGCTCCCCGGCGCTGCAGTGTCTGCTGGACCTCCAGAGAGAAGAGTTCGACTCGGTCGAGTCCCTCAAGCTCCACTGGCTCTGGTACCGCGAGCAGTTCCGGGTCTTCCAGCTCTCGATCTCGTCGTGCGAGCGCATCGAGCTGGGCGAGCACGTGCTCATCAAGATCACGGGCCAGCTCGAGCTCGACATCTTCTACGACGCCGAGCACCAGGGCGCAGACTGCCGGGGCTACGGCACCGTGACGTGCCCCATCCTGCAGCAGTTCGAGTTCGAAGCGGGTGAGCAGATTGTCTATCGCATCACGTCTGAGGTGGACCTCATCGGCGGTATCACGGCCGCGCAGGACCAGAGCGCCCCCGAGTGCACGCTGAGTGTGCTGCGCGCCTTCTCCGAGGGCTTCACCATGTCGAACCGCTACAACCAACTATAAAGGCACATTAATCTATGTCTCTGTTCGCTGTACGAACCAATAGAGCTTCCTTATTCCTTATTCCACACATGCAGTTACTGTAGTTGCCTCTCATCGATACAAGCGACAAACAAGGCAAGTTCATTCCCAAGGTGGTCAACCAATCGCCACGATTACCGACGATAGCAGGGCGTCGCAGAGAGCGTGAGCGTGCAGCAACTGAGTAGCCCACAGATAAGTCAAATCGCCACGATAAGGGAAACATCCAGTTGCGATTACGAACATCTTTCCTCGACCGTCGACCAGGACGAACGACCGACATCAAAGGCGACACTAAGCCGCCGGATGTCGGTTGTGTCATCTTGCTGCTCAATGCAGACAGCTGCACGAGAGCAACCCCACGGTGAGTGGACCAGCACTGCTGGCAGCACGTTATCGATCACAAGATCGCGGCTATCCCACTTTGATCACGATCGGGTCGTATGTCGCTCCCAGCAGGGAGGTACTTGGCAGCAGCATCGAAGTTGGTGCTCCAACCTATTGAGGTTTCCGCGGCATATTTTTTTAAGTCAAGGGTGGTTCCTAGAGTAAGGTTAAATCAGCTAGGTGCTGACAGTTTCTACAAGCAGCCTATCCGGAGACCGTTGGTCTTCTTCAGCGAACGAGAAGACTGAGTATATCGTGGCAAGAAGACCTAATGATGTAACGAGAAGCTGACGACTCAAAACGCATAGGACCCCACACATTTACGTTGGGTCTCCCCGGTCGTTACGGCGGTTTGACTTTTGCCGCGGCGTCTTTGCCGAATTCCGCTCATGAATATGCAAAACGCCGCGCACTGGCCTTGGTCGGTCTCGTTCTTTTGACGTCTTGCTGAAAACACCACGAGCCTTTCGTGTTGCCGATGGCGGATCGGTTGCCGAACGCGTTGAGTGTTCAGTAGCGCCAGTGGGTGCACGATGAGCGCAGTTTTGTATCGTGCCTTCAGCTCGCCAACAGCGCTGCGCTGAGTCCTAACTAACCGCAGCCTAGACTCGCACACCCTCACTCGCAAGGCACTTCACTTCAACTTTACCTTGTGCAAGAGCTTGCCTTGTGTGAGCTACTTAATAAAGCGTGGACCACCTGCTGTACATAAAAGCTGATCGGATTGTTCCAGAACCTTCACAATGAAAAGTTACAAGCAAAAACAAAGTTACACTTTACCACTTTACCGCTCGACATGAACGTCGCCCCGGGCATCGCGCAGTTCGGACTCGTGATCGCAGGCCGCCCCGTCATCACCGACTTCCGGTGCGTCATCTTGCTGCCTCCTACCAGCTGCGGGCGAAAGCGTCCGCCTGTAGCAGAGCCACCGGCACTGTAGCAACGGATTTTAGTTTACCTTCGATCTGATGTGTCGTGTATCCGTCGACAACCAGGGAGATCGGGCCGGCGCACTATGTAGTGGACATCGTGGAGCCTACGCAGGTGACGGATCTCACGTTCTTCCTGCTGCCGGGCTCCCCCGTGCCCCCAGGCTTCGGAGGTGCGTGAAAGGCATGAATGTAGCCATGTGGTAAACCAAGCTGATAACTGTTTGCATCGTGTAAATTCTGGATCTGTCGTTCTGTATCTGTGTCCAGCCGTGCTGTACTTCGCCGTGCCTGCGCTGCAGAACTGGCAGCTGCTGGGCACCGTGTTCACCGAGAAGCCGAGCGCCATCTTCCGCACGTCGTGGCCGACCCACCCGGACGTGGTGGGCCAGCCCGTTCTGCAGCTTGGCGTGTCCATCGAGAGTCTGGACAACGTCAAGAACTTGGGCATCGAGGCCAGCGGCCTGGAGGAGCGCAAGGCGTTCGCGCTCAAGATCGCCCAGGACCTATTTAACTACCTCAGTTCCTTCTCCACGAGCACCAACCAGAGCTACATGACCATCCCCACGAACCTGCTGGACAAGTGGATGGAGCGGTTCGAGGCCAAATACCGGCGCGACCCGAATTTCATGATGAAGATTCAGTAGGGGGGGGGGGGGGATGTGGAGAGAGTGGAGTCTAGAAGTAGCGGTGAGTGGTGGAATTTTGGTGTGTGCTGGGCTGTCGTACTGATGATGTTGTGCAGTGGTTACCTTGTTTTGCTAGATCAAACAACGAACAAGACAGCAGTATGGACACAATGACATTTATTTGCAACCGAAAACACTGTTGGACAAGGTTATCACATTTAAATCGCGGGGGCGATTGACTACAGCTTTATGAAGTACGCAGATCGACTGAAGCAGTGGATTTTCAACGGCCAACTTCGTGAATTTCAGCCAGGCTTTATGTGGGGAACCTGTAAGTACCGGTAGTCGATCTCGTACACAACATCTATTGCACTGACATTTTACTACACCTACATCTACGACGTATAGCTTCTACAGAGATATATAACTGTGGCAGCGCACAGCCTACATCAATTGCGTCCCGTTGCCCTAGCGATCGTCTCATTCGCCGGATGGGGGCAACCGAAATGCGCTTCCATCTTCTCTTTCCACGACGAGTCCAAGATTTGCTGCTCGCCGCGGTTGATGGCATTGACGATGGTCCTGCAGCGCGGCTCCTCGACCCCCCAAAGAGCCTTGAACTCCTCTGAATACTCGACGATCCCGCCAAGACAGAGCTCCTGGAACATGCACACTTGGCGCTCCATGTCGGCGATGTTATCCTGAAACTTTCCTCCATTGGATACCAGAGACTGATTGTACCAGTTCATCACGCGCTTCTCTGGTCGAGTGAAGTGTGTAGCGATCACCAACTCCTGATGGCTGCTTGGGGTCGGTGATGGCGTGGCTTCATCAGCTATTTCCTTCTTCTTGGTGGCACTGCCGGCGCGGCAACTTGAGAGTCGACGCCTTCCAGATGAGCCTCGATGGAAAAGCCAGTCGAAGAAGCTTCGGAAGCCGCTGGTGCGTGGTTCCTGTATGTCACGATCAGAATCTGCTTCCGCTGCCGTTGTCGCCGATCGAGGAGATACTGGGGACCGGGGATGGGTAGTCTGCGGCGGTCTGGTGGTCGGTCTTGGAGCGGGAATTCTACGCGGTGGCGGACGACGGGCGGCAGTCGGTGGTCTATTAGGCGGTCGTGGAGCAGGAGCCCTGTGCGATGGCAGGGCCGCTGATGGACGATGAGGGGTTGTTGGTGTTCTCGCGGCCGGTCTTGGAGCTGGGGCTCTATGCTGAGGCGAGACCTTCTTAGCTGCAGGAGCGGCAGGTGGGTTGTGCCTCTTTGTCATGCCACCGCAATCCCTGTACATCGTAGCGAGCAGGCCGCTGATCTCGTACGTATAGCTGCTGCGACCAAGATCGCTCCCGTCCAACATGTCGGCGAAGCGGTTCGGCACGCCCCGGAAGTACCGACCGATGAGTGGGTCCTTACTAGCGTCTATCGGGGTCTTGCCTTTCTGGCCGGTCCGCATTGTGATGACGTCCGTTGGCTTGAATGGCGGTCCAGTGGCTAGTTTCCCCCCACCAACTCGTCGCCTACAAGATGCCCAAGCAACTGGATCCGCCGCCTTCTGGGCGAACGTCATGCGTCGAGTGCCGACCCGACACTTGTGGAAGATGGTGATCAGCGCATCCAGCATGGCGTGGTGTGACCAGAAGATCGGATCTGCAGGTGACTGGAACTTGGTCATTGTTCCTCCAAGAATCGAGTGGATATCGGCGTGACAACCGCGCTCTACAGTTCGAGAGACTTTGTCGATGTTCGTCCCGTTGAAGACTTGTCCGATCACCGACGCGTAGCTCACACTCGCCGGGACCTTTGCTGATCCCCAGTTGCCTCTAGGCAAGCAGCGAGCGCAAGCAAAGCCTTTCGATGATGAAGACTGGCAAAAGTGGTTCAGTGGGTTCGTGGCCACGCAGTTTCCGGTCACTGGGACGCCGTTGATGGTCACGGTTTTCTGCGAGTTGCCTGCGTACCCGCCCAACTCTCTCAGGATGGGTGAACACTCGCCCAGCGTCTTGCACTCGCCGGTTAGAGCTCTGTTGCTCGCTGTCATCCAGTTAAAGTACGGCACCGTGACGCACGCGTACTTGGAGCCCTGGCCGCGGAGCATGTTTTCGAACGCGACGAGGAAGAGCCGATGCCAGTAGATGAACATGCACTGCTTGTGCGCCTCCATCTCGGACTTCATTTCGGTGTGGATCTCGACGAACTTGATGTAGGCACCCGAGTCCATCGCAGCAGCCAGCGCGCCCTTGTACGTGGCCTTATCAGCCGCAGACATGGAGTCCCAGTTGCGTCGTATTCGAGGACCGCATGCCCTTTGCGCATCCGTCGATAGCAGAGTCAAGAAGAATAGCAAGACACCGAGGCTGACGGCGTGTCGACATTTCATGACGTTTGTTGGAAATAATGCAGGAGTGGAAGTACATACAATGTATGCCATGCACATGTAAGGCAAGCAAGGAAGACGAACCGATTACGGGCTGCTGCTGATGGTCCATCCAGTATGGTGTCTGAATATCATCCAGCAACGACGCTACAGTTCCCAGGTGCCATCGAACAGCAAAAGCTTGACCAGATCAGAACTGGCGAGATCGGCATATGGCTCAAGCCTGCTTAGGTAGCCACAATACACTGCAGCAGCTACAGATGATGATCTGACTAAATGTTAGCAAGGAAAACTTAACACTGAAAGTTAGATGGAAAGCAATACATTTAAGACAAGACATCAGATACGTTGACATTGAACTAGACCGTTTAGAAATGGCTACGAGGTTAAAACGCGCGTACAACTAGAACGATTGCACCGCGCTTTGAATCGAATCCACGGATTGCTGGGCGGTTTGAATCGTGTCCGCAGTAGAGTCATCAACATTGCTGTAGCCATCGTTCTGGTCAGCAGGTTGAGTGGCATTCGCAGGCTTGGGGCAGCCGAAGTGCGCCTCCATGTCCTGGCGCCAGTTGTCGTACGTGATCTTCTGCTGGCCGCTCTTGATGGCGTTCACAATGGTCAGGCAGCGCGGCTCCTTGACGCCCCACGTCGCCTTGAACTGCTCCGAGTATTCAGGCGTGCCACCGAGACACTGGTCCTCGAACATGCACGCCTGACGCTCAATGTCCGCCATGACCTTAGAGCATCGGCCTCCCATGGCAGCCACAGTCTGGTCGTACCAGTCCGACACCTTCCGCTCGGCCGCGCACTTCTTCTTGTTCTTTATGATCACATCCACGTTGTTGTTCTTGGTGCCGTCATACTGAGGGGAAGGAGCCACCGTAGCGGAAACAGGGGCGGCAGTTGGGGTGATTAACGGAGCCTGCGCGTGGGCTGAAGCCACGTTGGTAGGCGTAGCGACGTTGTTCGTGACGGGGACATCGTCGCCCAGGGCAGTGTTCGCACAATCCTTGCCACGAATGTGTGCTCCTCCGTGGTTGTTGTATCCGTGCTCAGCCTCGAGGCGACGGTCGTTGCCCCAGCGACTGCGCAGCCAGTCGAACAAGCTGAAGCGAGGACGGCGAGTTATCGGCGCCGGGGCGGGCACGGGAGCGGGAGCGGGCACCGGAGCGCTGGTAGTTGGGGCCGGCGCAGGGGTGACGGGAACCGGAGCGGCAGTCGAAGCCGGGGTGTTCTGAGGAGCAGGAGAAGGCGGGGCATTGGAAGGCGCCGCAGTCGTAGGCGTAGGAGAGGGAGTGGACGTGCCGTCGCAGTTGTTGTACATGTCTGCAAGCTGGCCGCTGAGCTCGTACGTGTAGCTGCTGTCGCCCAAGTCGCGAACGTCCATGAGACCCGAGAACTGGTTGGGAACACCCTGGAAGTACCTTCCGATAAGCGGGTCCTGACTTCCCTGGATCGGGTTGTTGCCGTTGACACCCGTGCGCATGACGATGACCTCCGTGGGGCTGAATCGGCCACCGTTTCTTTTCGAGCACGAAGTCCAGGCCACGGGGTGCGCTGCCTTCTGAGCGAACGTGAGGCGTTCCGTACCGACGCGGCACTTGTGGAAAATGGTGTGAAGCGCATCGACCATCGAGTGGTGCGACCAGAAGATGGGGTCGGCCGGAGCTGCAAACGTCGCCATGGTGCTGTCTAGACTCGAGTGCACGTTGTTGTGGCAGCCGCCCTCGATGTTGGGGGACATTTCACCGATGTTACGGGCGTTAAAGATTTGCTGTTGGACCGATGCGTAGCTCGTGCTGGCAGGGACCGACGCCGATCCCCAGTCGGAACGAGGCACGCAACGCGCACACGCGGCTCCAGACACAGTCCCGGACTGACAGAAGTGGTTCAGTGGGGACACGTTGTTGCAGCGGCCAGAGTTGTCGATACCGTTAATCCGCACCGTACGCTGAGTTCCAGTCGTATAGCCACCGAGCTCCGTCATGATTGAGGAGCAGCTACCCAGAGACGAGCAGGAGCCAGCGAGAACGCGGTTGTTGGCGCCAACCCAGTTGAAGTACGGCACCGTCACACAGGCGAACTGGGAGCCTTGGCCGCGCAACATGTTCTCAAACACCACGAGCAGCAGTCGGTGCCAGTAGATGAACATGCACTGGCGGTGGGCCTGCATCTCCGACTGCATCTCCGTGTGCATTTCCACGAACTTGATGTACGCGCCAGAGTCCATGGCCGCAGCCAGCGCACCCTTGTACGTGTCCTTCTCCGCCGTCGTCATGGCGTCCCAGTCCTTGCGAACGCGAGCGCCACATTGGGCCTCAACCGGAGCAAGCGTCGCGATGATCGCAAGCAGCGCAGCGCCCAACACCCACGCAATCTTCATGGCTGGAAGGTTGGTTGAGAGCTTGGGTTGGTCTCCACGAGAGAGGGGTAAGACGCTAGGCGAGTGGCCAGCGAAATGGAAAATGGAAGTCGCAATCACGAGGTCGGTGGGCTGGTTGGTTGACGGACAGCAAGACGAAGACGCAGGCGGGGAGAGAGCAGGAGAACAAGGTGGCGACCTACACAGTTGGTCATCATTAATATCGAGCTGAAGCCCATCCACGCTCTGCCTCTACTAAGATCATCGTGTAACAAGCAGAGGGTGACTGCGATAAGAAAACTGTTATATCGATGTGATGTCGACTTCAGCTTAACAAAGCCCAAGTGATTTGAATTCGGTCGGTCAAAAATTGGGCAAAGAACTTGAGGTTGCTGGCAAACAAGACTCGCCACCTGGTAGGCATCAGGTGCGTTGAACAGAGTGGATAACTCGAAGTGGCGTGGCGGCTGGAGAACTCTATACAGTTCGAGCAGCGTGAACGCAACAAGTAGTTTTTGGAGAAGAGAGCTGACGGCACATGGTCCGGCGTGCTCAACAAGCTTGGATAAATGATTCCCTCTGGAAACCGGCAACTTGGCGTGCGTGACTAGGTAGACAACTGCGTCCGTTGCCTTGCACCAAGTCACCCGAAAGCGACAGGAAGAGGCACTGCATGTAGACCCACGGAGCAATGATATGTGAAGCTGCAACCACAGAAGTTTCTTGCGTGTCGGACTGGCGTCTGCTGTAACTTGCTGCAGCAAAAATTGTAGATGCTATACAATCCTATCCATCGGGCTACAACTTCCAGTTACAGGTAGGCAACGAGCCCTTGGGTGACTGACCGAGGCAGTCGTTGATGGTAATCGGCGTCATGGAAACGCTGTGCCGGGGCCTATTCCGGTGGAGCCTGCTGCTCAACGCTGGGCTAACCTCCGCAGCAGCTGATGATCCTCCGTTTCTACGTTGGTTGGATCCTAGTTGTTGTAAGCTCACCCCATGTTCGGCCTTGAAGCGACTCGCTTCAACCTTCAGCGGATCCGAGAGGGTTGCGACCGGTGGTGCCGCGAAGTGGAAGGATACTTGAGGAGTTTACCCTTATCACGGGATTTGCACAAACGAAGCTATGTCCGTGCAAGGGCATTCCTTGCCATAACCAACTTGGTTGCCAAGGCTGAGGGCTTTGGGCACGTCATTCCTAGACTTCTTGGATGCTCTAGACCTCACAGGGCTTCACTTTCGAAGCGACTACGTATTATAATTCAGCTGCGCAGTGGAAGCGTACGAACTTAATGTAGTGTAGATCGAAGATGCTGCCACTGTAAGCAGAATTGCTGCCCCTCATCGAAGGACCACAGTTCTTGCGAGGCCCTCAATCTGAAGTCTTCAGATGAAGGACCCTCATGATATTGAATGAGTGTCTGCTGGTTCAGCAGAACGGCCACATCAAGAGACCTCGAGCTCATCAATGCCGTCCCTCCCAGTCCACCACTCCCCAACTAGCCACCTCTCGGAACAACGGTGAAGAGCGATGTCTTCTTTATTCTCGTCGTTTGTGGTACTCCTCGGAGCATTTGTGCTGCATCCAGCGATAACGCGTGCAAACCAAGTCGTCCACATCCCCGCGCCAACGTGGACGGCAGCGAACTCGACGACAGATGAGCAACGCAAACTGTGGATGCCGCTGGCTTATCAGGAAGACCAGGGGTTCAACACCTCGTCGAACTTCACACAATGGCAACTGACCAACGGCTTCAAGACTCTCCGCGACTTCATGGACAACGGCAACTACTCAGTCACGTCGGGGGCTGATTAAGCGTGCGGCTGGACCGACCTAAAAGGAGTCCGCAACAGATTCCAGACGATAACATCATGCGCACATACGGCTACACCCGTGACGGCCCATGCGAGATCTGGCTGGACAATACCCTGGCCTACTCCAGCGTTGACTGTCTGGTGTCGCTGCCTAACATGACGTACACGCTGGACTACAGCGGGTGCGGCGCGAGCTGCGTCATGTACTGGTACACTTTGGGAGTCGCTAAACCGGATCGCGTGTACTCGTGGGAAGTTTACAAGGAGTGCATCCCCTTGTATATGAACGCAACCACGACTACTGCGACAGGTTCCAGTTCGTACGATGATACCCCAGGTACTGTGAAACCTGCGAGCTAAGCTGTACCGAGTGGGTAAACCCAGTAATTTCAAGAGGCGAAAAGTCAACATTTTGTCTCTATTGGTGTAAGTAGTAAGCTGAAATCCTCTCAGCGTCGAACCTAAAACGGTCTACGAATGATCGAATGTTCCAGTCTACGCCATTGGGCGGTAGGTCGCTTCAACTCCACTTTGGACAGCATCGTCCGGCAGCTGGATCACGTCGTTCGATTCCTGCGACCCCACTACGGGATAGCCATCCTGCGAGGAGCCCCACGAGCCCGAATACGAACTCGAGTTCGTCGCGTTGTTCGGCTTGGGACAACCAAACTGAGCCTCCATGTCCTCGCGCCACGACTCATAGATGATCGACTCCGAGCCGTTCAGGATGGCGTCCACAATAGTCTTGCAGCGCGGCTCCGTCACCTTCCAGAGCGCCTTGAACTCGGGCGAGTAGTCCTTCGTGCCACCCAGACACACATGCTCGAACATGCAGGCTTGGCGCTCAAGGTCGGCCATGTTGTCGTGCGAGTCACCCCTCATGGCGTCCATGGTCTGGTCGTACCAGTTGATGACGCGCTTCTCGTCTTCATCGGAGACATATGCGTCAATTGGCGCGTTAGCTTCGACCGGTTTGCCCGTGCTGTCGACGACGATAACGTCCTGGCGGCCGTCATCCTGGCCATTGTAGTCGGTCTCCGGGAAGTTGTTCTGCGACGTAGTCGTTGCCGTCGATGTCGTAGCCATCGTTCTGCGCCATGCCGCACATAACGGGCTTGGACGTGGTGTTCGTAGCGGTCGTGTCCTCCTCAAGCTTGCGAGACGTAGGAGAGGCGTCACAGCGATCGTACATGGCAGCCAGTTGACCAGTGATGGAGTACGTGTAGCTGCTGTTGCCCAAGTCGCGGACGTCCATGAGCCCCGCGAACTGGTTGGGGACTCCGGCGAAGTACTTGCCGATCTTCGGATCAGTGGAGCCAGGGATCGGATTAACGCCCCTCTCGCCCGTGCATGGTGATGCCATCCGTCGGACGGAAGACGCCACCGCCACGACGAGCACAGGACGTTCACGCAACTTTGTTCGCCGCTTTCTGAGCGAACGTCAGTCGCGCAGTCCCCACGCGGCACTTGTGAAAAATGGTGTGCAGCAAGTCGATCATCGCGTGGTGCGACCAGAACAGCGGCTCAGCAGGAGACGCGAAGGTGCCCATGGTGCCGTCCAGGTTGGCGTGCACGTTATCGTGGCAGCCCTGCTCAACGAGCGGCGACATCTGGCCAATGTTCTTGCCCTTGAAAACCTGCTGGCGGACCGATGCGTACGTCGTGCTGCTAGGGATTGGAGCTTGGCTCCAGTCACTGCGAGGAAGGCAGGCCGTGCCATTGAGGGACGAGAGCTGGCAGAAGTGATTCAGCGGCGGCTCAGCCACGCACCGACCGAAATTCTCCTCGCCGTTAATGTTGAGCGTAACTTCAGCGCCAGTAGCAGATCCGCCGAGCTCCTTGGTGATGGCCATGCAGTCAGCGAACAACGAGCATGTCCCCGCAGTCACGCGGGCTGCGGCAACGATCCAGTTGAAGTAGGGCACCGTCACACACGCGAACTGCGGCCCCTGTCCGCGCAGCATATTCTCAAACACGCCGAGAAAGAGGCGGTGCCAGTCCGTTCTTCGAACTTGCGGACTTACTGTGGCATAACTTTTCATTGAATTGCCCATTCTGAAATCTGATTGGGCCTGCTAAATCTGCGTGTTTAGGCTGAATTTATGCACTTCACGCTGGCCCGTGTCTATTTTGCAGGATTTCTTGTTATTGTTTTGAAAAACTTGTTGATTTGGAGTGAGCTGCCAGTTTCCTGCCTCTTTTTGATAGCACTTTCGTATGCTATGCAAATCCTAGGAGGATCATCACGGAAATTGAAAGTGACGCTGGATAAATCAACCAATAGACTACGAGAGTTTAACAAGGAGAAGATGCTAATTGGCTTAAACAAGTAGGCACAGAACTGGTTGTAGGCACTTTACCTTACGTGAACATGCACTGGCGGTGAGCCTCCATCTCGGATCGCATCTCGGTGTGCATCTCGACGAACTTGATGTAGTCGCCGGAGTCCATCGCAGCAGCGATGGCGTTCTTGTATGTGTCCTTCTCCACTGGAGTTAACATATCCCAGTCCTTGCGGATACGGGGGCCGCAGGTCGCTGGAGCTTGAGCTTCCACGTTGGAGAGACGTACGAGCAGCGCGAAGAGAGCGACGCTTAGAATCAATAGAATCTTCATGCTGAAGCCTTAGTCTTGCAGTGGAAGAGGTTGACGGGCTTGCGCCGGTGGCAAGGAAATGAGGAATGAAGTCCCAGGCGTGGATGAGCATGACATATCGTATTTTTCAGGAGAGCTGGAGCATAGGAACGGATGTATGGGTAATGCCGGCTGCGATCGTGGTGTCCTTGCTATATTTTATAGGACACGTAGCTCGGAGTCTACATACAGCACATGTATAATGGTGCTATGTATGCATGAACTCTGGTCAAAATACAGATACGTATGTATACAGTATACTTAGTGCTACTGTAGTACTGTACATGTGCATCAGTTGCAGCGGACAGGACCGTTGTACATGTAGCCACCGTCAACATGCTACACCGCGTCACCATGTTCCACTTTAATACCTGTACATGGTATTTAATACAGAGTGATACATGTTTGCCTCGCCGCGGCATCCTTGCTGCAGGAGCACTATTCTCCGCATGTAACACCGACTACTGTCTATTTCGATAAAGAAGCTTGTGTACTAATAAGCAGCGCTGCTCTAATTTTGTTGACTCATTAATCAGATCTTTGATCAATGTGGTGAATTACACCTCATCCCGGTGGTGCGTGCATGCAGTGCATGTACCAATGACACGGGTTGGTACCGGTACTGTACAAACCAGGACAGCCGACAACAGCGAAATGCTTCGTCGCCGGCACGCGCACTCTGTCGGAAATTGTTGGTCCGGAGCTTTCGCTCGCAATCAAGAACAGCTCAAGACTGTCTGATGCCCCGCCACACTGTGGCCCACAGCCTTTGAACGTTAACTCGCCGTCACGTCGAGATAACGCTGCGTGATCGGCACAGTACCAGCTGCCGTCGCACGTGATCCCTCAAAATCCCTCTACACCAGTGTTGGCAAAAAAAATATCGAAGGATTTTTATCCGAATAAAATAATAAATAATAAAATAAAAATAGTTTTATTTTTATGTGATTTTTAAATTTTTATCGAGCAAATCCCGCTTAATCGAATAAACCGGGAGCTGCAGAGGAACTGTAGTTGCGCTAATAGTAGCCTGTGTCCTCGCTGCAGACAATCAGAGCATGGGCGGCAAGTAGCACAGCGAGCGCGGGCGGCTAAGCGTAGACGACGAGCAGTGGTTGAGAGTGGTTGAGGGGTAAGCGGTCAGCGGCGTCACAGTGCCAATGTGCCTCGAGTCTGTTGCAGCAACAGTGTTGCTTCGAGGCGCGTCGTTTGCGTCGTTCATCCGTGGCGGAGGCGAGTCCGGGGCGCGTCGGCGTGAGATCCGTGAGCAGGGGCACAGAGTCGCTGATGGCGAAACCTGTCCGGCTGGTGCTGTCTCGATCGGGTCTAGCGCTCGCAAGTACTTGCGGATCGGTGCGAGTGTCCGGCGCTCGCATCTCGGACGACGTGGCTTTGGCTGATTGTGTTGGTGCGACGGGTGGTGCAGTGGTGATGTCTGACGGTGCGTGCACGTCGGTCCGGCGCAGCGGAGAAGGTCCGAGCAGCAGCGGCGAGGTGCGACTGGGCAGCACGTCCAGAGCGGCGACGGGTGGCGCGTGTAGATTTCGTCTGGCTCGGCGTCTGGATCTTGCGGTGCTGCTTTCGCTGGCAGCATCAAGCTGTTGGTGGTGGTGGCGACTCGTAGCAGGATGGGTCAAGTGGCGTCGTGTTGGTGGGTGATTCGTCGCTATCGACAGCGTCTTCGTCTGGAATCGTGGCGAACGTTTTTCGGCTGGAGGACAGCAGCTCTGCTGTAGACATTGCCGACGGCCATGTATCCGTGTCGAGCGGTTCGGCTCGGTACTCGGGCTGAGCGGCAGCGGCAGTGATGCTGCTGCCATCTGCGGTGACGCGACGCTGGGGTTATCTACCCCTGGTGTGAGCCGAGCCTTCGCAGAAGCAGAATTTCCTGACACTGTATACACATATAATTCCGATCGCGACTAGCATTGAATACTCAAACCTTTTTTCTAAATTGAACTCAGCTTTCATCTCCGTAGGTTGTTGGGATTTATACATGGTTGGCTACCGTATCCGTACAGTACCGGTAGTGTCCGCACGAACATTAATGGAGATGGCGTCAAATCGCTTAGCACATGGCGCTCGACGAGCGCCATGTGGCTCAAGTGGCGCCGCATCTGCAGTCCAAGTCATGTTCATTACCCAAGGTTATAATATTGAACACTTTGTTCCTCGAGCTGTCACCATCGGCGGTACAATACCAAGACGCAATGTTTGTTTTTCTTCATTTGTTGGCGTGCAGTACTGGCATCAACCGAGAAAAGGATACTGCTGGTAAGGCCCATTTGTAAAAAAAAAGAGGTTGCTGGCCTACTTATAAGAGTACAATAGGCCATCGCACTAAGCGAGCGATTCGACCCCCCCCCCTCTACATGTATCGTACAGCACCCCAGTAGCACCCCATCTCATGTGTCTGTGAAGAATTTTCACAGAAAGCCACTTTTTAAAAAAAGGTGGGTTTCAGTGATAATTCTTGCAAGCTGCATACAGTAAGAAAGTCAAGTTGAACCATGGTAAGTTCTTTAAAAATAAAAAGTCGGATTTGTACATGTAGTGAATACAGTAAGATTTTAGATCTACTTTGCATTCGATCCGTATCTACATTTTTTGACTCAGCTACGGTGGTCCAACTTAGACCCTAAGTACAACCACAACGCAAATTCTTGAGCGGCTGGCATGTTTTCGTGCGAGTCTCCGCCCATGGCGTCCATGGTCTGGTCGTACCAGTTGATGACGCGCTTCTCGTCTTCATCGGAGACATAGGCGTCAATTGGCGCGTTAGCTTCGACCGGTTTGCCCGTGCTGTCGACGACGATAACGTCCTGGCGACCGTCATCCTGGCCATTGTAGTCGGTCTCCGGGAAGTTATTCTGCGACGTAGTCGTTGCCGTCGATGTCGTAGCCATCGTTCTGCGCCATGCCGCACATAACGGGCTTGGACGTGGTGTTCGTAGCGGTCGTGTCCTCCTCAAGCTTGCGAGACGTAGGAGAGGCGTCACAGCGATCGTACATGGCAGCCAGTTGACCAGTGATGGAGTACGTGTAGCTGCTGTTGCCCAAGTCGCGGACGTCCATGAGCCCCGCGAACTGGTTGGGGACTCCGGCGAAGTACTTGCCGATCTTCGGATCAGTGGAGCCAGGGATCGGATTAACGCCCCTCTCGCCCGTGCATGGTGACGCCATCCGTCGGACGGAAGACGCCACCGCCACGACGAGCACAGGACGTCCACGCAACTTTGTTCGCTGTAGTGCAGGCAATATCCAGCCTGCCCCAGCTAGCAGTAGTACTATTGGTAGCAGTCAATCTCGGCAAACGTGATGACTGCGACAATGAATCTTGCGGATAACGCAAAGTAAGATTACAGTGCCCCGTGCATAACGGAATCCTGATGATCAGGCAGAAATCAAGTGAATGTCGTGTAGGAAAACACGAGTTTACGAGTCCTCGCCCTGTCAATCGAAGTCTCTAGGACGAGCCCTGCCGTCTCCGAAGAGTCGGCGATAGATTGTCGGGATAATAAACCTGAAGACCAGGTCCGATCCCTTATACGGGCTGGAATGTGCCTCCCTGTGTGTTGCGGGTCAGGTAGGTTTACCCTTCGTTAAAATATAAGAGCACCCTTAGCCACGAGCTACGGCCAGGATGCAATGTGTAATACGTGCTTTCGCACTAAACCTCTGTGGTCCCTCAGAAAGGAAGGGTACCAGGCCAATCGAAGCCTCTTACAGGGGCGCCGGGGCGAAGCCTCGGCTAGAAGTCAAATACACTGGGGGGTCCTTGCCTCACACCCAGTCAAACGTACCACTGTACACAGAGGTCTCTAATACCTCCCAACACTCGGCCACCTACTCACTCTTGGCCTTACCAGGATGAACACTCGGTCAATGCACCTTATGCTCACCGGCAGACATACCCCGTGCAGCCGAGTGTATCCAGACCCTACGCTAAGCTTAGCGACTTACCGTAGACGGACGTGACCCTTGTGTGGCTTGGGGAGGAAATTCTGCTCTGTTTAATGGTTTAGAGGCTATCAGGCCTCTCCTATAGCTAATCCCTAAGGTCTATACAAATATCAAGTGTGGACCGAGCTTTCGAGCTGATCCTACAACCGGACGAAACTTCGTCCTAAATCCGAACTCCTACTGGGCATAAAGTTTACCCACTATGAAACTTCGGAGGCCTCGGCAGGCGGTTTATTTTGACCCGCCGAGACCCTTCTGTCACTCCATAGTCTCTATCAATCTTCTGGGCACTAAAGCGCGGGAAATGTGACCGACCAATCAGAGCCCTCGGTCAGCCATCACTCAAGGCAGTCTACTCTTGCTAAAATGTAGATAGTAGTTAGACCTCGGCCGGAACTCGCCCGGCCGCAGTCATTTCCCGATCTCACAGCGGCCCCCAACTCGGCCCGAGCCGTCCCAAGTGGTGAGTGCCGTGTTGCCTTCGTGCCTCTCTGCGCTCCGACGCCATGCAGTCCTCTGGCGGTCCTGGCAGCGCACCGCCCTTCACCTTCCCGGACCTCGGTCCAGTCATCCAGGTGAGTCTTCGTGTGAGGTGCTTGAGTGCTGTGCTTGATTTCTTCATCGCGTCTAACCGTCTTCAACTTGCTGCATCTTGCTGCAGGACACTCGATAGCGTGGCCCCACAGGGCAGGTCATCGACCCGTCGGCGCCGGCCTCGGAGGCCTCGGCGGTGCCAACTCCCGCTTCTGCATCAGCAAGCGGGGCGCCCCGACGGCCCCAGGCTTCGGCCGCAGTTCCTGTAGCTTCAGCGCCATCGTCTGGTGCTGGTGGCAGCGCCGGAGCTGCTCCGTCATCAACTCCCGCCTCTGCAGGAGCACGCGGGGTGGCGGGCGGTCTCCAGGCCGCACCATCGGTCGTCGCGCACCATGCTTCGGCTGCAAGCACCGGAGAGACCTCGGCTTCGAGTGCAGTGGCTCCGACGTTGCCAACTCCCGCTTTGCCGTCCGCTAGCGGGGCTTCGTCGGACCCTGCGTGTACTCAGCTGGTCCCCAGGTCCTCGCCCGACTCCAGTCCTCTGCACGAGCCTTCGTCAAGTGCTGCGCACTTCTGCCACACGGGTGACCCGCTGCCTGCAACTGCGTGCGAGGCTTCGGGACTTCCCCCGCGCTCCTCCGCGCAATGGTATGCTGTCGAAGACATCGTTCACCACGAGGTGCAGGCTGCGGTCGAGGAGCTCCGCGAGCACACGGAACGACGTTTCGCAGACTTCGCGCAGCTGATGGTCGGCTTGGTGCGTCACCCTCCGCTTCGTGTCGACTACGAGCTGGACCAGAGGCTCGAGCGCGCTCAATCCCTCGGTGAGGTAGTCGAGGCACTCAATCCGGACCCTTGCGGGCTGCCTACGGGCTGGGACGAAGAGATGCGCAAGCTTCGGTTCGAGGTTCAAATACTTCGAAAGGCGCGCTCAACACTTCGAGTCGCTGCTCAATCAGGAGACGGACCTCAAGAACCAGGCTCAGGTCCTGTGTACCCGAGCCTCGTTCGAGCGCAACGAGCTCTTCGAGGTGGTCAAGTCGCTTCGCCACGAGCGCGACGAAGTTTCGCGTCAGCTGAGGAAGCACAACACTGCCATGGCTACGAACGACGAAACGATCGCTCTGCTGAGGTCACAGTGTGAGCGCTACGAGGCTTCGCTCAAGGCTTCGGACTCGCTTCTGGCAAAGGATCGTGAGCTCTTCAAGTCGGGTCTCCAAGAGTACAACCGCAACATGAGGCAGCTCCGAAGTCTGCTCGTCAACCAAGCGCGTGGTCAACCGAAGGCTCGAGAGCTCGTTCGTCGCATGGATGACAACGTCCTGCCCAGAGCATTCGATGCTTTCCTGGAGGTGTTCGATTCTGCGTACTCCGCTTCCGGTGCGGCTCCTGCAACTCCAAGTTCTCGTGAATCTTCGTCTCGAGCTGGCACTACTCGCCATCGAGCTGCTGCTCTGGCTGATGTCCAAGCCGATGTCTCGATGGAGCCTGCTGAGTCAGGCAACGACTCGGATGACGAGTCGACCAGTCCTCGCCCAGCCAAGCGTCGTAAGCATGCTCATCGCAAGTCTCGGGAGACACAACAGGCTGCATCCAACCGAGCTACAAGACTCGGTCGTTCTTCTGTCAACCTGCAGCAGAGAGCTCGTGCCAGGTCGGCTTCTCGTCCTTCGTCACCCACGACCCCAGTCGAGTCTGCGGCTCCACAGGCTCGCCCTGTGGCGTCACATTCTTCGGCGGCTGGTTCGGCTGCTTCCAGCACAATTCCTCCGGCTTCGACTACGTCTGCTCTCCGCTCCATGTCAGATGTTGAACGTGAGAATGCGCTAGACGACGAGGTTATCGGTGACGCTACTGCACCTAGTGCTAGCGAGCCTTCGGCACCGGCTCCTCCTCCACGTTCACGCTCTCAAGGTTCGGCAGGCAGATGCCGGCAGCGCAATCCTCGTGTCCAAGTTGTGGCAACTCTCTCTGCGGCTAGCACAGCCGAGATATCAAGCTTCGCTCGGGCGTCTACACCGCCAGCCCCAGTCCACGGGGAGCAACCCCTCGTTCGGGTGTCCCGCAAGCTGCCGGATACTGCGACTCCGTTCCTCGACCCTCTGTTCCAAGCGTATGGGACTAAGTCGTGCTGGTGCATCATCCAGAACGTTCGGATGCCTCGGCCTATTGCTGGTGACGTGATGATGGAGTGCTCAGTCAAAGGCATAGAGGAGTGGTCGGGTTGGACAAATCCGAATCACCCATTCCAGAGGGTTCTCGCCAGCATGCCGGACGAGCCTTGCCTGTTTGAGGTTGCGGCGTTCATGCCGGACGTTCCAATTTCGGTTCGCGCCGAGGTTCGAGCGCTGTTGGTTAAGCTCTGGCGGCAGTTCACGGGTCGATCTGTCGGTCGTACTGAGAAGAACGACCTAGCCTTCTCACTGTTCGAGCGAGGGCATTGGATTTCGACGACTGCCGTGGAGCGTTTCCTCCGGTTTATGGCAGAGACCTTCGATGAGGACTCGCCTGAGTACTGCGCGATCCTGGCGGCGTGGGTCAAGTACAACCGCGAGCGCAACACCGTGCAGATCGCCTGCGTCTGCAGATCCCGAAGCGCTGGTGGCAGTGGTGTTTCCCAGACTTCGCTGACCACATCTCGTGCGAGACCGAGACTATGCTCGAACCTTCGGTGTTGCAGTACTCGTTCGAGAACTTGACGTGGGCTCCCAGCTCGGGCGATTGGGTTTCGGAGTGCTTGGAGCTGGATGGACACCAGCCTTGGCGCAACTGTTGGGTGGATGTGCCGTCCGAGCACCCGTACAACACAACCTTCGCTCCGTGCAACCCCATGGTTCCACTCTTCGTTCCTCGTGGCATGACTGTTCGTGAAGTCGCGACAGCTATTAAGGTCAACCCAGTGCTGGACCCTCGCCGTGTTACGACCCCATGGGTGCGCGCGTTCACGAACTTCCACGGACCTCCTTTCGGTCTGCAGGAGGACGGGCAGCCGGGTGAAAACAAAATCTCGGAAGAGGAGGAGGTCAAGGAGCTGATCGAAGCGATCGAGTCTCCGGTTGCTGAAGAGTCTTCGGAAGAGGTTCAGGACGAATCTCGCCCCGCCGTGGATGCGCAAGAGACTTCGGGCGAAGCTACACAAGCGCTAGGAGCTCAAGATGAAGCAACAGCAACGCAGGACTCGGTTCAAGATCGCGTCGCGGCTTCGGAGGCCCCTGTTGAGGAGGCCCCAGCCAGCGAGCCTCCGGCTGACGCGCCACGTTCGCCTCCAAGTGCTGCTGATCAATCTGCCGCGCAAGCCGAAGCTTCTCAGGCTGCGCGTCTCCGCGTTTTGGCCAAGGTTGCCTCGTCTTCGGACGCCTAAGCCTCGTTCCAGTTCTCCATCGTTCCTTCATGTTTAGGTCGGGCTAGATCAGGGTATTCAGACAGTTCGTTCGTAGTATAACTAGCTCACCCATGCAATTCAGTAGTCGTTTGTCCTTCTTCAGCTGTTCTCCATAGTTTCTCCAGTCGTGATCTCCACTTCGTAAAGTCTTGTCCACTTCAACATACAAATATACAATCTTCTTTCCGCAGTAACATGTTTCGTCTGCTGGGACAGGCTGCGTAGCCCTGCCGGCAGTTCATCATGATGAGAGGGATGCAACTAGTCCTCGTCAGCGACTTGGACCATTTGCAATCTTCGGTCACGTCGTTTCTCGCGTAGATAGTCATACAGCAGTCCGCCACAAGACAGATTCGACGCGGGCTCCCACGAGGGTTCGTCATAGCCGACCCACTTCACCTTGAACTCTCGAACGGCTCGCTCAGTGCTCGTCGAGAGGGGAATTCGGTCATCCAAGATGGCTTCAACCTCATACTCGCCCGCCAGGTGGTCGGGTTCCCAACTATCCTCCGGGAGTAACTCCTCGTCGAAGTCTAGTCGCGTCTCCTCGGTAACCTCCGCGGCGAGTCGAGTCTTCGGTCGATCGCCAAACTCGTTCACCGCCTTCAACCGAGACACATGCACTACCGGGTAGATCCGATAACCACTCTTGTCAGGCAAATCCAATTCGTACGCATACTCGTCAACCTTCTGTTTGATGCGGAAGGGACCATGCCATCGATGGGCCAACTTCTTGGTCAACCCTGGCTTGACGCGTTCCATGTAAAGCCACGCACGATCTCCAGGCTGGAAGAGAGACTTCGGTGCGGGATCTGGTGTGTCACCCTCACCCTCTGCACCTGTCGGATCATCTTCCGAGGTTTCGCCAGTCGCGGAAGGTGGAAGCGCAGCGCGTTCCGCTCGGCTCAAAGCCTCGTTGTGCTTTTGGGTACGCCGAGCTTTCTCGACTGCTTGGTACTCTTTAGCCATTTCCAACGCAAACTCCTGTTGCCTGTTGACCGCTCGGCGCCACGCCAACGCATCGGACTGTCGTCCGACACCTCGCTTCAGTGATGAGGTCATTGCTCGGAGGGTGGACCTTGCGTCCCATCCGTGCACCAAGTAAAAAGGGGTGTCCTTCCTCATGGTGTCCTGCGAGTTGTTAATCGCGAAGATCAACTTCTCCACAATTTCATCCCAGTCTTGTTGCAGCGGGTGCTCCGCGTACACTCGCACCGATTGCATTACGGTCTTGACCGAGCGTTCTTGCTGGCCGTTAGCCTGCGGCCGATAGCTCAACGTAGCCCTAGATCTCGACTGCATCATCTCGGCGAAGGTTTGGAAGACCTCGCTCATGAAGCGCGGGTCTCGGTCATGCCTGATCAGCGTCGGCGCTCCGAACCTTCGGTACACGCACTCTTCGAATGCTTGTGCTACACAGAGTGCAGATGTGTCCGCCATCGCCTTGCCCATGACGAATCCAGTGAACGCGCACTGAAACAGTAACAGTGCGGTATTGCCCCGCCGAGTCTTCGGTAGGGTATCACAAAATCCATCGAGACAATTTGTAGCGGGCGCTCGGCCAAGATGTTGCCCGGCGAGTACCCACGTAGTTGCGGGCGACTCTTGCTTGAGCTACAGTCCGGGCACGAACGTACGTGCTTCTCCACGTCGGCGAATAAGCCAATCCAATAGTAGTCAGCCTTGACCCGGTGGTAGGTTCGGACGATACCTTGGTGACCGCCCTCCAACGAGTCGTGACAGTTCTGTAGGATCTCCTGAACCATCGTTGTTGGCACCACTAGACGTAGTGTCGTCTCCTCGGCCCGGTCGCGACCCCACCGACGGTTCGCACCAAGGAAATACAGCAAGCCATCTTCGCTTAACACGAACTTGTCAGCCATCTTCCAGGCTTCGCGTGCAGCTTTGTAGGCAAGTTTCGCTTCTTCTCCCTTTAGCACCGTCTTGAGGTTTGACCATCGGAGCTCCTCATCCTGGGCTGTGCCAATGCGCCTGCGCCGTTCTTCCTGCACCACTAGTGGGTCGATGTCGTCAGCACTCGGTTCATGGACCACCGTTGCGTCAGGTCTCGGTTGGTCTGGAAGTTCGTTGGACTCTTCGTTGCTGACATTATTAGCTTCGTCTCCTTCGGTTCCCTCTTCTGGTTCATCACCCGAAGTTTCATCGGCAAAGCGTACTTGTTTCCAGCGCGCGCGGGCTTGTTGCCCCGTTACCGCGGCTACATGTCCAGTATCCCGTACAAAATCGAAAAAATTCTTACTGCGGTCACTGTCACGCGTATCCATCACACGTATCGAGTTCACGTGACGCGTTACGACTTCTCCAGAAGCTTCAGAGGCTTCGGCTGACGGTTCATAGAGCACTTCTCGGATCCGATTCAATTCCATCAACTCTCGTTTTCGGTTTTCGCTGTTCACCGTCATCGACACCTTCTTTTCCAAGGTTTCGCTCGCCAAAGAGTCTGCAGCTGCATTGAACTCTCGGATAGCATGTAGGTACTTCACGGACCGAAGTCTCGTGGTCAGTTCCTTGTGCTCGTTCAGTTGTGCCATCAGCGACTCCTTACGGCAAGCGATCACCCCTAGGGATCGCTGGATTGCGAGTCTCGAGTCCCCGACGATGCCTAAGTCCTCGGCCCCATGTTCTAGGGCGGCAGAGACCCCGTTGTTCATTCCGGTGTACTCAGCGAGGTTTACAGTCGTGGTCTCGAGATACGCACTCGCAGCGATCACTACACTCCATTCAGGAAGTCGCCATAGTATCCAGGCGCAACTGCCGTAGCCACCATACTTCTCGGTCTTCGCCGAGCCATCAAACAAAAGTACGTAGCCACTGTATGTAGGTGGCAACCGTGCATAAAGCAAATGCGGATCCATCCGAACACTCGGCGAGCCTTTGGCTCGAGGGGTCACTGGTGCCAACGAGTCTTCGAGGTCAACGAAACTTGTGATCGTCGACTGCAAAAGCTGCGCGAAGGCGCAATCCTTTTTCTTGACTCGTTGCACCACTAGACTCCACGGAGACAGTAAGACGGTAAATTGCGTTGCACGTCCGAAGAGTGTCTTCGACTTGTGGACCCAGTCGAGCGTCGAAAACAGCGTGTAGACATGTATGGTCCGACCGGCCAGCTGGGTGTAAACACACCTTCAACAGCTGTAGCAAAGCCAGTACCTCCTTTTCCGCCGGGTGGTAGTTCATCTCGGCGTCCTTGAGCACCCGGCCGCAGAACCGCACCGGGTGCATCAGGCCATCGTGCTCCTGCATGAGCGTGGTGCTCACTGCCCATTCATTTGCAAACAGCGTCACATGGACCTCTCGGTCACGGCGAGCTAACTGCAGCCGAGAAAGACGCATACGATCATGTGAAGAACTTATTGGCAAGTTCCGCCACACTATCTCTGCCGGACGATGCGTCCACGACCTGCGTATTCACCGACGCCTCGGATACAGGCTATTCGGTCATCCTCACCCAGGTGAAGGACTTTGACCCAAAGGTTCCGATCACCACGCAGAAGCATCAACTGCTCACGTGCCTGAGTGGAACCTTCCATGGCTCACAGCTGAATTGGACCGTCATTGAGAAAGAAGCCTACCCTATTGTGGTGGCCTGCGAGAAGCCAGATTATCTACTGCTGCGTGCAAGGCCTTTTCGGCTATTCTGTGACCACCGAAACTTAATCCACGTCTTCGCACCTCACATGAGTATCAAGAAGCACATACGTGCAAAGCTGCTTCGATGGGCGCTCAAACTGATGACCTACCGCTACATTATCGAACATGTCGACGGGACCGCCAACGTTTGGGCGGACATGCTTTCAAGATGGGCTGGCCAGCCCACGACTACAGTCAAGTTGAAGCGATTCTCCCAGAGGAAGGTAAGAAGCAGCGGTCATCGACGAAGGCGCCAGGACAGCGAGCCCTAAGGCCACTCGACTCAGATGGCTTCACGTGGCCAGCACTGGACGAGTTCAGGACGTCACAACAGTAGCACCAGGCACCCGCAGGTGCAGTGCGTGACAAGGACAGTGTGCTACGAGTCGACCAGCGGATCTGGGTCCCTCGAGCATGCAAAGACCTCACTCAACGGCTCTGTGTGATCGCCCATTGCGGGGCCCAAGGCCACCGCGGCGAGCAGGCCATGGTTAACCACCTGCGCCGAGTTTTCCACATCCCTGACCTACGGAGCGTCGTGCACACATATGTGTCGGCGTGCATGTTGTGTCCACATGTAAAGGGAGGAAAGATGATTCGTCGCCCATGGAGCGAAACTATTGAGTGCAATGAACAAAACGGAATCCTACATTGGGATTTTTTTGTCCTTAGGAGAATCCTTTGGGGACAGTAAGTACCTATTGGTGCTGAAGGACCATGCAACACATTTCTGCGAGCTCGTAGTGTGCGATGCGGCGGACAGTGCCGTTGCCACTGCAGCCATCCTCGACTGGCATAGCCGTTTTGGAGCCCCACCAACGTGGGTGAGTGACAACGGCAGCCACTTCAAGAACGAAGTGGTCGCAGAGCATTCGATTAGACTCAAGAGCCAGTAAAACTTTACTTTGGCGTACAGCCCATGGATCAACGGATCTGTTGAACGCGTCAACCGCGACATACTACAAGTGCTAAGAGCGATGACTCTAGAGTACAAAGTGTCAACGAAGGACTGGGCCTACCTCGTACCGTTAATTTAAGCCAGCTTGAATCACACTGCCCTACCTTCGCTCGGCAATCGAGCACCTGTTGAACTTTTCACTGGACTACCATGTCCATACCATGTCCATCGCCTCTCGCTGAGTTCTATCACCCTGGTGACCACAAGCTAGTCACACTGCCGCACAATTCGGCAGAGATGGACAGATACCTAGCAGAGCTGCGAGCCAGTTTGTGCGCAATGCACCAGCCCATCGCTGACCAACGCCTCAAACAGCGGCTTCTTAACAAGAAAAAGGAGCGAGGTGAAAACGTGGTCAACTTTGACGTGGGGGACTACGTCCTACGTTCACGCGTTGATGAGAAAAAAGGCAACAAGCTACTCGTCACGCGGCAAGGACCGTACAAAGTGGTCCGAGCGGACGCTCATTCTTTCCGAATCCGTCATTTAGTGACAGGGGATGAGTATGATGTACATGCATCACGTCTAAAGTTCTACGCGGACAACAAGCTCAACGTAACGGAGGAAATCCTTGAGCATGTTGCCTCCCAGGGCATCATACTGGCCATCAACGGGTTCAAAAAAAACAGATGGAACACCTCCATCAATGACTACGAAGTTCTCGTAAGCTGGAAAGGGTTAGAGTCTGTCGAAGACTCGTGGGAACCGCTCAAATCACTTGCCCATGAAGTCAAGGTTCTACTGGGTCACTACATTCAAAAGCAAGACGCCAAGCTGCGCAAGTACTGGAAGGACCTCCAGTAAAAATTTCAATACAACCTGATGCATGCTTTTGCCAAAATCAACATTCTTCTCCAATATCGGATTCGGTTACGCCACCATGTAGCGATACCGTGTCGTATTACACAAAACTTATTCCGATGTTCTAAAACCCCATATTGGCTCCACAACAATTCGGAACGGGCAACTTCAACACGTTGCACCTGTAACACTTGTTACATAGTATGGACATGGGTACACCTGACCGTTACCTCTGGTACATAAACCAGATTAATATAACTAGTCGAAACGACTTAATCGCCGCTAGCTAGACCAGGCTTGGGGGGGGGCAGTGTAGTGCAGGCAATCTCCAGCCTGCTCCAGCTAGCAGCAGTACTATTGGTCGCAGTCAATCACGGCAAACGTGATGACTACGACAATGAATCTTGCGGATAACGCAAAGTAAGATTACAGTGCCCCGTGCATAACGGAATCCTGATGATCAGGCAGAAATCAAGTGAACTATAACGACAAACTAGATGCCCATTTAACGAAAACTTGGATGACGGCAACTGCAGATCCACTGGTTAGCAGGAGCCGCAGCATTAGGAGTAGATCGTGTCCTCACTTTGACTTTTACCAAGTAATTCACTTCGGCCACACATTCAGGGAGCTCCGCCGGCTCCCCCATCCGTGTCTTCATTCTGCAGACACTACACGCCGCTTTTTGAGCGAACGTCAGTCGCGCAGTCCCCACGCGGCACTTGTGAAAAATGGTGTGCAGCAAGTCGATCATCGCGTGGTGCGACCAGAACAGCGGCTCAGCAGGAGACGCGAAGGTGCCCATGGTGCCGTCCAGGTTGGCGTGCACGAGCGGCGACATCTGGCCAATGCTCTTGCCCTTGAAAACCTGCTGGCGGATCGACGCGTACGTCGTACTGCTAGGGATTGGAGCTTGGCTCCAGTCACTGCGAGGAAGGCACCGGGCGCAGGCCGTGCCATTGAGAGACGAGAGCTGGCAAAAATGATTCAGCGGCGGCTCAGACACGCACCGACCGAAATTCTCCTCGCCGTTAATGTTGAGCGTAACTTCAGTGCCATTCGAAGATCCGCCGAGCTCCTCGGTGATGGCCATGCAGTCAGCGAACGACGAGCATGTCCCCGCAGTCGCGCGGGCCGCAGCGACGATCCAGTTGAAGTAGGGCACCGTCACACACGCGAACTGCGGCCCCTGTCCGCGCAGCATATTCTCAAACACGGCGAGAAAGAGGCGGTGCCAGTAGACAAACATACACTGACGGTGAGCCTCCATCTCGGATCGCATCTCCGTGTGCATCTCGACAATTTTGATGTAGTCGCCGGAGTCCACTGCAGCAGCGATGGCGTTCTTATACGTGTCCTTCTCTGCAGGGGCTGACATATCCCAGTCCTTGCGGATACGCGGGCCGCAAGTCGGTTGAGTTTGGCTACATTTTTCAGTGTCCGAGTCGCGGCAACAAGTCCGACCCACGGATGAACTTCGTGGTGCTTGTCACCGTTGGGAAGCTTTCTGGAGGTGCTGCATACTTACTCTCGATCTTGTGGGAGGCCGCTCGGACTCGCGGCAACTCGCGCGACGTGTTGGTCCGGATGACACTCGTGGACGCCCTCCAGCATGCGCAGCTCGCTCTCCTGCTGCTGGACGCCGTTCAGATTATGCCGCTTTTGTCGTTGATGTGCCTTTGGCGGGGAGTGACTGTGAGTATCGTTGCCGTTGCGCTTGCAGTTGGCTTGGAGCTCGAGCTGCTTGCACTTTTGCTTCACCTGGAGGCGTCTGTCGACTTTCGACAGCTGCTCGGAGAAATAGCGGTACTTGGCAGCGTCTGCTGCGAGCTGCTTGGTGTCAAACAACGATTTGGTCTGGTCCAGTCTCCGCTTCATCTTCCTGTTCTCCTCGGCAATTCGCTCTTGCTCGCGCTGCCACAGCGGGAAGTTGGAGAGTCGCTGTGCGTTGAGATGCTCCTCGGTATGATGCGAGACGTCGAACTGCTTCGGCAGCTTCTTGTGGATGCGCTCGAGACGTTGAAGCAGTATTTGGTTGTGTTGCAAGATCTCGGTCTTTCTATCTACCCAATGTGAGATGTATAAGCTTCATGGTCGAAATGCTAGATAGAGTACATCGAGGCAGACACGGACGCACCTAGCTCCTACTTAATCCGTTTGGCATTGTTCATGGTGCGTTCATCGGCCTCCGTATCGAGGACGGACTGGGCGTGCTTGACTCGCTGTTGGTTGCGAAGCCGCGTCTCCTCATGGTTCGTCGCAGTTAGGAGATTGTCGTCGCCAAACTCATATTCCGCCGAATATGCCAGTGAGCGCCGCTGCCTGGTCATGAAGCCGCCACAGCGCGCCAGCGGACTGTCGTGGGGCTCGTTATCCTGGCTGCGTCGTGACGGACTCACTCAATTCCTTCGCAGGGTAAACCTGAAAATGAAAAAGACATCGCTATTTCCGGGAGGGCATAAGACTCGGGAGCAAATGTCGGAAATACCGTCCCACGAATTCTTTTGGCGAGGCTTGGAGGACGCCATGCGTCAATGGTTGACTCGACGTTCCGGTGTGAGACCTGCCTTCACTCGGCGTAATTGGTCATAGATCACGCCTGAGCCAGCCATGTCAGCAGACCCATCGGCTCCTATGCTCCACGCCAAAAAATAAAAAAGATGTATTCTGTAATTGCCCGACTCTTGTAGCCTGGCTCGGACATGTTGGTGTCCGACAATGCAGGTCCCTGCCCGACTGTCGATCCCCAGCGCTCACGGGCCGAGCCCAGAGCCTCGGGAACGATTTTGTATCCAATGCAAACTCAATCTAGCGAAGAGCCAAATAGAGCTGCACCTGATGGTGTACAGTATGTCTTTTCCTGAGAAAAGGCTAAAAGCTAGTGCAAAAAGAATGTCGAAAGTGTACGAAATCAGAAGAAGACTAGTTGAAATTAATCGAGCTATGAATGGCTCCTGAGAGCCCATTAAAAACCTAGCTGCACTCGCTCAGGCATTTTATCTACGAAGTCTTTGTATGATACTATGCTTGCTTTGTGTGAGACGACATTGCGATCCGTAGGAATACACCGCCCCATTTACTACTGGGGTGTATTAATGCAATTATGCACTACTTGATCCTGTTCTTGTCAAAACAACTTTGAAGTACATCGTCACCGATATTAGTTCAGAACATCCTAATGCTACATGAATACGGTACGGCCAGCTTAATACTTCATATATGGCGATCTTGGACGAATAGAAGCAGACGTTTTTTGGTGTTAGATATTCAGGCGACCCGGACGCAATATGTGTGCGACTGCGCCATGTTTGATCAGAGTTTTAATGCTTCTAAGCTACGTCGTCACTGTACTCCCAGATTCTTGCGCGAGAGGGAGCCCGAGCGGACAGCGTCAGGGCAAAGGACAAATACCCGGTGTATCCTACTCCTACACGCGATCGAGACCTGCTAAACCTCAGTTTTGACTTATCAAACTTGAAACAAATTGCTGGTTTCATCCGTTTACCCAGCAATTCAGTTGAGTAGTTAGCCTGCACGGAGTTTTCTCCTTTTGTCGCCATCGGTAAGTTTCTGAGCACAACACGGCAAAAGATTCTGCCTTGGCATCAGCGCACATTTCAGTGGCAGGAAGGAAGGAAATTACGTCGATTAGCTAGTTGTTGATGATCGTTCTGCTTACTACAACATAATCAAAGTTAAAACTAAATCCGCGGAATCTTGATCTGACGAGCAGGAGGAGCTCGAAGCGTTGAAGTACCAACTCAACTAACTCTGCGTTCGTGTTCAATTTATCGGAGTGGCGATATAAAGACTGGCAACGGCTTTGAAAAGAAGCGATCAAACTTGGTACACTTGGCTGCATAGTGGTAGATTAGGCAGATGCTGCGGCTGCGAAGCAGGCGCAGGAGATGCCCGAATACATCGTTTCGTTTTCGTTCGTTTTAAGTTGAGGTGGATTGCAGTCACTTAGCCGAACTAACGACCTAGAGAATGCCCGATCCTTCAGCGCTTACAGGTCGGAGAAGGATGAGCTGCCTACTCGGTTATGGTAGCAGCAGATGTACACGTGTTACTGCGTGCCAGTGAGCTTGGAGGCTCGGCCGATGTCCTCCTTATCTGGATTATTGTCCATCCAGTGCTCGGCAAAATACCGAGCTAGCTTCGAACTGCGAAACCCACCCGGGTCCCCAATAGTTTTATTGCTATTTTTACTTACGCAACGCTGATGCTCCACGCCAAAAAATAAACTAGGGCTCCGCGAAGGCTGGGATAGGAGGGTTTTGGAATAAACCCTTTTATTAGTTGTTTTTTTTTTTACGAGCCACGGTCATCTCCTGCGCCTGCTTCGCAGCCGCAGCATCTGCCCGGTAATGGAACCTGCACCGGTTCCGAGCACCTTGGGCCTACGAAGGATAAAATGAAGACTGAATTGATGGAGCGTTAGCTGCTCACTGCCTGAGCTCCTACCAACACTCACGGGTTCCTACCCGTTCCCATACAACGACCTGTTTTTCTCTGCTTCTCAGCTTTCGTCTCAACTGCCATGACCAGGTCTCAGATATGCATTCCAACACGGCCTCCTCGAAGAGCACTCTTCGCCTATTGCACGCTTCCAACACCGGCCAGCAACAGCAACGCCTTGAGTCTCTTCTTGTCAAGAGGCTTAGTGAACGTGTCGGCAGGGTTCTGCTCACCCTTCACCTTGCGCAGCTCAATAGCTCCTTTCTGCACTTGCTCCCGCACATAGTGCCAACGTAGCTCAATGTGCCGCGTGCGGCGGCTGTAGGTTGGGCTTGTAGCCATCACGTGGTATGGGAAGCTTGTATCCGCCACCACTTCATCACTGCTCGGCGCCAGACGCACATTCACCTCCATGGGATTCCCAACAGCATGAGCCTCACTGTAGCCAAACTTATTCAAAATCTCATTTGCGTACTTCTCCTGTCGAATTGTAATCCGCTCCGTGGTCTGCTCGACCTCAACGCCCAAGTACTGCGCGAGCTGCCCTTGGTCCTTGATCCCATACGCTTCGTTCAGTTCCTTGAACAAGCGCTCCTTGTACGGCTCGTCGTTTGTCGCAACGATAATATCGTAGACTAGCACGTACGCAATCGTCTCACCCTCGAGACGATAGTACAGACACGGCTCCGTCAGAGATCGCAGGTACCCGTGATCCAGAAACCACTGGTTCAGTTCCGTATTCCACTCGCGACCTGACTGCCGCAGTCCATACAATGCTTTCAGTACCACTTACACATGCCCCTTCACTTTACAGGGATAACCATCGATCGATCGTAGGTACTGCCGAATACTCAGACGAGCATTCAAGTATGCGGTGTTTATATCTCCACCAAACACACTCAGTCCCAACTCTGCTGCTATCGCCAGCAGCAGTCGAAACGACGACATCCTACCAACGGGGGCGAACGTCTCACGAAAGTCTATCCCGGGTCGCTGATAATTGCCGAATGCAACAATGCGAGCCTTGAAGCGGATCACATATCCTTGGTGGTCCGTCTTCAAGTCATACACCCACATCGTATTCACCAGCAGTGCATCCTCAGGCATCTCTTCGCCAGGAATCTCCATGATAACGCCTTTAGCTTTCAGCGCTGCAATCTCCTCCATTTCGCCCATCAGAAAGAACTCTCGCCACTTAGAGCGCATCATCTCACGGTGGTTCCGAGGAATCTTCACATTACTTGCTCTTATGGGTTGTCCATTCTTGTCCAGAATACGCGAGGTATTGAGCGCAGCGTTCATCACATAGTCCTTCAAGTAACTGGGACGGCGACGCTCGTCGTACTCGCGAGGACCGGTGCGTGTCTTCTTCACATCTGTCTTTGCTGCATCTCGCTCGACGCGCACCTCTTCCGACGGAGTTTCGTCACGATGCGACCGCTTCCCGATAATCATCCGCAGGGTCGGTGGGAACATCACACTAGCGTCAATAATCTCGCCAGCCGCTGCATGACCACTCGAATGCACCCTCTTGACCGATTCGGTCTCACCGAAGTCCTCTTGCAGTGACTGAGTGCGCGACGGGTTTGCATCTCCCTCGTGCTCGTCCGGAGCCAAGACACTTGCCACAGTAACATCATCATCATTGAGAATTTCATCGTCATCCTCTTCCTCAGCATCACTATGCGCTCCTCCTACCAGCGATGACCCACACGTTCCGGTTACCTACACGGCGTCGTCACTCCCAGCAGCACCGTCGTCTTCATCAGCAGCGTCCTCACCGCTGTCAGTGACTTTCTCATCATCGTTCGCAGGAGTCGTAAGCGTACGAATTCCACACTTGCCTCCATCGAGGCGCTCGCCAGTGCCGCCAGTCTCGTCGGCACCACCGCTGTTGTCCTGCTGCTCTTCATTCACTGACTCTCCATCAACAACAGCTTGGCTTTCATCTCCCGCCTCGATAATAATATTCTCGACAACGGCGTCCTCAAAAGTAGACTGCATTTCACCGCTTTGCTCTAGTCCCGCCACTGCTGTACTCGCCCGTGTAGCCATGTTCGTATTTGAAGCCTGATCGGCATCACCCCGGTGGCACTGGCGTCGGTCACCGTGCGTCTGACGAAGTGCAACGACTCCAAGTCCTCGTCATCCACGTCCACTTCGTAGCGATCACGGTACATGACGTCCTCAGCCACTCTCAGATCAGGAACAAACTTAGCAGTGTGCTCGTCAGGAAAATAGACCTTACATCCGATCACATCTTCTGCATACCCGAGCACAAAGCCAATTCTTGCGTTATTGTGGTGCTTCTTCCGCTGAGGAGACACCGGCACGTGTACATAAGCCAGTGCACCAAACTTCCGGATATGGTGCACGTCCGGCTGAATCCCAAACATCATCTCGTAAGGAGCACCGCCTGTGCCCTTATTGTACACACGATTCTTCACGTACACCGCGTTTCGCAGTGCTTCCGGCCATAGGCTCCGGGGGAAGCCTGCTTGCGCCATCGTCGCCTTCGCCATGCCCTCCAGCGACTGATGAGTCCGCTCGCACAAGTTGAGTTGTGAGGGTTTAGGGCCGACTTTCACATGTTCAATCCCTTGCGAATCGTACCAGGTTGTCATTTCATCGTTGAAAAACTCTCCGCCCTTATCCGTCAGCACTTGCTGTACAACGCACCCCTGACATTACGACCCGCCTGCCGCTCGGCCCAGAGAACATACTCCTTCATGAGTCTGTTGATCACAGGACTTTGCTTGTCACTAAGCAGGTGTACCGTGACGAAGCAAGAGTATCCGTCCATAATGATCAGCACGGCCTCATACCGTGTACCGCAGTCTTTACTGGGGATTAGGAGGTCAGCGTACACAACCTGGTTCGGCTCCTTGGTTGCCCGATCCAAATTCTTCCTGTACGTCTTCCTCTTCTGTTTGCCCAGATGACATGCATCGCATGTGTCCTCTTTCCGCTGAGTCAGCAGCACCCCACGTACTAGGCCTTTGTCCACCATGGTCTTCAAATATTGCGGACAGACGCTCGTGCCAAAGTGCCAGTGAGCCGACTCCCTCTGCAGCAGTGTAGTTGCACAGGGCACGATCCTGAGGGGTGAATTGCTCTCGCTCACCAGGGCCAATCACCTGGAACCCCCAAGTAGATTCCTGCGGAGTAGCGACAGCCACTGCTCTCCCCTCTCTTAAGACGACGAAGCTTCGAGTTGCAATGTCATAGTCAAACTCAAATCCTCGAGCGTACGCCAGTCCCGGTGAAAACAATCCATACTCAGCTCCAGGGATGAAAAACACATCGTCCAGAAGCATTACAACTTGTTCACCACCGACTTCTGTGGCCAATGTCACCGTTCCTACGCCCGCAATGCGTGCAGCAATGGTTGGAGTCACTCCACGGACAGTCCGTATGCCCGCCGTGTCAGCTGTGAACGACACAAATTCCGAGCGATTCCCCGTCACATGTGAATTTGACGCAGTGTCGAAGAACCACCACCCACTGCCGTAGTCCGCAGCACCTTGATCACTGTCCTCCAGTAGTACCTCAGTACCTTCTGCACCGTGATCACTAAGTAGTTCCTCCTCACCATGTGGTTCAACGTGCTCGTCATGTGCATTTCGTAGCTCCTCGTGCATCTCTGGCTGCTCCTCCGCCACTAACCCCGTCACAACACCAGGATCCGCATCATCCTGCGTCGGACTCGATGAAACACCACTCTCCTGGCGCAGGGTACAATTTCCCCGCGGTTTTCGCTTCTCCTCAAAGTCATCAGCACCGCTTTGCTTCTTTGTCCTCTCCGGGCAATTTGCTTTGAGATGTTTATCACTCCCGCAGACATAACATAGCCGCGTCTTCTTTGACCCACTAGTCCTGCTCTGCTCATCTCCTTTGCCACTTCCACCTCGTTGCCCACCATGGCCCCCTTGCTTCTCACTACGCTTGCCTCTGAACTCTTTCTGTCGAGCGGCCACAGCAAGAATCAATTCTCGAACCCGCTTCGGTGTGTACACGCTCGGGTCCGCGCCATAGTAAATGGAAGACTTCAACCGCTCAAACTCAATCTGGTCCGGCAAACTCTCAAGCAGCATATCCACCATTGTATTATCGGCAATAACATGCTGCAAGTCCGCCAACTCGGTCTTGAGGTTGAACATCCTGCAAAGATGGAGGTTCGTGTCTCCTCCAGGCGTCAGCTTCATGCTCCACATCTCGTTCTCCACGCGACGAATCGTGTAGGCCTTGATGGCTTCATTCTGCTTGCCCTCGTACAGGTTGCAGAGATCCGCCCACATCTCCGATCCTGTCTCCTTGTCGCGTATCTGCTGAAGAGCGTCCGGCGGCACGGACGTACCTACCATGCGCATGATCTTGAGCTGCTCTGCGTCGAAAGCCTCCAGCCTCTCCGCACTCGCAGTCGCGAGCATCGCCCTGGTCAGGTCTCCGACCGCGATCTCCTTGAGCTTGTTCTCCTTGAACATGTTCATCATGGCCCACTTGTACGTCTGGCAATCCTTGCCGCTCCAGTTCTTCGGCACCCCTTCGTTCGTGTACTTCAGGGGCTTCGACATCCCGAGTAGCTGCCGCCGGCAGCATGCTTTGGGCTCATAACCCTAATGGAACCTGCACCGGTTCCGAGCACCTTGGGCCTACGAAGGATAAAATGAAGACTGAATTGATGGAGCGTTAGCGGCTCACTGCCTGAGCTCCTACCAACACTCACGGGTTCCTACCCGTTCCCATACAACGACCTGCTTTTCTCTGCTTCTCAGCTTTCGTCTCAACTGCCATGACCAGGTTTCAGATATGCATTCCAATACCCGGTACTTCACCTCAACGGCGAAGATGCAAGATATGACTTGGCAGTAATTATATACAGTAATGAAATGAACCTTTCCCAAGATCTGCTTGTAGCTTGTAGAAAAATGAAAATGCTTGCCTTTGCATGCTACTGGAGTATCCGCCCGCTTCAATCATTCATTTTACTTCACTCCATCCCGTTCGATATATGTTACTGACTCATACCGGTTCAAACTACCCGAAGGGCCCAGTGCGGCACCGGAGCCGTACCGGTTTCAAGAAAATATACAAGTTAGATGTCAAGAGGCATCATTTGACTTGACGTACCACGGATATAATCCTATGTGGTCTGCGATGGCAGTACTAACGTTGCTTCCTATCCCAGTAAAAGATGTATTCTGTAATTGCCCGACTCTTGTAGCCTGGCTCGGACATATTGGTGTCCGACAATGCAGGTCCCTGCCCGACTGTCGACTCGCCAGTGACCAGAGACTATCAAAGAGGTTTGAGTCGGGGACTTGAGAGGGCCGAGTTAGCGGCAAATATCAAACGACAAAAAGTGGACAAAGTCGATTAACCAGGCTTTGGGGCTCTAACAGAGATAGCGACGGGCTTATGTTCGAGAGGTGCAGACTGAGCAGGTCGATAATACTCGGCGTGCTTGCCGGTGCTGCCCACTGCAGGATGCACTGGCCGGACATGCGGAAGACTTCAACTTGAAGCCGGTCCACCCACAAACTTTCCGCATCAACTTGACGTGCACCACACAATTCCGCGCGGGCGTTGCCGCCTCCAAAAAGCTCTTGGCTCCGAGTGCGGAAGGCGCGTGAAGGAGGCGGCGTCTTGCGCGGTCGATTCTGCGTCTCCCAGGGCTCCTCGGAGACCCGCCGACCATGCATTTCGCGTGTCTTGTGTGCGAGCAGGTAGTGGGCGGCGTCCTCGCGGCGAAAGCGCGCGATCCCGCCCACAAAAGAGCCCGGACTGCGACTGATGCGGAGCCCCTCCGTGACCCAGAAAATTCGTCGTTTGGCGCCCCCAGCGGCGCGATTTCGGCGGGAAAACACGCCCAGGCACCGTCCACGACGACAGAAGACGCTCAGGTATCCCGCTGCTGCGTTTGTGACGGTATTTACCACACGCCGTGCCTGTCGAAGCTCGAGGGGGGTCTGGAACAAGGGCTAGCAGCGATCGGAGCGGCTTTTACGTGCGCGAAATGCCGCTTTGAGGCCAAGAAACAGACGGACTGTGGGGACGAGACATTCGACGAGGAAGCGCTGCCGATTCTCGTGCCGGCGCTGGCTTTCCCGTACGTGAGGCGGCCCTGGAAGGCCCGCAACGACGGGAATTTCACGAAGCACAGTGGAATTTCAGTGGAGAAGGAGGAAATTGACGATGAAGAGATGGACGAGAGTGATGGCCATGGGTGGAGCGTGTTCTCTACTGCTGTGGAGGTGTGCACGACCTGCCGACAGGTGCAGATCGCTACGGAGGAAAGGGACAGCTGTCCGAAGTGCCATGACGCCAAGCTGCATCGACGCTGTGTGCTGCACCATCAAGCGGAGCATGGATCCACGAAAAAGAAGATGAAGAAGGCGTATCGTGCAACGGGAAGGAAGAGACGACGTACCGAAGGCACGTTGGAGTGGTGCGCACCGTGCCTGCAGCAGAACGGCAAGCAGGCCAAGCAGCTGGGGGATGGATCTATTGAGACGCGCACCATTGCAATGCTCGTGCGTGACGAAGATAAGACGGAGGAGCAAGTACAGTGGTGGAAGGACTGCAGTGTGTGCAAGGGACGCTTTTGTTTGCAGGAGTTCTGCGACCCACAGGAGACGGATGCGAGTCTGGACGAGGTGCTCGAGCACGCGCTATTGGATGATGAAAGTGGTGCTGAATGGCGTTGTGGACGTTGCGCTCAAGAAGCTGCTGTAGCTGCCTCGGTGGCAGGTGTTAGCGCAGCGGATGCACTGGTTACGGCTACTCCCGAGCTCGTGACCGTGCTGATCTGTGATGGATGCGATCAGGAGTTCGATATGGCTAGCATTTCTCCACCCCTGTCAAGCATTCCAGAAGGTGATTGGTTTTGCAGTAACTGCGTTTCCCAGTCAAGGGGCGCTGCCACCGGTGCTGGCAGTTCGACGGCGCCACTAGTTCCCGTGACGCTGTTGCTTTGTGACTTGTGTGACGGTGAATTTGATATGATGGCGTTGGATCCACCGCTAACCGAAGTGCCAAGTGGCGACTGGTTCTGTTCAGCTTGTAGTTCCACGCAAGACACCCCGAGTCGAGGCACAACCCGCCGCCTGAAAACAAACGCTGGCCCAACTCATGATCCTCCAAGTGATGTGTCCGCCACACAAGACACCCCGAGTCGAGGCACAACCCGCCGCCTGAAAACAAACGCAACTCATGATCCTCCAAGTGATGTGTCCGCCACACAAGACACCCCGAGTCGAGGCACAACCCGCCGCCTGAAAACAAACGCTGGCCCAACTCATGATCCTCCAAGTAATGCTTCCGTCGACGATAATGCTAGTGTTGACCCGCGCGTGCTCATCCCACAGCCAATCACCATGGTGGTATCGTCTGTTGGTATCCGGAATGAATTTGATGGAATTAAGGCTACGAGTGGGTGGAGCTATACCAATCCGACTGTGGTGGTTGCAGACCCAGACGACAACCTTGCTGCCTTCAAAATTGATGACGTCGAGGAAAGCGAAATTTGTATTGTTTGCGATATCTGCTTTGGTGAATTCAAGATGACCGACGTCTTGGGTACCGGTGATGCATCTGCTGTTCCCGCTCGCCCGTGGTTTTGCAAGCCGTGTCTTAGAGCCCTCAAGCGAAGCAGAAAGAAGAGGCCTCGGTTTTCCAAGCAAATGGTGCTGGAGATGCAAGTCTACGGCCGTCTTTTACGACCGACTGCCGAGAAGGTTTCGGATATTGGAGAAGTTATTCGTCTTGGAAATCCACCAAACTCGCGTGCAGAGCGGCGCAAAATGTACGAGCTTGTTGGGAAAAGCGTGGGGGTCTTTTTGCAGTGGGACAAGCAGTGGGTGATAGGGCGCGTTACAGCCTTTCACGCGACACACCCTTCAATGCACCACACTGTCTGCTTCGACGACGGTGTAGTAGCGTCATTGCCGCTGTACGCGTTTCCGATGGTTATTGGAACGCGCACGATGCTTTATGTCAAGGTTCCGGCACTGCAGAACCGGTGGTGGCCTGCACAGGTACTGCAGCTAAATGCTCTTGCGCGAAAGCTGCTTTTTACGACTGACGAAGAAGAGGTTGGAGCACGAGCCAACTTTCGCTTCGTGCGGATATTTGCTGGCAATGACGAGCACGTTGAAACGACTCAGTACATATCATGCTGGGTTCCCAAGTACCTGTGTCGAATTATGAAAAACTTCGTTCCGCCGCCTCCAGAAGAACCGACGACAACAGGAACGATGGACACTGTGAACGACATGTTCGCGACGTCGTTGGAGCGGGCGCACCATGAGACGCAAGCCGAAATTGATCATTTAGACCGCGTGTTTCAAGCATTGCTAGTTGGGTTTCAGCGAGCGATGAAAACTCCAGTGGCACTAGTACTTGAGAAGCCTGGAAAGGGCACGAAGCGCGTTGGTGGGCAGTCGGATGTTGGTGAGCGCTATGCTCAAATCGCCGAAGCCATGCTTGGTAAAATCATTGAGATCACGTCAGTGGGCTCACGCAGCGATGATTTATCCCCAGAGACGTATGTGGTTAAAAGGTTTGACGCCGTCGCGAAAAAACATGGCATTGTACTTCACGATGGTGGAGCGTGTTCGGATGACGAGAAATCCGAGACGATGGTGGACCTACTTCTCGGTACTGATGAGATTGCATACCATTTTGACGATGCCAGTTCTTTCAGCGAGCTGGCAATTATGCTCGAGTTGAGCGGTTCTGACGTGGGTGGAGGTATTCCCGGAGAGTTTCACTCGAAAGAGCTGCTTGAAAGAGCAATTATTCGCGAGACCAGCATACTTCGTGACAGTGCTGCTTTGGCGAAAGCGGACGGGGAAAATAAGGATCCGAACAACTCGTGCAGCTGCTGCTTACTCGGGCCAGACGAACTCCGGGGTGGTGTTGATTCAAATGAAGTTGTGGGAAATGGAGAACAAAAGGAGGAGTTGGTAGAGTGTGCAAAGTGTGACCGAAGATTCCACACTACTTGTTGTGATCCGCCGCACGCGCCAATCTCGCTTGTGAACCCAGAGGATGGCGAGGTTTTGATATCTGATTTGAAGGTACCGTTCGTGTGTAGTGATTGCACGTCGTGCGCGGGCTGCCACCGCCAGAAAGAGAATGAGGACCAAGCCTTGAGGACTGCGACAGGCAATGCCTCTGACGAACTGAGTCCACGTTGGTCACAGTGGCGTCTTCCGTTGCAATCCGCCGCACTATGCTCAAAGTGTATTCCATATTACAAGGCTAACCGGTTCTGTGGTGTCTGTAATCTGGTGCTGGACGACGAGCAATTGGCGACAAGTGTGGATATGCTGACATGTTCGACATGCCACCACTGGATCCACGCGGACTGTGAGCCAGATCCTCACCCGGCTTTCCACGCATTCAGCGCTAGCAGGGATTTCACGTTGGATGTTATCGTCGATGATGAACCAAGCCTACCGAATTCAGAGGGCAACGCGGGGCCTACCGCCACTATCGCCCAAGCAAGTCGTGAAGTTGATACTGAGTCGAACTCAAGTGTAAGGACCCCAGTGGGTAGCCGCAGCCCGTCTGTGGAACGGGAAGCGCCAGCTAATGGGAGAAATCTTGCAATTAGAGATGACGGATTCAAGACGGCCAAGCAGATTGAAGAAGACTTTGCCCATTCCCTTCGGTTTGGAGCTTCGTACGACCCGAAGGTGCTGCACAATTATGAGTGCCTTACGTGCCGTAAGGTTCGTATGCTTCATGTACTCCACCGCCTTGGCGTCGAAGACAAGCTGGACCTGTTCAAAGAGCCTGTAACAGAGGCGATTGCCCCTACATACTTCGACATCATCAAGTCCCCTATGGATCTCAGTACCATGCGGCGCAAAATTCTGGATGGCAAGTACACTTGCGTTAACTTCCGGTCTTTCCGTGACGATTTCGAGTTAATGTGCCTGAACGCTGTCACGTTCAACTCGAAGGAACGCGATTTCTTGATTTGGCGCGAGGCTTGGAGGTTCTACGGCCAAGGACAGAGAATTTTCCGCCAAACGGCACCCAAGGCTCGCATGAAGCAGCGCGGAGGACGCCATTACGATGCCCTGTTAGTCGCAGCGAAGCGGCAGTTGCCTAACAATTCAGCACTAGCTGGAAAAGCGGATGGTGATTCAGTTGAGGCAAACCAGAATGACGGCGATGGTGGAGACAACGACGATGATGACGACCTTGATGATGATGAAGATGGCGACAATGGCTCAGATGCGGGATCAGAAGCAAACACACGAGGAAATGGCCAGCAAGAAAATGCAGGCTCTTCCGTTGGGTCAGCAAGTGCCATGGCATCAGATGCAGCATCAGTGCACGACAGTGATGCAAGCAGTAATTTACCGGATTCAGCAGGAACTAATCAGCGAAGAGAGCTAACTCGTACCGCTAGTTCGGCTGGAACAGCTAATGGATCAATCTCCGCCGTGAGCACAGCGCTCGGTGACCGACGAATTATCACGAATGATGCGCTGATATTCCAGACAAAACTCCGCGCTGGCAATTCGATCTCGCGCGTCCCGCTCTTCCAGCTCGTACAGACGCGCACTTCAGCTCATACATACAGCTGGTTGGATATGTGTGCTGTGTGCGGCAGTGCTGGCTTGCAAAGCGACTTTATTTTCTGCGTTGACTGCGGCGAAGGGTTCCACTCATTCTGCGCTCCCGGTATGGGCATTGACCGCATGGAAGGCAACGACCAGATTCGTGCTTACTGGCGGTGTCCGAACTGCAAAATGTGCGAAATATGTGGTCAACCTGGAGCCGTTTGTGGGGCTGAAGGCAACCCCGGCCGCGTACCTGCAACAGCAGGAAGTATCGACAGCCCAGCTCCTCCTACTCCTACAGCAAGTGGTGTAGTGGAGGCGGACATTTCCCTGGAGCTTTCTATCAGTGAACCACTTTTACTGTGCGCGAATTGCGATCGTGGTTACCACGGTTCTTGCCTAGTGCCAGCTATTAAGCTGCCGAATTCGAAGAAGCGCGACGGCGATACCCTCACAATTTTCTGCGCAAGCTGCGTAACATGCACAAATTGCGAGGATACCAAGAAGAATAGCGTGGAGCACCTGCATTCTGAAGAGGCTAAGAAGGACCATCTCGCGACCCTCGAGCGCACTTACAGCTACGAACGAAATAAGTGCTTGCACTGCCACAACCGCCGAGAGCGCGAGGCGGAAGCTCTCAAGGAAAAGACCCGACTGCTGACGGAGGTGTGGTCCGAAGCTGCGCGCAAAAACAAGAAGGACGCTGAAAAGTGCCCACTCTGTCGACGTAAATGGGATGCCGACTCCGAAGAACTTATGCAGTGTGATGCCTGTGAGCGTTGGGTGCATCCTCCGTGCGATGCCTTGCTGAAGGCTGAACCTAAGCGGTACCAGATCCTCGTGGACGATCCCAATGCTGTGTACGTGTGTGCTGCGTGCCGTCCCCAGGAACGTGCGCACCTTACCAGCAAGGCCTCTGATGGTGAAGGTTGGCGATGTCAGGTGCTCATTGCCGATATTCAGCGTAAGCGTTTGCAGTGCGAGTCCAGCTGGAAGGAGACGCACATGCAGCATGAACAGGTTGAGCGGTGGAAGCGTTTGGCCGACCACACGCCTGTTTACTTGTACGTGCTGCGCCTTGGAGAGGAATGTCTCCGGAATTTCGCGTACCGCAGCCTCAACTTTCAAAGTGACTGGTATCGCTTTACGAAGCAGCAAGAGCTAGATGCGAGTGGGGTGACTTTGCCAGATTGGCTACTGCGCAAGGCCAATCGGTACATGCGGTTCAAACGGTACGTTCGAGGACCTCGCGCAGCAGCCCGGCGTCAAGAGCGGAAGACACAAAGCTTCTACTCTAAGCAAACTGTCGGCTTAAACACTCGCAAGGATGCGAGTGCCATCTGCACAATTGTATCCGAAGCTGCAAGCTGCGCTGCGCTGTTGGCATGCGTACATCTTCTCTATGGGTGGCGCCCACTTCCTGAAGTTGTACTGCACTTGCTATCGTGCGACGAGGACGGAGTGACTGGAACTGAACAACGCAAACTGGGAGAGCCGCTGTTAAAGCGTCTGCGAGCTGGTGAGAGTGTTGACGGCGAAGAGACGAAACCACGATTGAAACTGGAAGAGGAAATCGCTGCGATCAAAGAACAATACGATCGTCGCGTAGCTAAAAGACACCTCGTGCACGAAGCTACTTCAGAAATCACGGTATTTGGCGCCGGTGATGCTGCAACTGGAACTGTAACCTCACCGAACAATGGATCGAAAACAGAGAAGGAACCTTCTTTAAAGGACGGAAGTGGTGACCCACCTTCGGATGCGAAGAGGCCTACGCCTCAAGTGAGTATTGACACGCTACCTGCCTCCAAAGAACACACGACACCTTTGCCAGCAGCATCGCCGCTCACACCGTCCCGCGGAAAGCATGGTGTGATGGTCCAGATGACGACAGCGTGTCCCTTACATGGTTGGCCCACCAGCGCTGAAGGAGAAAAGGACTTGGACGACAGCGAATCCTCTGGCACCTTGACCATACCATTCGAAGACTCTCGATTTTGCGCTTTGTGTTTCATGATTGGCGACAACACTGCGTGTGGACGTCTGCTCTACACCGAGTCCGAAACCTGGGTGCATGTAAATTGTGCGATTTGGTCTATGGAGGTGTACGAGGACGCGGCGGGTGTGCTGCATAAGTGCAACAAGGCAAAACACCGCAGCCGCCTCGTTCGCTGCGACGCATGTGGGCTCATGGGAGCCACTATCGGTTGTACCATAGCACGCTGCACGACACACTACCACTTTCCGTGCGCAGTAGATGCTGGAGTGGCGTTCTTACCGAACGGTGAAACTTGCTGCCCATTTGCACCACACTTGGATATCGTGGCACGAAAACTGAAGGCTACTAACGGAATGCCGTTGTCAATAGCCGCTACGCCTCAAGTCGTTGATGTGAAGGCTGAAGAACCGCAAGCTGTTGAGAACGGAGACGATGAGATGGCCAGCGCAGTATCAGCTACATCTGATCGGAATGCATCGAGTGTAACAATTGATGAAAATGAGTCTGCGGACGCGGTGAGTTCAGCGGAGGATAGTGGAGGCAAGAGCGATGAAAATGCAGACGACAGTGAACCCAAGATGCCGGTCAATGAAGATTTGACGACATCGAGGCTCCCAACAGCTTCGCCCGACAGTGCTGCGGAAGCCGAGGCACCCTCGATTGATGAAATTAAGGAAGAGAGTGTTGATGCACCTGCAGACAAGAAGACGGGCGAAGAAAATTCGCAGACCCCCGCGCAGGACAACAAAACAGCCAGTGACGAACCTGTGGCAGCTCCAGAATATGTGCTACCAGTGATTAATCCGCGTCCGGAGCCGCGAAGAAGTCTATTCAGTGACCCACCACTCGTGACAGTGTCTGATTTGAAAAAGAAGAAGCGTGCCGAGATCAAACGCGGCATCAAGCCACGTCCGATGTGCTACCGCCTGGGTGCGCTGACGGTTCACTCTCTTGGTCACGTGTTTGTTGGCAACGGAAGCTTCCATACTCGAACGGCTATTTACCCGCTGGGATTCCGTAGCACTCGCATTTTCTGGAGCACACGTCACCTGGCGACACGTTGTCTCTATGAATGTGTGATCTCTAGCACCGAAATTGAAGAGCGACGTGCCCGCCGACTAAAGGGTGAAGTTGAAGCTGATGATGGTGAGTATGATCAGCATCGACAACGACCGCGCGTGGTGTTTAAGATTACAGCGTCGGATGACCAAGAGCGACCAATTGTAGCATCTACACCGGAAGATGCGCTGATCGAGTTACGGAGCCGCGTGGTGTCACTCTATGAAGAGCAGAGAGGATTCTCTGCGACTCCCCGATGTGGCGGTCGAAGGCACGGCTCTGCTGCGGTGGAGACTGAGCGAAATCCATTCTTGAAGCGCAGCTCGTGGTTCTCGTTTGCACTGAGTGGCGACTACTTCTTTGGATTCGGGCTGCCTGAAATCACACGCCAGATCGAGAAGCTCCCTTACGCGCCTACTACTGCGATTTGCCGCCGCTCTATTGTGAGGAAGCTCCGACAACAACAGCAGCGCCAAGGGCAAAGCCCGCTGGCTGGCTCAGCCGCAGCGACGTGGGGGTCTGGCTCGCGAAAGCGCAGCCATGACACGATGCAGCAAAGTGCAGCTAGTGCAGCTGACGTGATCTCCGCAATGTTTGAGGATGAAGTGGAAGCGGAGCCGTACGAATTCTCGCAAGTGCTACCGTCTGCCGAAGCATTCCAGACTGCCGAAAGAGTGATGGAGCAGCTCATCCGGGCTGAGCAGCGTGCGCGACAGTCCTCTGGATGTGCACGAGCCGATGGGTTTGAGGGCAATAGGCTGTTTGGTGCACCAAAGAAGGCCAAGATCATGCCGAGACGCCAAGCACTCAACAAGGAAGCCACCAACGAGCCCTTAGCCGGAGCAGCGAACGGCAATGCGACTGGAAGCAGCAATAGCGGTGGTGTAGCTATGGATATCGAGCATTTACCGATCACGATGCAGTACCGAGAGCTGCGTCGTCGGCCGTTCGACGAGCGCATGCTGGTTCGGAAGTCATCCATCCACGGCTACGGGTTGTTCATGAAGGAGGCTGTGAGCGAGGGTCAGATGATCGTCGAGTACCAGGGGCAAATGATTAACCAGGCCGTGGCGGATGAGCGGGAACGGCGCTATGAAGAGCAGGGCGTTGGCAGCTGCTACATGTTCCGTCTTGACGAGAAAACGATCATCGACGCTACAAGGTGCGGCAACCTCGCTCGCTTTATCAACCACTCGTGTGACCCCAAGGCTTTCGCGCGCATTGTGGCCGTGGAAGGCGGAGAGAAGAAAATTGTGATTTTCGCCAAGCGGGCTATTGCGGTGGGAGACGAAGTGACGTACGACTACAAGTTCCCGATTGAGGACGAGGCCATCCGCTGCGACTGCAACGCACCGAATTGCATTGGTCGCATGAACTAGTGTCGTCACCATAGCGCAAGGCGAGGTTGATGTTATGTCTGTATACATTTCAAGAAAAGGATAATGAAGATTATGCCGTCATGTAAGGGTACACCAGGTCATCGCACTAAGCCTCCTCCCCCGCCTGCGTGAGCCGACCCGAGATATCCACGCGCTATAATATCAAAGCGATACATTACTTGTGTACATCAGCTCCTCATCTCATCGATGATGTGTGCGTGAAAAAAATCCCTGTTTTCCTTTTTTTACTTCAGCTTTTAAAAAAAACTTAAAGAAAAAGTCAGCTGTGTAACATGTAGCGAATACAGTAAGATTTTCGATCTACTTGGCATTCGATCCGTATCTACATTGGGCAACGAACACTCCCCAATACCCACTCTACCACGCTGTATCGAAGGCCGGTTCTGGATAGTTGATTGTGTCATTCGAGTCCTCGACCGATTCCTGCGATCCCACCATAACCGAGTAGGCCACGGTGCCATCCCCCGACGATCCCCACGAGCCCGAATACGACGTCGAGTTCGTCGAGTCCGTTGGATCGGGGCAACCGAACTGAGCCTCCATGTTCTCGCGCCACGACTCGTAGATGATCGACTCCGAACCGTTCACAATGGCGTCCACAATGGTCTTGCAGCGCGGCTCCTTCACCTTCCAGAGCGCCTTGAACTCAGGCGAGTAGTCCTTCGTGCCACCCAGACACACGTGCTCGAACATGCAGGCTTGGCGCTCGAGGTCGGCCATGTTTTCATGCGAGTCTCTACCCATGGCTTCCATGGTCTGGTCGTACCAGTCGATGACGCGCTTCTCGTCTTCGTCGGTGATGTAGGCCTCGGTGGGTGTGTCGGCGTCGATCTGTTTGCCCGTGTTGTCCAGGGCGATAATGTTCAAGTAGTTGCCGTTGCTGCCGGATTCTTCGTCCTGGGTGACCGAGCATTTGGAAGTACCGTTGGTCTCTGTGCTTTCCATCATCTCCTCCAGCTTGCGGGTCGTGGGTGCAGCATCACATTGCGAATACAGCGTTGCTAGTTGTCCACTGAACGCATACGTGTAGCTGCTAGTGCCTAAGTCGCGAGTATCCATGAGACCCACGAACTGGGTCGGCACTCCAGTGAAGTACTTGCCAATCTTCGGGTCGGTCCGGCCTGGAATCGGATTCACTCCCTTCTCTCCGGTGCGCATGGTGATGGCATCAGTCGGGTTGAAGGTGCCAGTGTCACGACGAGCGCATGATGTCCACCCTGCGCTTGCTGTCTTCTGGGCGGTGGTCAAAATGGCTGTCCCCACGCGACACTTGTGGAAGATGGAGTGCAGCGCATCGACCATGGCGTGGTGCGACCAGAAGAGTGGGTCCGCTGGGGAGGCGAAGGTGCCCATTGTGCTCCCAAGGTTGGCGTGGACATTGTTGTGGCAGCCTTTCTCGACCAGAGGAGACATTTGTCCGATGGTTTTCCCGCCAAGCACTTGGTTACGCACTGACGCGTAGCCTGCAGCCGTCGGCACCCTAGCAGCACTCCAGTCACTACGCGGGATGCACTTGACGCAAGCTGTGCCGGTGATGGACGTTAGTTGGCAGAAGTGATCCAACGGCGACACGGCCACACAGCGACCGGAGTTGTTGATACCGTTGATGGCGAGCGTCCGTTGCGTGCCCTTCCAACCGCCGAGCTCCCTGGTGATGGCCATGCAGCTGCCGAACGAGTTGCACGTACCCGCCGTCACGCGGGCCGCGGCCACAATCCAGTTGAAATACGGCACCGTCACACACGCGTACGCCGCGCCTTGTCCGCGTAGCATGTTCTCGAACACGACGAGCAGCAGTCGGTGCCAGTAGACGAACATGCACTGGTTGTGCGCCTCCATCTCGGACTTCATCTCGGTGTGCATCTCGACGAACTTGATGTAGGCGCCGGAGTCCATTGCCGCGGCGATGGCGTTCTTGTACGTCGTCTTCTCCGTGGCGGTCATGGCATCCCAGTCCTTACGGACACGTGCACCACAGGTAGTTTGCGCTTGAGCTACGCTTGCGACGATCGCCAGGAGACCGAGACTCAGAATCCATAGCACCTTCATGACGAATACAGGATCTCGACGTCCACCACGGCAGCTTGGAAATTGAGAACTGAGGCCTTCGTTGTCCCCGAACCTACCGACTTTGTCCGTTTCCGACGGGCAGCAAGCAGTCCTCTCGTCGCGATAGAAAATCGGCCGAGGACAGTTTCGCAAAAATCAGCCTTCGCGATGGGTATCACGAGTTAGCACGACCCCATTGATCCCTATCCTGCTAACTTCTGGTGTTACTAGCGCGCACGATAGGATTCGGCATCCGTTGCCGGTGGTGTGCCTGCGACCGCCATGCTATCCATAAATTACCAGTAATTTATTACTTATCTTCGCGGAAATTCAACTGATATTGTATTCCTGAAATTTTCGATTAATTGATCGAAAACAATTATCATTCAGTTTTGTTGGTTCAATAAGAATATATTGTGTATATTTTTGTAATTCATATACAAAAAATAAAATTCCTGCAGTCTAACAGTTTTCAAATGAAATTATGATAATCTATTTAGTTTTAACGATTATTGTTCGAATTTGATTGAAACCACTGGCAATATTGACAATACCAACATTGACTCCAAGTTGACGCAATGAATAATAAATATCTAACAATCGATCGCAAGCCAGTTTCAGAGGTATCGCTAGGTTGGGCTGGGGCCTACTATAGTTTCTTGCGTTTTGGTATTTAATGATTCGTCCGGAGAGCCGCACCGTTTTCTAGTAACTTCCGGCGAAGTGACTTCATGAGATACCAAACGTGTAACACCTCCGTCCAGTACTCATCCATTTATATTCACTATAGATACCAGTGAGTCCACCGGACTAAAAAAATCTAAGCTCTACATGCTCAAAGAGCATACAGGCGCAACCAAATATATGGAGGGGTCTCCCCTCGTTGCTGCGTTACAGACCGTCCTCAGCTTCCTCAAGCATCCCAAGTCGTGTCGGTTGGCAGATCCACTTCACCATCGGTATCCGGGAACTGGATCGTGTCATTCGAGTTCTCGACCGATTCCTGCGAGCCGCCTACAACCGGGTACTCCACGGTGCCATCCTCCGACGATCCCCACGAGCCCGAGTACGAACCCGAAGACGAGCTCGAGTCCGTCGGCTCAGGGCAGCCGAACTGAGCCTCCATGTTCTCGCGCCACGACTCGAAGATGATCGACTCCGAGCCGTTCAGGATCGCGTCCACGATGGCCTTGCAGCGCGGCTCCTTCACCTTCCAGATGGCCTTGAACTCGGGCGAGTAGTCCTTAGTGCCGCCCAGACAAACGTGCTCGAACATGCAGGCTTGACGCTCGAGGTCGGCCATGTTCTCATGCGAGTCGCCGCCCATGTACTCAAGAGTCTGGTCGTACCAGTTGACGACGCGCTTCTCGTCATCGTCGGTGACGTAGGCATCGATGGGCGTGTCCTCGGTGATCGGCTGGCCGGAGTTGTCGACGACCACGATGTCCTGATGACCGTCGTCCTGGCCGGTGTAGTCGGTCTCGGGGAAGTTGTTCTGCGACGCGTAGTCGTTTCCGTCGGCATCGTAGCCATCGTCTTCGGCCACGCCACACATTTTTGGCTTTGGGGCGGTGCTGTTGGTTGCCATCTCCTCCAGCTTGCGGGACATCGGCGCTGCATCGCATTGGGTGTACATGGTCGCGACCTGTCCGCTGATGTAGTAGCCGTAGCTGCTGGCGCCCAAATCGCGCACGTCCATGAGACCTGCGAACTGGTTGGGGACCCCCGTGAAGTATCTGCCGATTCGTGGGTCGTTCTGGCCAGGGATCGGATTAATGCCCCTCTCGCCCGTACGCATGGTGATCACGTCGGTCGGGCTGAAGGTGCCACCGTCACGGCGGGCACAAGACGTCCAGCCGACACTTGCCGCCTTCTGAGCGAACGTAAGCCGAGCTGTTCCCACGCGGCACTTGTGGAAGACGACGTGGAGCAGATCGATCATCGCGTGGTGCGACCAGAAGATCGGGTCGGACGGCGAGGCGAACGTTCCCATGGTGCTGGCGAGGTTGGCGTGGACGTTGTTGTGGCAGCCCTGCTCGATGAGAGGCGACATCTGACCGATGGTCCTGCCGTTGAACACTTGCTGGCGCACGGACGCGTACCCTGCAGAGGTGGGCACCCGAGCCACGCTCCAGTCGCTGCGAGGCACGCACCGGGCGCAGTTGGCTCCGCTGAGGGACGAAAGCTGGCAGAAGTGATCCAACGGCGACACGGCCACACAGCGACCGGAGTTGTTGATACCGTTGATGGCGAGCGTCCGTTGCGTGCCCGTCCAACCGCCGAGCTCCCTGGTGATGGCCATGCAGCTGCCGAACGAGTTGCACGTGCCCGCCGTCACGCGGGCCGCGGCCACAATCCAGTTGAAATACGGCACCGTCACACACGCGTACGCCGCGCCTTGTCCGCGTAGCATGTTCTCGAACACGACGAGCATCAAGCGGTGCCAGTAGACGAACATGCACTGGCGGTGAGCCTCCATCTCGGACCTCATCTCCGTGTGCATCTCGACGAACTTGATGTAGGCGCCGGAGTCCATTGCCGCGGCGATGGCGTTCTTGTACGTCGTCTTCTCCGTGGCGGTCATCATATCCCAGTCTTTGCGGAGTCGGGACCCGCAGGTCGTTTGCGCTTCAACTTCCGCCAGTCGCGAGAGCAGCGCGAAGAGAGCGACGCTCAGAACCAATAGGATCTTCATGGTGGATCGATCCGCAGTCGAAGGGGTTCAATGAGCTGCCACCTGCGCGGATGGCAATGAAACGAGGAATGGAGTCGTGGCGTGACGGCATCTGGGGGCACCTTGGTCCAGCGAGCGTGGCAGTTTTTCTCCGGCGCGCCTGAATATTCCGCCGGCCAGAAGACAGCGCTGGCGCGTGGAAACCGCTGACTTTTCGATGAAAGTGATGGTTTCTATGGCAATTGCGAGGCATTGCTATGCCGGTATCGGCTGTCGCCGCCACAGCGTTCTGGGCGCACCCTCCGGGCATAGTAGCAGGAGTCCAGACGGAGCGTCCTAGGTTCAACGCGCCATATGCGCCACGTTGTGCCCCGTGAGGACAGGCTCCATGGGCCCACGTGGAGTGCAGTCCGTTCGGTTTTAAAGGCTCGTTGCTAATGGGTCCGCCGCACCACGCGTTGGTCGATCAGCTGCAAATGCAATGCTTCCTTCAAACGCTCTACTTCTACGATAGAAGCGTTGGCTTGGGTCCCTGGAATTTCAAACGGAGCTTGGACTCGAATTCCGGCGGTTGTGAAGCGCGACTTGCACCCAGTCGATTACCAACGGAATGCACCCTCGCATGGCCACTCCTAGGGCGCTTGAGACCATGTGAGCTAACTCACGTCGTGGGTGCGCTGGATTCCGGCGCAGTCCCATTCAGTTCCTCTCTCGGGGGTCCGTCCAGCCGACAATATGGCGAGTGGCGTTGGCTTTCTTGCCTGTGGGGCATCGGGATCGGGAGGGGATCGCAATCCCCGGTTGACACCTCGTCGCCCGAGACGGACAGCAAAGGCTATCGAACGCCGAGAAAACGTTGAGTGATCGGCTGCAGACGTCCTCAGAGGACTCCTCTACTGCTTGGATCCGACGATCTGGACTGGATCGCCAGATTTGATGACCCTAAAAACATGTGGTCTGTCTCGAACATCTTGATCTTGAATACCACACCATGTCAGTCGATGAGCATTTGGAGCTCCTTCCGCTCCACTACATGTAGAGCCTTGCTCGGGTCGCGAAAGCCATATTGCAGGGTCATGCTGCTTCACCCGGCAAGCTGTCAATTCGAATCGATGCGCTGCGCTGCGTGGCGTGCTACATGGACTTCATCTCATTCCCCGATTTTCCATTGGCAAGCAAAAGCCCACTCCCCACACCGACGAATATGCTCACTTTCCTCATGTCCCTGGCTGTGGTCGGCAGCGCGCTTGTACTGCAGGCCGAAGCGCATCAGGTCGTGTATATTCCGTCGCCCACGTGGACGCGTGCGAACTCGACGGCCGCAGAGCGTCGTGAGCTTTGGAACCCGTTGGCGTTCCTCGAGAACCAAGGTTTCCAGACGCAGTAGAACTTCACCCAGTACCAGGTCGACAACGGCTACAAGAGCCTGCGTGATTTCATGGACAACGCCAAGTACACGGTCACGGAAGGAGCCGACCAGGCCTGCGGATGGACCGACCCCAAGGGCATCGCCCAGCAGATTCCATCGGACGGAACCATGCGTACGTCGGGCTACACCCACGACGGCCCCTGCGAGATCTACATGGGCGACAAGCTGGCGCTGTCGTATCTGAACTGCCACGAGTCGATCACGGACCAGACGTTCAAGCTGGACTACAGCGGATGTGGCGATAGCTGCACCTTGTACTGGTACTGGCTGGGCGTGCGCTTCCTCAACAACAAGTACTCGTGGCAGGTGTACAAGGAGTGCATCCCCATCTACTCGGGCTCGGGCGGTGGCGCAACGATGACGACGAACCCGAACGGCAACTGAGTGAACCTCAACTACAGCCAACTCGTCGATCTCGACCAGTATTTGTGTACAAGAGGCACTGTGTGTCAAGTCTAGAGTTTAGATGTTCTGTTAGACAGATAGCGATAGCTATTCTAACTATGAGTACATGCACCTACTTCATCGTGTACACCAATTTTATGTCTTTAGGTTTCGCATGCGTTGCCGTGCCCGCGTGCGAAGTGCGGGGTTTCATGAAGCGTGGAGCCAGGAATCCCGATCGATTTCCACCATCGAACCGACAATTTGACCCAGGATGGACATACATACTGTACACTCGGGAAACCAAAGTATTACTGTACGAGACGCATTGTTATGAAGGCGCTGGCACGAAAGCCCTTCGCCCGGACAGTGTCATCGGCATGCTCAAGCTCCAATGCATCTCTCGAGCAGCAGCACAGCAGCTGGTGATCGTCCTCTACATGCCCTTAGTAAATTTCTGTAAGACAGGGAAGTGCGATATCCCTTGATGCGATTCCCCCCACATCTGCTCGTGAAGAAACGCTGCCGCGAAAGACAAGTCAAATTGAACCGAGTCTGTACAAACAGTAAAAAGCAGGCGTGTTAGTTCGTTTCTCCCCATCGAAATGCCCCTTGCGCGACGCTCGGCTTTCCAGAGTTCATTTCTCAATTGACCCGCGCTCGAACTCATCCAGGTGACACTGTAGTGGACAATGTTGACGTCCATCGCAGTTATCGGTAGTGCTCTGGCGTTGCAGAGTCTCTCCGTGGAGGCTCACCAGGTCGTCTACGTTCCGTCGCCCACTTGGACGCGAGCCAACTCGACGGCTTCCGAGCGTCGTGAGCTCTGGAACCCGCTGTCTTTCCTCGAGAAGGAGGGATTCAAGACGCAGGAGAACTTCACGCAGTACCAGGTCGACAATGGCTACAAGAGTCTCCGCGACTTCATGGAGAGGGCCAAGTACAAGCTGACGGATGGAGCCGACCAGGCCTGCGGATGGACCGACCCCAAGGGAATCCCGCAACAGATCCCCGAGGACGGCACGATGCGCACGTCGGGCTACACCCACGACGGACCGTGTGAGATCTACATGGGCGACAAGCTGGCCCTCTCGTACCTCAACTGCCACGAGTCGATCACTGACCAGACGTTCAAGCTGGACTACAGCGGCTGCGGGGATAGCTGCATCCTGTACTGGTACTGGCTGGGCGTGCGTAAGCTGAAGGGCAAGTTCTCGTGGCAAGTGTACAAGGAGTGCATCCCGCTCTACTCTGGCTCTGGCGGCGGTGGTGGTGCACCGGCCCCCGCTACGGGCTCAGCTGCGGCTCCTGAGGCTGATTCAACCAGCAGCAAGGCTTCGGGCTCCTCGAATAACACTCCGACGACACAGTCAACGGATGCCCCTGCGACCCCCGAAGCTCCGTCCACCGCCCGATCGTCCCCTTCAGCTCCGTCGACCGAGTCGTCTCCCTCCACTGAGACGACGCAGACCGAGGCGCCTTCAACGGATGCGACGACGCCGACTCCGGACAAAAAGTGCAATGCACCGGCGCGGAAGCGCATCCGTGCTTAGAGAAGCAGGGACCAGTAGCGTCTCGTGTTGTACCGAGCACGTGTTGTGGACGCACGAAATCGAAATGAGTGGTTCACATGTTGTTGTTTGGTCGCTATAGATGTCAATACCTTTTTCATGCGCAACTTTGTATATTCCTGAAGAGCTCACTCAAAAGGCAAATACGGCGACGCGGACTCGGCTATCGAGGTGTGTTGTATTCAAGTTGAAAGTTAAAAAAAAATCGAGTTGAGTTAAAAAAAAAGTTTCATGAACATATTACAAGCACGAAACCGACTAATTACCTTATTTTCTTAGCGCCACCTTCCGCGCACATCGCATCGCGCCACAACCGTCACACGTTTCTCCAGTACCCTCAGCCACCAATCGGTGACCCAATAGACTGGTAGCGGAGCCATTTCCACTTCCACTTCGCGTCACCTCCAACCGCCATGGCCGACGAGGAGCTGGACCTGTTCGGCGCCTTCGACGACGCGACCGCCACGCTCACGGCCGAGGAGCAGGCCGCCACCTCCGCCAAGCGCAAGGAGGCGCCCGCGCCCGCCGCCAACGACGACAAGGCGGCGTCCCCGCCCGCCAAGAAGCAGCAGCAGCAACAACCCCAAAGTCAGAGTGATGGTCGTCCGGCCTCCACGGCGCTCAAGGTCGTGGAGGGCAAGCGCATCGACGCGACGCCCGTGGACGGCAGCGACAAGGGCTCGGGAGGCGTCGTGTCCACCGGCACGCAGCAGAAGAACCTCATCTCGTTCTCCGTGTACCCGCCGGACTACGAGATGACGCCCACGGCGGGCGCCGCCGCCGAGAACCCGGCCAAGACGTACCCGTTCACGCTGGACCCGTTCCAGCAGCAGGCCGTGGACTACATCGAGGCCGGCGAGTCGGTGCTGGTCTCGGCCCACACGTCGGCCGGCAAGACGGCCGTGGCCGAGTACGCCATCGCCAAGTCGCTGCGCGACAAGCAGCGCGTCATCTACACGTCCCCCATCAAGGCGCTGAGCAACCAGAAGTACCGCGACCTGGAGGAGGAGTTCGGCGACGTGGGCCTCATGACGGGCGACATCACCATCAACCCGTCCGCGACGTGTCTGATCATGACGACGGAGATTCTCAGGAGCATGCTCTACCGAGGCTCGGAGATCATGCGCGAAGTGGCGTGGGTCATCTACGACGAGATCCACTACATGCGCGACAAGGAGCGCGGCGTCGTCTGGGAGGAGAGTATCATCCTGCTGCCGCACAAGGTGCGTTTTGTGTTTTTGTCGGCCACGATCCCCAACTCCAAGGAGTTCGCCGGCTGGATCTGCCACATCCACCACCAGCCCTGCCACGTCGTGTACACGGACTACCGTCCCACGCCCCTGCAGCACTACATCTTCCCCGCTGGAGGCAACGGACTGCACCTGGTGGTGGACGAGAAGGGCAAATTCCGTGAAGACAACTTCCAGAAGGCCATTGCCACGCTGTCGGCGTCGGTGGACGACGCGGCGGCGGAGCTGGCGTCCTACGGCAGCAACACCAAGCGACGCAAGGCCCAGAAGAGCAACCCCAAGAAGAAAGTCGGCACGGACGTATTCCGCATCGTGAAGCTCATCATGGAGCGGCAGTATGACCCCGTGATCATCTTCTCCTTCAGCAAGCGCGAGTGCGAGTCGTACGCGCTGCTCATGTCCAAGCTCGACTTCAACACGGAGGAGGAGAAGCAGTCCGTGGACCAGCTCTTCAAGAACGCCATGGACTCGCTCTCGGACGACGATCGCGCGCTGCCACAGGTGGACTCGATCCTGCCGCTGCTTCGTCGTGGCATCGGTATTCACCACGGTGGTCTGCTGCCTATTCTCAAGGAAGTGATCGAGATTCTGTTCGGCGAAGGTCTGCTCAAGTGTCTGTTTGCCACCGAGACTTTCTCAATGGGTCTGAACATGCCTGCCAAGACGGTCGTGTTCACCAACTGCCGCAAGTACGACGGCAAGGACTTCCGCTGGATCACTGCCGGCGAGTACATTCAGATGTCTGGTCGTGCTGGTCGACGTTCGCTGGATGCACGTGGTATCGTTATTCAGATGCTGAGCGAGCAGATGGAGCCGCAGGTGGCCAAGGGCATTCTCTACGGCCAAGCCGACCCGCTTTTCAGCACATTCCACCTCGGCTACAACATGCTGCTCAACTTGATGCGTGTGGAAGATGCCGACCCGGAGTACATGATCAAGCAGTCTTTCCACCAGTTCCAGAACGAGCAGGCCGCGCCTGCGCTGGAGGAAGCGCTTGAGCGCGCCAAGGAGGAGAAAGACCAGATCGTGATCAAGAACGAGGAAGAAGTCGCGCAGTACTATTACCTGTCCAGGTCGCTCGTGCGTCTTAAAGAGGAGTTCCTGGCTATTCGCAACAAGCCGGACTATGTGGTGCGCTTCCTCAACGGTGGTCGATTGGTGAAGCTTTACTGCCCGGACAGCGATGATGGCACGACTAAACCCAAGTGGGACTGGGGCGTTGTCGTCAACTTCACCACCAAGAACGCCAGCGACTCGACCTCTGCGACGCCTGACACGATTGTGCACGTTCTCCTGAACTGCGTGGCAAACAATGGCAACGCGAAGTCGAACGATGCCACCAACAGCAGCACTGCCTCGGAGCTGCCCACTCCGGCCCCGGAAGGAATGATGGGTCTGTCGTCGTCAACTACCTACGAGATGAAGATCTGCCCTGTGCCGCTCGAGATGCTGGACCTGCTGTCGTCGCTGCGTGTGTATATTCCCAAGGACTTGCGTACGTTAGAGAGCCGTCAAACTGTAGGCAAGTCGGTCAAGGAGGTGCTGCGCCGATTCCCTCAGGGTGTGCCGCTTTTGGACCCGCGTGAAGACATGGACATCCAGGACGAGCAGTTCGCACGTGTGATTGAAAAGACGGTCGAGGCAGAGAAGAAGCTGAAGAGCTCGGCCTTCCACAATGCAGCTGACAAGGAGGCTAGATTTGCCCTGTACAACCTGAAGATGGAGAGCGAGGCCAAGATGCGTGAGCTGGAGCGTAAGATCAAGGAGTCCAAGTCCTTGGTGCTGCGTGACGACCTGCGCCGTCGCCGACGTGTGCTGCGGAGACTTGAATTCGTGGACAAGGAGGGTGTGATTCAGCGTAAGGGCCGTACGGCTTGCGAGGTGTCTACGACGGACGAGCTTTTGGTGACGGAAATGATCTTCAACGGTCAGTTCAACGACTTGTCGGTGAACGATACAGTGGCGCTTTTGAGCTGTTTGATTAACACGGAGAAGAAGAAGGACAGCGACAAACCGCCGCAGGCCGAAAGCTTAGAGATCCCTGTTCGCCAGCTGCGCGAAAGTGCGCAGCGCATTGCAAAGGTGATGCAGGACGCCAAAATTACTGTCGATGTCGATGAGTACGCCGGTGCGTTCAACACAAGCCTGGTGGACGTGGTGATTGCCTGGTGCCAGGGGGCCAAGTTCTCGCAGATTTGCAAGATGTCGGACGCGTTCGAGGGCACGATTATCCGTTGTTTGCGTCGCCTTGAGGAGTTGCTGCGCCAACTTACGCTGGCTGCGCACTCCATCGGTGACGTCGAGCTCGAGAAGAAGTTCGAGGAGGGCGGCAAGAAGCTCAAGCGCGACATCGTGTTCGCCGCCTCCCTCTACCTGTAGTTTACCAACGCAGTTGTTATTCTCCATACAAACTTTTTGACTTGTGTTGTTAACTGTTTTTGGCAGAAAAGTCCTGACCAGCGCTTCAGTTCTCATCTTAATGAAGGCAGAGGCGTATTTAATGTGCGTGAACAGGACGGTGGCATCAAACAAAGCTCTCTAGGTTGTTTAGTACACGGCGTGTATACACGTAGCAGTGTTCCTTGGGCCTCCAACTTGGGGACAGCCTGGCGATCTACGATTAAGTATGCACGGCGTACTTCCAGCATTTATGTTGGTCGATCCCACGAAACATCGAGCGTTCTCTCGTACCGATCTACGAAGTCGGGGAGTCTGCAAACACGGATGACGTGGTCCTACCGAGGTTTATGGGGCTTGTGGAGTTTTGCAAAAAGTCATTACCTATCGTGTATAGAGCCCCCTACGACCACTGCGGTCACTGCTCACGTGCGTCTTTGTCATGGACGCTGACGATGGGATCGTCCTCCGTTTCCAGTCTAAGGTGTCCTTCAGGGGTCAACCTTGATGTTATCCTCACATCTGCTCAGGAGGAAAAGCTCCACGACCACCAAAGCTTTGTCAGTGCAACGCGCTGGAATGCTCTCCCCCGGTTAAGACTCAATTCCGTGGCTGTCACTTCTCAATTTACCTCCTCACCAATTCATCCAAGCAACCAAGCAAGCGGCAATGCTGACGTCCATCGCAGTTCTAGGCAGTGCCTTAATGCTGCAGAGTCTCTCCGTCGACGCCCACCAAGTCGTGCACGTCCCGACGCCAACGTGGACGCGAGCGAACTCGACGTCGGCTGAGTGCCAGGAACTGTGGAAGCCCTTGGCGTTCCTCGAAGGTCAGGGCTTCACGACTCAAGCAAACTTCACGCAGTTCATGGTTGACAACGGCTACAAGAGTCTGCGCGACTTCATGGACAACGGCAACTACTCGGTCACGAAAGGAGCCGACCAGGCCTGTGGGTGGACCGACCCGAATGGGATCCCCCAACAGATTCCTGAGGACGGCACCATGCGCACTTCGGGTTTCACACACGATGATCCCTGTGAGATCTACATGGGTGACAAGCTGTCGCTGTCGTACCCGAACTGCCACGAATCCATCACGAGCCAGCCGTTCAAGCTGGACTACAGCGCGTGCGGAGACAGCTGCGTGTTGTACTGGTACTGGCTGGGCGTGCGCTTCATCAAGGGCATCTCGTAGCAGGTGTACAAGGAGTGCATCCCGATCTACAACGGCTCGAGTGGTGCACTGACGTCAATTAATGCCACTGAGGCCCCGACAACTCAGTCATCTGTAGCTAATGAGGCTGAATCATCGAGCAGCCTGACGTCGAGTTCGTCCTATGAAACTTCGATGACGGAGTCTGCGGGTGGATCTGCTTCTGAGGGCTCGACGACGGAATTGTCCCTTTCCACGAAGACCTCACAAACAGAAGCGTCTTCAACGACAGCAACTTCGATTCGGAAGTGCAACGCAGCTCGCAAGCGTGTCCGTATCCACCAGTAGAGATGAAACTGGGGCGTTCCGGCACAGCACTACCAGGGAATGCAGATGATACCTTCGAGTTTTTTTTCACTCTTGGCGTCCACAACTGCATTTGATCGTTGTATTTACAATAGCAATTTGTTGGATCGGTGTACTCTTAATTGCTCGTGTTGGTTTGCGTCCGCCGTTCGGGCGTCGGAGTTTTCACATTCACAGCAGCCATTTCCCCCCCTGAATGATGTTAGTAAACAGAATCGACCGGGTAAGTAGGAAAAGAACGCTGTCGCTGTGGTAACAGGCTGAGTCCATTAGCGTTAATCGTGATGACGTTATTATCACGTAAGTATACCAGATAATAATGGCCGTGATATTTCGAGACAGTGTCGACATTTCCTCTCTCCTTCAGACTCGGCACCAGCCTCGATGTCGGCAACGTGGCGCGGCATTTTCAACCTCTGGGACTCCACTCAAGTGGAGCTGCATGGACTCTACTCGGAAGCGCGCGTGTTGGAGATGGCCAAGTATTCCGCCGAGACGAGCTGGCTACGGGTGATCGCCGTGCTATTCACCACTCCACTCCCGTGTTTAATCGTGACAATAGCGGTTGATGTTCTACCGCTCGCCGATCCGTCTGAAGGACTTGGCGCTAACAAGATGTTCTTCGCAAGGATATTTTACACCTTCATAGTGGTTTCCGTTCTCGTCGTGCAGCAGTTCCGGATGAGTGTACCGCTACTTCCGTACCCTTTAAAGCGCATCTTGGTCGAGTCGATGCTTATATCAGCTTGCGTTGTTGGGATTTTCTACGGAGTTGCCCAGACTATTGGCTTCCCGGTGCCGTTCGGGCTACTGATGATGGTTCCGCTTTGGGCGACTCTGATCGTGATCGCTATGACAGTAGCTTGGGCAAAGAAGGTGAGGGAAACGCCAGGAGCAGCGACGATGATTGTCAACGCCGCTAAACTGTGGGTATGTCAAGTGTCGCTGACTTTCACGTACCCTCCGTACTTTTACATCTTCACGACGTTGCCCAAGGGCGGGAAAACAGCGCTTGCGCTGTTGTTGCCTCTGATCAAATTGTTCATGAGAAATGTTGTGGCACGGACAGTGACTCACCTGAAGGACGAAATGCCTGAAGTCGTGGTATTCAACTGCGACGTCTTCAACGCGCTTTTCGTGTCTTACTGCATGCAGAACTCGCCGACGATTTGGATCACGCTGGAAATTATGTTCTTCGATGTAGTGATGATGACGTTCTCACTCCGCGGTGCAAGAAGCAGTCGTCGCTACCTGAAGGATCTAGAGCTGAAAATTGAACAACAACACAACTTGGATGGTATCAAAAGTTTTCGTGACCACAACGGGGAGGCAACTACTACGTTACGACGAGCTACTTTTCTACTGTGCCGTGCTGGTAACTTGACACCAGAAGTGACCCTGGTATCCCGAGCTAGAAACCCCACGCGGATAGCCCCGAGTCCTATTCTCGTGAATGGAGCGGCAGGAAGCAAAATTGCTAAACAATCTTTTGTAGCTAGGCCGAAAACTTTGGAGAATGCGCTTGTACCAGCGCAGAATTTGTCATTGGAAACACAACTAGCCCCAAATCTGGAGCATGTTGTACACGAGTTTCCCAGACTTCAAGCACGCTATATCCACAAGGTCCAGAGGTTGCTCTACGCAGCAGAATTTCTGCTTCTTCTCAACTTCGTCGAGGTCGTCATCCCATTGGTGTTTTGTAAGTATCTGCTTATTTGGTAATACTTGTACCCCTCCGGCTAATCGCTCATTATGTTCCAGCTATCTACATAACCTGCATGTTTTATCTGCCCAACGGCAACTACTATGCTCAAATTCACGGGATGAACCAAACTGAGCTAGTGGAGACGCTAAAAAGTGTGCAGTTTTACTGTGGCCTCCAGATCGCATCACTGCTTCTGCTTTGCGTTGCACTGCACCAAATTTTGGGACTTTCTCCTGTTCATCAGCTCGCATTCGTATTGGAAAAGCAATTCGTTGGAATTCAGAACAAAATGATATTTTGGGTGTTTTACAATGTGCAGGCTTCGTTACAGCACAATGGTAAGTTAGCCCAATCCTGTCAATGCGGTCAATCCAGATACGAAGCTTATTTATCTCTTCTCTCTCCCCAGGTTACGACTACACATTCAAATTCCCTTGGCTGCAGCACGTATCATCTGAATGAAAAATCTAGAAATGTGCTAAACACTGTTGAGGCACACTGGAATGCTCTTGCTGTTATTTTTCTCGTTGGCCGAATGGCGCCTATATGGCGTGTGTTCATCAACCTGTGGGAGTCGACTCAAGTGGAGCTGCATGGGAAGTGCTCGGAAGAGCGCATTCTGGAGCTGGCCAAGTATTCCACCGAGACGAGCTGGCTCCGAGTGCTCGCAGTTCTGTTCATCACTCCACTCGTGTGTTTAATTGTGACCGTGGCAGTGGATCTCCTCCCTCTCGCCGATCCGTCTGAAGGAGTTAGCTCCAACAAAATGTTCTTTGCTCGGACATTCTACACGTTTGTGGTGGTCACGGCTCTCGTTGTCTTGCAGTTCCGGGGCAGTGTTCGGATACTTCCGTATCCCCTCAAGCGTGTGGTAGTCAACACAATATTGGTGTCTCTTTGCGCCGTGGGCCTCATGTACAGCTATGCACAGACTATCGGCTTCCCCGTGCCTTTCGGGTTATTGCTGGTAACCCCTCCCTGGGCGATAATAATCTCGATCACTATGGTAATTGAGTGGGGGAAGAAGGTGAGGGAGACGCCAGGGGCAGCGACAATGCTCATCAACTCGGGTAAATTGTGGTTATGTCAATTGCTTCTGGTTTTCACATACCCGCCGTATTTCTTCGTCTTTACAACACTCTCGAAGCGTGGCAAGACGGCGTTTGCGCTATTGTTGCCAATCATTAAGATGTTCATGCGGAACATTTTAGCTCGGACTGTTACTCACCTGCACGACGAGATGCCCGAGGTGGTTGTGTTTAACTGCGACGTCTTCAACGCGCTCTTTGTTTCGTACTGCATGCAGAACTCGCCATCGCTCTGGATCACGTTGGAGATCATGCTCTTTGATATTGTGATGATGGTGTTTTCCCTTCGAGGAGCAAGGAGCAACCGTCAATACTTGAAGAATCTGGAGCAGAAAATTGGTCCTCACCAAAGCTCGGGTGGGAAGTTAACCACGCTACAGCGAGCTTCGATACTTTTGGAGGATAAGTCAAAGCCAGACGCGGCGACGATACCTCGACTTGTTGTTAAGCCCACCCGTATTGCTCCGAGCCCAGTTCTCGTAAATAGGGTGGCGGGAAAGCCCAGCAGCAAGAAAATCTCACCGACGGTCGTGGTTATGCCCAAAGCTATCGGGAATATGTTGGAGCCAGCGCAAAAATTGCCACCAGCAGTACCGATGCAGAGACCCCCAGTTCTGGAACAGGTTGTAAGTGGATCTCACAGACTTCAACTGCACTACACACGCAAAGTCCAGCGGTTGCTGTACGCGGCCGAATTTCTTTTGCTTCTGAACTACGTCGAGGTCATCATCCCTCTTGTGTTTTGTAAGTACTTTTTTCGTTGAATGACAGTCCTTGTTCGAAATAATTGATCTAATTGCTTGATGGCTCCCTCCAGCGATCTACTTGATCAGCATGTACTACGTCCCAAACGGCAACTACTACGCGCAGATTCACGGAATGGACCGGGCTGAGCTAGGCGACACATTGAGGAGCGTGCAGTTCTACTGCTCGCTCCAACTGGCTTCGCTTCTTCTGCTATTCGTTGCGTTGCAGAAAATTCTGGGGCTTTCTCCTATCCACCATCTCGCGTTTGTGCTAGAGAATCAGTTCCATGGGGTGCAGATTAAACTGGTCTTCTGGGTCTTTACAACGTACAGGCTTCGTTGCAGCATAATGGTAAGTCTGCACAATCCGCCACTGCCGCTGGTGATACGAACGCTAATTACTCCGATTTATGTAGGCTACGACTACAAATTCAAGTTCCCGTGGCTCCAACAGGCTCAGTAAAGTGGCCACAAAAGAGAGCATTCATTATTGACGTAGCCAAGCGAATTTGAAGGAGTAGTCATAGCCTTATAGAGCAATATCCATAAGTTAAGAAAAGTATATCATACAATACTGCCAAGCAACGCGTTAACGTACCAGAGTACTGTAGTGAGGCCTGCACGTTGTAGTAGACCCAGAACACTAGCTTGAGCTGCACTCCGCTGTACTGTTTTTCCAGTACGAATGCCAGTTGATGGATCGGAGAAAGTCCCAGAGTGAATTGCAATACGAAAAACAGCACGAAAAGCGAGAGCAATTGAAGCGAGCAGTAAAACAGCACACCTTGCAATGTATGGATAAGGTGGTCGCGATCCAAGCTCTGAAGCTGAGCGTAGTAGCCACGGTTCGGCAACTGGTACATGACATACAAGTAGATCGCTGTGACAAATTGTTAGAAGTGTAATAGCTTTTCGAATAGAATTTAATGCAGCACTTACAGTAGACCAGGGGGATGATAACCTCCACGTAGTTGAGCAAGAGGAGGAACTCCGCCGCATACACAAGTTGCTGAACCTTGCGCGTGTAGCGAATCGGCGGGTTCTCGCCAGTATTGGTTGCCGGATGGGCACCAACCTTGCCAAATAGTAGCTTAGGAGAAATCGGTACAATTGACCGGAAGTTCTTCGCTGTTGCCTCATTAGACTTTGCAGCTGCGGGCAGTAGAAACGCCAGCTTGTGGTCATCAACCGAGGGGGGTGATACAACCTCGGACTTTACGGTATAGTGCAACAGCATGCTGGCCCGGTCCAAAGTGGTCAGTCTCGTGCTTGAGCGCCTCGTACTCGAGTGGAAACTACCCCAGCTTCTCTCGGTTTCAATCCGTCGCTCCAGTTCCTTCAAGCTCCGACGTGAATTCCCCGCGTCGCGTAACGAGAAGGCCATCATCAAGGCGTCGAAGATCATCATCTCCAGCGTGATCCAGATTGACGGCGAGTTCTGCATACAGTACGAGACGAACAACGCATTGAAGATTTCCGCGTTGAACACCACGACTTCCGGCATTTCGTCAATGAGATGAACCACGGAGCGAGCGATGATGTTCTTCATAACCAGCTTTATCACGGGCAACAACAAGGCAAACGCCGTTTTGCCCTTCTTGGACAGCGTTGTGAAGACGTAGTAGTACACTAGATACGTGAACACCAGCAAAACCTCACATAGCCACAGTTTGATCGCGTTATAAACCATTTTCCCTGCTCCAGGCGTCTCTCTGATCTTCTTCGCCCACTCCACAGCCAGAGAAATGGCTACAAGTGTCGTCCAGGCTGGCGTCACCGTCATCAACGAAAATGGCAGCGGGAACCCGATAACCGCGGCCAGTCCGTAGTGCACGAGTACACAAAGTGCTGATACTACCACCCGTGTTTCGAATCGTCCTGTGCAAAGGGTACGGGAGAACTGGGACACTGAGGCGGAACTGGTGCGTCGCCAGGAAGGTGATGACCAGGAAAGTGTAGAACGAGCGCGCGAAGTATAAGTTGTTGCCCTTCACTCCATGAAAAGGGTCATCAAGCGGTAAAATATCCACGAGGACTGTCACGGCCAAGCAGGACAGCGGGGTTACCAGCAAAATCGTAACCACCCGGAGCCAGCTCGTCTCGTTCGCGTACTTTGTCAGCTCTAGCACTCGCTGTGTGGAGTGCGTCCCATGCATCTCCACTTGCGTCGCGTGCCATAGTTTGGCAAGGAAGCGACAAACGCATGCCATGGGTGTAGAGTGCTACGTTACTGCGTACACAACGTCCACAAGTACCCCGTGCGACCTCGGGTGACCCCCACCTACTTGTGTGCTGATTTTAGCTCTGTCTTCCTTTCTTTAGGTAAGGTTTGCATCGTTTTAAATATTCCTGCTACGTCACAAAAAGTCACTATGAACTCCTGCTTTTAGGGAAACAGCTTGCCCGGCTCGTGGTAGCTCGCCGCGCTTGCATGGCAAAACTTTTCAACACGATAAGAGACTAGATAAAGAAAAGGTCTCAAAACCAGGGATGCAAGCGAAAATCTTGACAGTTCCAGCGAAGTAAATTCCAGCATTGAACACTGATTACTGGTTCGCTAACTGTAATTGATGGAGCAAGTGAATTCCCCCGGGGATTTTTTTTTTTCTCACAGGGACACAAATGAAATTGCTTTGCAAGGTTGCAGATACACCGTTGGTCCTCTAGGCGAAGATGACTATTGAAGCAAGCATAACGCAACCAGAGATGATGCCGACACTTCAACCAATCCGATAACGCTAGCAAAGACGACGGCACTGGAAGTCATCTCCCAGCGTCTCTTTGGGTCAACTTGTCGGATATTCGGCCACCTGATGCAGTACGGTAACCAGGCACGCGATCACCGCAGACACATTCTATGATACTTACTACTGTAGTACACCGTTCCAAACGAACCCATTACAGTATAGTGGAGGCAATCGAGAGAACGTAACATTACGTGCTGCAAACGAACCGGAGTGTGTGGGCAAAACAACCCTGCAGTGGTGTACCAGGATCTCCATCACTTTTAATTCTGCTCTGCCGCGCCCAAAGGGCCCAGAAGAGAGGGAGACAAAACAACTAGCGTCTGGAGTTATGCGCACTCAACTCTGGGTTTTGCTTGTGGCTTTAGTCACTCTGCTGGCAAACACGGCAATGGTGTCAGCAAAGAGCGCAACGTCGGATCTGGGTCAGACGTCGGGATCGAGCTCCATGACATCCATGGACCAAGTCCGTGCTCTTCGAAGTCTACGCCAACTACGCCGCGATGTACCGGGCGGTACTAGCGATTTGGAGGGCATCAAGACCGTCAATGAGGCAATCACGGCCGGAGAAGAGCGAGGTTTCAGTGATGGAGTGTCAAGAAACTTTTTCGCACGATCACCGCTGATCGACCAAAAGCCAAGGGCGAAATTAAAACCTTTCACGAAGTGGAAACTAGCCTTCAGCAAGTGGCAGACAAGATATTGGGTGTAGGCGACAAAATGAAGAAACTCCGAAAAATGCAGGATAAAATAATGTCGAAGAAGTTCACCAAGTTGTACACGAGTGGACACGGGCCTAGCAAGTTTTTTGAGGAGGCGAAGAAGCAAACGACTAAACTGGGAAAGAGCAGTATCTCTTAGTGGGAGAACGCTACAAGAAGTGGACGAAAGACCATAACTTGGACTACTTCTAGCGAGGCGGCAACTGGACTTGTATCAGCTCATCGGGACGCAGTTAAACGAATGACATTCATTCGTGCCAGTCAATACAAGGAGCAACGTGTTCGTTCATCTGCATGAAGAATGCCAAACCAATCGAGAGTTTTCTGCTTGAGGTGGCTGACCAAGTGCTGGTTGTCGAAGGATGTCAGAGACAACTCAGCGAAGCTCAAAACCACACGAAGCTTTCATAGAATTATCAGGGTCTTATTGCAAATGGTTGTACTTCCCGCTGAAACCAGCTTTTGGTCGAATTTACCCACTACAAGTGACGTCGTCTTGGTCATGTAGCCACGAAAATTGAAATGTGTAGTCATAACCTGCCACGAATTAAGCAGATTAGGTACCCAAGCCCCTCGTCAGAAGTGCAACACTCGCACCTGAGTGCTGCAGTGAGCCTTGAACACTGTAAAACACCCAGACCACGAGCTTCACTTGGATCCCGACGAATTGTTTATCGAGGACAAACACCAAATGGGGAATCGGAGAGAGCCCGAACTTTTTGGTGAGCGCGTAAAAGAGCAGCAGCAACGAAACGAGCTGGAGCGAGCAATAGAACAACACGTTTGTGAGCGTCTCGATTACCTCGCGCTCACTCAGTTCATGAAGTTGTGCGTAATAGTCTCGGTTAGGCAAATTATTCATCGCAAACAGGTAGATTGCTGTAGATAAATAAACACGAAACAAAGGTCAACGGGTACGTTCGAGATACCCCTCCCCTTGCTTAGTTCTCTACTTACAGAAGACGAGTGGGATGATCACTTCCACATAATTCAGAAGGAGTGAACTCCGCCATGTACAAGAGCCGTTGAACCATGTGTGTGTACCTAACCGTGACCGGAAGCTGTGCCTGACCTTGAGCAATTGGGTGGACGCAGGCTGAAGACCTCATTGATGGTTCACATTTGGGTTTCTGAACTCTAGATGTGTGCATGCAGGGCTTTTCTCTTCGCCGTAGCCGCAGCAGTATACTCGCTCGGCCCAGTGTCGACAGAGCACGGTCTCCCATGAGTTTGATGTCAAGTAGTTAGTTCGATATGACCATTGAGATCCAGAGGTCTCTCGGTTTGATTTGATACTCCAAAGATTTCAGCCTCCGTCTCACGGGCTCTGCATCCCTCAACGAGACCGCTATCATGAAGAATCCACAATCATTATCTCCAACGTCGTCCTAAGAGTGGGTGAGGTCTGCATCCAATACGCAACGAAGAGCGCGTTAAACGCGTCGCAGTTGAAGACCACGATCTCCGGCACCTCGTCGCTCAGGTGCGTTATCGTCAGCGCGAAGAGGTTCCTCGTTGCCACCTTAATGACGGGCAATAACAGCGCAAAAGCCATCTGAGCCGTCTCTGAGAGCGTCGTGAAGATGTAAAAGTACGGCGGGTAGATGAAACCGAGGAGGAAGTCACACACCCACACTTTGGTAGCGTTTAGGATCATGGAGGCAGCTCCCGGCGTCTTTCGGACTCTCCAGCCGCATTCAAACGCTAACGTGATCCCGAGAAGCGTAACCCAAGCAGGACTCGTAGTCAACACAATAAAAGGCAGTGGGAAGCCTATCTGAAGAGAGAGTAGGTAGGAACATACCATGCTGAGAGCAGACGTCAGCAATGTGCTCACAATTAAGCGCCAGACTGGGTACGGAAGCAGCAACACGTTCATCCGGTACTGTTGCGTAGCCAACAGGATAACCACGAAATACGTATAGTACATTCGAAGGAAGAACATGTTGGTCGCCTTCGTCCGGGACGAAGGGGACGAATCGTCCCCTTCGCCGGGTCAGCCAGCGGTAGGATATCAACGAGAACCGTGATGAGTAAACAGGGGACGGGTGTGGCCGGCCACCATTACTCCAATCACCCGCAGCCAGCTCGTTTCATTCGTGTACTTTGCCAGGTCAAGTACGCGCTGCGCCGAGGACCTCCCGTGTAGCTCCACCTGCGTCAACTCCCAGAAAGTCGCCAGCGTGTTGCAGATTCTTCGCATTGGGTCTCAATATTAAAAGTCCTCCGAGGAGGAACGAGCTCAGCTAACGTAGTCGTCCGTAAATACCCTCGACTCGCCCATGTCAAACCTAGGATAGTTGTCCCGTCATGAACACCCGACTCTGGCAGAACGCTTTGTGTGATATTTTGACTGCGGCCAAGTGCGTCATGCTGGTTGCTAAATGAAGCAGTGAGCTGATCAGGACACTCCCTATATAGCCTACGTGACGCACAATTCGCGGAGTCAAGCGAACCTCAAGCTGAAGTTGTACGTATGTCCATGAAGCTCAGGTGCTTGGTCGTGACGCTTTGGGAAGCCACTCAAGTGGAACAACGGGGCAGGTACTCGACCGAGGGCATCTTAGAGCTCACAACCTACGCGAATGAGGCCAGCTGGATGAGGGTTATCGCAGTGCTGGTGGCCACTCCACTTCCGTGTTTAGTGATGACTGTGATCATTGATACTCTGCCGCTCGCTGACCCATCGGAGGGTGTTGCAGCTAACTCGATGCACTTCCTGCGGTCGTACTACACGTACCTCGTCATGACGTTCCTCGCGATCCACCAGTTTCACATCAGCGTGCCAGTACTTCCCTGTATTCTGTGGCGAGAGGTTGGGAGCACGCTGGTGGTGGCCGCCGTCACTGTTGGGATTCTCTACGCGCTCGCTACAGTCGTTGGCTTCCCCCTCCCGTTCTCCATCCTAACCGTGACTCCTGCGTGGCTGCTGCTCATCACATTTACGCTGACACTTGAATGGGCGAAGAAGGTTAAGGAGACTCCAGGTGCAGCCATGATGCTGGTTAGCTCTATCAAGCTGTGGATGTGCCAGGTCCTTGTGGTGTTCACGTATCCCTCCTACTTCTACATCTTCACGACGCTCTACAAAGGCGGCAAGACGGCGTTCGCAGTATTGTTGCCGTTCATTAAACTCTTCATGAAGAACTTGTTCGCTCGCACAGTCGTTCACCTGCGTGACGAGATGCCGGAGGTCGTTGTGTTCAACGTCGAGCTCTTCAACGCGCTCTTCGTATCCTACTGCATGCAGAACTCGCCTTCCCTCTGGATCACCTTGGAGCTTATGGGGGTTGATATCGTCATGATGGGGCTCTCGTTGCGGGGAGCCGTGAGTGCCCGTCGGAGCTTGAAAAACTTGGAGCGGCGCATCAGCCAACGCAGTAGCTGGGAGAGCTTAGATGATCGATACTCTAGTGTCGCGACAACGAGGACGTCGACTCCAGTACGAGACTCACGACGTTAGATCGAGCGAGTTTGCTGCTGCATCTCGGTCAGACACCGACGATCACTCCGTTTAATGTCCCAACAACCACGGCGGCCCCCACAACGTCGTTAATCTCTGGAGTTATGGGGCGAACGAAGTCCAAAAGGAAGAACGCCATCAAAACTTCGCTTAAAGTGATGATCAAGAACTCGTCCAGTACGCGAGGACCTACCCAACATCCCATTCGCCTTGCCAAAATATTTTTTGGAAGAGATAAAATCCACCCTGCATTTGACGCTGATGAGAACGGGATGGCAAAGCTCCCCGTGCGATATACGCACAAGGTCCAGCGCTTGGTGTACGCGGCCGAGTTTCTGCTACTTCTCAACTACGTCGAGGTTGTTATCCCGCTCGTATTTTGTGAGTATATTTTACTTACTGCTCATTCTGCGTGGGCTCTCGACTAACGCTGATTCTTCTCTGCAGCCTTCTACTTGCTGGTCATGTACAGCTTGCCCAACCGTGAGTACTACGCACAACTGCGTGGCGTGACTCACTTCGAGCTCTTCCATACACTGCGAAGCGTGCAGTTGTACTGCTCACTCCAGCTTGTGTCATTGCTGGTGCTGTTCCTCGCGCTGCAGCGAGTGCTCAGCCTCTCGCCGATCCACCAACTCGCTTACGTTCTGGAGAAACGCTACAGCGGCGTGCAACTCAAACTCGTCTTCTGGGTCTACTACAACGTGCAAGCTTCATTGCAACACTCTGGTACGTAAAGATGCAGTTAAGGATGCTAGCAATTGTGTTGCTTATTGGTCGATCGTTGTCGTAAGGCTACGACTACTCGTTTCAATTTCCGTGGCTCTCGCATCGAAACGCCTCGATTTCCAGCTAGCGAGACACTGGAAGTCAACCGAAGGTCGCGGAGGAGGGCTCCTCCACAAAGTTTTCTCGTTTTAGCCTTCTCCTTTTAGGTGCAAGACTCACCCAAACCATTCGACAATACTTACCAATGGGGTCCCTCTCGCGCTCCTTCTCCAAGCTTTGGGAGTCGACGCAGGTGGAGCTTCGAGGAAGATACTCGGCCGAGCGCGTACTGGATCTGACCAAGTACACGAACGAAACGAGCTGGCCACGCGTGATCGCGGTCCTCCTGGTCACACCCCTACCATGTTTGTTGGTCACCGTCCTCGTCGACATCATCCCACTCGCTGATCCGTCGGACGGCATCGAGGCCAACAGCTCGTACTTCCTGCGGTCGTACTACACGTTCTTGGTCATCACCTTCCTGGCCATCCAGCAGTTCCGAATGAGCGTCTCGCTGCTCCCGTACCCGTTATGGCGAGCCATTGGCCACACCGCCTTGGTGGCGGCTCTCAGCTCTGGGATTCTCTACGCGTTCGCGCTGGTTATCGGCTTCCCGTTGCCGTTTTCACTGCTGACGACGACCCCGCTGTGGGTCACGCTCATCTCGATCTCCATGGTCTTCGAGTGGGGGATCAAGATCCGGAAGACCCCCGGAGCCGCGACGATGATCGTCAACGCCATCAAACTCTGGATGTGCGAGGTGCTGCTCGTGTTCATCTACCCGCCGTACTTCTACGTCTTCACGACGCTGTCCGAGAGGGCGCAGATGGCGTTCGCGCTGCTGCTGCCGGCCATCAAGCTCTTGATGCGCAACTTGTTCTCCCGGACGATCCTCCACCTGACGGACGAACTGCCTGAGGCCGTGATCTTCAACTGCGACGTCTTCAACGCGCTGTTCGTGGCCTACTGCATGCAGAACTCGCCGTCCGTCTGGACCACGCTGGAGATCATGGCGGTGGATATTGTTATGATGGCAGTATCGCTGCGGGACGCGGAACGTACCAAGAAAAGTTTGCGGGACCTGGAGGCACGCATCGAGCACGAGTTTGTATGGGACCGATACGCCAGTATCCGTAGCAGGAGTCGGTCTCCCACTTCGTTAGACAGAGCGAGTATGCTCCTGCGCCTGCGTCGAGATGCCAAGCCAGAGATGAGGATCTCGTCGTTTCTTGAGCTTAAACGCGTCGCACCAGTCGTTGACTCGATCGTCCCAGGCCCGCCGCTGCTAAAGCCAATTATTGAAGTCAAGAGGAAGACCTCGTTGGTCAGCAAACTCTCGAGTCAGACGACGAAGCGCATTCACCCAGCAGTTCGAGTTGCTGGACACGATCTGCCCAAACTTCCGGTCACGATACGATACACGCGCTTGGTTCAGAGACTGCTGTACCTGGCGGAGTTCATCCTGCTGCTCAATTACGTCGAGGTCATCATCCCGCTCGTGTTCTGTGAGTATGAAGGAACAGTCTTGTGAGTTTTCTTTTACATAGATCACTAACAAGTTGTGTGGCAATTCAAACAGCGATTTACCTGTACGGCATGTACCACCTGCCCAATCGCGAATACTACGCGCAACTCCACGGGATGACAGAGAACGAGCTGGTCCAGACGCTCAAGAACGTGTTGTTCTACTGCTCGCTCCAGCTCGTCTCCCTGATGCTGCTCTTCTACGCGTTGCAGAGGCAGTTGGGCTTCTCCCCCATTCACCACTTGGCGTTCGTCCTGGACAAACAGTTCGTGGGCATACAGGTGAAGCTCCTCTTCTGGGTCTACTACAACGCGCAAGCATCACTCAAGCATTCGGGTGAGTCAATAGGCACTCACTCCCTGCTCACGTTGCAACTGCGTCCGGCTAACAGCGTCGTCGTTTCCGCAGGTTACGACTACACCTTCCAGTTCCCCTGGCTACAGCAGCAACCTCATCCCATATCTAGTAATTAAATGGATAATGGAGAGCGAGTGGCAAGGGAAGGCTAACAGGATATTCACATCTCAAGTTACGACATTGGCCTTGCATGCAATGAAGCGCGTACTGTACCAATTCGTCCCCCACCTCGTACTCACACGACTGACGAGAGCACAAACCACAGGACAGAACAAAACAAAATCGATCCATTAATAAAATAGGGATCGGAAGCCAACTAGCAGCAGCAGGCCTAACCAGGCATCGCGGCCTCTGCGCCCGCCAACTGCGCATCAAGGACGATCGCGCTTGCCGTACAGTACCAGCCCTGCCACTAATCCATGTCGACAGATACGTAATCGGAACGCGCAGTCGCACCTTCTTCAGCCGACGGCGTGCTCCGGACGCCGCTCTCCGCAGCAGCAGCAGCCTCGTCCTCCGGTACGCCAGCGTCCTCCGGGTCATGGAAGCTGACGCACGAGATTGCGCAGCAAATAAAGCAAAATACGAGCCCGACCTGCAGCAATAAAAGACGAAAAAACATTGAGCACAACCCAGCAGTACCAACTGAAATTCCAGTGCAGTAACGCACCACAATGAGCCACGGCAGCAACACGTAAATACTGGAGAACGATCCGTCCTGCAGTCTCGCCGACAGGATGAAAAACGGCGACATGAGCGCGCAGATGACCAGGATCGTGCACAGAGCATCCAGCGCCGGGAACTTGGACAGCTCCTCCTCCTCCTCGTCCTCCGTCACGGACTCGCGCGTGTAAGCGTCGTGCGTGTGCTGCTGAGTGGGGGACTTGGCCTTGGGCTCCTTGGCCTTGGCCTTCGCGCGGAAGTACTTCCGGACCGGGAACGACACGAAGAAGGCGACGTAGAGCCACACGGGGACGAACACGACCCACCAGCTGGCGTCTCCCAAGCTGCCGTCCACCTTGAGGCCTAACAGCACTCCCTGGGCGATCCGCGCGAGGTTCAAGATCAGTTTCCGCGCCACTGCGAACACCAGCGCCGAGCGCGCCTTCTTGATGTCCTCGGTCTGAGTCATGCCCGCTCCTTCGCTGTTCTTGGTGAGCATGTTGTAGCCCAAAACTCCAGCCGCCAGACCCTCGAGCAGGTTGAGCCCGTCGTACACGAAGTACGGGATCAAAACCTCCACGAGCGTCCAGCTGAGGTCTCCGTTGAGCTTCAAGGCCAGGAAAATCTGCAGCACCAGCAGCAGCAGCGCCTTGAGGAACGCGTAGAGCTTGTACAGGGGCGGCTTTTCGTGGGACTTGTCCTCCGGGTCCACTCCAGCGTCCGAGGACGCGTATATGCAGCCCAGACAGCAGTAATAAATGGTGTCCACGATCCAGAGAGGGATGCAGACCACGGCCCAGTTCCATGATATGGTGGAGTCCGCGCGGAGACACCAGAAGACTGTTGTTTCGATAGACACACAGGTTTCGTCGAGGTTAGAGAGTGTTAGAACATGATACGGATTTGGACAATAATTTGTTGCCGGACGTACTGGGAATGAGCAGGAAGAAGCCGAACAGCAGCGACACCAGCAAAATCAGCAAGCACTTGCCCCTGGCGCCGAACGCGCCCATGGAGCGGAATAGCAGGATCGACATCTCCTCCGGACTCATGTTGCCATAGTCCTCCATAAGCTTAATACCGTCTTCACCCACTCTGCAATAATATTAAGGTAGTGTTAACGAGGTAAAAATATGGTTAGATACACGCATAAAATAATTGGCAACATGGTGAAATGGTAACAGCGAGAAAATATTGGCAACATACTGGTCATAGACCTCGCGCTTCTGCGGGTCCGAGAGAACGTCGTACGCCTGCTTCATGCGCGTAAACTGGGAGCAAAATAAAATTAAATAGCAACACCGGTTAGCACTCTCTAACCTGGGTTACGATAGTGTTAACCACTTTTTCTCACCTCCTCCTGCGACTCGGGCGTGTTGCCGCGCTTGTCCGGGTGCAGCTGCAGCGCCTTCCTGCGGTAGGCCTTCTTGATCTGCTCGGGCGTGGCGTCCGCCTCGATGCCCATGAGGTCGTAGTAGACCATGCTGGCCACCTTCTTCTTGCCGCCCGCCATCGTTAAAGACTACGGGAGGGAGGGGGCCGCGGGTCGCTTCACCTAACTTCGCCTATGGTTGAGTTCTTGGCGTCAAGGGGGTCTCATTTTGCACTGACTTTCGATTAAGTACGAGGATAGGTGGGATGGGCAGCGGCCGTTTCGCAGGGTTTATGCCCATTATATACGCGAAGCAGCCAATCAGCTGCGTGCGAATCCAAAATGGGCGGTCTATGCATATGAGCTTACGCATCATAGTGAAACCAAGTCAAGTCCGACCTGTATGGCCCCAATCGACATGGTGTCGCCAATGGAGTGGGTGGCGGTGGACCGGGGCATGCTCTCGCGGCTGCTGTACCCGAATCCGGTCTGCCTGCTCTCGGTGCGCAGCAAGGATGGCGGCGCGCGCAGCCTCATGACCATCACGTGGCTCACGGCCATTAACAACCAGGTCCGGCATTAGCAGTGTACCATTATTCTGTTGCCATCTGCCGTGAGACGCCTAACATTTGCCACTCCGGTTTTGTGGGAGCAAAACGCAGGGGGGATTCATCTGCTCCATGAACGCCACTCGCCACACGGCAAAGTTCATGAACCAATCGGGAGCCGTCTTCGGTACACTGGTTGCAAAGTTGAAGTGGCCCCACCGGTTAAGATACACTTTTCCTCACTTGTTGCCCTATTTTCAATTTATGTGTTGCAGTGTTAAACGTCCCGGTTAGGGGCATGGAGGAGCTCGTACTGGCCATCGGAGGCAGTACGGGAGCTGATGCCGACAAGTTCGAGCAACTTCACGTTGCTGTGTGTGCCCCTGGCGGTGGGGAGCTGCAGCCTGCAACTTCAACATCCGATGACCAAGTTGAAGCGGAGACCAAGAAGAGAAAGCTGTCCAAGAAGGAGCTGGCTCGTCAGGAGATTGCCAACGCTGCGGCCCAGAGTATCGCGCTGCAGGACTGCGTGGCGCACTTGTTGTGTCGCGTGGAGACTGTGACCGAGGACGACGGTCATCTGCTGCTCCGGTGCACGCAACTGGCTGGCTGGACTCGACGCGCATACTGGGACGGGCGGAACTTCATCCCCCAAGAGGGGACCAACGCTGAGCCGTACCTGACGTTCCTGGGCAGCAAAGTGTTTGGCTGCGTGCTGCCCTCAACGGGGTCGGAACAAGCTTAACGGGTGCAAGCTCCGTCCGGACGGTGCGCGCGCAACTCGCAATTCAGCAGTCGACCGGTTCCAAACAACATGCAATGCTGAACCGTGTCACGTCACTCACTCACTCACTCACTCCTTGCCGCTGCTTTCGTATCTGGGTGTGCCTGCACACAGCTTGTGATATTTTGCGTGTCTAGCGATAGTCTGGCTGGCGTCGCCTGTCCTGCACTGGAACCAAGCAAAAATGGCGTCGTTCTCGTTGCTAGTCGCCACTTGAGTCCGCGACGCTTTGCTTGCTTTGGGAGAAACCGCTCACCGTTGCTGCTCGAGATGGCGTTGCTGCGGAAAGACCCCAGAGCGCTCCGGATGCTGCCGTCATTGATCATCTCCACGCAGTCCACGTCCACTCCTCAAGGAACCTCGACCGCAAGGTATTCACTTCACCCATGTTCAGCGCCAGCGGCATCCTCTCCCCGACGCTGCGGACGCTCGCTCTCGAATGCGCGTCGGAATTCATCGGAACGTTCGTGCTCGTCTTCTTGGGCACTGCAGGAATTGCCGCCGCCGCGTTCAGCACTCCAGGACCCGATTTGGCGCTGCAGCAGGTCGCAGTTGGTTGGGGCGTCGCCGCCACTCTCGCCACCTTTATCGGCAGCCCCGGGTCGGGTGCGCACCTCAATCCAGCCGTGACATTAGCGATCGCGATCTCTCCTCACACTCGCGGCGGTTTCCAGACATGCAAGATCCCTGCCTACATGCTGTTTCAGCTACTGGGGGCTACGTTTGCTGGACTAGCAGTGTATCTCGTGTTCGGGTCAGTAATTGCGCGTTATGAGGCGCGGTTGGGTCTTACTCGTGGAAGTGGAAGCTCATCACTGTCAGCGCTAGCGTTCGGGGCTTCGTACCCGCATCCTCAGCTCGTGTACGCCCCGGGTGAAGAAAGCACAAGTTTCTGGAGCAAAAGCGATGTTTCGGCTGTAGGCGCCGTCTTCTTGGAGGCTCTAGGGACATTGCTCTTGGTGTTGGTGCAGCGCGTGATCCGTCAGCCGCAGCAACCGACAGGTGTCGCCGCCTTTACCAATTCAATTGCAGAGGCTCAAGACATCAACAACGAGGTGCCGCCGTCACGGATGCCGACGACGCCTCTGGCTCCGTTCTACGTCGGCGCGACGCTGGCAGCTCTGACGATGGTGATGGCGCCATTCACGCAGGCGTGTCTGAACCCCGCGCGAGACTTCGGGCCTCGAGTGGTGGCGGCCATTGCCGGCTGGGGCTCCGTCGCGCTGCCTGGCGAGCGACCAGACTCGTGTTGGGTGTATCTCATCGGGCCCATGGTCGGCGCCGTAGCCGGCAGCCTGCTCTTCGACTATGCGATCCACCCGGGCCTGCAGACCCGCGACGAGGCCGCGGCCGCCTGGATGCGGCACCAGCAGATGGAGGGCGAGGCCATCTTGGAGCAGCTCGAGAAGAGCCAGACGCTGCTGAGCATGACGGCGGGAGGCGGCGGCTTCGAGTCGCTGGCAGCAAGGGGCCTGCACCACAGCGACTTCCGCGACAGCCCGACGCCGCACAACTACCGGCTGTCGTCTCCCGGCCACCTGCACACCTACGCCGCCTAACCGAAGGAGCGCGAGCTGTACAACCCCTTTGCGACCGAAGCAGATACTGTAGTCCGTGTGCGTGGTAAGCCCAAAACAATCCCACAACAACCTTGACATGTTAGTTGAAGTGCATTCGCACTTAGTCGAAGGCTGTGTTGCGCGCAAGTTGCTCCAAGCTTGCAGTTTCGTATCCTCGCGACGTCCAGCTCACAATAGAACTGTTCTAGGATAGAGGAGAGATGCCGCCGCCCGCCGACAAGAAGAAGCACTACGAGCTGGTGGTGCAGGACGACTTCCTGGTGGTGCTGCACCCGTCGCAACCGCTGAGCCTGCAGATCCCGCGCTCGGCGGCGGGCGACGCGTCGCTGGGGCTGAGCGTGGAGCACGTGGAGGACTTCCAGCACGTGCACGGCCGGCGCATGGCCTTCGACGCCATCTACGGCGTCTTCTGGCTGCTGCGCGGGCCGTACCTGGCCGTGGTGACGCAGTCCAAGCTGGCGGCCAGGGGCGTGGGCGACGCCGAGATCCGCCTCGTGCAGAAGCTCGAGCTGCTGCTCATCCCGACGCAGAACCTGCCCACGCTCACGCCCCAGCAGGAGCAGGACGAGCAGACGTACATCGACATGATTACGACGGACATCGAGAAGCAGAAGCTGCACTTCGCCAAGCACTTCGACCTCACGCACTCGCTGCAGCGTAAGGAGGCGAATATTGGCGGAGAGGTGGTGCCAATAGAGGGAGAGAGAGCAACGGACTCACCTTGGTTGCTTCGTTCTATTGCAGGCATCGCGGCGTTCGACGGCAAGAAGGGCAGCATTGCCGAGCGCGCGGACGACCGTTTCTTCTGGAACAAGTCGCTGTGCTCGGCGTTCCTGGGTACGGCAAGCGTTGTTGATGGATAGGAGTGCTGGTATTGAGTAGTTGCAATTGACTGTGTGCGGGTGTGGGTTGATTGTTGCAGAGCAAAAGTTCTTTGAATGGGTCACGCCTATGGTGCAGGCGCACATCGAGGTGACAGAGCAGCTCAAGGTCAAGGACAAGTCCTTCCGCATCCTGTACATCTCGAGGCGGTCGTGCAAAAGGCAGGGAATGCGCTTCACTATGCGAGGCATCGACGACGACGGCAACGTGGCCAACTTCGTCGAGACCGAGCAGATCTGTCTGTTCGACGACGGTAAGCAGACTTCATTCGTGCAGATCCGTGGCTCGATCCCCGTGTTCTGGAGCTCCCCGGTTACCATGAAGTACGCTCCCAAGGTATACCAGGCGGGCGACGTGGAGCGGAACGTGACAGCCTTCCAGAAGCATGCGTACGAGCTCATGTCGCTGTACGGCCGGGTGCTGTTCGTGAATCTCATCGACAAGAAGAAGGAACAGCTCAAGCTCGGAGAGGCGATGGCCAAGACCGTGACCGACGCCGCCACCAAGGACTCGCACATTCTGGCGGCCGTGCGTCTCGTTTGGTTTGATTTCCACCGCGAGTGCCGCAACATGAAATGGGGCAATCTCGAAAAACTGATCAAGCAAGTCGACGACGACTTCCTGGACCACGGGTGAGCTACAGCACAGCTCAGCGCGACTCATCTGAACAACTTTTTAACCCTTTCTGCTGCTGGTTCAGATACTTTTGCAAAAGTGCGGATGGCGCTGTCGTGAGCAAGCAGTCGGGCGTCGTGCGCACGAACTGCATGGACAACCTCGACCGCACCAACGTCGTTCAGGTGCGCACGTCTGTCAAAGATACCTTGAGGGGTATCTTGCCTGCCGTATGTTCCGTGTTGAAGTCGTTGCTAACCCCGGTCATGTGTTGCATCTATTTGCTTGCTAGTCGCTCTTCGGCCGGCGCAGTCTGATGCTGCAGCTCAACGAGACTGAGGCGCTGCAAGGCAACGTGCTCAACTCGCCGTTCGAGGACTTCGAGCGCACGTTCAAGCGCGTGTGGGGCAACAACGCCGACGCCATCAGCCTGTTCTACGCAGGCACGGGCGCGCTCAAGACGGACTTCACGCGCACGGGCAAGCGCACCAAGAAGGGCGCGCTCATGGACGGCTACAACTCGTGCGTGCGCTACATCATGAACAACTTCATGGACGGCTACCGCCAGGACGTGCTGGACCTGCTGCTCGGGCGCTTCTCGGTGTCGCGCAGCAAGCCGTCGCCGTTCCAGACGCAGGGCGAGAGCCTCGAGTCGGTGCTGACCAAACTCATGGGCCTCGTGGTGGCCTTCTTCCTCGTGGAGACGTACCGCAGCGGCGGCCAGAGCTACATGTTCGAGCGGCTGTTCCGCTCGGTGCTGCTGACGCTGCTCATCTGCACGGGTGTCTTCAGCGTGCTGGTCAAGAAGGGCAACTCGCTGGGCAAGAAGCTGGTGCGGCTGCCGAGCTTGCGTCCGCAGGACGGCTGCATGACCACGTGGAAGCGCTAGCCGGCCGGCCGGATTTTGGTACCGGCGGGGTCGATTGCTCAGAGTCCGCGGGGATGGTCTCTCGGTCGCGGGAACCAGTTAGAGGAGATGCTGCCCCGTGCCGTGCACTTCAACGCGATGACACCGGGAAGCGGCCCCAAACGGCCCTTCCGTTGCCAACGGATGCAGCGTTTGAAACAGCGATCCCTGTATATAATTGTTTTTGATGGATACACCTGCGAGAGACGATGCGTTAGAAACTGCCCAAACCTGAGATACACGATGACCCTGTGGCGGTGAATTTATTCAAAGCATTTATGACAGGCTGTGGTGTCGCTTTCTGAAGCGCAAGTCCGCCCTGAACTTGACGCATCCCCGCATCCAAACAGTTCGATTACAGCGGCGGCACCTGATTCCGCCGCGACTCAGAAGCCGAGAGCGGAAGCGCGAAGTGCCGAGCGCGACACTCGCTTCGGGGTATGACGGTCTCACCCCCGTGGCTTCTCTTGCTGGGTGTGTATGGTCCCCCCCCACCTATCACTGCCAGCGCCACGTTTGAACGAGCTGAGCGCCGGCTCACGAGCATTTTCCGCGCGAGACTCGATTTCTGTATGTCGCGTGAACCACCGCAAAGTGCCACTTTCCGTCCGGCATAGCCGTGCGGCGATGACGCGCATTCTGAGCTCGGCGGCGGCGATCAGCCCGATAGGAAGAACTCGCTGAGGCAAGCCGCCCCGACCGACCGACGGGACGATGGCTGGAGCAACAAGCACCAAGCGGACTGCGGCGGTGCAGGTTGCAGTTCTCGGCGCACGACCAAGTCGCCCGCGTCACCGGCAGGCGTTGCAGGCTTGAAGTTAAAGCCCAGCCTTCAATCGCGGACATCGCCGCGAAACGCAAGACTGGGGCCCAGTCAAAATGGAGGCGGACGATGTCGAGTCCGCATTGGCGCAAAATCGGTTAGGTGCAGAGCCGGGCCCGTGAGTAATCATATACTGAGCCCAAGATGTAAGGCGCATAAACAAGGCGGTTAACGGGCCCTAGCCCGCCGTCTCCGCAAGAACTGCAACATGCAGAGAGACACGAAACGACGTTTCGCCATTACCATTTCACCGGTTACCCTTTGTATACGGATAAACCCGTCGTTCTCGGATGGATACTTTGCCCTTAACTATCAACACAAACCGTACACAACTGATATCCTGCAATACCACGGCATAGTTTACGAATTCTATTTGACAGGAACACGTCCGCTTGCGTATTCGATCTTCACTCTGGCCCGCTCATCACTTGCATTGGAGGCGCGTTTTGGCTCACTTCCGAATTCACTCTCGACCCAGCAAGCCGCAAGCCGCCGCCCACAGCAACTACAACACCAACTACAGCCATGCTGGCCCGCAACTCGCTCCGACTACCCAAGGCCGCCGCCCGCTGCATCAGCTCGTCCACGCCCGCGCGCGTACTACAGCAGACGCCCGCCACCTCGGGCGGCTCCGCCAAGACGAGCGTGCCGCCGGTTTCCCAGGGCGAGAAGGCCTGGTGCGACATCTACGGCGTGGACTACGAGAAGCAGATCCAGGAGGCGCTGCACGAGTCCCCCGCCGCCGCGCAGGGCTCCGCCAAGCAGGTCAACTACCCCACGTCGGGCGCGAACCCGGTCGCCAAGGCGCAGAGCAAGACCGACATTTGGAACGTCGTCTTCGGCCAGAAGTCCACGTAAACGTGCTGTCAAGGCTGGAAGATTCCCTCGCAGCCGACAGACAAGACCTGGAGGAACGTGTCAATGCGCTGGACCTGCCTCCGTCCCCGCCGTATTTCTATATTATCGACACAACCATAAACCATCCTAAGCTATCGTAGTAGTAGTAGTAAACCAGCAGGAGATCCTCGCTCCCCGTCACTGGCCGAACTTTTAAGCCACGCGCAGCGCTCTCCTTCGTATCAATATACCATGCTGATTGTCCCCCATTAAAGCCCGCCTTCACCTCACGCGTCCTCGTCTTCGTCGTCCTCGAGTGTGAAGTCGTACTGCTTCCATTGGCTCTTGAACGTCTGCGTGAGCTTCTCCTCCTCGGGCTTGGGCACCACGCAGAACTTCCAGTTGGCGCGCCGCGGCATGTCCAGCAAGCACGCAGCCGCGTGGCGGCCGAACTGCACGTAATGCTTGCCTTCCACGTGGTGCAGAAGCTGCGTGGTGCCGCCCTGGCCATCCGGAACCTCGGCGTACAGGAACGGCTTGCCGTTTGTCTGCTGGCGAAGCAGCTCAAGTGGGCCTGTACACGCCGCGGCATCGGCGGCGCTGTCGTCGTCTGCTTTCTCGTCGGGACCGCGCTGCAGCTCCTCGAACTTGACGTGGTATTTCTCGCCCTCCGTCTCAAAGACGCGGCGAGCGGCCTCGGCCTTCGCCTTGGGCACGCCCACGACCTGCAAGTGGCAGTGCGTGGCTCCCAGCGTGGCCACGTTGCGGTCGATCACCAGCAGCTCCTTGTCCTGCGACGCAAAGTAGCGGCGCAGCGCCGACTTGAAGCGCTCCATCTCGCGCCAGGTATCCTCGCTAAGCGCCATTGTGGACGCCTCGTGCGCTATGGGCACGATGAGCAAGTGATCCCCGCAGATAGCGCCCTTGGGCATGGCCAGATATGCCTCCTGGCCGATGCTCACGATCAAGTGGCGCTCCAATGTCGGCGTCGACAGGCAAAACCAGCACTCAGTGCGGCCCGGTACCACGGGTCGATTATTTCTCCGCTGCTGCTGGTCACCTGGGACCAGCCCGCCCTTGCGCTGGCCCTTGGCTGCGAGTCTTTGGTCGTAAAAGAACTGAGCGTCACCTCGGCTTTTAGCGGTGAGCTGCTCGATCTGCTCGGCGGATAGGCCTCCGGTCGCAGCGGGATCCAGCTTCCTTCGCTTCGCGTCTGGTTCACCACTTCGTGAGGTCGCTTCTTCGAGTAATGCGTGAAGGTATGGGTTCTGTGTAGTGCCTGCGGGGATATCCACGCGCTGGCGCTCCTCTGCGCTCTGCTGGGCGAACGGAACGACTTGAAGTGCATGCAGATACTTGCGCGTCTTGTCCTTGACTTTGTTGACACCGCTGAGACCAATGAGTCGTGTGAGTTGCTTGCGTCCTGTTCCAGTAACTTCGCTCACGTAGGGCAGTCGCTGGTAGAACACGTCACCGCGTGTACCGTCGCCTCCGCGGCTCGTGATGTGATACTTGGGGTGCACCTGCTGCACAATCTGCCTTATCGCAGAGCTGCCTCGCATCGCCTGCAGTCCATGAGGCAGTTGCTGCTCCGGCAGCAGAAGCTGAAAGCTCGTCGGATACTCTGCAGTAAACAAGAAGTCCACGTCTCCCTGATCTCCATCTGCAAGTAGTTGCTGCACTAGTGCTTCAGTCTACACGCAAAAAGCAGATACCAGTAAGAATTAGCCTCAACCCGCCAGAAGTTGTGAGGCCCCAACAACGTACCGACGCCTTGGAGTACGTCAGCAGCGTCCCCTTCTCGTCCTCCGAGCCGTGGGTCTCCGTGCCGGACATATACGCAACCTTCAGTCCTGCGATCTACAGAGTGGACAACAATAAAACACAAATGCATTGGCAACCACTCAGCCGACAGCTCGCCACTTATGCAGCTCTTACATTGGCGACTCCAGCTCCAGCAAGGCAGAAGAATCCTTCTCCGATCTGCACAGGCTCGCTCGACTGATTCTCCGCGCTTAACTGGTCGAAGACTTGGGTCTGTTTGGCGTCTTCCTGCCACGAACGCGCCGCCTCGTGTCCCGGCAGGAAGTACGTAGGCAGCGGCACCTGTTTGCTGCCTCCTGCGAGGTACTCGACGGGCAGCGGGAAGCAGCGCCCCACGCACACGAGCGCCTCGAACGGCTTGTCCTTGGCGGCCGCGTTGAGCTTGCGCGCGCGCTCGAACAGCAGCTCCCAGTGGCCCTGCACGGCGCCGCACAGCAGCAGCTTGGGCATCTTGGTGGCGAGTGTGCGTACACAATGACTACTACGGTAGTACACTGTACCTTGGTGGTACAATGTACCGCCTCAGTTGAAGTTCATTTTCGAAGATGGCGGCTCTGACGCAGCACTGGAGCGACGGCCGCGAGGACCCGCTGGGGGACTCTTCGTCTGCTCTCCTGGCCGCCAGCGCTGCCGGGGACGAGGCCCGCGTGGCGTCGCTGCTGGAGCAGGGCGCGGTGGACGACGTGCTCCTGGCCAACCGCTTCTTCGGCGAGACGCCGTGCGAGCAGGCGCTGGAGCACGGCCACGTGGGGGTCGCGGAGCTGATCGTGTCCGCCGTGCTGACGCACCCGCAATGGGCCGAGCAGGTCTCGGAGCTCTTCTGGCGGCGGCTGCTATCTGCGGCGCTGCGCAGTCGGCAGCTGTCGGTGCTGGGCTTCGTGCTGGGCTTCGAGCCCGACCTCAACTCGGACGTGCGCCACAGCGAGAAGCCGCTGTTCGACGCCGCGCGCGCCGACGAGGCCGAGATGCTTAAGGTGCTGCTGGCTCACGGGGCCGACGTCTCCGGTAGGGACCCCGTGGGCAGCAGCGTGCTGCACATCGCAGCGAAATACGGAGCTATGGGTGTGCTGGGCGTGCTCAAAGGATCCAGTGTCAGGGAGGAGGTGAACGCCACCGACTCGCTGGGCAACACAGCGCTGCACTACGCGGCGGACTGCGCCCAACTGGAAGTGGCCAGAGAATTGTTCGGCATGGGTGCGGACGTGAATCTGGCGAACAGGAGGATGGCCACGCCGCTGCACATGGCGGTTAGCAAGGCGAGGCTTGGCATGGCCAAGCTGCTACTCGAGGAAGGACAAGCGGACGTGAACGCGACGGACTACCAGGACAACACAGCACTGCTGCTGCTTGCGGCCATGACCTCGTCGGATATGGACGAGTACATCAGTGACAGTGAGGAGGAAGAGGAGGAGTCTGTGCAGCTGCAGATGGCCAGGTTGCTGCTGGAGCATAGTGCCGATGTGAACGCCGCGAACACGGCGACGGCCACGCCGCTGCATCACGCCATGCGTCGCTACGACATCGAGCTGATGGATGTACTGCTTGCCCATGGAGCTGATGTGAACCAGCGCAACCGCTTCGGGGACACACCCTTGCACCAGGCGGCGCGTCTAGCGCTCTTCCCGATCATGTGGCAGAAGCTGCTAGAGCACGGCGCCGACCTGACTGCTGAAGACAGAGGCGGCCAAACGCCCATGGAACTCATCCCAAACAATGTGCTGCGAGCTTCAGTCGCAGAGGTCGTGGCGAGCTTGGCCGACAAGGGCAAGGACAAGTGAAAGGCATATCCTACCTACCAAGTTGAAGTTCACTCCAACACAATCACCACCACCTCTATCTACATGTACAGCATGACAGTGATGCCCCCAGACGTTAGCAGACAGAGCTCTCTACCAAACCATATCTATCAGACAGGAACAGCAAATGGAGGTTACCTGTCTTTTGCGAACAGCTTTACAAGCCTGCTTCTCTATATAGACCGCAGCTGTTCAGCCAATCAGATCTCCCCCATCAACTGATTTCCACACCTAGCCTTCAATTGGCATTTCGCCTGACGTGGTGGGCCACCCCCATCAACCAAGTTGCCACCACGGACGCCGGAGCGCAGTGGAGTCCTCGCCTCAGCATGAGCTTCAACGGCTGGAGTGTCGAGGTGCGCTGCTTGTGTAGCAATTGCCCGCGCACTATTGTATCTAACTAAGTGCATTTATTGCATCGCGCAGGACGTGTATGAGACCGTGAGGGGTTTCGGCTTCCGCGGGCGCTGCCTAACGCTGCTCCTGGCTATGGTGCACTTCTTCTTCGTGCTCGCAATCCCCAGTACGTCATGCTACTCCATACTTTATACCAGCAGAGTGGCAACTAATTGTGTGACTTTTTTCGCTGCAGTTCTGTGCTGTCTGAAAGCGGACGAGTTGATCTCCAACTCGTGGAGGGTGGTCTTCACCCCTCTGTGGGTGCTGAACGTCGTTTACTACGGCAGTTTGCTCTTCTCACTGGTGTTTGCAGACGGCAAGCTTTACTCCTTTGTCAAGGAGTTGCTGCTACTGGTGGTGCAAGTTTTCATCGCGCTCAAGTTGGATGGAGTTGTGGACTGGAGCCTCGTGGCGGTCTTGGCGCCGTATTTCGTCTACGAGGTGCTCAACCTGCTCGAGACGGTGACAGGCGGCGTACTGGGCAACTATATGCTCGTGAATGACACGGTCGGCGCCAGTTTCTCGGAGACGGCGGCCATTGTGGAGGAGCGGAGGATGCTGGTGAAGGCCGTGGTGCGCAAGTCGATCATGACGCTGCTGCGCATCGCTCAAGCGCTGCTCATTGGTATGAAGGTGGATGGCAGCTTGGACGCTTCGAGCTGGTGGCGCGTGTTGACGCCTGTGTGGATACTGGTGGCCTATCTCTGCTGGTACCCAGTCAAGAAGTACATCAACTCGACGTCCGCGCACCGACTCCTGGACGCGGTCTTTACTGCCGGCATTATCTTGATGCTCGTAGCGCCATTCTTCCTGCTCGCGGATCGCCTGGAGGGCAAGAGCATGTCCAGCTTTGACATTATCATGCCGTGGATGTTGCTGGTACGTCGGTGATGTTGGAACTTGTTGTGATCTTTCTCCCACGTGCTGATGTATTTGCGTTGCTGTTCGTAGATGGGGGTATCGTTCCTCTTCTTGTTTTGCGCTATCTCGTTGGCGGGATCCGAGCGACTTGTTCAAAGTGGTGTCCAGCCTACTCGCAGGCACGCTCAAAGCCCCCCGTATCGCCACGATTACGTTGCTGTCGACATGGACTGAGCTTTCGTCTTCAAGTCTGCAGGATTGACGAGACATTTTGTAGTGCAGTCTCGTTGCCCAGTGTCCCTGCGTGTGGATAACCGAAACCCCCCTGGATGAAATGAACAAGCAGTAGCACGTGAAAAGCCGAGTATTCCATTAGGCGCACCATTTACAGCTTACTTATGTTTGCTCGACTATCAAGCATATCAGAGCTCCTTGTTGCCGACTCCTTCACCCCCTCACAGCGGCAAATAAAATACGGGGTGCAGCGCGGCGGCGCTCTGGTTGGCCTTGCACATCTCTGCAATCTCCTTCTCCACGCGCTCGGCCTGAGCGTACCGCTTGGCGGCACCAGCCTCACGCTTTTCCCAGTTCGCCAGCAGATCACCGTACGAGCGAAGCACGCGAGCGAACTCGACACGATCTGTTGCAGAAAGCTTGGATTCACGCTCAAATGACTCGACCACCGTAACAAAGAGGCCCTCGCTCGTCACGGCCTGGCCCATGGTGTGGCAACCGCGGGCAATCTGCCCAAGTACACGCGTCATCGCCAGCGCGCTGCCTCCGACACCGGTCTGCTCTGCCTGCAGCGTGCTCATGGCTTTGCCCAGCCACTCCATCGCCTCCTCAGGCTTGTTCTTGCGCAGCAGCAGCTCGCCAAGGTTGGTCTCAACCCACGCTCCAAACGGAGCGTTCGGGCCCGAAGCCAGCAGCGCGTCCTTGTCATCTTCAGCAGCCGTCTTCTCCACCCACGCCAGCGCCTCCTTGTACAGAACTTCAGCCTGGTTCAAGCTCACAAGTTGCGCGTCAGACGGCGGAGCCTTGGGGTCCGCCTTGGGGTCTCTCTCCAGCGCGCGCGTGCTGGCCACCGACAGCGACGCGTACTGCGCTAGCAGGTACGGGATCTCGCGTCCCAGCTGCACCTCACTGGCCTTCAAGTCGCTCGCCTCCTCGTGCTTGAGCACGACGTCCTTCTTCTCTCTGAGCGTCTCCACGGCCTGCACAAACAGCGGGTCTTCCACGGCCTTGGCCAGTTGCTCGGCTCCGCCGCTGAGCTCCGTGCCGATGAGCTCGTAGAGCGACCACTTGAGTGGCACCGTCGCGTCCTTCGGGTAGAGCTTGGTGAACTCGTCCTTCTGGCACCAGGCCGCCGCCTCCTGGGGCAGGTTGGCGCGCAGCAGCAGCCGCAGCATGCGCTCGTGCTCCGCCACGGGCCACTGCATCACGTCGCCGCGCTCCTGCATGACCTTGCGCGCCTCCGCCACGTCGCCCTTCATGAAGAGCGTGGCCACCAGGTGGCGCAGCGCCGCCTGCAGGTACACGCTCTGGAAGCCCATGGCCGAGCGGCAGATCTCAACGGTGCGCTGCAGCTTGGGCAGCGCCTTCTCGGCGCGCTTGCAGTTGGGCAGCAGCCGCGCCTCGTCTCCGCCCTGGCCCAGCAGCACTTGCGCCGCCTCCTGGAACTCCGGCAGCGAGTTGAGCAGCTCGCGCTCCGCCTGCGTCTCCTCAGGCGCCAGCGGGAGGCTGCCTATACCCACCGAGGGATCCGCGAAGACTTGGCGCGGCGGCGCGTTGGAAGCGTATCGCGCGCTGTAAGCTGCACCACGAGATAGAGGAGATCCACGGCTACAAGATGCACCTGCGCGCGCAAGCAGAGCACGCGTGCAGCCCCCAGGAGGCAGCAGTGAACGCACAGGAAGAACCATGGTCGCGGCGCTTGTGAGCCTCAAAAAAGCTAATGACTCAATGAAATGATCGAGATGAGCGATGATAGGCGCTAATCCCTTTAGAAGTGATGATATCGGGATTGACAGGTGGTAGCTGATGAGACAGAAACGGCAACCACTCTTCAACAACACAGTACGTTGAAGCGGCCGATGGACGAAAGCTGTAATACATTGCATTAGTCCGAGGCCTCTGCTGTGTTCTCGGCCTCCTCGCGCGCGCGCTTCTTCTGCTTCCAGAGCTGCGCAGCCTGCAGCAGCTTGAGGTGCGACTGGGCCTGCTCGTCGTCCGGGAAGATGTAGTCCGTGTACTCCTCGAGGCCCAACTCCGTCTGTGCGCACAAACAATACACAGCAACAGCGTTAGAACCATCCATACATAGCAGACCCAAGCAACACAAACAGCTCCATGCATACCCCGTCCTGCGCGTACGCCATGCGCTGCTTGGTGACCTTCCGCGGCAGCATGTCGCTGACCTTCTGAATCATCTTGGTGTCGCCGCCCTTCTTCTCCATCTCCAGCCACGTCTCCATGCACAGCACGCGGTCCTCCTTGAGCTCCTCTCCGCCCTGGTCCTTCATGTAGCGCAGTGCGCGCTCAAATACGTCGCGCGCCGCCTCCAGGTTCTCTCCTTGCGTGTCCTTGTCGTCGGGCGATGATGCCTCGAATTGAGCGAAGCTGATCCAGACCTTCACGTGCTTCGTGCGCTCCAACAGCCGCTCGTACAGAGCGCGAGTGTTCTCACGCTCGTCATTCTCGATTTCAAAGTCGATATAGTGCTTCCAGATCATCTCGGGCATGTCCAGTACGGGCTGCTTGATAGCCAACTCGTAAATTGCGCGAGCGCGCTCCGTCTCGCCCACCTGGCGCTCGAGCATGGCGTACTTTTGCCACGTCTCGCAGTTCTGCGCATCAAACTCGAGGAAGCGCATGTAGATCTTACGACAGCGATCGATCTCGCCCATCATGAGCTCCAGCTCGATGTAGGTGGTAAATAGTTTCTTCTTGGGGCAGCGTCCTAGAGCTTCGCCAAGTGTCATCCGAGCTCCCTGGACGTCGCGCTGCCGGATGAGGAACTTGGCATAGAGAACCCAAATCTTCGCGAACGTAAACTTGTCGTGCGGAATCAGCTTCAGGCACGTCTTATAAACCTGTTTGCAACGCTCAGACGAGTTGCCGCTGTCGTCGTTGTCACCAGCCAGCAGCTCTTCAAACAGCGCGTACTTAATCCAGAGGTAGATATACCTGCGCCAGTACTTCTTCTCGGGAATTGGTGGCACGTTAGCGATGGCGCGCTCATACACCTCACGCACCAGGCCAAACGACTGCGAACCGGCAGCCTCGTTCTCCTCGAGCTTGATGTACTCCAGCCACGAGTCATAGTCCAGCGCATTGGCGGTCACCTGCTGCTCGTACACGACACGTCGCTTGGCAATGACCACCTCCTCGATCCGTTCCTTATCGCCGTGCTGCTTCTCGAACGTAATAAACGCGCTGTACAGCGCCGGCGCCTCCTCCTTCGGCAGCGTGTCTAGCGCGTACTTGAACACTGCGCGAGCTCGCTCCAGCTCGCGACACCTCTCTTCGAAGAGCGCAAAAGCGAGATAAATCTGCTCCGTCTTCTCATCACTGCGCAGCTCCTCCAGAGCTCGCTCGTACACTTTCCTGGCCAACGCTAGCTGCTTCTGAGACCGCTCCTCCCACTTGGCGTACTTGATGTAGGCCTTCTCCCCGGGGTGACACATGACGTAGCGCTCGTACAGCGCCCTCGCACGCGGGATGTCGTTGGCGCGCACCTCCAGTTTAATATACGAGTACCAGGCCTGGTCGTTTGGCTGCCACTCCATCCAGCGCTCGAACACACGCCGCGCGCCGTTGAGGTTGCCCAGGATCTCCTCCATGAAGGCGTACTTGTACCAGAACTGCGCCACGCGGGGCAGCAGCGTTACGGCGCGGTCCCAGACGTTGCGCGCGTGATTGGCGAACTTGTGGCGCATCTCCATCTCGGCGTACTTGAGCCAGATCGTGGTGGCCTTGTAGTCCACGTCCAGCGCGCGCTCGAAGACGCTGCGCGCACGCGCGAACTCCTCCTGGCTCTCCTCCCACGTGGCGTACTTCATCCACGTGCCCACGTGGTGGCGCTGGCGGCGCAGCTCGTCTTCGAAGGCCTTGCGCTTGCCCATGCGGTACTCGGCCAGCTCGGCGGCATCCGTGATGCGGCGGCGCGGCGGCTGCGCGAGCTCCTCCTTGCGCTGGTTGGCCTCGAGCAGGATCTGCTCGGCCGTGATCTGGATGGGCGCGGGCGCGCGGTTCTTCACCACGCTCTTCTTCATCATGGCGGCTGGCGGGCGGCAGGCGGGGCGGGGCGGGGCTAGATGAAAAGCAGGCGAGGTGATGTCCGGCGGGTGGTCTAAGTGGCGAGCCTAATGGACGCGAACTTAAGACCAGATGCGTATTTAGGCAACCTTTAAAAATTATGAATTATGTGGCACACACAATGGGGTGGGGTGTGCACCACACAGACTTGCTGCAACAGTTTCGAATCGAAACTCGAAACTTTCGATACAGGAAGTTGAAGTGCGTCTGGCGGAATGGCAGATTCGTTTACACAAGGTCCCCGATTTGCGCCGCCACTGCGGCCGCCGCAGCTGAGCGCGTTGACGGCATCGATGACGGACACTGCCAAAGAGGGGACGGACAGGTTCGTCTTCAGCCGCGCGGGCTGAAGACTGCGCTGAGGTGTCCCACACGCCCTCGGGTTGCGGCGCGGCGAGCACCAGTGCCGATCCATCCTTGCGAGCTCCGCTCCGTTCCTGCTCATCTGGGTGAGAGCGCGAGTCCCGATTGACCGCTGAGTGCTTGTGTGTCGGGGCTCACCCCGGTGTGACTGAAGTTGGCGCTCGCGAGCGGAGACCGCCATCCTGTCCAGCGGCGCTGGCACGAGTTCTGCAGCGCAACGTCATAGAGACGACTTCAATCACATGGTGAGCGTTTGACTGCAGGCCTCGTTTACGCCCCGCTCGAGGTGTCCACTAAATGTGGCCCAGTGGACACCATATTCCACCGCTAGACGATCGCCACATTCCTCTATTTGCGGCACCAATCCGCCACAATCGAGCGTGTTTGCGCGGCAAATACCACAAATAGCCTGTTTTCGTTCCAGGCGTGCAGGGCACATCACAGGCAGAAAGTGGCCAGGATCTGTTGGGACATCCCGGGCACATGGAGCTCGCGCTGGTCGACGCCAAGTCAAGTCAAGGCGCCTCGCTCGCAGTGTGGATTTTGCGCCACTCGCTGCGTTGACCAGGCGTGCAGTGCAGTACCCACCCACCCACCCACATACATACATACACATGCAGGTGGCGGCAATACTTCCGATGGCGCTGAGCCTGTCGCTGGCGACGACGGCGCAGGCCGGCGACGTGCTGCAGCAGAAGCTCTGGGGCCTCTCGTCGGGCCTGGCCTACTACGTGCAGGTGAACGTCGGGTCGCAGCTGTACTCGTCCAGCTCGGGCAGCTCGGCCAGCGACTCGTTCAACCTGCTGCTGGACACGGGCTCGGCCAACACGGCCGTGGTCACGGCCGATTGCTGCTCGCTCACGAACGAGCACCTGTACTCGTGCTCGGACTCGGACACGTGCGTGGACCAGGGCACGGCGGTCAGCGTCACGTACGTGAGCGGCTCGTGGAGCGGCGAGGTAGTGGAGGACACCTTCTCGGGCGAGGGACTGGGCACGGTCGAGAGCATGCCGTTCGCCGAGATCACGGCCGAGGACAGCTTCATCTCGTCCGGCTACGACGGCATCGTCGGGCTCGGCTACAAGGCCATCGCGTCGCCCTCGAGCGACCCGCCCACGCCCTACTTCGACAAGGTCCAGAGCGCCGACGGCCTGAGCGACGTCTTCAGTTTGCAGATGTGCGGCGCGCTGCAGGCGCTGAGTCTCAGCAACGTGTCGCTCGCGGACGACTCGTACCTGTACGCGGGCGAGTTCGTGCTCGGAGGCACGCACGGCGCCAGCGGAGAGAGCTTCCACAAGGGCGACATCGTGTACACGCCGCTGGTGCAGGAGAAGTACTACAACGTCCTCGTCACGGACATCGGCGTGAACGGGGAGAGCCTCGGACTGGACTGCGAGACCATCAACTCGCCGCGGTCCATCATCGACTCGGGCACGAGCAACATCGCGTTCCCGTCCAGCGTCTACAGCGCCGTGATCGCGGAGCTCAAGACGCAGGTCGAGAAGGTGACGACCGACGTGAGCGACAGCTTCTTCGACGACGACTCGACCTGCTGCTCGAGCGAGTGCGACCCGACCAACGCCGACTCGATCATCTACTCGCTGCCCGGACTCACGATCTCGCTCGCAGTGGACGACGACAAGTCGCAGCAGATGACCATCACCATTCCAGCCGAGTACATTTGGCGCCCGCTCGTGGTGTCGACAGGCCAGGGCGAATCGGCCTGCCGCGTCTTCGGCATCTCCGAGGGCAGCTTCACGCTGCTGGGCGACGTCTTCATGGACGGACTCTTCACGGTGCACGACCGCGAGAACGAGCGCGTGGGGCTCGCGGTGGCCGACAACTGCCCGAACGGCGTCACCTCAAGCAAGAACATCACGGTAGAGACCATGACTTCCGAGGACTCGTTCTGCAGCTGCGTCGGCTCCTCGGACCGCAAGAGCAGCCTGCTCAGCAGCTACGTGCCGTTCTCGGGCAAGCCGTGCTTCTTCTGGCAGTGGTGGATGTACGTGGTGCTGGTGGCGATCGTCATCATCGTCCTCATGCTCGTCGCCTACGGATACTACTGCTGGAAGCGGCGCAAACTCCTGCGCCAGATCGAGGAGCTCCGCCAGAGTCAGAACCAGCCGCGGGTGCAGCGCAGTCTGTACACGAACGACCGTCTCGACCGCAACCTGCTCCAGACACCAACGCAGCCGAGCTCCGTGTACATCGTGGAGGCCTACACGCCCCCCACCGCCGCCACAGTTCCAATTATGAACGGCGGAGTCCCCGCCACGAATGACTACAGGTTGGCGTCCTCGCCGTCAGTCCGATTCAACCCCAACACGACAGGAGCGCCAGCCACGGCCGCTCCGGGTAGGAAGGTGTAAGGCGCCTTCCTTGCTTAGACAGCAAGTCCTATTGTACCATAGTATTAACAGCGAAAAATCGAAGACTAACGTATTGAAGTGTTCATGTTGTATTTACAACTCCTACGACGGCGCGCCGACCAGCTTGCGGAGCCCATACTGAGCGCCAGTCAGTCGGCGAGCTGGTTGGCCACGGTTTCCAAAATCGAAAAGCAAAAGCGGCCATCTTATGGTCTTTCTTTGCTCGATCTATCTTACGCAGACGAAGTCTCGCAGGAAATTTTCCGACGTCTTGTTAACATTTTTACACGAGTGCAAAACCTACTCGTGAATGACGGATTGTTACGTTATTTGTGCAAATCTTCGCAACTCATTGACCACGAACTAACATTAACTTTCAATGTAATGCATGTTACATGCAGCATGTAACCTTAGATGCGTAAGAGGCGCAGGATGGCTTTAGCGATACATATCACGTGCGGGTACATGGAATTAATTAATTCAAGAAAATAGCACTACTACTTCGAGCTTGATGTTGCCAGTACAGTGTATACGTGCATGTATGGACGTTCTCAATACATGAAGAGCACATTTTTGGCTCGAACGTAAGCAAATCCTGGGGCTCAAAGCCCACGTGTTTCCTTGGAGCACATCACTTATTTCGCGTCCATCTGCTGGTTCAGCTAGAGAAAAGGCCCCAGTGTGCAACTTGATGTTGCAGATCTTTTAGTCAAAGTCTCTACTAAGTACTGTGTACTGTGCAGTGATAACCCTCGCGCCTTTCACACGAGCAAAGCAGGTATTTTCATCCCGAGTGAAGCTCCATGCCAATGCTCGTCTAGGGTTGCTCGCGTCTCAAATTTTAGTCAGAAAGCCGAACCCTGTGTCTTGTGTGTGTGGTTTCGTCGGTCGCCGTCCTGCAGGGCCACGGCAACGGAGGAAACTCTAAAGCTACGGCCCCACTCACTTAAAACTTGCCTTCCACAAGCAACACCAGCCTCCTCCTCCACCATCACCAACCACCACTACCAACATGAAGACCACCAGCTTCGCCGTCGCCACCGTTGCCGCTCTCTCCGCCATCTCCGCTCCCACGCTCGTTGGCGCCGAAACGTGCTCAAGCTCCTGCCGCTCCTGTCGGATGCCAAGAGCTGCGCCGACGACACCGGGTACACCATCTACCCGTTCTCCGGCAAACCCACGGACGAGCAGATGAAGGCCATCTGCGCCAACCCGACGTGCACGGGCGTGCTGCAGGACGCCATCGACACGGACCTCCCGGACTGCACCATCGACTTTGAGGCGACGCAGCTGAACGTGTGTACGGAGCTGACCGACTACGGTGCGAGGTGCGGCGTGTTCGAGTAAGAGCCACTTTGCCACCACGATATCATTCTAGAGTGTCTTCCCGAATGAAAGTGGTGCCTGAACAAGCATAAATTTGCTGCAGTAAGTGTATTACCACATGGAGATCACGAAGGGGTATTTGCGCGCAGACGACAGCAAAAATGTCCTTCATAAAAAATGAATCAGACGAGCACTTCATCTCACCAATTATTTCTTGAGATTAGAAGAGCAACATAGCACCCAGAGGAGAAATGCCGCTTGGCTGCAGTGGCTTCACACCTGAAACCAGACTGCAACAATTTCACGACAATAGTGTCATCGAGTTTCCCTAACACATTACCTTCTATATGGATAGATAGATGTACGAGTCCGTTAGGCTAAAATATTTAACATGCAAGTTTAGATCTAAAAACAAAATCTTTCCACACTTAGAACCAGGAATTTGAAAAGAAAATATACTTTGACCTACACCATAAGCGCGCCATCTTCAGTGACATCGTATCCGCATCGCCAATCCATACCCCTGAGATAAACCACACTACACAATTATCAATCTACCTCGGTTAACCGATCTTGTTTTTACTTTCACAATCTATCGTGAGTACTCAGTTTCTAGAAGTATTCCTTGCAATCGATGCGGGGTACGGGGTACTCTGCTGTATCTACCCGTTCACAGGCGAACCCACAAACGAGGGACATTACCGCGAGCTCGGCGCGCCAATATCTTCAAAGAGACGCTCCGTACGGATCTGACCGACTACGCTGCGTAGGTGCAGGGAGTACGAGTCGTGCAATGCCATTCAGGCCATCAGATACGAGAAACAAAACCTTACTTGTATTTGCTACCAAGCCGATAGAAGTGCAACATAGCTGAACACAAGATCCACTAGAAGGACATGTGGTTGCGAGTTTCGAAGCGAAGGGTGTGAGTTATTTGCAACATTCTCTAAAACTCCACATAGGGCCTGTTCCGCAACACCGCTGTTCGCAAACAGTAGAATGCTCTTTCCGCTGGAAAGAGGAAATCCGCAGTTTTGAGGATTCCGCTGGAAGCGTTTGCGGAACACACAGATTTCAATTCGCCAAGCGCTAAATGGCACTGTAAAACATTGTTGCTGGTGCAGTATAAGCGAAGGAAGTGTCTAAACGTTTGAAAGAGGAGATGACGCGGGGGCGCTCGTTTGTTATGTAGTCTAGGCCCCTAGTAGTTGAGAAGACTTGCTGCGGGATGCGTTCGTCGTTTGCTGCTCAGTGCGCGCCCACGCTGCTTCACGAATGGCGTAACCTCTGTAACGAAGCATTGGAGTTGAAAATGCACGACGACAACATACAAGATTTTGGTGTCCTCGGATGACGGCAGGATCACTGTTTGCATCGAGTTCGCCGGCAACGTCAGCGTGAACGTGTTGGAGTCCGTCTGCTTCACACTGACTGTGACCTCAGAGCTGTCACGGTTCAGGAACTGCATCACAACCTGGTTGTTTGGTGTTACGAAAGCGCAATGGTGGAAGTCGTCCAGCGTCTCCGTCTTCGGGAACTCGATGCGCTTCGACCCCGGTGGCACGAACTTGGAGAAGTGGCCCATGATGTAATACGTCGGCTGCTTGTAGAACTCGGCGCCATTCTGCTCATACACAAGAATCGGTGCGTCCACCATGTTCTTCGCCCAGTTCGGGCCGCCGTCTGTGTCCAGGAACAAATTCCAGTCGACCCAGCCCGCAACCATGTTGTTGATGTCCTCGATGATGTCGCGCGCGTAGTTTTGCGCTCGCTTCCAGGCCTTGTCAGGGTCATCGAGAGAGGGGCCCTTACCCGTGCCAACGAGTGAAGGCAGATACCCCTCGCACGCTTCCGTTCCGAGCATGAACATGTCCGGGTACGCCTCGTGAAACTCGAGCAGATTCTTGAAGTTACCAGCGCCAGGTAGGATAAACTCGACGTTTTGGTACCAATGGAAGGCGAGTCCACTCAGATATTTCTTCGACTCGGGATCCTCAAACGGCGCCGCGCGATCCATATTCCAGGTTTCTGGTCATCATTCGCCATGATTTTCAAGTCTGGGTGGTTTTTGGCCATCATGGGGCTGAGGTTCAGCTTGATGAAGTGTCTCTCCTCCTCCGCAGTCATGCGCAGTATTTGCCATTGAGACACAGCAAGAGGAGGCTTTTCGGGCTCATTCTGGACAGTCATGGGCCAGAAGTCGATTCCCTCTTTCTTGTAGGCGTCGAAGAACTTGGAATAGTACAGTGCCAGCGCCTCCCAGTACTCCTCGCCAGGTTTGCCCTTGATCGTGCAGTCGACGACTGAGTCTCCGTTTGTCATCCAGAGCGGGGGCGCCCACGATGAAGCAAACAACTTTAACGTGGTCATGTTGAGCGCGCGCTGGATCATGTCGATTTTGTTCGAGTGTGGCGCCTTGTCCGCCGTGAAGTTGGCCATCTTAAAGTCGTCGATCTTCTCGTTGTAGGTATACGTGCTCGTCGAAAAGTCCGTTGATCCGATCGGCACGCGAGCGACGTTGAACTCCAGGCCACTCTTCCCAAAGTACTGGTCCAGGGCCATGTCTTGCAGCTTGGCCGATAGTTTGAAAACGTTGATGGCTGCAGAGTCCGTGAAAGCCCCGCCGAAGCCCAGCATGGTCTGAAATTAGGTCGTAACATCAATGGAGAAGGTCGGTTCGTCTTCGGAGGACTCGTCAACGTTTGCCACCGTGTACGTCGAGCGTTGGCCATCCTTGGAGGTGGTACTTGGCCCGCCGTAAGCTTCGTGTAGTCGCTGACAATGGAATCACACTGAGTCTCGTTGCAGACGCAGACGCCGTCAAGTACGTCTTGGTATAATGATGACCAACTGGAGCATGCCGCTGTCACTCCGCGTGGCGTGAGAAGCAGGCTTGAAACGAAGGCGATCACTGGAGCCAGTACCTTCATCGAGGCACGAATCTGAAAATGGCAACGACGAATGCCGTTGCCTCGACGTTAGTCACCACGCTGTCCATACTGCCTTGCGTAGAGCATAAGAATACGTTTCAAGATCTGCCTTGCTCGGTGCATGTACTGTCGAAGAGGCGACGTTCGGTTCTGCCGGTGCATTTACCAAGTACAGAACAAGCTTCGACGCTTCGTCCAAGACAATCTTCCCACAAGATATGTTGTTCTCGATGGGATCTTGTGTACAACCGCTTGTAGTACTGAATTATCTGTGCAGTTCATCGTTGGCGAAAGAATTCTCAGCTCAACGTGTACGATCGATCACCTTGACTTCCATTCTCTGCAGCGATTCAATCTCCTCGCGATTCTTCACCTCGATGCGCTTGAGGAGAACTGTAAAAATGCGGCTTGAACAAGTTTGTTGTGTAGCTTAGCGGAAACTTTGTATTGGCAAGCCAGTAGGTACAGGGTGATAGCAATTCTAGGATGCGACCTTGTTAAGGTCGATAACCTCGCAGCCTGCGAACATGAGCTCGATGCTCTCGTGGATGTTGTACGCGGTGCCGTTGAAAGTCAAGTCGCAGTCGGGCATCTCGGAGTCCCTGGCCTCGTCGAGCAGCTTGTTGCAGGCTTTACTCTTGCACATGGCCTTCATTTGGTCGATCGAGGGCATGCCGGTGAACGGGTACAGCTTGTACCCCGAGTCGGCGGCGCAGAAACCTGACTGGGATTCCAGCGGCAGCAGCGCGAAGCTCAGCGTGGTGGACGCGCACTCCTCGGCGACCACGAGGGAGCCGAACGCGGTGGCTACGGCGGCAACGACTGCTACGGACTTCATTTACGGACTTGCGGGCGCGAACGCTGCGGTGATATAGCACGAATGCCACCTCGCAGCCGTTTACGAGCAGCATTAATCTGCGCATGGCAGTTCCAATACCCCATCCTATGATTAAACCATTTGGAAGCAGCGCACTGAATACTCCCCTAATATCAGTACATATAATTTCCGATAACTTGTCATTTGTAAGGTAAGATTCTGACTACTGCTGAATTATGTGAGATACACCTGCTGCATTGTGTGTTTTGAATCTAAACTTTTGATGATCGAGAAACTTCGAACAGCACTGCAAGACAATGAAAAATCCATTGATGAAACAAACCGACAGCATACTGAGCTTATTGGAGTCCATGTCGTAGTGATGGAGCTCACTTCCGAGCCGCACCGCAGGCGGTCGCGTAGAGCGTGATCTGGTCCTTGACGTTGTAAGCGACCGCGTTGTACGTCACAGTGCAGTCCGGAAGATCGAGCGCGGCGGCCTCCGACAGCACCTTGGTGCACGTGGTATCGGCGCAGATGAGAGTGATCTCTTCGGCCGTCGGGAGTCCAGTGAACGGGTAGAGCGAGTAGCCCGTGTTGGACGCGCAGGTGTTGGCATCGGTCAACAGCGGCAGGAACGTCACGACGCGGGTGAGCGTGGAGCACTCGGGGCGGTGATAGCAGCGAGGGCCGTGGCGGCAGCAGCGACGAAAGCTCCGGTCTTCATCTTGCGGAGGTGGTGGATGTAGTGGTAGGGGCTTGTTGTGCGCGAGGCAAGTTGTAGAATGAAAGCTCGGGATGACCGACACCAACACCGGCAGCGATCTGCAATTTTTGACCTGCGTCTGGTCTGGTTGGCCAAGGTCAAGTGTTTGACGCTCGGCTGACTGTAAGACTTGCACAAACGTGTAGCACTCGTGCCTGCGAGCTGGTCTGCAGCGTTGCTGTGGTATCATGTCGAGGTTGCCAAGTAATAGATGACGAAGATGGTAAAACTGGGCGCTATGTTCGATTCACGACATATCTTGAACGGGTTTGGCTCGTCTTGTTGGACTGCGCCAACTTTAATTCGCTTTACGAAGATCTACGAGGTTAAAAGTATGCTGGGAGACACAGTCAACCACGCATTCAGCAACTCTGACTCGGGATACTTCCACTTCAAGGTCTCTGCTTCAACCTGGTGCGGTTGTTGGGTCAGAAACTTGATACGTTATTGGATTAGTGTTGCAACAACTCTCATTTTGCTGAGGGGATTCATCGGCAAATGGCAACGAATACATCGGCACCGGAATTTGATTTTTTGTCGGTTGCGTTACTGCATGTTGGAGCTGGAGCAAAGGAAAATCACACAAAGTTTTCACGAATTTCCATTCCTCCATTATTGATGACTTGTCATTCCTACATGACTGCATACGGCGCCAACGTATCCATCTGACGACTAGCGTTGACGCCTCCGTCGCCTTGGTGATGGCAGTATCGTGGAGTTCTAGTCGTTGCCGGCTCCTCGTTGTGACTTTTGAGTTCGAGATGAAGTTGCGAGATCACGCAGAAGCAGCAACAGAAGCTGGAGAGACAATCAACCATGTGCGAGCCTTGGATACCGAGGGCGTATCGAGTCTGGACGCGGAGTCTCCACACGCCGAACAAAAACGTCATAAGAAACGCGAGCGCCGCAGCTTCCCACAGATCCGAGCTGGTAATAACACCACCGTGGTGGTGCGCTGGAGGAGGCGTTGAAGCCATATCGCTATCCGAGTGTTCATCGGAGTTAGTCGAAGCCGCGTACCCGATGCAGAACAGCACGCCGAACGCCAACGCTCCGTAGTACACCAGTGTCCTCTCGTATCTACCGCCTAAGCTTTCCTTCACTGACGCAACGGTAGTGCACGGGCAACAGGTGACGACGCAGCAGTAGGTCGGAGCCACGGAGCAGCAGCAGTCGCAGAAGCCGGTATTCCACGTCGAGGTCGGGTTCAACTCGCGTTGACGAGTAGCAGCAGCAGCAGGCCCGCGTCTAGCTATAGGGCGGACCGGGTTGGCATCAGGGACGATAGTGATCACGGGGAGCTTCGGCACCAGCTCCGCCTGCTTGGACAGCATCGCCTCCGTCGAGCACTGAGCCTGGGCGCACGTGGCGACAGACTTGGACGTGCTCACGCAGAGCCTCCTCCGTTGTGGAATTGTGTGTACTGGGTCTTCCAGTGTGGGGTGGGAATGCCAATGAAAGGCAAATCGAGGGCACGTCCTGCGGATTTGTGAGCCTCCCAGGACGTTCGGTTCAACTTGTGAGCTCTTCGGCATAGGCGGGTGTGTAATAGTACTCGTGCAGGCACTTGTATAAGCGGCCTCCCAACAGCCGAGGTGCTGCTGCCCAACTGGCGAAGCTGTAACGATGCAAGAGCTTGGGGTGCCTTGTAATCAGTTGTAGCCACGTCTTCGAGCGGAGACAAATCGCTCTTTGCATGGCGTAGGCATCAACTTCAACACGTTTGTCCAATGCGGTACGATCATATATTCTCGTGGATAACGCGGTGTTGGTGTTGTATCACTCCGTTGTGCTCCTAACGTTAGATTCCAATGCGGTACGATTATATATTCTCGTGGATAACGCGGTGTTGGTGTTGTATCACTCCGTTGTGCTCCTAACGTTAGATAAACTGCATCGCTGGGGTTACGGGGTATCCGGGCAGCGTGTCGACGACTCCAGGCTGCTGGAAGCTGCAGCTTCCGGGCGTGTAGCTCTGCATCTGCGACGCCATTTGCGCCACGGTGCATGGAGCGCAGCACGTGGACGCGAGGCAGTCGACGCCGATGCTTCCTTTAATCTCGAACTCCTTTCGCACTTTCATGCGCACCAGACACAGCGAGAACGCGTAGAACAGCACGAAGAACGCGGCGCCGCACAGGAAAATGATCTGCCGGCCCCGCGACGAGCGTTCAACTGCATGCGGCTCGCCGTCACGAGGCGAACGCTGCTCGACCACGTCTTCAGTGGTGCTGTGCGAGATGAAGAGGATGATGCAGACCACGAGACCGAAGATCGACGAGCCGTGGCTCAGCAGCGCTGTCTGGTAGCTGTTGCCCAGTCGCGCTTGGATTTGCGCGACAGCCACGCAGGGGCAGACCGTGGACATGAAGCAGTTGGGCATGATGCTCGCGAAGCAGCCGAAGAACGGGGCGTCCCAGCCTTTCCCGGTGTCAATGTCGGCTACGTGCGTGCCGCCAGCCAGTTGGTTCTCGTCGCGCAGCTTCCGCTCCTTCGGGTCGTCCGCGCCTGGGAGCACCACGACGCTCGGCTGCGGCGTCATGACTGGGATGGTGTTGCTCGTCTCGTTGGTCAGTGTCTGCACGGTGTGTGTCGGCGGTTGGGCTTTGGAGGTGCAGGCCGCAAATTCCGAAATGGTTTGCCAGTTCTGACAAGCGCCAAATGGGAACGTGCGATCAGCGGCCAGCAGCTTTCGTTAAACTTGGGTGCGGTCCATTCCGTTCGGGGCGGATGTCGTCGGTGGTGCCATATTGCTAGTTTACTTTCTGCATATGCCCACTTTCGAGAAAACATATCTTCTGGTCGGAGGCCTGAACCCAAAAAACCGTCCGTGGTTGTGGGTGGATAGTTTTTAGCTGTGCCGCACGCGGTGGCTTCGCGGTTTAACATGCTGCGCAGCACGACTGGTCTGGTTTGGGCTCGTCATGAGGCTGGCGAACTGGTTTGCTAGTGACGACAGCAACGAAGTGCTTGAGTTGAAACTTCTCTTGCTCCATAAACGACGCAGCCTACCCAGCTTTCCGGTCACTGCATATGATTTATTGACAGCAGCGCACCTGGGTTGCCTTCGACTATTCAGACTTCGACGATATTGGGATCACTCTGGCTACCAGTCCAAGCTGAGTAACTACTTCCAGCAAACTGTTTCTGTCGCCCGTGGTGTCGTTCATAATACCGTTCAAGCCCTACAACTTAGAGCTTCCTAAGCTCTACGACTGATTGCATGATATCACCGTTAGGCAAAAGTCATCGGTGGCGTGGCCGGATAGCCCGGAAGAGTGTCGGCACGAGGTTGCCGGAAGCTGCAGTTGCCAGGGATGTAGCTTTGCGTCTGCGATGACATTTGGGCTATCGCGCACGGAGGGCAGCAGAGGGCCACAACGCAGTCGGTGCCGCAGTTCCCGTCGATTTGGACTCCCGTCGAACGCGCGTCCGAAGTTGCCCCACAGTAGCAGCGTAGACCAAGTAAAAGAACACGGTGCCACATAGGAAGAGGATTTGCTGGCCGCCTGCTGGTTGCCTCGCCTGAACTGCACCACTCACTTGAGGCTGGTCGTCTTGCTCGGCAGTATTGTGCGTGATGAAGAGCAAAATGCAAACCAAGAGGTCGAAGATCGTGCTGCTGTGGCCATACAGCGCCGTCGCGTAGCAGTTACCCAGACGCGCTTGGATCTGCGCGATGGCCACACACGGGCAAATAGTCGACATGAAACAGTTCGGAACGAGGCTTGAGAAGCAGCCAAAGAACGTGACGTCCCAATTGCGGAGGCCATTAACTTGAGCAGTATCCAGGCGAAGGCTGGGTATCTTGAAATTTGCGCTCCTCCGCGCCCGCACAAGGCAGCAGGACGACACTCGCTTGGGGTGACACCCTTATCGAAACCGTAGCATAGTTGGAGTCGCTGCTCGGAGTCTGCATCGAGATCAGTTGTGCGCTTCGTGTGGGACTGCAAATTCAGGAATGACAACAGAAAAGAGTGCACGAGCAAAGGTTGAGCGGGCGTAGCAGAAGCCATCGGAGAGGAAAACCGAAGGCAGTAATTGAACATATCTTTACCAGCATGCGCCTGGACAGTCTTACTTAATTTTAAGTACGGTGCTAGTGCTCACTCATAGATCATTCCAAACTAATTCAAACTGCTAGCGCTGACCCCGCGACCCTGTTGCGAACGGTACAATTGGCGCTCTCACTTCCGACGCCGTGATCTCCTGATTATTTTCAAATTTAATATATATAGAATTATAAGTTTGTATAGGGCGCATGGCTCCGGCGCCAGCCGGGTTTGGCCGCGTCACTGACGCTATGTAGTTCGCGGCAGGAACTGCGGTAGACGGCGCCTGATGCCGGCCTGTGGTACGCTGTTGTATGTTATCTCGCCCCGCCGGGCTTGCGCAACACCGGCGCCAGACTCCTGACCGTTTTCTAGATTGTCAGCAGCTCGGTCTTACTCTCGTTACTCTCTTACTCCACCACGTCGGCTGTGATGGGCATGTTTTTGAAGCGCACCTCCCTCTTCGCCATGGTGCGGCCTGGCGCGTCCTCGAAGCGCGTGGGAACGTAGTTCTGCACTGCACACTGCAGCACCTTCGGCCCCGCTCCATGAATGTGGTGACTGGTCTTCTACCTACCAAACTTTATTGGCTTTTATGGAATTTAGCACTCTGAAAATTAAAGGTGGACCACGGTGTCGGAAGTGGGAGCGCCAATTGTATCGTGATCGGTATCTCAGGATTGTTAGCTAGAGCAGTGATTCGCCTGTCCTGGTGTGTGGCGGAGCGCATATTAGCACAAGCTGAAGTTGTAACCTATGAATAAGCATATAACGAATGCCGCATCACAGTGCAATAGTGCTCGATTAAAGGAATGGTGGCAGCGCGCGACGCATGCTGGTGGCTGAGCCCGTGGAAGAAGCTGGACCAAGAGTGGCGGGCTGGCTGCGCGCGTGGACAGCTGCACTTGGCTAAGGTAGCCGACAGCGTGCAGAAGACCTCGTAGGTTGCTCGTCTGCATTGGAATTGCGAATGGAGAGCGGGCTAACGAGATGTTTCGGACTAGATACCTGACTGGGGAGCATTGGGGGTCGCTGGCCGACTGCGACCAACTTCAGGGACGTGCGTCGTCAAGGGTGGGTGCTGAGTGTGGATCTGCAAAGAGGGTAACAGCTAGTTATCTGACTTAGTTGTGTTCTACTTGGCGTCGGAATGCTTGGTCTGTTAGTTGTGGGATTTGGCGCACCGCTGCAGCAAGCGCCTGCAAGATGAAGTCGACAGTTTGGTACGTTCACTTACAATAGGGCATTTGTGGTGGTTTTGTCTGACTTAACGAGGATTCGCGGGGTTTTGCGCGTAGGCAGACATTTACGCGCGGATGAGGCGCCTGCTGACGGACGGTCAGGCGGAGGCGCTGGACGAGAAGCGGAGACAGCGATATGGTGCGATAACAACATGATGCAAGCTTGACGAAGGCAGCTGAGTGCTGACTGTTGTGGTTTCGGCAGAGCTGCTTCTGCTGGAGGTGCTGGCCATGTACGAGCACGAGCTGGTGGCCAAGTCGCTGATCGCGAGCGACATCTTCGAGTGCTCCAAGCACGAGACAGTGACGGTCTACCTCGCGTCGTGGCAGATGCAGCCGCACATCGACCGACAGCGCCTCGAGGAGCTCGAGACGTTGATCCAGAATGACAGCCATTATCAGGCGCGGTAACATTGGGCTCGACCAACGAAATGATGTGGTTCACCGCAGGAACCCAAAATACCGCGCCCAAATTAACGTCCCTGATTCGAATTAGACATGGGTCCACTTCACCCATACAAACACGCCGTGTAAATCTGATACGAACTTTATTTTGGTGTCCACGTCCAACCTCGTCACTCAGCTCGCGCCTCCCGCCGCTTCAACGATGCCATCCGCCCCGTTTCCCTGAACAACGCAACTGTATCAGATCCAATTGAGGAGGGCGGTCACCCCCACAGACCCTGCCCCGACGCAGTCCCAGTCTCAATATACCAATCGCAACCGCACAGGAAGAACCAGAAGCGCAAGCGATGGCCGACCGCATGGACGCCAAGCTCGTGGCCTCGTCGCCGTCCAACAAGCCCAGCAGCTCCGGCACGGCCAACTTCCGCACCGAGGAGATCCGCGGTGCGTACGCGCAGCACAGTCAAGTCTGCACTACGCGGCGGAGCAGGGCGATGGATTAATCGGCGGTTGTGACCATTTTGCGCAGGCTATTTGTTCAAAAAGACGCGCGAGGGCAAGTGGCAGAAGCGGTGGTTCGAGACCAACGGCTGCTTCCTCACGTACTACAAGGTGCGCGCAGCGGAGTCGCCTTTATGGCAGTGAAACGTGCATCTGACCGACTTGAATGCTGTAGAAACAAGGCCAGAAGCTGCTGGCGGCGCTGAACCTGCCGCAGGTTGGAGCCATCACGTTGCTGCAGGAAGACCACGTCGGTAGGAATTGGGGAATGGGATCTTTGGGTTTAAAGCGTCATTTAACCGATGGTTATTGTGTTGATGCAGATGGCCCCGGACTCTTCACCATCGAGCTGAACGAGCGCGTGTACACCATCAAGGCGCGGTCGCATGACGAGGCCGCCTTCTGGGTGGACGCACTGCTGTGGCGCCAGGCGGGGGGCGTCGTGACGCAGAAGTCCCCCGACGTGAGCAAGCAGAAAGTCGGCAACATCGCCGCTGTGCCCGCCGACGACTTAGATAGTATGCGCAGCTCTGTCGCCTCAACCACCGCAGGATCGATGACCAGCTCCATGCACGTCGAGATGGCCAGCAAGCAGCACGTGGATGTGACGACGGCCAACCCGGACGATGTCGGCAAGGACGGAGCTCCGTGTGCCGCCTGTTGTGTGGTGCAATAGACAAACGTTGACGACGGACGGACAGACCGCTCCACTGAGAGAGGCAGCCATTCATATCCCTGTGCTTCCTGTTGCCTGCGATTGGATCCAAAAGCTCCGTCCGCTAGCTGCTGGTGATGCGTGCCCCCAATTGTACCGAGCGCTTCTCACTGCACCAGCTATTATATCAGCACAGACTCCGGAAAAGGAGTTAACGCACGAGAAATTGCAATCTATTCATGCTAACTGAACCCGCACTGTAGTAGATGAACCAGGGCTGCCAATTTCTCGTCTGACATCCTAGCCACGCTACAGATATATGCTGGCAGCTACACACCCAGTTCGTGCAGGTAACTCGCTGGAGAAGGCTCGCGGCCAAGCATTTCGACCAGCAGATCGTTCGGATCCTTGGCACCACCATGCACCATGAGCTTCTGGTACAATTTCTCGCCTGCCGCGCGGTTCAACGGGCCCTTAGGTCCGGCAAAGTTTGTGTGCCAGATATCGGCTGCAAACACGCGCGCGTACAGGTAGCTGTAGTATCCCGCACCATATCCGATGAGGTGGCCGAAGCGCGTGTGCCAGTACGTCCCATCCACGTGAGGCACCAGAGTGCTCGAGTTCTGCAGCTCGTGCAGCATCTGCGTAGTCGTGTGAGGCGAGCAAGGCAAGGGCTGCTCTCCGAAAAGCTGGAGGTCCAGCATCGAGTAGAGGCACTGAGTCTGCGTGTCCATCGCGGCGAACATCGTCTTCGAGGCTCGCAGACCTTGCATCATGGAAGCAGGTAACGGAGCGCCTGTCCGGTAGTGGTGCGCGAACTCACTAACCACTCGGTAGTCCCATGCGAAGTACTCGAACAGGTGCGACGGGGTCTCCACAAAGTCTAGCGTTGCGCGCGTGCCTGACAAGTGTTGGAATTCGGTTCGAGACAGCAGCGAGTGCATGGCGTGGCCGAATTCGTGGAAAAGCGTCTCCACTTCTGCGTGCGTCAGCAACGATGGGCTGTCCGGGGCCGGCTTGTTGAAATTGCAGACCAGCGCAACGATGGGTTTCTGGTACGACGAATCGCTTAGGCGCTTGCCACAGCGAATGGTGAAGTGGGCTGCGTGGTTGTACTTGTTCTGCCGCGGGTACAGGTCGAAGTAAATGTATCCAAGCGTCTCGCCGTTCCGTGTGAGTGCCAGCTTGACGACATCTTCGTGCCACCGCTCGCTGGTGTTCAGCATGGGCTCCTGTTTCAGCTCCAGACCGAAGAGCCTTGAGCACAGCAGATGCAGACCCTTCAAGCAGTTCTCGAGAGGGAAGTAGGCAGAAATCACGCGCGAATCGATGCGGTGCTCCTGGGCCTTGAGCATTCCCATGTAGTAAGGCAAGTCCCACATGTAGACCTGGTCGACAGAGTGACCTTCATGCTTCCGCTTGGCCTTCAACAGTAGCTGCTGCTCCAGTTTGGCCTACAAGTATATGACACGACTGAGCTAAATACAACAATGTAGCAATGAGAAACACGACAGTTCGACGAACCTTAGCCATAAGTTGGTTTGCGATGTCGTCGATGAAGTTCTCCACAGCTTCTGGAGATCCGATCATGCGGTCGCTGTGACATCAATGCAAGCAAACTATCGTCAGCATTGTGTCAGGAGCGCAATATGCCGACGCATCTTACCTCGTAGCCAGATGCGCGTACGTGGAGAAGCCTAAGAGTTGAGCCAGCTCATGTCGCTTTGCCCGCAGCTCATCCAGAACCGGAAGGTTGTCCTTGGCGCACGAATTGGCAGCGATATACATCTTCCGCCGAACTTCTGGGGCGCCGACCCACTTCAGGATCGTGTTCATGACGTGCATGTCCGTAGGGACACGCAACGTGTCGCGGCTCATCCACTTGCGCTCACACACGGACGTGATGCTGTGCGGCATACCCCGGATGAGTTTCGCTGGCACGTCCACATACTCCCGGGCGCTGTACATCGTCGACTGGAACTTCATGCTGAGGTGAGTGATGTCATTTTGCAGGGAAATCACTCGCTGCCGATCCGAGCGCGACAAGTGAATGCCATCGCGTTCAAACTCGTTGCGCAGTAGAACCCCCATCCTTCTCTGCTCAGGTGTGAAGCTCTTCATTCCGATCTTATCCTCCGTCACAGTCTTCAGCGCTCGGTACAGCTCTACATCCGCATTTAGGTTCTGGATAAAGTCCGACAGCTCCGTGAAGCACTCGCTCGCAGCCCGCCGGAAGTTCCTGGACCACCGCAACGCCATCAGCAATCACCCACCACTTAGTCATCAGTCAAATTAATATTTGCAATAGCCATTCAGCTCGTACTCGTTGGGGTGCACGTTGCGGCAGAGCTCGGCGGCGTCGATGACGGAGCAAATGGCGTTCGAGATGTCGTCGAGTGTGCGCAGCGTCTGCAGTCCTGGAGGCGACGCTGCCAGCTGCAACAGCAATGATACGTTAGTACAGCTCCACAAAATTCATATAGTGAATTACTACAATACCTCTTGTCGCAGCTGATGGCACTGCAGCTTGACGTCCCGCGTGAGTCGCGGGAAGTCGGACGGCGTGTGCAGGTCCGGCAGCTGGAACAGACCTGGCTTGGCCTCGGAGCTGGAACTGACGCTGGCGGCTGAGGAGACGCCCTCGGGGCGGCCTGGCGTCCCTGCGACGGACAGCAGACGCGCGTGGCGAGCGAGCGGCCGGCGCCAGGCTGCGGAGCGGAGCGGCAGCATTGTCTCCTGTGCCCTCGTGTGTCAATTGCTGAATGAAGACGCATTTAGTGTGGCGGATGGTGAGATACTATCGAGCGGCATAGTTTGTATCACAGGTTACGGATTATCGACCAATGATTGAGCGTTGTGATGTATTTTGGACGAATCAGAGAGGACAAAGATCTGTGATTTGTAGGGATCACTTTGCGCTTGACGACGGCGGTGGCGCTGTAGTTGAAGTGGCCGATAATGCCGACAGCACAGACTCGAGCTTCTTGATGACGAAGGCTGGGTCGGCTTCGTAGACGTAGACTCCGGTGGAACTGGCGACGAGCAATTCGGGAACGCCGTCGTGGTTGACGTCTCGCCATAGGAGACTGTAGATGGCTCCGAACGTCTCCAAGTCCCAGCGGCTCCGTGTCAACCGCTGCCACTTCCGTCTTCCTGTCAACGTAGATCCGGGCGGTGAGTCGATCGTTGAATCCGAGACTGGAATCGGCTCAGTTACGCTCCAAATGTTGTGCGAGCTGTCAGGAGACTCAGCGCTGGACTTGACCAAGTCTTTCGCCACATCTTCAAACACGGCGTCGCGCTTGCTGTCGTCCGGGGTACCTTCATTGAGGTCACCACCCTTTCTTTCTTCGTATGCAAGCAGCACTTGGCCATCCGTCCCCAACAAAAGCTCGACCTCTCCGTCCTGTCGACAAGCATTTGCACACATACCACGAGGTTAGTACTGTGCTGCGTACACATGATTCGAGGGCCAACCTACCAGGTCGATGTCAGTAGTGATGCCCGCGAAGATTGAATCAAACGTGTCAGAGTCCACCAACACTTCGCCATCACCGCTACTTCCATCAGCAGAACTGTACAGATCTTCGTAGACCAGCGCTTGGCCGATCGCACATGTTACCAGCAGATTACACTGCCATGATGAAGAAACAGCTCGCTTGGGGAAAAGAGCAACGGACGTCACTGGCCCGTTCAGCTGTAGTTCTTTTGTCTTGAACGGCCCTCCAAGGCATCCTCCGAGCACTTGCCCCTGGAGCACACGCACCAACCTAGCCATGGCAACAGATTAGCGGGCACGAGTTACTACGGTCGGTCGCACTAACGCAAATAAGTGTCCGCCGTGTTGATGACAGTACCCGTCAGCACAGCCAAATGCGATCCAGCCTTGGTCTCTCTCAGGTGATGTGAAGATATCCACCGCCAGGACTGTGTGGGAGAACGTTGCAAACTCGGGGAAGAAAGCAGCAAACTGCTCGCTGTCCAAGCGCGCACATCCGGTACTAGACCCACTGGAATGGGTTCCTTTCCCATTCTCAACATACCCAAATGCCATCATGGTGTCAGTACAACACACCATGACGCCGTAGAACACGTCTCCGGTGCTCCCTGACGCCTGCACACTGAACATGTGCGTCGGTGCCGCCTCCAACTCGAACTTCCCGCAGCCGGAAACTTGGGCAGCTTCTCCGTTGCCCAAAGACTCGTGATGGGGTGCCACAACCTGCAGGAAGAGAGCGTCTCCGACAGCGTACGCGATCGCCACGCGCGACTGGAGCGCTCCTAGTCGCTCAATGGCTGCACTGGCCACTACGCCCGCCTTCCCAGCATGGAGAGCGTCCACCTCGAGCTTGTGCAGGCTATAGCCAACATCTCCGTAGCCCAGAAGCGACACAGACCGATCAGTTGTCACCAGCGTGTAGCTGTTGGGTCATGCACAACAGCGCGACGTACAGTGAGCACTCCAGCGAGTTTAGCATCGGAAATGCGGCGAGGAGGAGGATAGGACACGTGCGTACCTGTGGGAAGCCACGGAGCTGAGCGTGTGCAGACTGGGGGCGCCATTCGGGTACGCGAAGAAGCGCTTCTGGTGGAAGCGCATGGCCATGTTACTTTTTCCGGGAGTGGTCACTAACTAATGTGGGAAACTACCTTACGGCATACAAAGACAAAGCGTCCATCTTGTACCAAGACGTCAGTTGACTTGGTTAAAAGCAATCAACCTCGCTTTGGCCAGACCTTTGATAGGAAATGTTGGAGAGGAGACCATCTCCGATAAGCTTAATACAGTCAAACTATCGAGTGTCCGACTGCACTTGGCAAGTCCTGCATGGCACCATGAAGCCTCGTGACGTTGTGGCCTGGTCCATCGCCGTAGCGGCGGCATCCCAACATTTCGGTGCGTCCTATCGATGGGGGCCACGTACGGACTTGACTCGACTGCACTTTGCAAAAATTGCAAGCGTATCTGGTTCAACATCCAAGCTCGTAGCGTTTGCGCCAGTGAAGCGTAAACCAAGCAGGCACGCGCCCAAAGCAGTCCCGAATGATCTTGTGGACGCAGCGCACACGAAGCAAATGTACGCACGAAAACAAAATGAAATCGTTCAATAACAAATCTTTACTATACCTGTACCAATATGATCAACTTTTCTGGATGCAACAGCGTGTTTTCCGCATGTACACTACTAAACTACTTCACTCTTCTTCAGACCTGTCTTGCTTACATGTTAGCTCTATCCGAGTCGCGCTACCCTTGCTCTCGGCAGAGCCCAGCCTACCAGTCTGGTCCTTGTCTTGACCCGAAACCACCTTGGTCCGCGTAGGTTCGTTGCCCGAGCAACGGCCGCCGACTGGCGATATATAAAAAATGGATTTAGACCTCCCTCTCGACTTGCGCCGCCGAGCTCTTCTCACAAGCGCTTAGGAGGCCTTAGAACACTTTGCGTTCGCTCAGTCGTAGTTGAGCATGTCCTCGGAGAACAGCGGCAACTGCCGTCCGGAGTCGTTCAGCAGGTAGTCCATGCCGTAGGACTCGGTCCACTCCATCAGCGACATCTCTCGTGCCCGCTGGTTCTGGATCTTGGAGACAAGGTCAAGCATCATGTTGGGCTGCGGCTGCCGGGGCTGCGGAACGGGCATGGGCATCTGCTCCAGCTGCGGCACGTAGGCCTCGGGCATGACGTTGGTGGGCGGGGAAACCGACATTCTGGGCACCGGAGCCGGGGCTTCGCTGATCTTCATGCGCTTGGGAGCGCGTTGCGGCGGCAGGGACATGGGCGCCTGCTTGTCCTGCAGCAGACTCTTGACGAGCCCCGTGAGGTCCGAAAGTTGGCCCATGAGCTCCGACACCTGGCCCTGCAGACTCTGCACCGACTGCTTGAGCGTCTCGACCTCCTCGTGGTCGGGCGAAGCCGGCTCCGAGTACGTTTTGCGGCGGATCTGGGCCATGAGCTCCTGGCGGCCGCGCAGGAACTTCTCGTGGTAGAACTCCCACCAGTTCTTGCTCTCGTCCTCCTCGGTGGAGATGACGATCTCGTCCTTCTTGTGTTTGCGGAAGCCGTAGAAGTTGAGCTGGCGCACGAAGCTGCTGAAGTTGTTGTGCTTGAAGTAGCGCGGCAGCATGGTCTTGGCGAACTCGCGCGGCAGCTTGATGATGAACGAGGTGCCGGCGTCGCTCCAGCAGGCGACGGCGGGCGGAGAGCTCTCGATCATGTCGTACGTCTTCTGCAAGAACACGGGCGCGGCCGAGGCGCCGGGGCGGGCGTCCGGGCCCGAGGTTGCCGGGCGCTTTCGCATCTTGTTGTCGCCCATGGTGAAGTTTGACTTGGTTTGAGTATACGCGGTTCCTTCTTTTTTTTCTCGCGCGGTGCCTGCTTTGGCCCTGTGGTGGAAAAAGCGGAAATGAGCTTCACCGCCTCTTGGTCCTGAAATACTTCTGACCACCGCGGCGCGTCTTTTTCTGCGTCGCAGGAGTGGTACTGATTGGCTGGCGACATTTACAGCCAATCGATGCGTTGGGAGCGCGACGCTGTGATTGGTCTCCGCTAATTCGCCGGCGAAAACGGGTAATTTTACAAGTCGGCCAGTCTGGGATAGACACGGGGACCGGCGCGCCCGACAATCGTGGGGTAGGACGGACCAGCAAAACCGGCAACATGAGCCGAGCCGGGCTTTGCGGCGGCGTCGCCCAACCAGTGCTTTCGGGCCCCGCTATCGGTGCACCGCAAACAGCACCGAGCATCGCTCGGCGCATGTAACCTCTACATGTATACATGTACAAACATGCCGTTGTTCATGCCATCGCCACGGCGGTATGTTTCAAATCCCGCGCGCGGCGGCAGTGAAAGAGCGAGTCTCGCCTCGGACGGCGCCGCGACTCCATCTCCTGCTGCAACCTGCTGGTTGGGTTCCGCCGCGTTCACGCGAGCCACGTTCGGCTCGCCGGCAGCATCGGAAGGGTTACCTACGCGCTGCTGGCCGTGGATCTTTTCCAGTGCCGGCGCGCTTTGCCGCCGCCATACGCTTTGCGTTTTGTAGGGACTCGCCACTCTTGCCTAGCAAGATTTGGCTCGCGCGTGAAATTTCGGTGAGGAGAACCTGGGCAAGCAGGTCTGGTCCCACCCCGACGCTGCTGCTGCTGCTGGCAGCAACGATGCTTGGTCGGCTGGCAGTGTGCTCGCGGCTGTCGGCGCCATGCGATGCTGCACGCGATGCCGGCCGGCGGACATGTAAACGCGCACCGATCTGTCGCCTGCGGTGAGCAGCCATGTGCTGAATTTGGCGCTGCCCAAAGCTTGCGAGACAGCCCAGACAGTCCAGCGGCACGGATCGTGGTGCTCCGCGTCGCGTGCTGGCGGGCGGCGCAGGCGCACCACGCTTACGGAGCGCAGCGAATGGGCGCCATTCGGTCGCCGGCAGTGAAGGAATTGGCAATTCGCAGCGGAGCCGCTGCGCCGGAGCGTTGCTGCCGACGAGAGACGACGCGCGGGCAGCGAGCGAGCGAGCGAGCCCAGCGCGCTCGCCAGCCCCTTGCCGCCGGTGCGTGAACTCGTCTTCGCGCTGTCTCCGCACTTGAAGTGCCCAGCTGCGGGTCCGAGAACAGGCGTCGGAGAGCGTAACAAGCGGTCATCGGAAGGGTTCTTCGGTGTTCTATTCGTGGCTGCGCGGGGCTAAATCGCTACATCCGTCGACAACGCGCCCGTTTTTACCGTAATTCGCGACGCTTTAGCGCATCCTCGTAATCAAATCTCCCCATCATGCCGCGCTCACCTCTGGCGGGCATGTCGCAAGAAACGCAATGGATATGGCTGCTGAAATTTGCACCACTAAGTTGACGAAGTATCCACGCACAGGATCTCTAAGTAGCGTCCAGGCCCGTTCGTCTACCAGCGCGAGACGCTCCTGATCAAGTTGCGTGTTGGGGGGAAGGGGATGAACTTGGGGCAACATGGTATGAGTAGGGGGGCACAAGTATGCTTGCCACTGATGAGCGCACTCGGTAGCTGCTGGTGTAAGAGGGTACAGGAATACTATATCGCCCGACACAGTATTGCTTTTCTTGTTTCGCAAAACGTATTACAAGCAGCAGTGCTTGCTTTATTTGAGTAGCTATGTATTTGACACTCAATCACTTCTCGATACAGTTTAGTATGGAGGCGAATCGAGCTAAACTTTCTTGTTGTGAAATAGCAGCTGCAGCAAGGTGCTGTGACCTTCGTTAGCGATCGTATCACTGTAGCTAAGTGACACCAATGGAACCTCAATTAAAGAAAAAAGGTGCTGTGACCTCCGTTCGTAATTAGAAGCTCCACTACTCGGTGCAGATGAATCGGGATGTGGATCTCGCACATGCTGCGAAACTCAACTATAGCCTCGAGCCAGCGTGAAATTCTCTATAGTGTTTATCAAGGAAGCCTCACCCGCTTGGAGCCGTACTGGTTGGTTCATAAGATAACTGTCTTCTACAATACACTAGTTTTGTACCCGCCATTAAGCGATCTGTAAGCATGAGATTGACGGATATTTTCTTGGTTGTTAGCTGGGCTAAAAGACTGAAATGAAAAATCACTAAAAACCAATTTTGTACCTCCAATGTCATGAGTCTAAAAAGTAAATGCTGGATGTCATTACGTTCAACTACTGTAATATCAAGCCATTATCTAAGTTAGAGTCGAGGTGGAGCTGACCATCTTAGATCAAGTTAAAAGTTCCGCCATCTAGCCCACCGCGGTTACTCAGTGATCGCGCTTGATAAGCCCATTAAAACCACAGAGCTTTTTAAAATGTTCTTCCTTGAATAATTTTGCTGCGACTCTTGAGATAAGTTGTGTCGATTTCAAACAATTTCGATGCAACATGATCTCTACAGTAAATAGCCAGAAGAAAATGCCCAAAATGTTGTCCTGAACGTATGGTGAAAATCTAGGTGAAAAGATATACCACTTTGGTCACAATTGATTCAGCTGCAAGCAGCTGCAAATGCGACAAGAGCGATGTAATCTACCACATAACTCGGAAAGTTTTAAGCGGGCTGTTAAACGCTCAGGCAAAAAAATGGGGACTTCAAATATGCCACGAGCTCTTTCCGGGGGCTTCGTTGCGTTGGAAGTTGCGGAAGCTACCTGGTAGGATGTCGTTTTTTTTTTTATTTTGCAGGTTAGGTATATTGTGTTCATTTAGTACGTAGTCCTAAAGGATGTCGGGGTTGCTGACGAAAGCACGGCTTCACACTGTGCGTCGCTCTACTATAGATTGGTTTGATAGCGGCTCGAGGAGTGAGGGAGCTGGGAGTTTGCTCATTTTTGAAACTCCTCAGTTAACATGTCACGCCACGCCCTTCAAGTGTGGTAAAATGAGCGGTTTTTATTTGCCGCAAACGCGACTCAGCTGGAAAATACGGTTGGCAAACACGCCTCATTCCCCTCAAAGCTCGTCTTATTAGGCGGGGGATTAGTAGTCATGGGGGGGGGGGTCAGAATTGACAAATGGTGCAAAAAATATCACCACTTGAGAGCCCCCAAAATGACCAAACCATCCAAAATATCACCCCGGTCAGATATGAAATGACCGGTCATTTTTTAGAATCGCTCATTTACGACATGCAGGCTGCAGCTTGCTGCGCGTGCCTGACGGCTCGGGCAGCAAGCTGCAGCCGATGAGCGCCTCTAGGACAGCAGCGCTGCCTAGAGGACGCAATGTAGGGACGAAGGAGCATTAGTGGTCCGCATGCGCTTATCCGAAGGCGCAGCACACCGCGGATACAGGAAGGTGGCTCCATCCGCTGCTTGTCAGAAGAGCACGGAGCCTTGCAGCACCACAGTGCACGCGCGAGAGCTCGCGCCAACTCGTGACGTCGATCTTCGTGGCGCAGGGGCGTCCAGAACGGCGCCGCGGCTTGCTCGCTGCAGGCGTGCAGCAAGCGCCGCCCGTGACAATTGTGAAAAATGGATGTAAATACATTTAGCAAGATAAGCAGAGTGAAGGTCACCAAAATATGGTCAATCATTTCAGGAATGGTTCGGCCAAACAGGTGAACCATTTCGCGAAATGGATATGTCGGCTGACCATATTTTCTAGGCGAAAACGCTAATTCTGACCCCCCTATTGTTTCGCCATTGCTCACCCCTAATGTTAATATCTGTTACGGTCCTAGCGCCGCCAAAGTTTCTTTTTTAAGATTCCATAAACACTACAGAGAATTTCACGCTGGCTCGAGGCTATAGTTGAGTTTCGCAGCATGTGCGAGATCCACATCCCGATTCATCTGCACCGAGTAGTGGAGCTTCTAATTACGAACGGAGGTCACAGCACCTTTTTTCTTTAATTGAGGTTCCATTGGTGTCACTTAGCTACAGTGATACGATCGCTAACGAAGGTCACAGCACCTTGCTGCAGCTGCTATTTCACAACAAGAAAGTTTAGCTCGATTCGCCTCCATACTAAACTGTATCGAGAAGTGATTGAGTGTCAAATACATAGCTACTCAAATAAAGCAAGCACTGCTGCTTGTAATACGTTTTGCGAAACAAGAAAAGCAATACTGTGTCGGGCGATATAGTATTCCTGTACCCTCTTACACCAGCAGCTACCGAGTGCGCTCATCAGTGGCAAGCATACTTGTGCCCCCCTACTCATACCATGTTGCCCCAAGTTCATCCCCTTCCCCCCAACACGCAACTTGATCAGGAGCGTCTCGCGCTGGTAGACGAACGGGCCTGGACGCTACTTAGAGATCCTGTGCGTGGATACTTCGTCAACTTAGTGGTGCAAATTTCAGCAGCCATATCCATTGCGTTTCTTTGCGACATGCCCGCCAGAGGTGAGCGCGGCATGATGGGGAGATTTGATTACGAGGATGCGCTAAAGCGTCGCGAATTACGGTAAAAACGGGCGCGTTGTCGACGGATGTAGCGATTTAGCCCCGCGCAGCCACGAATAGAACACCGAAGAACCCTTCCGATGACCGCTTGTTACGCTCTCCGACGCCTGTTCTCGGACCCGCAGCTGGGCACTTCAAGTGCGGAGACAGCGCGAAGACGAGTTCACGCACCGGCGGCAAGGGGCTGGCGAGCGCGCTGGGCTCGCTCGCTCGCTCGCTGCCCGCGCGTCGTCTCTCGTCGGCAGCAACGCTCCGGCGCAGCGGCTCCGCTGCGAATTGCCAATTCCTTCACTGCCGGCGACCGAATGGCGCCCATTCGCTGCGCTCCGTAAGCGTGGTGCGCCTGCGCCGCCCGCCAGCACGCGACGCGAGCACCACGATCCGTGCCGCTGGACTGTCTGGGCTGTCTCGCAAGCTTTGGGCAGCGCCAAATTCAGCACATGGCTGCTCACCGCAGGCGACAGATCGGTGCGCGTTTACATGTCCGCCGGCCGGCATCGCGTGCAGCATCGCATGGCGCCGACAGCCGCGAGCACACTGCCAGCCGACCAAGCATCGTTGCTGCCAGCAGCAGCAGCAGCGTCGGGGTGGGACCAGACCTGCTTGCCCAGGTTCTCCTCACCGAAATTTCACGCGCGAGCCAAATCTTGCTAGGCAAGAGTGGCGAGTCCCTACAAAACGCAAAGCGTATGGCGGCGGCAAAGCGCGCCGGCACTGGAAAAGATCCACGGCCAGCAGCGCGTAGGTAACCCTTCCGATGCTGCCGGCGAGCCGAACGTGGCTCGCGTGAACGCGGCGGAACCCAACCAGCAGGTTGCAGCAGGAGATGGAGTCGCGGCGCCGTCCGAGGCGAGACTCGCTCTTTCACTGCCGCCGCGCGCGGGATTTGAAACATACCGCCGTGGTGATAAATTGAGCATTTGAACCACTAGACTTGCGTGGAGGTAGTTTGGTCCGTGGTACTGCCGGTGGAATGGAAGTAGGCTCCGAAAGGGGTTGGCTTGTGCGACGTCTCCAAGCAGCGTGAGCCCACGGCGGCTGTCTTAGCCAACCGTGTCCAACTTGGACCTACCTGCGTTTGTCGGACCATCGGTAGGATTTGGTGCTACTTGAAAGGACCACGCAGGATGCGTTGCATGTGCCCTAGTCACTGTATACTTCGTCAACTTACCGAGATAATTTTCGGCAGCAGATAGACTTGCGTTTCTTTGGGACATGTACAGTCAAGCAGTCAAGCATGATGGGAACGATTTGATTCAAGATGCGACCGCGATATCGTGCCCACGCCGTGGCAAGCGATGCGTGGTGCATGTCTGCCGCTATGCTGACCTCGCGATACCCGGTAAAATGTGTCTTCGTTGGATGACGCACGGCCGCAGTAGTGACGCTGGGTTCTACGTCATAATCCGAGTGCCTGCAAGTGTAAGTGACGTCGAGTACGTGCATCTAATTGAGAAGGCTTGCCTACTTCTATTCGAGCCTGGCACTGCTGTGTACATGCCGAGACAAGCAAGCCCAATACAAATCTATTCCTCAGTTTAACTGTAAGCCCGTGAAGCTGTGATCCTCGTGGTGTCCTGGTGTCCCCGAGCTGTTTTCATGATTCACACGGGTGTGCGATCACGAGAAAAGGTTGGAAAACACCACTTTCTTCTTCTTGCCAGAGGATTTCTTCGGAGCGGAGGAAGTCAAACTTGATGCAACACCTGACGATTCGGAAACAGCACGGCGGGAACCACTTCCAGCACTTCGACCCATCTTCCGCTTCTTTTCGGTCTGTAGCAACAAGCATTATTAACGAAGTCAGTATTCATATCAAAAAGGCAAACCAACACTGTGCACGCTAACGTACCGGTGCGTCGACGTGAGAGAAGATACCACCCGTCTTGCCACCGATCTTCTTCGGTTCGCGCGGCGTTGGAATACGGTGCTTCGACTTGTCCAACGAGAGAATGTCCTGCACTGCGGCGAAGTTGTCGATCGAGCCAACGTTGTCGGCGCGGTTCGCCTCCATCTCGCGCTGCCGCTTGCGAATCTTGTCCTTGCGCGACGTAACCACACGCACGAAACGCGACTCCTCGAACTCCTTCTTCTCTGCCTCCTCGCGGGCGATCTCCTTGTCCACAACGCTCGTGCCGCTGGCCAAAATCTCCGTGGGTCGCTCGCTGAATTCCTCGCGCAGCTCCGCCAGGATAGTGCTCTTCTGCAAGCGCTTGCGGTTGCGCTCATCCTTCTTGGCCTGCTTAACCTGCGTACGCTCTTCCTCCTCGTACGGCACGGCTGCCAAACGCGGCGCCCGGTAAATGCCATCCTTCGCACCAGATCCACCTTCCCCGCCATCCTCGTTGTCGTCCTGGCCATCCTCGGCAGCGAGCTCGTCGGGGTTGGGTGCGTAGCTGAGCGACTCGTCGAGGCCCTTGCCACCAGACAGAGCCACCTTCAGCATCTTGTCCACCTGATACCTCATCTTGCGGTCCAGCGGACGAATGCGCTCGAGCAGTGTGCGGTAACGCACCAACTCTTTAAACACGGGGTGGTCCTTCACCTTCTCCGGCTCCTCCAACTACGTAGCCACCATATAGTCAGCAGACACACCCACATTCTCCACCATGTTAATGGTATATTACCTTGAGAAGTGCGAAGAAGAGCTCCATCTTGGTGTACGTCAGCAGTGCGTGGTTCTTCACCTGCAGGTACGTCATGCCCGACTCGGTGGACAGCTCCGTCTACCAATAAACACCACATCCGCAGCAGCGCTAAATGTCAGACTAACACAAACATAATATACAAATCAACAGAAGCAAACGCACCTCCACCGCAGCGTCCATATCGGCCACCTTGCCACGGACTTGGACGACGTCGTCCTTGAGTCGATCCATAGGGTGTTTGTCTGCTCCGTTCCATGGCCAAAACACACGCAACAGTGGCAATAATTCAGTCACAATACCATAAAACGTATACGAAGACAGTCACCCCATTGCATCGAGCAACGGGGCTCCCAAGCGCGAGGAACGCACCTCCGGCGGTCGCCATGGTTGCCCTGATCTGACTCGACTATCGGACGTGTGCCTCTGCCTGAACCAATGACTCGTATCGGTATTTCGACCAATTGTCGGTCGTTATAATATTGGCCAATGAATGAAGAGGTTAATCAGATCTGAGGCGACGAAACGACGCGAAGGCACCAGCATCAATGGACCCGGACCATGTTGCCTGCTACGCTCAGGCCCAAGTGGAGCTGCGCGAGTTGTTCCATGAACTGGAGTGCAATGGCCAGGTGAGTGCCGCGGAGCTTCAGCGGTCGCTGGTCCCTTTCACAGCTGGAGACGTCAAGCGGGACTTGCTGGGGCTGCTGGCTGAGCTCAAGAGCAAGCGCCAGAGTCTGGACGAAGCCGACTTCCTGCGCGTCATGTGGCGCAAAATGTACTTGGCAAGCGCCATTGACGCGACCAAGGGCAGCACAGCGGGGCAGCACAAGCCCATCAACGTCTCACTGGCCCACGTGATTGTCTCTGTCAAGCGACGACAACAGCTCCGGCAGTTCGCGAGCTACTACGCGAGTCGAGGGATCTCCGGCGCTGACCATCTGACGTCTCAGCCAAAAGGGACAGCGTCAATGAAGGGCGAGACAACATCGCTCAAGGGCTCGCCACTGCACTCGCCAGTCCGCAAAGAGCCTTCGTCCTCCCGAGGGCAATCGCCAGTAGACAAAGCCAGAATTGTTCACATCTCGTGTGAGTCAATCGCGGCCCTGCGACGGCGTGTCTCGGTGTGCTACGATGTTATTGCCTGCATGTTTGATGCAGACGAGCTTCAGATGCGGTCGCGGACGCTGTTGTCGCGCACACGCAGTGCAGAGGTACGCAACTGCTCACAGCTCTACTGCTTGCTGTTCACCAAAGACGCTGGGAATTTCATTCTAGGATGTACATACTTTGGGGAGAATGCGCGGCGCGACCACCAGGACGAGAAAGCGGAGTATGGAATTCCAAAGGAATCGGACAGCGATCTACTCACCGGGTCTTCACTTTATCGAACCCTATCATGGGGTGATAGGGACGATAAGGGCTTGCTCATGGTTCGGATGGAGGAGTATGACGATGCCTTCGTGGAGCCTGGATAACCTAGTGGGGCTTGGACTAACAAACGAATGTATGGCTTGTGGCGTAGAGTTGGGCTAAGGAATATCGTCGCTGCAGGATCCAGTCGGACCGCCTTCGCAGCTAGCACCGGTCGTAAAATGCACCAATGGAGAGCTCTTGAACCACACCGAGTCCTCGAGAGCACAAGCAGCGAGATGTTTAAGTCCGTCCAGTCTCAGCCGCAGCTAGGTAACTCGTACGGGGAAGTCGCGGAAGGTCAGGGCCAAAACAGTGACGATGCTGGGCCTTCGGAAACGTCTACCGGAGTGAGAATGTTGGACACCGATCCGAGTGGCGACTGCTTTGGGCTGTTAGGTGGGAAACCGCTTCTCGCGCGTACCAAGACCATTGCCGATGTAGGTGATCTTCGGCAGCTCGCAGCGGGTGAGCATTATTTCATGGCGGTCTCGTCGACGGGTGGACTCTATAGCTGGGAGAGCTGTCCCAACGCGTCTTTCAGCTCGCTACCTACAGCTCCACCTTTAGGCCGCGGATGCGCGGTCCCCGAGCGAGTGCCGTGGTTTTTCCCGCCTGAAAAAGTGTTCCGTGTAGCCTGCGGCAGCAATCACACCATAGCGCTCACCAGCAACGGGGTTTACGCCTGGGGATCAAATATCTACGGTCAACTAGGACTGGGGGCTCACTCATTTCCGGCCGACCTGTACACGCTAGAGCCAGCTTGCGTGAATCTTCCAGTCGATTGCACCCCAGCGTTAGACGTTGCATGTGGTGACACACACTCGGTTGTTTTGTCAGGGTCGGGTCAGGTACTTACCTTCGGCTGTAACTGGGAGGGCCAGCTTGGTATCGACGATTCTCGACCTAGTGACAAGCTTTGCGATGTTGCTGCCGTGGGGTGTGCCTATGAGCCCCTGGAGGTGATTCAACCTGAGACGAGTGGAGATAAACGCGTCTACTTGATCGCTGCGGGACCTCAGACGACAGTGGTTGTCAGCACCACGGGGCAAGTTTTTCAGTGGGGAAAGTGTGTATCGGATGGCATTGATGGAGTTTGCGGACGGGTTAGCCGGAGAGTACCCGAAGAACTAAAGGCCGTTCACCAAAATCCTTCAGACTCTGCGCCTGGCCCAGTTTGGCACAGCGTCGCCATTGCTGATGGTCTGGTGATGCTAACGAGGCATTCCTCTCCGGACAACGCTGCTCTGGGGGTCTCAACCGTGTAGCAGAGGATGCCATCATTACAGTAGTGTTGGTGAAGGAAATGTTTGCACTGGATGAGACCCGGTCTCGTCAAAGCATGCAAAGCTGTCGGAATCGGATACTACTTTACGTGGCTGAACCTGGTTGAACTGTTGTCGCACTCACGAAAACCTTTCTGTCGGTTCAACCTCCCTTCTTTTCTCTGGAAAGGGTGAAACTCGTTCAGACCAGCGGTACAAGAATACTCACATTCCATTGAACTTGTATCATATACCGTCTACATGTAAGTTTTGGGGCGAGGGGGGGGCAGTATCTTCACTCAACACTGGTAAATGGTGCGCTTAGTCGCGACGCTTGCGGCCGTTGCACTTGGACGAAGGTGCCGGGGTGACCTCGGGGGTCTCCGCGGACGAGCCCTGAGTCGTGGGGGAGTCGTTCGAATCCGGCGCCGGGGTAGCCGATTCGCCACTCGAAGGGCTGTTAGAGTCACCGCTGGACGGGCTGTTGGAGTCGCCGCTCGAGGGGCTGTTCGAGTCACCACTTGACGTTGTCTGGGAAACATCACCCGTTGACGAGGACTGGGTCCGCGACGTCGACGAACCTCCGCCTCCCGATCCCTTGAGAGGAATGCAGTCCTCTGTAGTTGCACAGAATCAAAGTTGGTTAGTCAAAACTCTCCGGATTGCCACGAAGTCGGCACCACAGGGGACTTACTGTAGGATTGCCACACGGTCTTGCCATCGACACCCTGGAACGCCAACCAGTAGAAGCGCATCTCCTTGCAGCCACCGTTGTCGCATGATGAGTAGTCCACCGGGAAGACCGACTTGATGTCCTGGTTCTCGTTGCCGTACTTGCTGAAGCAATCATCCTCGTACAGCACCTTCTTGTCGTCCAGCCAGATCTCACACGGACCCACGTGAACAATAGCACGCGAGAAAGTGGCCTTGCCGTCCGTCGGAATGGGCTGCGGCGTGCCGTTCGGGTCCGTGAAACCGCAGTCAGCGCCGTACACCGAAGTGTCGTCCATGAGGGTCTTGAGGTCCTTGAAGTTGTTGGCCGTCTTCAGAGCCTTAAACGCGTCCACGCTTCCAGCGTTGTTGCCATCCCAGTCGTTGCTCGTCCAGACCGGGTCGATCTGCACGATCCAGGCCGAGGTAGCAGAGCCCTTGAACTGCGACTCGGGGATGAGCATGTAGCCGTGGGCATCGGCGCTCGGGATCGAGGCCACTAGAAGAGCAGCGACTGACGCGAGGGCAGTAGCAGCCAGCATGGTTCTGAGAAGTCTGGAGGCTTGGTGGACTCAAAGTCGACCTGGCGGCAAAATTGAGAGTGGACGTCGCGAGTGGCAACTCGCCGAAGCTGCTAAGGTCCCCGTCGCGCCATGGTGCCGGGCGGCCCTTACGTAATGGCGAAATCGTCATCTCGAGATAAAAAGCAACGCTATGATTGGGGCCTGTACAGTATGTTTTGTTATCTGTAGTCAGGTGAAGTACATGTAGCGGACAAGTTTGTGGTGATCGTTTTGACGATACGGTGCCGTGCCACGATGTTCTGCCCTTGCAGATGGAAACTACAGATACTTTCCTAGATTATAGGTAACTCAGCACGGCTCAGCGACTCAATTCTTTCCGGCGGTTTTCATACGACGAGAATCGACGGAATTTCAGGTGGGGCTTCACAATTTGGTGCCATGCATTGACTTCAAAAGCAGTTTAGAAGCCTCAGCTCATGTATTGTGCTTCCCGAACCTCCCTGCAAATTGAGTCAACGAGTTGCTAAAGGTTGAACAAGTTGTTCTGACTGTCAAGGATACTTTTGATCGCCGGCCTCGTTTCTGTAGTTGGTCACCAACGTGCGAGAATCCTCGCCTTTTCATCGCCGAGGCTGCACCTCATGCATTGCCGCAGTGAGATTTGAAGACGTTGAGCGGTGCGCTGGGTGGCCCAACTTAGGTCTCAACAGTACGGTAAGCTCTATCCTCCGTTGGAAACCCTCAAAACATCCTGCGAGCGCCAACATCCATCCTGTTTTCTAGTAAACCTCTAGGGAATTGCATGGTGGTTCCAGCCACAGCTTGGTGTTCGCACTTGTTGAAGCATTTGGCCGCTTGTTCTCGCGGAAATGCTACTTTACGATTTCAAAGTGGCCGGTTTTGCTGTCCGCGAAAAGTCCTAGACTGTTGAAGCAAAAGCATACCGCTCTGTTGGTGTACAGATATTACCTGGGGTCGAATCGAGGAAGGTATTATTCGGAATTGGAGAAGATCAAACACAACACAAACAAAATTGTACATGCACGTTTGGCCGCAAAGAAAGATGACCAAGCGATCGACTTACGATGAAGGTAAATGCCGTGCCGGGAATCGTTGCGCCTAAGACTTGATTGAAATCTACAGTTACTGCCCAGGGCCTCCTCAATGCACCCACACACTTCGCCAAAACAATTCCTGGGCTACCTTAACTTTCGTTGCAGAAGCCGCACACAATGTAAAGAGCACGGTTGTTAACGCGGATTCTTTCGTCTGAAAGTGCCCCCCCCTATCCTTTGGTGTCCGTATTTTCGCCGTACGCACACGACACAATCCCAGACCAGCGGTAAAATAATACTCACATTCCATTGAACTTGCATCATATACCGTAGCTGTCTACACGTAGAATTGGGGGAATCCCAGTAGCACGACCAACATCTTCACTCAACACTGGTACGCGGTGCGCTTAGTTGCGGCGCTTGCGGCCGTTGCACTTGGACGACGGGGCGGGGGTAACCTCAGGGGTCTCCACAGATGGAGTCGCCACAGATGGGGTCTCCGCTGACGAACCCTGAGTCGTGGTGGAGTCGTTCGACTCAGGCGCCGGGGTAGTCGATTCGCCGCTGGACGGGGTGTTCGAGTCACCGCTCGAGGGGCTGTTGGAGTCGCTGCTCGGCGGGGTGTTAGAGTGGCCGCTGGAAGGGCTGTTCGAGTCGCCCGTCGATGAAGACTGCGTCTGCGAAGTCGACGAACCGCCGCCGCCACCTCCCGTGCCCTGAAGGGGAATGCAATCCTCTGTAATATCACCACACAAAGGATATTAGTAAACTTGCTCGTCAACCTCGACATGGAATTCCTCGCAACAACAAACTTACTGTAGGACTGCCACACGGTCTTGCCATCGACACCCTGGAACGCCAACCAGTAGAAGCGCATCTCCTTGCAGCCACCGTTGTCGCATGATGAGTAGTCCACCGGGAAGACCGACTTGATGTCCTGGTTCTCGTTGCCGTACTTGCTGAAGCAATCATCCTCGTACAGCACCTTCTTGTCGTCCAGCCAGATCTCACACGGACCCACGTGAACAATAGCACGCGAGAAAGTGGCCTTGCCGTCCGTCGGAATGGGCTGCGGCGTGCCGTTCGGGTCCGTGAAACCGCAGTCAGCGCCGTACACCGAAGTGTCGTCCATGAGGGTCTTGAGGTCCTTGAAGTTGTTGGCCGTCTTCAGAGCCTTAAACGCGTCCACGCTTCCAGCGTTGTTGCCATCCCAGTCGTTGCTCGTCCAGACCGGGTCGATCTGCACGATCCAGGCCGAGGTAGCAGAGCCCTTGAACTGCGACTCGGGGATGAGCATGTAGCCGTGGGCATCGGCGCTCGGGATCGAGGCCACTAGAAGAGCAGCGACTGACGCGAGGGCAGTAGCAGCCAGCATGGTTCTGAGAAGTCTGGAGGCTTGGTGGACTCAAAGTCGACCTGAGAGCGAAATTGGGAGTGAACTCGTCGAAGCATGGAGACTGGAGACCTTCGGAAGGTTGTCCTCGCCAAAGGAGACTTCACCGTACGTAATGGCGAAAAGCACATCATGAGAGCAAAATCTGTAAAATCTTGACAGAGCCAAAAGCCTGAAGGATTGGCAATGTAGACTTCGAAAGTCAATGGTGATGATACTGACGATGCTGTGACCTGTTCCGACTTTGCAGATGGAGGTCGGAACTAGTGTTGTTTCTTACCAAGTTAATAACTCTTAATAACTGGTATTAGTAATTTTAGGCATTTAATAACGATGGTATTACCTTTGTGTATCATTTGTGTATCGTAATACTTAAATATTAAGCATTTTAACTTCTGGAAGAGCAAGCTTTTGCTCATATCAGCTTCCCACACAATGCTAGCCTGCGCGCGCGCGGTGCGTTCTCCGGTCCCAGGCTGGAATCTCTCCCCTAGATCTACGCGTCGCTCGGCACCAGCTCGTTGCTCGGCCAGGACGTGAACGGCGCCGGCGCCACGCTGGCCACGGGGCTCGCAAAAATAGGCCCAAGGTGCTCTACGACGCGTACGTCGCCCCACATTCAAGCTGACCAGCAACGGCTCCGCAACGCAGTAGTCAAACGCCCGCTGGATGTCATCAAGGAAGCCATCGTGTACCTGCACTTCTGCTTTTCGGCCCGAGACGATGGACTGCGACAAGGCCACTCAGACTGCTTACAGAAGACCTCTTCACGCGCCATGCTAGTGGACATGACGGAGACCGAAACCATGACGCTCGGCCTGGCCCTCGCGGACCCCATGTATACGTTGGCGGGCGACCTGCAGGTCGACGGCTCGTTCACCAAGGACCTGCGCTTCTTCAGTGGCCAGAAGTCAGCCATGCACGCGCTCCGTGCCGCCGGTGTGGGCGTCTACATCATCGGCGCGTCACCCGAGTTGTACACCGTTGCGACCGGCAGTTGCTTCGGACTAGGCGACATGGTGCCCAAGGAGAACAGGTGCGGCGTGCGCTTCACGACGGACGAGGCCGATGCTTCACTGCTGAGCGACAGGACCTGCGAGTTCTTTGGCACTACGGAGTCCGGCACCACCAACACCTATCTCCTGCAGGGCGGGCCTAGCCATCAGTACGTGGACCACGTCACGTGCCTGCTGGCCGAGGGATTCATCAAAAATGAAGTAAGTGCCGGTGGGAGAGCGTGTAGCTGGATATGGTGGATCTCATGAGTTTGTGTGTTGTGCTGCAGATTCGTAAGAGAGGGAAGGGCTTGAAGAGTTTCATATACATCGCCGAGGTGGCCATTATGCTGTTACATGAACGAACAGCTCGCTGATAAGGGTTGGACGAGGCCTAAATGTTGCGCTACAAGCGTTGATGTTACATTATTACTGCATTCTTAACCAAATATGACGCTTCTTTATTTGTGGGAGTGCTAGTGCGCGTTCTGCTGTGCCAATGTGCGCCGTTGCGCTGGAAGCTCAGTGACAGAAGTTCAAGTTGAGGTCATCTCGTAGAAGGGCAACCTGTTTCGGCGGGTACGGCACGATGCACTGAATATGTGAGCTAACTGATGTGAAGCTCTACGATCATAAGAAGAGCAAGAAGAGCTGGTGTTTGCATTATTTGAACTCGGATTAGTCAGGGCAAAAGCGGTTTAGCCCTCCACCTCTCCTTCACCCCTAGCAAGTTCGCCACCACTAAGGTCACCAAAGTGTTCTGCGACCGCCATGGCCACGGGTCCACACGCAGCTTCACCACGCACAAGCACAGAAAGGTTGTGTGCGCGCTGAAACAGGGTGGTGAGGCTGGCAAGAGCAAATCGAACATCCTCGGCTGCGTGCATGAGTGATCAAGGCTCGAGTAGCGCGACGACGAATATGCCGTCACGTCCGACAAGCACCATCAAGTCTACCCCTATCATGAACAACTACCCAATTCCGCAGCAGAACCAAAACTCCTCACGAGAAAATGAAGCGGAGGAAGCTGCTAGAAATACCATCAGCCGAGGCAGCATCTCGAAGAAATTCGAAAGAGGTTGAAGCCAATGCATTGATACACATTTGCATGAGGACGACGACTCTATTGACTAACTAGTGCATAATATGTAATCAAGAAGGCGTGAACGGAATGAAAATATGGATCGTGTTGCGGGCTTAGCTAGCGTGAACAAAGTCAAATATGCTAATGCTCCCAGGTTGGACCAAACAGCACCCTCGGCGAGTGGTGGGTGCGTCCAGTGCTCGACTGTGGAGTTGGAGGTAGTCCACGACGGCCGCTGCTAGCCCCTGAAAATACGAGACGATCGCTAGTTGGTAGACTCGGTGTTGTTGCACTTGCCGATCCGGGCGGCCTCACGACCGGTGGCACAAGCTGGCGCTCATCAGCACGCGTGAAAACGGTTCCGCTGCTTGTTGACTGCGTAAGTGCGACTGACTGCGTAGGAGCGACCGACTGCGTAAGAGCGACCGACTGCGTAAGAGCGACCGCAGCCTCGTCACTGCATACTGTGCTGGTATTCGTCGCTTGGTCGGGTAGCGGGTTGGCTAGTGCAGGCGAAAATAGTGTTTTTCGAGCTAGCGGGGGTGGGACAGCTTCACGTTGGTCGGTCTGCGAGGGCGTGAAGAATCGTGATCGGCGCGCCGTATTAGACCGACTACCGCGCATGCGACTGGAGCTGTTGGGAGCAATTGGCGTAACGACGTCATCATCGCTGTAGTCGTCACTCGCGCTGCTTTCGCCCTCTTCTTCTGCATTGACGTGATAGTGCACTGCACTGGTTGCAGCCTTGTCACCCGCATTCGAGTACAAATATGCTAGCTTTTCCACGCGATCGGGTTTCAGCCGATTTCGTCGCTTGGTGCGGATGAAGGAGTGAACACTCCACGAGCGCTCACTCGCAGCGGACGTCGTCGGGATGCTCAAAACGCGGGAAGCCAAAGCATGTAGGAGCGGAAACTTGTTAACCTTGACCAGCCACCAGTCTAATGGCGTGTCCCTCGCGTTTTTTTCGTGGTCTTCGGCTGTCCAGGACTTCTTCACGCGAATAAAAGCCATGACAGTTCGGCAAACCGCATTTGGAGATACGTTGGAGGGTAGACCAACTCGTGTAGCTAGATCTACGCATGCATCGACTGCATTGTCCAAATCATCACCTTCAAAGTCGTCCGTAGACTTAGTTGGGTCCAGTAAAAATGCAGCGAGGATTGATTCGCGCTTGAGGGTGTTCCAGCGGGAGCTAATCTGGCCTCGGATCGTGTTAAGAATACCAGAAGCAACATCATCAGTTTCGCGGTTGTAGATGACGTGGGTTTTCAGTCCACGAAAGTATTCATACACCATCGAAAGGCAACACCCATCCTTTTCGAGAGCGCCGAGAGCTTGGATTATCGGGTTCACCAGTCGCATTACGGCTCTGGCATTCACCCAAAACATGCTATCAGCCAAAATGGACTCGACGCGATTGAGTTTGGCAGCAGCATCTCCGTAACGAGCCAGAATTTCATGGTTGGAAAACAACTCACGCAGCACATCTTCGTTCCTCACGACACTGGAAATACAATTTGTGCTCGAGTACCACCGCGTCGAAACAGGGATGATTAGCGCGCGTCGTCGCTGCCGGGTACCAAAATACTTGCGTTGCAGAGCCCGAAAGCGATAAAGAAGCGCTGCACGTTTACGCACAAATTTGGTAACTAGGACGGCTTTCTTGAAGACGTCACTCATGAACTCCATCCCGAACATGTCTTTGAGTAGAAGATTGATCGTGTGTGCCGCGCAGCCGTTACACGTTAGACTTGGTATCTTGGCCATTAGAAGCTCCCATGACTTACGCCTGTTAGACGCGTTGTCCGCCACAACAGCGCATACCGATCCTTTTCCGACGACATTTTCAACAGCTTGAATCACCTTGTTCAACTCTGACGCCATGAACTCCCCTGTATGCTGTTTGTCGGCGCAGCGCTCCGATGACCAAAATATGGGTCGGATAAATGGAGACGTCACCATAAAGTTGATAATGGACTCGCTGTTGGGATCGGACCATCCGTCGCATACAATGGCAACGTACTGCTGCTCCCTCAGCACCTCCATAACGCTGGCAACTTCCTCCGCGTACGCGCTATCAAGCAGTGAGGTCGCCAAATCTTGGCGTGAAGGGAGCGTCATTCCGGGCCGGTACTTCGTCAGGATACACCTCATGGCTCCATTTTCGATGACTCGAAACGGAATGCCGCAGGCATAGAACGCTTTGGCAATCTGAAGATGGAACTCCTTCTTTTCAGTCACTGAGACCGGTCCTAGCACACTCGTAGCCATTTCAGGCCGCGAACGCTTGGACGGACTGTGGGGCCTATCGGAAGTGTCGGGACGATCTCGCTTGGAGGGTGTTACAGGGTAATTAGCCCGGACGTCCGCTGGGGCGCAGGGACAGCTGCGAATGTGTGGGCGGAGGTTTTTCTTGGGCTGGGCATTCTTGATGAGCTTGGAGCAGTGCCTGCACGTCACGTCGCGGTGCTGCTTCTTCGGGTTGGCCCAACGTGGCACAACCACAATGTACTCGGTCCACACGCCAACTGAAGGGCGACCAAGGCCAGACCTTCACTGCTAGCCCGGTCCTCGTTGCGGTGGCCGTTTTGGTCCATGGAGCTTGCAGGCTCTACAGGAGCAAGTTTGCGAATGCAGCGACGAGAATAGGCCCCGTGCGCGAGCTGCCTGCCACGTGGAGCATACGCAGATTCATGTCGGTAGACCTCCACGTACGTTGACAACTTCACGAAACGCGTTGACCGAGTATTTCTGCCACACCAACTATACACATGAGGTATTACCGTTAGCAGATCGAATATTTCTGCCACACCAACTATACATAAAAGTTATTAACGTTAATAAATGGTAAGTACGAAGGTAATAACGGTAACTGGTAATAACTGGATAAGGATTTGACCAACTCTAGTCGGAACCCATGCTGCAACGGCCATGCACGGTTTCGACAGTGCAGACAGCACCGCCAGGAAATTCGCGAGGAGCCTCACCGAGACTTCCTTTACACGTGTATCCTCCTCGACACTTCTCGGCACTTCGAAGACAACGTGTACTGTACGTCTATAGAATACTCTTGATGTATACTGCAGCCCGTATGGTCTCCTGTGCCGAATGCCTTCGAGCTGCCTCACTCGACGAATTGCACTTTACATGTACACAGGAATAATGAAACTCGATGGTCGATGAAGATTAAATTTTCGAATGTTTTATTAGTCAATTTTACGTGAGGATAGCTTTGAACGTCTCTACTGTGACGTTTGTCAGCTTCGATGACCTCAGCTAATAGGCTTTGCATCGCATTTGCAGGCAATGACGCCCGCACCACAAGCCGAACATGTTTGGGATATTAAAATGTCTCTTTCCCGTTTTCACAGCAAAAACATGGGCTGTATCAACGGGTACCTAAAACAAAGATCATACCTGTCGTCTTTGTCGGTCTTTTATTGCTATGAGAAAGGTGCAGTGCAACGCATAAGGATTCCAGTCTCTACTAAGCGTGAGTTTGTCCATTATCCTGAATCAGGCTACACGACGTTGTTCAATGGCTTTCACGAGATAAAATTCTGCATCTTCGTTTATCTCCAAATTCGAACAAAAGGGTCTGTTCATGCTGCCCAACTATACGAGCATGCCAACACTGTATCTACAGTTTGCTGTTTAGAGGTGCGACAGTCACTCTCTCGAAGTGCTCCCGCTGCATGTTCTTGAGGCGATAGCCGTTGCAGAAATCCAGGGCGGTGCCAATCTTTCGATCCGCTTGCTGCAGCTTAGTAATGAGCAACCATGAGTCCTTGGCACACCGCAGCCAGAGCGCCTGGCGTTTTTTCTCGAAGAAGAAGGTCCCCGTTGGTGCTGGGCCATTGCGAGCTTCGTCGGCTTCAACTACGAACAATGATTGAATCAGAATGACTATTTAACCGAGTGCAATTCTCGGGCCAAGAGACTTACCGGATTGCAACTCTTCTGTCAACGGGAGTCGGACTTCGATAAGCTTGACGACCTTTTCTCGAAACTGGACGCACACCCCCACCGAGTTGCTTAGGGCTTGCCATCGCTAATGAGGACAGGAACGATACAAGGGGAAACAATGCAGCGTTAGTACATGCAACCAGTTCGGTTTCGGTGCTGAAGTTCTTACATGAAATATTTCAGTGGCAGACTCATCGAGGCCAATAAACCCATCCTTGAGCGTCAGCTTGGGGGCTTTACACGCAATTGCATCATCCTGAACAATTGCTGCCCCTTTACGGGCTGGCAAGTCATCCAGCGTCTTCACGATGCAATCCGCTCCGAATGCAGCGAGCTCCTTTGCCAACCTGTACGATAAGTCGACCACGAAAGGTTAATTAGTTCGCGATTACCGGATCAAGTGCATCCAGTGGCTCGCCCGTACTCCTGACACTGGATGCCGGGCGTGATATCGTAGGGATCTTGGAGTAGAATGCGCCCCACATCGAAAGCTTTCGGGTCGATCTCAATCACCGAGACACCCGTGGTCTTGTCACCGTTCAGCAGAGCATGGTGGATCGGCGCAGGACCCCGGTACTACTCCAATACAGCAAGCGTTCTAATGAGATGTGGCAGTCATTTCCTGAGCACCTCAACAGTGTTTACAGCACCTTGGGAAGGAGCGACGGGTGCATATTAATCGCCCCGTGGTGCAGGTTCTTGAGCATGTGCGGGTGCTGCAACAAAATCAACACAACCAGTACCAGCTAGAGTTAACAGTTCGCCCACTCACCGATCTCCTTGCAGTTCACCAACGCACCAGAAAGTAGCCGAAGGACACGACCACGCCCACGTCGAATTTGTCCGCCACGGGGAAGTTCCAAGTCTTGAGCGACTTCAAGTGCGCCGGTGTGTCGAAGACCTTGAGCCCGCAGCGCTGCGCGAATTTCTTGACGGGCACGGGCTCGTCCTTCTTGCGGCCGTTCATGGGGCGGTCCGACGGACACACGACCGCAATGTGCTCGACGAGGCGGTCAGCGCCCAGCTCCTCATTGCTGCGGGGACGTAACGCGGCTCAGTTAGTTAGGCGGAGTGTACAGGAGACGAATTGGTGGCAGCCACACGATCCGCCGGCACCTGTGGGCGTGCAGCGCCTTGAGCGTGGCGAGCGACACGTCGTCCGTGCCGAAGAACAGAACGCGGTATGGCAGCTGGCCCGGAGCTGCGAGCGAGAAGCGTCGGCTTCCCGCCGAGGACCACGCGCGACCAGCCTGGCGCCGCGCCAAGGACATCTTTCGCGAGTGCCGTGCGTACCCTCAATAGTAACCGTACCCTGGTGTGTGGCTACACCGGGGTTACGGTTACTTACATTGAGGTTACGGTTACAGAACCGAATACTTGGCACTGAATTTTCCGCGTCGTAGCCTCTTCCGACGTTGGCAGACTCGAGCGCAGCGGACATGATGAACGCTTCAGGAAACGCAGGCGAGCAGCAGCCTCCAGCGCCGCCCTCAGCAGACGCCACGGCTCCAGTTCCGTCCTCCAGCACGAGCGCGACGACTGCTACCACCACCCAGGAGCAAGTGCAGGCGTCCAACGCGCCGTACATCGCCCATGCAACGCCCGCCGCAACGATGAAAATGGCGTCGACGCTGCCGCCCATTGCAGTGTCGCAGCCGCTGGGCAACATCGGCCAGATCCAGTCGCACCTTCCCGGAGGCAGCAACATCCCCGTGAACCCGAACGCCCCCCAGGGAATCTACCAGAGCGGGCCCAACACCAATTCGAACCTTCCCTACGTGACGGTCATGGCCATGGCCCCTGGTGGAGTGTCGGGGGACGCAGAGGCCGACAACATGCGCTTCGCGTTCCTGCAGAAGTGTCGGTGGATGGCCGGCTGCTTGATGGCGTACTACGCGGCGACGTTCCTGTTCCTGCAGCCGTTCATCCTGGGCACGCTGGGTCTTATGACTGCCTTCATAGGCTACTACGGCTCGCGCCCGCCTGTGGACTCGCAGCGGCTTAAATGGCTTCGCTGGTACATTTGGTGCAACTACGCGATGTTGGTCTTCAACATGTGGCTACTGGTGATGACGCTCGTCTTCTCGGGAAGCACGTACAGCTACGGGAACAACAGCACCGCTGGCAGCGACGGCGACAGCATCGACGACAGCGAGTACGGGGAGTCCACCTACTACTACTCGAGCAGCGTCGGGCTCTTCGTTGGACTGCTGGTCGCCGCCAACACCATCATGCACCTGCGCTGCCTCCGCACGGCGCAGCTGCTGGTCGCCGAGCTATTGACCGCGGGAGTCGATCGTCAGCCGGCGCCTGTGGTGATGCTCGCCACCTCCAACCCCACCGCGGCTGTGTAAGGTAAGTTTTATATCGACGAGCTTGCAGCATTTTGGGTTCGAGAGCTGCAGCGGGTGACAATGTGTAGATCCGGACTGTAACAATACAACTAAGCGATGCAGTACTAGTGCAGTGTGCACGCTGCGCTGCATCAAGTTATTGTTTGCCGGCCATGATGTGCGTTCCATGCTTTGAGTGTTGCATGAAAGAGTTGGCATCAACGCGTAGAGGTGCCATCGTGAGCCATGTTATAGTTGCCGTTGCACTGCTTTCTGAATTTCGTCCAATCACACCGCGTCATTTCTCCCCAACAATCGACTTGAGCGCACAAAGCGAATATCCTCCGCGTGGCAGCATGTACTCGGTCTGGACGCGCGCGAACGCCGTGTTCTTCACGTCGCTGATGGCGCTGGCCATCATGTGCACGCTCACGGCCATCAGCACGTTCCTGCACGAGCCGGCGCCGGTCGTGCGGCGCCTGGAGCTGACCAAGATCCACTCGCTGCGCAACTACCGGGACAAGGCGGACCGCGCCACGCTCTCGTTCGACCTGGACGCCGGTGCGTTCTCTCTACTGTAAGTAAGTTAACTGTCCATCTGTGGCTAAAGGTGTGGTATCTGTATGCGTGTCCAGACCTGAGCTCCGTGTTCAACTGGAACGTCAAGCAGCTCTTCGTGTACGTGATGGCTGAGTTCGAGAGCGCCAGCAACTCGCGCAACCAGGTGGTGATCTGGGACAAGATCGTGCAGACCAAGGAGGCCGCCAGCCTGCTGCAGTTCGAGGACGAGGGCGTCAAGTACTTCCTGGCCGACCAGCACGACGAGCTGCGCGGCGCCAACGTGACGCTCAGCCTCGAGTGGGACATCATGCCCGTGTGCGGCCGCCTCTTCGTGCACTCGAGCGACAACAAGGCCAACTTCCTGCTGCCGGAAAAGTACCAGGGCAAGGCGCCCAAAGGCGGCGGCCGCTTCTAGACGATAACGGGACGGGAGGAGGTTGGAGGCTCTTCTAGATGACAGTCGCTAAACTAACTTGTTTCTCTTCCTCGAAAGCGCATTCATGTGTCTAGCAGTGAAGGTAATTTATCTTCGCTTTGCTGATCTCACTCCTTTTATTCTACTTAGTGGGTCATTTGTTCTCGAAGCGAGCGCGCAGAGCTGCTACGCCTGACAGTGTCGTTTCCGGCTTCTTCTCCGGTGTGGGAGGGTCTCTGGACGCATTAGCTGATGCAGAAGCCGATTCGGTTGCGTCGCTTTGAGCGCGTGTCAGCGCTACGAAGTTGATGTTGCCGCTGCTGTTCTCCTTGCGTCTCTGCTTCATTCGAGCGGCGATCGTTTTGATCTGGTCCATGCCTGAGGCAGCGCTTGCTGCAGAGCGACTGCTGTTGAATGCCTGCTCATTCTCGGCCCTTAGCACGGACGTGTCGATGCTGGCAACGGACCGCGCCTTGTGAAGCTTCCTGTGTCGTCTCCTCTCGGATTTAGCATTGCCGTTCTCGTCCGTAGCGAACACGTGATCCTGCCTCAAGCTGTGAAGGTTGGTTCTGTGTGTGGGTGGTAGATACCCGGCCTCTTCCCGAGCTGCCACGAACACGTTGTCTGTCGAACGGGGTCGTAGCAGGATCGGGACCGACGATGGCGGAGGAGGACCCGGAGGTAGCGGTGGCTGCTTCTGCTCCGACTTTGCTGATACTGCAGCTGTTGCAGTGGACGCGGCCGCGTTCGCTTCCTCCTCGTGGATGCGGAGACTGAGAGGGATACTGCGCGCGAGCCGCAATTGATCGTTATGTTTGCGCGAATTCTTGCGCCGCTTCATCAGTTTATCCTTGTGTTTATCACTTGCGTCGGACCCGTCATCGTCAATGCCCAGGATCGACGGGGTGGGCTCCTCGCCTGCGGCCGTTGAGGCGGGGGCTGACGCTCCAAACAAGTTTTCCCAGGACTCGTCGCCCTCTTCACCAACAACAGTCGACGCGATTATCTTCATCTCTTCCAGATCGCGCAAGCTACCGACATAAGAAGCCGTGGTTGAGCCCTCTATAACAGTCGTTGCGTTGGATGCACTTGACTCTCCACGTCCTCGGCCAAACTTCGACACGCTTCCATCAGCCCCAACACCACTAATGCCACCACCACTCGAGAACGATGACCAGTCCGGCAACGTAAATGAGGTGAATTGAACGTCAGCCGTTCGCGCAGCAGGAACCCTGCTGATGCCGCGGTCGGACATTTCACTATCGCGCTCTGATGGACATTGCCAGTCATCGTCTCCCAGCCCCATAGGCTCTTCTCGCTTCTCCTCATATTCGTCTTCTTGCGATGCTTCCAGAGCCATACCTTGAACTGAGGCTAGTAGACTGATGCGCTGATCCTCGCCCAGTTCGTAGGCAAAACACACGTTACGCGCGTACTGAAGTAGCTGTCGCCGCGTAAAGCCAAAGCTAGAAAGGTGATACAAGTAGGCAGACACTTGGCCGTAGACGACATTATGCAGCTCCAATACCTTTTGAGCACGCTCAGGGTCAGCCAGGAAGTACCACGGAGTGTCCATCGACGTCTTGCTAACCTCCTCCGCCACACTTTCCAGCAAAGCATCTCCCCAGAATGAAGCAACCCGCCAAGCCGCATGGTCCTTTAGCGCTGCATGAAGATACTCTTGTCCATCCTTGCTGGTCTTGCGGTAAAAAGTCTGCAGCATGTTCATGACGTGCTTCGTAGTACGTGTGTCGTGTTGAGCCACACAGGCGTCTAGCAGCAAGCGCAAAGCTGCCGAAAGTCGAGAGAAACCTTCGCGCGTGAGTTCACGATCGTGTGCTCGTTGATGCGTGAGGCAATCCAGTATCACACGACGGACAACTTGAAGGCGATACATGGACTGTGTGGCTGAAGCGGAGGCGTCTGTGAACTTGGCGCGGTGCTTTGACGAAGGACCAGCGCTGCCTGACGAGGTCGACGTAGCTGAAGGAAGGAGTGCTGCTTCGGGTTCTACAAAGCAGCTTGAGACAAAATCCTTGATAACCTCAACGTCCTTCTCAGACACACCCGAGGCCTTCAGCTTCGCGACATCTTCTTGGGATCCCGCAACCGCCAAATAGCTGGCCGGCTCGGCAGCTTGCCGCGATTGCTGTTCGTACCGCCAAGACACTCGGTGCCACTCCATCAGACTCAGAGCCTTAGCGTGTCGATGCGTGAGTTCAGGCGCCATACTATCCACAATATACTGTTGCACAACTGAGTCACGGTCCATCGCTTTCAGTGTGCGCTGCAGGTCGGCCATAGCCTCAATCTCCGCCTGTAAGATCGCCACTTTGGTCTCGACGAACTGCTCGATGACAATGAGCAGCGTATCCAATCGATCTTCCTCCACGCTCTGTGAGAGCTCAGACGCTTCTTCGACGACTTCATCTCGCCTCGCAATCGCGCTCAGCAGCATGGTCCTCGCGTCGTCGTATTCTGCGCCAGCCGCTTCATCTTCCCCAAAGGCGTTAGAGAACCGGTACTGCGCTAGCTGGAACGCGCGTTTAACCTCCGGGTTGTTCGGCTGCACTTGGTAGGTAGCTTCATTGGCCTCCAGCACGTTCTTCCAGTGCGCCAGCTCGTCGGCAGCTCGCGATACGCGAAGTCTGGCCTTGTCCATCTTCTTCTCCGCTGCCTGCACGTCCGTCACGCAGCGCTGCACCAAGTTGTACACGTCTCGCGCCCAGCGCTTCGACTTGCCCGAGTTCTCCAGCGGCTTGGTCATATCCAGGTACGCCTTGCTGGCAGCTAGGTGCTTGTTGCCCAGCACCTGGTTGTACGTGCGCATCTGCGTGAAGAACTCCTGGAAGCACGACTGCGCCACCTCCTGCGGCTGCAGCGCCGGCAGACACGCGTCGCTGAGGTGGCTCTGCGCCACCATGTGCTGCGTGGCCGACGCCGCCTTCAGGTACTTGCGCAGCTGCTTGCGCACCTTGACGCCGCTCTCCACGCGCTCGCTGGCGCGCACGAACGGCACCTGGCGGAAGGACGGCGCGCCCGAGCCGCCGTGCGCGGGCGTGGGGCGCTCGCCCAGCATGTAGGGCGGCGCGGGCACCATCGTGGTCGCCATGGCGGAGCTGGAGCTGCTGGAGCCGAAGGAGCAGAAGGAGCCGAAGGAGCCGACGGAGCTTACAGAAGTTGGACTGAGGCTGCGCGGGCGGCGACGTCGCAGCCGCCGAGGAGCCAGAAGCGCGAGCGACGCGGAAGGCAGCAGCCGTCGAGGGGCAGACTCGCTGCTGTCCGAGTCGGACGAGGCGAAGCGCGCGGGGGGAGTCGCGTCAGCCGCGGAGCTGCTGCGCCGGCGTCGTCGCCGCTTGAGTCCGGGCAGTCCGGGTAGAGCGCGTATGCGAGTAGAGAGGGGGCGCATATGGCAACGTACCTAAGAGGGGCTCTTAGAGTCGGCCGGCCCCGGTGAAGAGATGCGAGCAGCTCTCTCACTTGAAGACGAGCTCTGGCTGGGGAGCCGCCCAGCGCGCGAATGCCATGCAATGCTGCGTGCATGGAGAGCCCCGGGCGTGGACCGTTTGCGTGTCGTGCATTGTGCGGTTGTGGCGAAGTGACCGACCGGCAAAGCGTGACAGTGAGCACCCAGCCAGCTGGGCATGGCTGTACCGGCATTTGCAGGCTTTGAGAGAGCGAACGACCTGGAGCTGCATGGCAACGCTCGCCTCTCTGCGATGTCTTGGTGCTCCAGGCAATGGCGCAAGGATCGAGGATGCTGAACTACACTTGCCTGTAATCATTTGGTCGCGATGCCCTCGGTTGCCGATTGTGCTACCCTACGAAGGTCCAGGTGGATGCCAGGAGAGCGAAGATTGAAGTAGTAGTTATGCCATTTCCACGATCTTGCCTACCTGCACAACAAAAATAACGATCTATTCGCAGTGTAGGAATGTCGTTATGCCTGTATTCGTCTGTCGCCTTATTGCTTGCACTCGCCCAGTGCGAGCTCTTGTGTTCATTCACCGCGAGCTTTCGCCGAGTGTGCACCGCACGGCGTCCAGAACGCAGCAGCATGGTAAACTGGGTTGCACGCCTAATCCTGGCGCGACTGCAGCTTCTTCGACGTGATGCCCTTGGGTGTGATGATGTGCACAACAGCGCCCCAGCCGGAGAGCGCGTCGCGGTTGCAGGCCGACAGCAGACACTGCGAGAGCGTCTCGAACAGGTCCTCCTCCTCCATGTCGGGCTTGTACATGGACTCGCACATGCCGTAGAGCGCCTCCTCCATGGTGCCGGCCACCACAAAGTCCTTGGTCATCATCTCGCAGCCCAGGCAGTCCATGCTGGAGAGGAAGGGCTTGTTGTCTTCTGTGAGGCCGGCGATCACGGGCTCCACGAACCAGGGGCCGAACCGCTTCTCGTACATCATGGACGACAGCAGCGCGCTCAGCGTCTTGGGCTTGATCTCGCGCTCCTCGTTCATCTTGTACATGTTGAGCTTGAACTTGAGCAGCTGCGAGACGGACTGCACGTCCGTGGCGAGGCCCGCCAGACCCAGAAACGTCTTGTCCGTCACGCGGAACACCTTCTGGAAGTCCATGGCCACGGTCTGCGCCTGCATGCCTAGTCTGGTGTCGCTGTCAACGCGCGTAGCAGCAGTAGGTTAGTCACCGCACTGTCCGAAATGCATTGCTGAAGAGCCTAAGACCCAGTAATAAGCAAAGCAGCCAGCGAGCGTACCATGCGATACCGACGCAATCTTTGCCCGCCATGGCGATGATCGCCGCGCCGTTGTAGGACAGGATGGACTGCAGGGCGACGGAGTAACAGGTACACAACAAGCGGATGGGTTAGTCCTCCATTCGGACAGCTAGATTAGGGGTCGCGCAGGCCCACACGCGATGCACACAGCCAGCCACGCACCATGATGTCGGTCTGCTTCCTCGCGTAAGATTTCTCTTCTTGAAAAGAGGGGGAGCCTCGATCTTTAGTGCTAATGTTGCGCAACATTACCCATTTCAGGTGTCGCACACAAGCAACTCATCGTGCGGCACTTGTCGATCTCATGGGGCGGAGACGCTCGAGCCGCGCTGAGGAGGAGGACGCGGAGCCGCCCGCGGCCGCGCCGGCTCCGCAGACGCCGCTGCCGTGGGGCATGGAGAAGACGGAGATGCAGCCCAGCTCGCTGACGGCGCTCACGGACGACAAGCTGGCGCGCTTCGTGCTGGGCCACCAGAAGAAGACCAAGTTCCAGAAGGTGTTGCGGCGGCGCGCCCTGCTCGATGGAGGTCCTCTAACTCACTGACGACGCCGGTAACCTGCAGGAGCGCGAAGACCGCGAGGCCAAGAAGCGGCAGGCGGACGAGGAGGCCGCCAAGATCTACGCGACGTTCGTGGCGTCCTTCGACAACGAGGACGAGACCAAGGGCAAGGCGTTCGTGCGGGGCGGCACGCAGGAGAGCGGCCGCCAGTCGGCCGGACTGAGCGGGGATGTGTACAGACTGAGGGCGAAGGATCCGCCGTCGGCGGCCACAGCGGCGGCGGCGGGCAAAAAGGTGTCGGAGATGGACAAAATGCTGCAGGAGATCAAGCAGAAGGACGCGGAGCACCGCGAGCAGCTTCAGACGACGCAGAAGCAAAAAAAACGGCGAGCGATCGACGAGTTCCTGGAGGAAATGAAGGAGCGAGGCCCAGCACCTGTCTCGGTGGAGGGGGCGGCCATGACGAAGGGGTCGTTCGACACCGGCGACCCGGAGACGACGAATTTGTACGTGGGCAATTTGGCGCCGACGGTCACGGAGGAAGTGCTGGAGGTACGTTGCCTGAGGAAGTGGATGTTTGGTGCAGGTTGAGGAGGACGCTGATGCCAGATGTGTTCTCCCTTGCTTCTTGTGTGTGTGCAGAAAGAGTTTGGTCGCTATGGCGACGTGTACTCGGTCAAGATCATGTGGCCGCGGTCGGAGGAGGAGCGTGCGCGTAGGCGCAACTGCGGCTTCGTAAGCTTCTATGAGCGGCGTGATGCTGATGACGCCCGTGTTAATCTCGACAACAAGGAGGTGAGTGCTTTTCGATAATGTGGCCAGGATCCATTCTAACCTTTTAACGTTATTGTAGTTGGAAGGTCAGCCGATAATCGTTGGCTGGGGCAAAGCTGTTAAAATTCAGCCTCGAGCTCGTGCGCCGGGGGTGTTGCTCCCATCTCCTGTGACCCCACCGTCGGTCACTACCCCTACCATTCCTTCGGCTAATGTCGGAATGCGGACAATTACAGTCGAGATACCTGCCGATGGATCAGTGAAGCGGCGCGTGGATCGCCTCGCTCGTTACGTGGCAGCGGATGGACTACAGTTCGAAAATGCTGTCCGCATGCGCGAGGCCAACAACAAGGCCGACTACGGATTTTTGTTTGAGCCGCAATCGCCTTTAGCACTTTACTACCGGTGGCGAGTCTACTCCTTCGCGATGGGAGACGATGAATATTCGTGGCGTGAGAACCCGTTTCAGATGACAGCCGATGGTCCTATATGGGTGCCACCGAAATCATCTTCTCGAGGGAGTAGAAGGCAAGATTCGTCCTCTCGATCGTCTGGACGGACCAGTTTCCGCGAGAGAAGCTCCGTATCACCCCGGCGACGCTACAGTAGAAGTCGAAGCTCTAGTCGCAGCAGGTCACGAAGCCCAAGTTCAAGTCCCAGGAGAACTCATCGGCGACGGGGTGGAGATCGCCATCGTTCTCGAAGTAGCTCAGCAAGCTCTGATGATAGCCGGGATGATCGAAGAGGCCGTCGGCACAGATACCGCAGTAGAAGCAGAAGTCGAACCCGTGGCCATCGCAGCAGGTCGTGGTCCTCTGAGGATTCAAGCCCGCGGAAGCATCGTCATCGCTCGCGCTCACGTTCTCGTCGGGAAGACCGACGTCACAGAGACAACTCGCAGGATAGAAGCCGAGATAGAAGACATTTTGACAGTCGGACTACCCGTGAATCCACTATCGTGGTCAAAGATCAAAAGCTGCTGACTGGCCAACAACTGGCACGCGCACGCGACTTGGAGCGAGGACGGGAACGCAACCGACTGTCCAATGAGGATTATGACGATTTCAAGGAATTGCTCAGCGAGCTGACCCTGGAAAGAGAATCCGTCAAGAAAACGATGGGTTTCGCACTCGACAATTCAGAGGCAGCGGTGGATCTCGTCAACGTTATTCTAGAGTCTTTCAAGAGCTCTTCAGCTTCTGGCGTCACGCTAGTTGGGCTGCTGTACGTGACATCCGACATTTTACACAACAGCTCAGCTGCCGTGAAAAATGCATCGCTCTTCCGCACAACATTCCAAGAGTGCCTGCCAGAGATTATGGACACTTTGCATGTTGCGCACAAGAGCATCGTCGGTCGTATGTCTGCCAACGCCATGAAGGACAAAGTGATGAATGTGCTGAACGCGTGGGAAAGCTGGAGTCTGTTCCCACCGGCCGTATTGGTGGGGCTTCATGCTACTTTCCTCCGAAAGGTGGAAGAGGACGAGTACATCGCCACACACAGCCTGACGTTTGAGGGTATTGGAGAAGCGGATCTGGAGCGACTACGCAAAACATGCCGACAATCTGGAATTTTGGCCTCAGGCGACGTGAATCAGTTGGCAGCTCGTCTCCACTGGCTGAGAGAGTTCACGTCTCCAACTGCTACCAGTGCACCAGCGCCGGCGATGGCTATCAAGAAGCCCAGCTCCCAATTTACCAGCAACTTCGTCTCCGCAGATGAACCAAGGATTGACACAACGGACGCGGCAGAGCGAAAGTCTGAGAAGGTGGGCGAAGAAGATAAAGAAAATCTAGATGGCGAACCGATTGATGAGGAGGACTTAGACGGAGACCCTATGGACGAGCAGCCGAGTTCTGAGCGTAGCAACGATGTCGACGGGGAGCCGATGGATGACGAAGCGCTGGATGGCGAACCACTTGACGGCGATGTAGTTGACGATGCGCTAGATGGAGAACCTCTCGACGACGAAGATTTGGATGGGGCCCCTATGGATGAAGATGATTTGGACGGGGAGCCGATCTAATCTCCTGTGATTTTTAGGTGTTGTGCCGCTTGCAACATTACACGTAAGAGATTATGCGAGCTGTTCGGATAGCTCAATCAAGTCCATGGCGTCATAGTCCACGAAGTCAAGGTGTCGCTCTTGTTCTTGCTGCCACTCTGTTTCATTTGCGTTGGACGCATCGACGCAATTGTCACCTTGGTCGCTGAGTTGTTGAAGACAAAGCAGGTTAGTCATGGACACACGACGCATGTTGAAGTCGTTGTCATGCAAAGAAGGACACGGTACATTTCGGTGGGGGCCTTCGTGGGTATGACGGCTTCAGCCGATGGAGGAGCTCGTCCTTCCCGCAATAATGTAACCTGGAGGGTGCGAAGGTGCGTCTCGCGCTGCTGTGGGGCATGTTAAGGAGGACTACAATGTGGCCAATATCACGGTAGAATGTATGCAATGCGAAGTGCATGTCTAAAAGGATATTGCAAAGGAGGTGGAGCTGTTGCAGCTTCTGGAGGGCGTGGACGTCTCCTTGGTAGACTTGCAGCGGCGTCAGCTTTTCGACCACCTAAAGCAAGGGCGATTGATTAGATCCCATAGTTGGGTGGGCTCGAAGTATACGATGCCCTGCTGCGTACCTCGTTCACCTTTGTCCACACCTGGCAGCGATCCGCGAGAACCTGTTCCAGGGTGGTGTCCTTCGAGTCCAGCTCCGCCAAGGAATGAGATGAAAATACCGGCTTAACCGGCCCCGGGAGGCAATCAGCTAGCGTTGGCGCGTTCTCCAGCGACATACTGGGGTGAAACTCGACGAATCCTCTTGCTGCCGTAGTCAAGCTTGCAGCAGGAGCATTGCCCCGGCCCCGCGTGCTGACCGAGGACTTCCGAGCCATCATTGCCTCGTTCGCTGCGATCACTAATGCGAAAGCGACGTGGAGCCGTTACTCACCTCAAGGTGCTGCGAACAAATATTAGCCCGAAGTATGCAAAGTATAGGGAAGCATACATTAGCCTCCACTGCATATCCTGCAGTGCACACACCCGTTTCTGAAGTTGCGTGTGTTGCCATCCCACGCTTTAGCAGTTGTCTACATCCTGCCTTTCGATCGACCGCCACGATTTGTAGCACGACACCATTGCTGCAGACGCAGCCACACATGGAGCTTAATCGATGCGTAATGGCGCGTTAGTACTGTAAAGGTCCGCCCCGAAGTCACCGCCGAGCTGCTGACCCGATCGGCCACGGACACTTCTCTTGTCAGAGCGTAACGGGGTCTGGCACGTTTCCTCCGCGCCTCGAAGGCACATGTCCTGCGAAAATGGGCACGCGCTGCAGGGCACACCCGCCACATGGGCGCTGTAGCGTTTGACTTTGAGTCAGCGTGGCGCGATCCCGGGATCGGCAGGGGCCCTGTCCAGAGCTCGAAAGAGCTCTGGACAGGTAGCGGCGCAGCTTGAAGCTACACGGCCATGCCACGAAGCCCTGCCATGCTCGCCGTTGCACACGAAGTCTCACCTGACAGCGAGGAGCCATCGAGAAGCAAGACCTGCTAGCCATTGGCCCAATGGCTAGTGCACTCCGATTACAGTACGAGAAGCACGAGGTCATTGGGCTCCGCTGCGGACTCCGCACTCCGCAGTGCGGAGTGCCCCCGCAACGTGAAGGCGACTGATAATTGCGTGCGTGATTGGCATGGACGATCCGCGTGCACGCAGCGTGGGGCTCCCGCGCTCGAAAGAATGCGACGACCGTCTTGAGGCCGCAGCCGTTTCCGGCTCACCTCGATCGTGTGCCCGGCCGCCAAGAACTGCGAGCGCCCCGCAGCCGCATGTCCACGACAGTCGCTGCTGCTGCGCAGACAAGCTGGCGTATTAAAAACCCCTATATAGGCGAGAATTGCCGTGCAGCAAGTGGCCGCAGCGTTTCATGTGCATTTCGTCGATCGCCGGCACCATCTGGCCCGGTCGCGTCGTGGGGTTGCGCCTTCTCTTGGTGGGAATGGGGCACTTGGCTTTTACCCGACCGACTCTCTCGGCCGCCCTCCCTCGCCTTTCATTCCGGCCGCGGCGCGCAGAACTTTCGCTCTGGTCAAGGCGCCCGCACTCGCGTCACAAGCACTCACTCCGCTTCGCCGGAGTATCAACCAGCCCCTTCTCACTTGGACGGACGGGAGGACGGAAGGGTAGGTAGACTGACAAGCAGGCAGGCAGGTACTGGAAGACACACACGCACACATGGGCGTGAGAAGACTCGGCGCGCTGCTGCTGCTGCTGGCGCTGTGCGTGCTGGCGCTCGTCATGGCGCAGGACACGACAAGCAACTCTACCACCTCCACCACGACGGCGGCATCTTCGGACGCTGCTGACACTGACAGCTCGTCCGACACGGCCACGACTGCAACGATGGCGCCGGCTACGACGACTGCCACGCCTGCCACGACGACTAAGACGCCCACGACGACGACCAAGACGCCTACTACGACGACTAAGACCCCCACAGCCACTACGCAGACACCTACTGCGACTACTGAAGCTCCGACAGCGACGACCGAGGCACCGACAGCTACTACTGCGGCGCCTGCTGCCACGACGGCGGCCCCCTCGGCCACGACGGAGGCTCCTACTACGTCGACCGCTACGTCGGGATCGACGGACACCACGTCATCCGCTGCGCTGGACTCGTCCGCGACAACTTCCATCTACGGTACGGCGGCGCCCAGCAGCTCCGGCGGCTCGATGAGCGCCGCCAACGGCAGCTCGAGCACGTCCAGTTCGTCCAGCTGGATCGTGCCGGTCGTGGTGGCCGCCGTGGTGGTGCTGGCGCTGGTCGTCATCACCTTCTACGTGCGTACCCGCAAGCGCGAGGACCTGGACCTGGACCGCCAGAGCGACATCTTCTTTGAGGCCCCGCGCTCGAACACGAACAACTACGCCAACGCCGCCGGCACGGGCGGCGTGTCGGCCGAGGAGCGCGCGCAGAAGGAGGTGGTGATGGCCATGCGCAAGGAGTCGGCGGTGACGGCCGCGCCGGCGGCCATCCCGTCCTCGGCGTCCAAGATGCGCAGCGACTCGGTGACCGGCGCCGCGCCGCTGCAGACGCGCAACCGCCAGGACTCGGTGCCCATTCTGGCGGAGCGGCCAGAAGCGCCTGAGCCGCGCTTCACGCTGCAGCAGCAGGTTGAGCTGGAGCAGTCACAGCACTCGATGCGCGTGGCCGGCGTGCCGCGCTCCCCGCAGGCGATGGTGAGCCCCGTCGGGTACGAGCCGGGCACCTCGTTCGACCCCGGACACTCGTACGAGCCGTCGCACCCGGCGCCGGGCGCGTCCGTGCCGGGCGTGACGCTGTAAGAGGCGTGTGCTAGCAGACTACTGTGGGGGAGGAGGCGGCGCGGTTGCAGTAGAAGGCGGGGTTGCGCCGGCGTGCCTTGTACACTCTTTTTTTGCTCCTAGACGCGTGGCGGCGGTGCCGCGCTGCTCCCTCGATAGCTTTAATGAACCATACCTAAATCCGACCAAGTGGTGATCAAGCACTTGATCAGAGAGTGGATCAAGTTGCTTTGTTTTTCATGTGCAGCCAGAATGGCATCAAAGCACAGGCTGCCTTGTGTCCTTGCAAAGCTGGAAACAATTATTGCTATGCAAACGCCGTCGCTACAATCTTGAAAGACCAAACTGCTGAAATGACAAGCAGGTTCTCATTGTACGAACTATCTCCACCTCTTGAACTCTAGGTGTTAAAAAAAATCAAAACAAGACAACATATCGGCATGTCCGCGTGGCCTAATGGATAAGGCATCGCCCTCCGAAGGCGGGGATTGGGGGTTCGAGTCCCCTCGAGGACGATCTTTTGTATAGGGCTTGTCCCTGCACTTGAACAAAGCACTGGAATCAAAAAGATTGACTTGGCTCGGCGTTGAGATCGTGAGTACTTGTATTTGTAAGCACTCCTATCCGTGGATCTATCTAGCCATGGGTACCCATAGAATACTTGAACCCACCACCACAATATACGAGGAATTAGATCGCTCTAGCAGACATGCATTTCATGCAGGGCTCTCCCACAATTCAGGCCCTGAATTGTGGGAGAGCCCTAAAAAGAATACAAACCCTGAAATCCAGTGTTTGTATTCTTTTTAGAAATGGAAAATATCAACAGTTTACGTTGACGCAGCTTGGGCTAGGCGCGCTACTTCTCGTGCCTTCTTCTCGTCAAGCGTTGGGTCAACGCGCATGAGTGCCTCCCATAATTCCAATTTCTGGGCACGTCTAGCTGCTAAGAACTGGATGCGTGGGTGACCACCAGAAAAAACAAAGATCATCAGTGAGTGAAACTACAGCAGTAATCGACCAGCCACTCAAGATCAACGTACCCGCTCGGTGCCTCGCAAGGAGGTATACTGGAATGAAATCCGGTCCTGGACAATGCGTTCAGTCTCACGCTTCTTCTGCAAAATTTGTTCCTGCAAAGCAAGTAATTGCTGCTTGTATATCGACGTCGATGCCGTCATGGGCACCTTCAAAGCGTCCAAGCTGTACATTGACGACCCGAAAGTTGATGCTACTGGAGGAGGAGGTGGAGTTGGTGGTAGCTCGCGCTGACCGCAAGCAGCTTCAGGTTCACTTGGAGACACTTGATCTTTCCGGTTTGGAGGCGCTGGGGCTGGTGAAGCAGCGAGCAAATTGTGCATGCCATCTGGGACCAGATCTGTTTGAATAGCGGCGTGGTTTCCAGTGAATTGAGTACTGGCGTCCCGCATCTCTACTCGTTTTCCTTCATCGAGCTCGAAAGCCCTAACGATGGTCACGCGTGGACGCGTCGGCGGGGCGACCTCCTCGAGTTCTGCTTCAGGCGGGGGATCCGACTTTTCTTGGACCATTGGGGCACTGGGGGTACTGGGAGCTGGAGCTACGCTGTCATCCTTTTCATCGCCTGAATCATCGCACGCTGGTGACGCATTTTCCTGTCGTACATTGTCGTCTTCATTTGTACTCGAGCTAACAGGATGAGGAGGTACTGCTCTCATCGAGTCCTCCTCATATGCTTCTTCTCCGTAAACCCCACTTTCAGACTCGAGTGTCTCGCCCGCAATGCATGCAGAGGCGCCGAGGCTCGAGTGGAGTTTAGGCTGTGGAGTGTCTGCTGTCGGGGAATCGGTACGAGAATCGTCGGGCAGATTTGGTAGAGAGGGTTTTTCGTCGTCGAGATAGTTGCTTGAATTGTAATCCTCCTGCTGTATATCGTTGTCTTTGATCGCACTTGAGCTAATGGTAGGAGCTGGTATCGCTACTGTTGATTCCTCCTCAAACATTTCCTCTTCGTAAACCCCGCTTTCAGACGCTGCTGACTGGCCCACCCTCGCTGAAGTAAAACTAGGAGCGCCCAGGCTCGGTTGAAGATCCAACTTGTGGTCAACGACGCTATTATGACTTAGACCAAGACTCTCCTCCTGGAATGAGTCATCGTACACATCGACGCTGTCTTCGTGCTCTTGGTAAGCTGGTTTGGGCAACGTGATCTTGGCTGTTTCTGCCGCAGATACTGACGTGCTACTGTGAAAAGATTCGATGCTGTCACCAAGCTCACTTCCGTTGCTGCTGTGTTCATCATCGCGAGTCGCTATCGCTGGAACCGCCACTGAATGAGTCGTATATGCAGGAGACTCAATGCTGTTTTGACTGCTCTCTCCATTTACATCTTCGCGGTGACTCGCAATCTTTTCATGACTCTTTTCATGGACACTGTGCCATTCAGAACTCTGGAGCGAAGCGCTATCTTGCTCATTCATCACCGGCACACTGCTCAATTTCGTGGGAGGCGCTAACTTTCCTGCTTCATCGTCACCAGAAGAAGATTCCACAGAGAAATCATCATCATCATCTAGGTCCATGCGAAGACGAGAGCTGCGAAACGAAATTCTTTTAGATGATAACAAGATTAAAATACTCGAGTTCGCTTTCTTACCTAGCTGGCAGGTTTGACTTACTACCTGTTGCTGCACCTGAGTATTTGGACAAAAAGCTTTTGGCTTTATCCAGAACGCTCCCCGACGATGACGCAGCAGCAGCAGTCGCAGCAAACTTCGGCTCGTTAAACCTCTTAGATGTCCGGGAGAAGTTTGATTCCGCTCGATCTTGTTGTTCATGATCGGTTCCTTGTTCGCTCTCGACTTCGCTGCTGATGCCACTCATGCTGCTGAGACCCCCGCTAGCACCACTGGCGTCGTCGTCACTGTCACTGCTGCTGCCACGCTTTCTGGTTGATCTGTTAGCAGTGTTCGAAGCTGTAGGCAACGCGATCTCGAAGTCATAAGGATCGTCGCCCATTGTTACGAACACGAGGCACTAGCGTCGGTTCGAGCACTGTAAAAGATAGCAGTTTCACTTATCCAATGCAACCAATACACAGAAACTATGGATTCAGCTAATTGTTCGCAAATTTTGGCCGGGGAGTTTGGACCTCGGGATCAACTGAAGAGCTCGTTTGAGCAGAATGTAAGTGACGCAGTTTTTGAATGCGAAACAGTGGAGATCGCCACACCTGACGGCGTCAGTAGCAACTCTTGCACGATAGCCTTAGCTGGTCCGACGGGAAAGTGGTGATGTTTTGCTGTTTGAAAGTGGAACTGTAGATTCATATTCGTGCAACTGCTGTGGTCATCTTCTACGGTAAGCAATCCCAACTTGAAGCTGTGGGGCTTTACATGAGAACAATGAATGCGCGGACAGTCAGAACATGTACTTGGTCAGAAGGGCAATTTGTAGAGTTTGCGAATCCCAGTGCCGACGCGCTCGACATCATGCTATCTTCTTGCATTCACTGCTGCAGGCACTTGACCTACAACATGTGATGCTCGTTTGGGCCAAACAGCTCGTCATCCCCAAGGTGCAAACTTCAATCTGGTTCGCTGGGGCCTGGCATTCAAACGTGCATGGGGGTTCCCGTAGACCGCAACTATTCGCCCGCACTAGCTCAATCACAAGCACTTGGCAACTCCTCAGTGAGGAGTCCTCACTCCCGAATTGGATCGATCAAGCGCACTCGCTCCACCTTCGCACTCTTCAAGCTTCGGCATGGTCTCTCTCATCTCCTCGGTGACGGCTGCTGCCTTCGCTGCTGCTGCTAGTTTCCTTGCAATCTCGGCCGACGCCGCCTTTGCGGCATGCGCTACTGCCCCTAGCAGCCCTGGTGATCGTCGCCCCAACAAGTCGCAGCTGAAGGTGGCTACGTTCAACGCCGAGTTCCTGTTCCTCGGAACTGAGACCCACACGCTCGTATGTCCCGGAGAGGATTGCAGCTGGACCACGGCCGCCCAAGCTCAAAGCCACGTGAAGCAGGTCGCAACTGTAGTCAAGGCACTGAACGCTGACATCCTCCAGCTCAATGAAGTGGAAGACTGCACGGTGCTGGAAGCGGTGATCACTCAACTTAAGACCCTGGGAGATTCCACCTACGTGGGCTACCTCGTGCGCGGCACTGACACGTCTACGGGGCAGAACGCGGCTCTGTTGACACGCGTGGATCCTGTTGTTGACCTGAAACGCTCAACAGCTACAGCTTCGATCCCCGTGTCCGGATCAACGTGTCCGAGCGCAAGCGGCTTCTCCAGCACCAAGGGCGTGTCGAAGCACTTTTACACCACCTTCAACGTGTCGGGGTTCTCGAAGCCGATCACGTTGGTAGGCGCCCACTTACTTGCCAACCCAGAGAACAAGGCCCGGTGCTATGAACGTGAAGCCCAGGCCACGGTGCTCGCTGGTCTAGCCAGCGCTGCTGTCAGCCAGGGAAACCACGCCATTATCACGGGGGACATGAACGATTGGTCTTACACGGTGCCTGACAAGAACAGCAACAAACCCATCAGTGCTGTGCTCAGCATCTTGACCGGCAGCAACTTCGTCCAAGTGGCCAGCAAGGTTTCGCAGTCTGATCGCTACTCGCAGTGGTACGACGAAGACAACGACTGCGTCTACGAGACGACTGAAGTGAGCAGCCTGGACCACATTTTGGTCTCCAAATCGCTTTCGTCAGCGATTTCCAGTGTCTCGTTCAACCACGACTTGTACACCACCTCGTGCAGCGGATACAACAGCGACCACTACCCCGTGTCCATGGTCCTCAACAAGATCTAAATTAAACTAAGACCTTGTGGCGAACTGCGCAAGAAGATCACTGCAGTGGGGCAGCAATCACTGAAACAAATTACTTTGAAGAAATCAATGTTTCATCCTTGACCGCGATGCCCTCAACCCTCAGAGCAGTAGATACCTGCAACGAGTGCCAGATCCATTTGATCCCGTCGACTACCAACTCGGCCAAACCGCGGTTTTTGCTTTGTTCTTGCTGCAGCCACGCGACCACCTCCGAGTGACCAAACTTCTTGGCATCTTCCAGTGCAAGTCGTCGATACCTGCCACTGCAGCGTGCGTACAGCCACTGCACAACAGATAGATGCCCATGCTGTACCGCAGCTTGCAGGGCCAACCCCGGCCGCCCCTCGCTTCTGTTTCCGCTCAACCATTGCAACGCCTCCAAATGGCCCCGAATTGCGGCGTAGTTCATTGCGAAATCGGAGCAACCTTCAGTCCGATTCGCTTGGAGCCACTTAGCCATGGCAATGTCGCCTCGACAGATTGCCCAGTCCATCGCGTCTGCAGTGCAGCCTTCGTCTCGGTTGTTGTGAAGCCACTGAAGTGCCTGAAGATGACCGTGCCGCGCCGCTGCGTCCATGACGTTGGTTCCCCATTCGCAACTGCTGGCGTGGTTAGCGGACAACCACTTGAGTACGTGCACGTGGCCTCCTGCAGCAGCTCTGACAGCAGCGTCCTTCCAGTCAGACGTCGTTTCACGAGAGGCGATGTACGAGAGCACATGCACTGAAACACCTCGACTGCACGCGCGCTCCACTGCATCCGGACCTGACACCGTATCGAGGAAGGCGTCGATCTGACGGGCCACGTGCGGTAGAGCGCCGACGCTGTGCTTGCCCAGGCATTCGCGGCTAACGACATGAGAGACGGTTAGCACCGGAACGCCTTCAGACAGGCATAGATCGGTTGCCATGGGGTGCTGTGGCTGAGACGAAGAAGATCTTGAAATGAAAGCTAGGGCGAGTAACGTCGCGCGATCGCTTTAACTTGGACGGCTACATCGGGCTCAACTGCGACACAACGAGCAATGCAGATGGAGATATCTTGCTGGGCAATCAATCAATACCCGAGCCTTGCCCGACACCTATTCAGGATGGTGAGCCCAGCCCCCCGACTGAATCGTTGCGTACCTGCGAGAACATGTTGCTGACCATGTATGTGCCTCATGCTGATGGCAAGTGGTCTGTCATGACGGCGGATTTCGTAGCAGCATGCGGCTCTCAGGTCTCTCCCTCACAGCTACTGAAATACAAACGAAAAGTTTCTGTTGAAGATGGATACGATATCCACTCCAGAGTAAGTTAAAGCAGAAATTAAGGTCCACTTCAACTCATGCGGTGTCTGTATGGATAGAAAGGATTGATTCGCACATGACGTTGTAAGCTAAATCGAAATACACAATTGAGTCTTCTCCATTCGATCCAAGCCCTGCATATACAGCACCTAACCGTCCACGGCACGACCAATAGGGGGGAATACTTCTCCCGACCTGCTGCCTGTACTACTGATCGCCAGCTTGTCCTCCAGCGCCTTCACAGCCCGGCGTAGCTCTTCGATTTCAACTCGCTGCCTGGCAATCAGCACATCCGGATCCCCACCCACCGCTTCCAGCGCCGCAGCCAACGTCCTGCTGCCGTGGGTCTTCTCTTGGTTCATGGCTGAGGCTCCTAGACTAGCAGTCGCCATAGTAGCCCGCTCCATTTGAAGATTGTTCTTGGCAGCTATGAGGGCGCTGCGAAGGTCGTTGATCTCGCGGATGAGAAGCATATTGTCAGAGGTTGCTCGCAGATTCTCGCGCTGGTGCTCTTGCGCGTCAGCCGCATACTTGCGCTTGAGAACGTGAACTGACTTCTCCAGGTACTGCTTCTGTCGCGCATACTCGAGCTGGATTTCAGCTTCGACGTCGCCCCCAGAGCCTGCATTGGTTGAACCGAAGCCGCCGGGTCCATCGTCGGTGGTCACATACTTATTGTAAAGCTGTGCCACCTGGAGCGCCAGCTCTTTGGGTGACTGCAGGTGGCGCACGCATTCGTGTAGATCGCAGCGAAAGCGTCTCATTGACGTTTGCTGGTCGCTCAGAACTTGCCGGTGTCCTGCAATGGACTTCTGCAAAGTGTTGATGCGCTGCCGCTGCTCGCCAATGAGCACATCCAGCTGAGCGTTGCTTTTGTGGAAAAGCTCCAGCTCCTGGTCCATCTCTTTGATCTGAGCTTTCATGTCAGCGATCTCGTTCTCGCGCGGCTCGATAGCACGCTTCAACTCCTTAATTTTGTAGTCCAGCACGAACTTGAATTTCTCCAGCTCCTGGTTCTTCTTCTTGAGGTCGTAGATTCTCTTTTCTTTCTCGCCAATGGTTTCGTCGCGGGCGCGAATCTCGCGCTTTAATGCCTGGATCTCCTTCTCCAGTTGCTTGATGGCTTCGATCAGCTCTTTCTCCTTCTCAAGCAGTAGTTTGATTTGGTCGCGTTGGTCTTCGATATCCTTCTGTAGCGCAGAAAACTTTTTCTTCATGATGCCATTTTCCCCTTTAAACCGCAGCGTAGCCTCGCGTTCAGCCTGTAACTTATCTTCGTACTTCGTTTTGAGCGCCTCGATTTCTTCGTCCACGTCGGCTTCGACCTGTGCCACGGTCTCGCGGTACTCCCGACCTAGCTCGTCCTTCTCCTCTTCCATCTGCATTCGCAGCTGACGATCTTCGTTCAACCGCTGCTCAAAATCTTCAGTGACGTCGGCCACATATTTATCGTGTGTAGTCACAAGACGCTGCTGTTCACTTTTCCAATGGAGGCACTGCGCCTCACGCTGGGTCAGCACCTCTTGGTATCGTTCAACTTCTTTCATAATCTTTTGCTGATATGTCGCCTCGGTCTCCTGCATTTGCTGCAGGTGATGCTCCTCCAGTTGCTTAATCTTTTCTTCGTACTCCATTTCAATGTCGTTCTTGTCCTCTCTGAGCAGTTCGTACTTGTTTTTCTCAAGCTCAATTTCGTGCGTGAACTTCTCCGTTAGGTCTTTCAAATTCTCGTTGTACGTCATGTCCTTGAGACGCAGCTGATACTCGTTGTGGAGCATGAGTTCGTCCACCTTGTTCTTCAGCTCGAGCATCAGCGTATTTTTCTCTTCTAGGTCGGACTTGGTCACCAGAATCTCCTCCGAAAACGCCGCCATGCTACCTCCATGACCTCCGAAGCCGTCGTGATGATAGGAGCCGCCAGCAAACCCGCCACCAACGGATGCCGCAGATAACGAAATGTCGCCGTCTTTTCCAGTAGTGCGCGTGGGGCGTCCTTCCTTATCCCGCACCTCAAAGATACACACAGCGCCATCTTCTCCTGCAGCGAAGAGAAATTGGTCATCAAATGAGACCCGCAGCCGAGTAACAGGCGCGCTTAGACACTGGAATTCTGTGGATTCGCCTGTCAGTGGGAATTTGAACGCTCGAATTGCCCCCGGCCGATCGGGCTCAGCTCCAGCACCAAACAGCAGGCGTTGTGATCCAGACAGCACGAGTTGTCCCAATGTAGCATCACACAAAAATTCTTTGGTGAGTTGAGACGACGGTACTTCAATTTCTTTGAGCAATCGATCACCCCCAACAGCGTAAATTGCGGTGCCTTCGCGATTGCAGAGTGCTGAGTAGTAGGAGACTCCTTTTTGCACGAACTCGGCTTCGCGTTTTGCCTCATCAAGGTCCCAGTGATAAACAGCACCATCAAGACCCGCAGACACGATGCTCGAATCGTCAGCATTCCAGAAGAGACTGCGCACCTTGCCGTTGTGACCTCGAAGCGTGGCAACCAACTCTCCCGTGAAGAGTGAGAAGACTTGGATGGTATTGCCATTTACTGCCGCGAAGAGATGCCCACCTGTGCTGAACTGGCATTCACGACAGGCTTTTACGGGTAGCTCCTTGAAAGAGCGGATGTCGTCCATCAGGATATTGAGCAAACGCAGTTTGTCCGCAAAGCCGACGAGCAGGTGCAGCCCAGAAGGATGGCATGCTACACTGAAAGCTTCCTCGTTGAAACGCTTGGCAACCTCGCAGGTGCGGTCGATATAATTCCAGACTCGCACTGTCCGATCTAAGCCGCAGGTCACGAGGAGAGGCTTGCGCACGCACACATCCATGCCCGTCACATGTAGCAAACCACCGGGAATACCCCCGTTAGCTCCCCCCGGTGGCCCATTGCTGGTACTTGGGTCGCTCGGCTGATGAAAACTCGTTACCACGTACTCAACATCTTCGCTCTGAGTAATTGTAGAATCCGACGTAGCTACACCCGGCACTCCACCAACGCCCGCACCACTGACAGCGATTGAAGCTGATTCGTCTACCACCGGAGCGGTAGCTGGTGTACCGGAATGCACTCCTGATGTGTGAATCTGGTACGGAAATGTGAGTAGCTGCGCATTCGAAGTGGCGACGACAATGACATCTTCGTTGGGGCTCACTGCAATAGTCGCAACGTAACCAGATCCGGTGTCGACTCGTACAAGTCGCTGAAGCGTCAAAATCTCCGATGCATCCTCTAGAAAATGGTCCTCCTGGGGTACTGGGGATGATCCAGCCTCCTCCTCGGAATGCGCATTGGGCGATGTTGCATCTCCACTGTCACTTAAAACGACACTGAACATGGCCACTGTGTTATCGCTGAGTCCACATAGCAATCCCTTGGTGGTTGCAGTCAAGCTGTTTACTGCCTTCCCAGGCCCCGGGGACGCACTGAGACGCGTGACAAACTCGCCTCCATGAAAAAGCATCAGATCCCCCGCGGCGGAGCCTGCGACTAAGTAGTCGTCACGCTGCTTCAGCCAAGCATGGGCTAGGAACACGTGGGCCTCCATGCGAGGACTTGGCAACGGGCGAAAGGCTGTTTCGAGCACTCTGAAGAAGCGGACGAGACCAGCACCCGTGACGCACACCAATCCTGCGTCAACATCGCTAAACGAGCAAGCAGAGACCTGCGGCGGGGAAGCTGTAGCTGCCGTCGCCCCCGAGTTGTTTGCACCGGATCCCATGAGGTTGGCGTCGGACGGTGACGAGCTCAAGTGAGCCATGCTGCCACTGATCGTGTGCATCGTTGACTGACCTGCAAGCGCCAGCATCGCCGAGCTTGGAGATGCATGGGGCGCCATGACATGCAGTGGAGCCTTGACGCTGGCCACAGGCTTACCTTTGGACCAATTCCAGCACGTCAGCATCCAGTCGGGGGCCCCTCCTTGTGTGAGAAGGAGTTGGTTGTCGGCGCTAAAGGCCATGCTGACGTAGCTCCGGGCTTGTGCATCGGCCGAGCTCAGCACCTTGCGCTTCTTTAGCGTCTTGAGGTCGAAAATGCTCACGAGCGCTCGTTCGCTGCGCTCAGCAACGGCCAGGAAGCGACGACTTGGGGCCAGCGCTGTGGCGGTGACGCCCTCCGAGGCTTCAGTGCCGGCGATGAACTTCTGGCGCTTGTCGTCGAGGGAGCACACCACTATCTGGTGGCCTGCGGGATATGCCACAGTTTGGTCGTCGACGAAAGCCACGTTCGAGTGGACATCGGTTTTGAGTCCGAAGATGTGGCTGTTAGGCAGACGCAAAAAGAGAGAGCAGGAGCGGTGAGCGATGTGCGCCCAGCTCGAGCGATGGAGCAGATCAAGAAGAGCATCGTACCGAGGTATGAGGTTGACCGTCGTCATGGTGGCCCTCGAGCTCACAGCCGTGTGGAGTTTCGCTTGCCGTATGTGGGGAGGCGCGCCGAAGCGGTCCGAGAACATGGCTACATCGCTGCGGTTTCATTTCCTTGAGGGCGGACCGTCAAGAACACTACATGTACCGGAGGAGCTCCAAGGCTCGCGCGTTGTCGGGCATGGTGCCGGGGATCTCTTTCGCCTCTGCTCAACATGTTGAAGCTTTGGCTGGTGGGGGGAGAAGAGGCTGCGCGGGCGCGGGAAAATGAACCGCCCAGGATCTTACCCACACTCTGGTCCAACTGCTGCTAACTCACTGCAGGCCCGAGTCGGGGGCAGGACTTACGTACACAGTCTATTTTCGGTGATATCTTGGAGTTTGTATTGGCAGCCCATCACCCCACAATGTGACGACCTTCCCGCAGGACGGATGTCATCCGCGGGAAATGGCTTTGCTTCGCTGCGCTCCTGCGATAAAAAGATTCTCTCACCTGGCGAGAACAGTGCTCGGCTCGCTGGAATGCTCGTCGCTGGGCCCGCCTCCGCAAATACCGCGCGGCCCTGCTACGCGGGCACCCCGCGCGGGTTTGCTGCGGCTACGCTCCTCGCAACCGCGAGCCTCCGTTGGTCCTCTTCTATATCACATTCACCCCCCCCTCGACCCCCATCAAAAATGACTGGGTACGTAAGCACTCTCCCGAGTCGGGGCAATCGGCACTTCCTCTCTTTGTGCGTGCCTATCGCGGTGGCAATCGCGAGACAGCTGCGGCGGAAAACACCACCAAGTGATGATATGGCAGGTCTCTGCTCGCTCAAATCCGCGCCGCCATCCTCGGACTGGATCGAGATGTATCTATCAATGCGATGTGGAGTCGCCAGTCGAGCCCTTGGCCGCGCGTTGCCATTGGCCTGCGGCCGCTACAGCTCCATCTCGTTCCCACCCCGGACATAACCCATCGAAAGATGGGCGCTGAGCGCCTGGCCTCGGCCGCCAATGTATCGGCACATCGTGCCCGCAATCCTGCGGAAGATCTCTCGATTTGGAGACGCGAGCACGTGATGGCAGCGCACCGAGAGCAGCGGAATCCGCTCGAGGCTTGAGCGCAGCTGCAGAGGCGCGGTTGATGACCAGCCTCCTCCGGACCGAAGCCTTGATATCTTCCCCCCCGCCCGGCGACAGGGAAGCGAGGAGGAAAACTCAGCTCCGCCCGCCCACTTATGCGAACGAGAAAGAGGACGGATGACACGGAAGCAGGTACACTTGAGTGTGGCAGATATGGTATCGAGTTTGTATTTCCATAGTACTATAGTGCTAATAAATATTGAGCGCCGCCGCCATCGCCTCACAGCAGCTTGGGGTTGAAGACCGCCAGCCTCCGCCGCACGAGCTCGAAGACGCCGTTGCGACGGAAGAGGCAGCAGATCTCGAAGCGGGTCTTGTTGAGCAGGAGGCGCTCCTGCTTGAGCGCGGCGGACTGGCTCTGGAGCTGCTCGAACTGCTGCTCGTGGCTCGCGCGCGCGTCGCCCAGCACCTTGAGCAGCTTCTTCTCCTCCTGGCGCTCCTCGGCCATCTCGGCGAGCGCGGCGGCCACGTCGCTCACGGTGCGCACGTTGCCGGCCTCGAGCTCGCGCACGAACTCGTCGATGTCCTCGATGCGGTCGTGGCAGTCGTCGATGTCGTCGCTGTAGGACTCGACCTCCTCCTGCTCGTCCTCGAGCGCCAGCTCCAGGTCGCCCAGCTCCATCTCCACCTGGCGCAGGCGCGCCACCGTGGCCTTGAGCACCTGCACGAGCGCGTAGTTGGTCACCTTGACGAGGCGCCGCGAGGTCTGCTTGTCCATGGCCACCTTAATCTGCATAGCTGCCTTGTGTGTGTGTGTGTGTTTCTCTCTCTCTTCCTGAGTGTGCTCCGCGCGAGGGGAATCCCAAAATGAACTAGATTGCCATCTCATCGCACTGCGGCGCAGACCAGCCGAACCGCGGCGCCGGCCTCTGCACCTCGCTGAATGAAGTGGCCCAGATTATGCGGAGCCAGGCGGTTACGAATCCAGTCGCAAAATCATGCCGCGCCGAAACGTCGCGCCCATTTTCGACCAATGAGGGCACACAGATACACCGCCATTGGCCGAAAACCAGATCCACATGCTGCATTCTGATTGGTTAATCTCCGCTTCAAAAGGCAACTTCATCCACATGCAGGTCTTCATGGCGAGACATGGCAAGCGGGTCTCGGGCCGAGACCCTCGGCGACCGAGCTCCTCCGCGATGGGTCCGCCCTGCGACTGGGCCCAAAGGCGCGGGGTCAAGCTGAGAAACTTCGATCGCGGCACTGCCGCCGATGCTGCAGCCATCGGCGATCAGTTGCTCTCGAGCCGAAGGGGTTCCGCGGTGCATCTGATCTCTGGAAGGCTGCTGGGCACGGATCACGATAGGCACTTCCCGACAAGAAAGGCTCTGCATCGTCCCTGTGGCTGCTGCTGCCGCTGCTGCGGCAACTCAGAGCGCTCTGCGTCTGACACGGCACGCCAAGGCGCAGTTTGCAACGCTCACGCCTCGGTGATGGCGCGGCGCCATTTGTCCTCCGGCTTCGGCGGCGGAGACCACGAACCCCTGCCGGCCGATGAATCTTGCAGATGGGGGCTCGCCCTGTTCGGTGAAGTCGGTCGCAGGACGAGAACAGCAGGCGAGCGCCTGACCCGGGACGGGCGAAGCAAGTTGGGCGCCGCGTCGGGATCCAAGCCAGCATGGCTGCTGCGATGGCCGAGCCGCCATGTGGGCTCGCCTGTAGTGACCGCTCTTCTCCGCTTCAGCCAACTCTCGTGACGCCCCTGCCAGCAGAAACGAGGCGATTTCGCCATATTGGACACGCACGTCACCGAAAGGCGCAGGCTGCACCCGGCACCGGCGGCGCTGGATAAGACGGTCAGCTCAGCATTGTGCCGTTGAACGAGGCCGGCCGCGATCTTCAGGATCGGCACCGCGCGGCATGGCAACGCGTTTGTCTAGCCGAGACCTGTGATTGAGTGGGGGCGGTCATGCGCTCTGCGCTGCGCGTCAACAAGCGGCGGCGATACCTGTTACATGTAGTGCACGGCTCATTCAGTTGCTGGCAGCAAGTTGATGCTGCAGCAGCAGCAGCAGCCGCCACCACCATCACTTGTTGGCAGCATTGCGTTTAAGTTTTCGAGTCCGTACTGCATCTGTTGACGTTGACAAGCAGCGCCACGTCGTGTTGACCCCCCGACGACGACTGAGGACACCCCCTACGCACTCTACGCACCAAGTGGTCCTCGGGTGCGACTTTGCTGGCCACACTCGATAATCTCGAGTGTGGCCAGCAGACATCTCGAGTCGAGATGTCTGCTCGGCGCCTAACGATTGCAGACACGGCAGAACCAAGCTACATCTACTGTATAAGTACATCTTACTAGCAGGCTGCCGACGCCATGAAGCACTTCGGTGCGCTACATTGTGCGTGACTTACATGCCGCCACAGAGAGCGCAACGCGCGACAAGGGCTAGATCGTTGAGGCGGCATTTTCCTCAACGCCGCGCACGCGGGTGGCCGCCTTGTGCCCTTGATCCCCGGCTCGTGCGGGGCGGGAGATCGATCGAGCGCGCTGCGGAAATGCGCTGAAAGCAGCAGGGGGTGGATCGTGTGGCCGCAGGCAGCAAACTTGAAGGCGCGCTGACAGCGGAGACCGAAACAGGCTTTGCAGTTGTGCCATCGCCTGCTGGCCGGCCCAGCGGGAACCCCGCCACCTTGGTGCTCTTGAAGCAGACGCTATCTCGAGCCGGGCGATCGCTTGGCGCAAACTGGAGTTGCGTTAGCCCGAAAAGCAGACGGTTGGTCAAACAGCGGATAAGAGTGCCTTTAGACATCTCGGAAAAAAACATCAACCGAAGATCTCGAGATCGAGCTTCCCGCCGCGGCTTACAAGTACTTAAGTACCTGTCCAGCGGCGCGGAAGGAGTGGTGCATGCGGAAGTTGGTGCCAGCACATGAAACTTTCAGACGAAAAACGCTTGAAACTTTCAGCATTTCCTCAGATTCCGAAAATGGTACAGAGCGTCTTGCATTTGGCGGGCGCCACTTGCTGCAAGCCTTGCACCCTCGCGGCGCGTGACTACAGTTGCAGTCACACAATCGTTAAACCTCTATCCCCGCGAGAGTTCGTCGCCAAGCGATGAGTGCTTCGACCACGGCAGGACTTACGTACACAGTCTATTTTCGGTGATATCTTGGAGTTTGTATTGGCAGCCCATCACCCCACAATGTGACGACCTTCCCGCAGGACGGATGTCATCCGCGGGAAATGGCTTTGCTTCGCTGCGCTCCTGCGATAAAAAGATTCTCTCACCTGGCGAGAACAGTGCTCGGCTCGCTGGAATGCTCGTCGCTGGGCCCGCCTCCGCAAATACCGCGCGGCCCTGCTACGCGGGCCTCCGTTGGTCCTCTTCTATATCACATTCACCCCCCCTCGACTCCCATCAAAAAAGACTGTGTACGTAAGCACTCTCCTTCGAACACTGCAGCAAGCACACCGCGTCTCCGCACAGCAAATCGTGCGTGTTCATCACGCGCAATCGCGATCGTCTCCCTACAGCGGACCGACTTGGCAAAGCGGTCAGTCTGATTTCTTGGCCGGCTCAACTCGAGCCCCTCGAGCCTCGAGGCCCTCGGGTCGAGGGGCAGCACAGGAGACCAAGGCGCAAGGATTAATGCGCATGTAGTATTCTAACGATCATAAGCGCCGTGGAACGTTACCACGTCTCGAGACTCGAGCCCGTTGCCCAGACAGCTGCTTCATTTGGTGCCTGCTAAACTTTAGCCCTTTAGCCTAAAGGGCCACTCGACTCCAGCCACCTGTTGCAGCGCGCGCCCAACGTCACTGCTGCTCCCATCGCCACCAACCGCACCGAAACAAGTCTAGCTAGACTTGTTTCGGCTAGACTTCTGGGCGATAGAAAACGTAGAGCTGCTCTAAGCGTGTCAGCTCCATCGTGGGGCGGCCAACTGCTTTGGACTATGTTTGCAGCAAAGAGCTACTGTACATACCGGTCGGATCGTTAAGCTAGTGCGGCAGGCGTACTCATTTACGAGTTCGCTGATGTAGTTGACATGCGACTGGCACGTTGGTTGAAGTCTTTCGCAGCTTGCTATCCGATTGGCTCATGTCGGTTGTACCAAATTCAAGGTACAACCACTTCTCGCGCTCAAATTGGCAGGCTGACAACACTCCGTTGAACGATGGCTACGCCCACCCGAGTGCTGACGTTCAAGGGCCACCGCGAGTCGGTGAACGCGCTGCTGTGTGAGGAGGACGTGCACCCCAATGTGTTGGCGTCTGGAAGCGACGACGGCACCTGCCGCCTGTGGGACGTGCGCACCACGCGAGTGACCAAGTGCCTGAACGTCAAGAAAGCGCTGGGCACGGACGACGAGGACGAGAGCGCCGTCAACTCGCTCGCCTTCGGCAAGGCGACCGCAGGCGCGGAGAGCGCCTACATCTACGTGGCAGCAGGTACCAAGGTGCTGACCTTCGATGTGCGGCAGCCGGCGCTAATCGTGGACTGCGCGGACCGAGAGGTGTTTCAGCAGAACGAGGAGGAGATCAACGTGCTGTATCGGCACCCCGTCAAGAACGGCAAGTTCCTGTCGGTGCCCGACGACTCGGGGGACATCTGCGTGTACGATCTGGAGAGCCACCGCCTTTTCAAGACGCTGCGCGGCCAGCACACCAACATCTGCAGCGCTGCGCCCTTCCGTCCGAACGCCCCGTGGGACCTCGTGTCGGGCGGAATGGACGGCTTACTACTCTTCTGGGACTTCTCCCGGGGTCGAGTGAAGTTTAGCATCGACCTGAACACTGGCGTGAATGGACTCCGCGACGGTGCGACTGCGGATGGGGAAGGTAGCGCTCAGCAAATGTTCAACCCGCCGCTAGTGCACTCGCTGACGTTTGCATCGAATGGCAAGTCCTTCGCAGCTGGACTGGGAGACGCCAGCATCGCAGTTGTTGACTTTGGGTCGAAGCAGATCGTGCGCCGTCTAAAGCACCATAATGCTATGGTCTCTCAGGTTCACTTCCCTGCTTTTCGCCCCCAGGACAGGCTCGTATCCACCGCCAACGACGCGAAGGTGTGCGTGTGGGATTACCACGCAGCGCTTTCCCTTGATGCACAAAATGCTGGCAACGACGACGATCCTGCGGTACCCAACCCGTTCGTGGTTGCTGAATTCGGACTCAAGAGCAGCCCGAACGCTGTCACTACAACGAGCCAGCAAAGTTTGGTTGTCGTTGCCGACGTCTCGAAGGAGATATCGGCGTACACGATTATAAGTTAGATAGCATTCTTCTGTCTAGACAAACAGCTTTATAAAAGTGAGAGCTTCGCGTAGGATAGCTTAATGGCTCGTTACTCTCTCATTACAACCTTCGGGTTGTGAAGTACGTAGTCAGACCAGCATAGCCGTGCTTTACAAACTGTAGTACTGATATTAGAGCTGCATCTTGGCTGAGTAAGCGGAACTGCTGGCAGGTTTGTCCCTGCAAGCTGCAGTACATCACGGGCATCTACCTGTCGTGCAGTGGCTGTACACACGCTGCAATCGCAGGTATCGCCGACTTGCGCTGGACGATATTAATAATACCAAGAAGTCTGGTCATTCGGGTTAGAGTTGTTATGCTGCTAAAATGAGTTAATAGCTATGATTGCAAACAATGTTTTTAACGTTTAATACGTTAAATATTTTCTGCGAGAGGAAAAATGGTGCGGTCACTTTCGTAATTATCGAGGTACTTATCCCCTTGAAGTTGACCTTCACACACTCCACTTTTAAGCGCTTCGAATACCTCGATGTGGGCCGCGCTTAAGGCTTCCCGCGCTGTCTGACCGAGTGCAGGGGAATGCTTCCAATGGCATACAGTGTAGACTTTAGGTTGCTCGACCACATCCACCATCTTCTCCTTACTCGTACGCTGCGCGTAGCACGTCTCGAAATCCCCGCAAGTCTTTGCTTCACAAGTCAACTTCCTACGGGCTACACAAGTCCTCTACAACTGGGCCGCGACTCCGATGGGCCGCATGGACGACCCTGTATGGGGCGAGTTCGATGTCGTCGTCCCGAAGTCCAAGCCGACGAAGCCCCACCCCGATGTGTCGCGCCGTCACTGCGGTGCATTGATCAGGAATGCCCAGCCCGGCCGTCATCTCTATCCACATATCCACTTCTGCTCCAGAGCCCCAGCGACAACGAACGCCACCTGGGCAACGTACGACGCGCAGAAGAAGCGTAAGGCAAGGCCTGGGATGTTTTCGCCGTCGAAGAGCCGTCGCACAAGCTACAGTGGCTCTCCAGCAACAAATTCCCCAATCGTACTCAGCAAGGAGGAGGAATCAAGCATTCATCTGGACATCGCGATGGTCTTCTACACTGCTGGAATCCCGTTCCGCGCGATCGAGAATGCGTACATGTGCAAGCTGTTTAAGCGTCTGACTCCTGCGTTGAAGCTCCCAACCCGGCAGGCGCTAGCGACCACCCTGCTCGTTAAAGCCTATGAACTGGAGAAGGCCAACCTGGCTGAGCTTCTTTCAAAGCAAACGTTATGGTTATCATCACTGACGGCTGGTCCAACGTAAACCGCGAGAGTATCGTGAACTACGTGTTGTGGTCACCCGTCATGCGTCCAATGATGTGGTCGTCGGGTACTACGGGTTCTGAGGCACACACGGGGGACTACATGGCATCGGAGCTTCTGCGAGTCATTGCTGAGGTAGAAGGCGTGGCCGGCGCTGGCAAAGTCTCCGCCATTGTGTCGGACAACGCAGCCAACATGAAAAAGGCTGGCCGACTGGTTGAAGCTAAGCACCCAAACATGGTCTTCAACGGATGCTCGGCGCACGCCATGAACCTGCTCCTGAAGGATATCTTCAAGATCAAGTTGTTTGGAGACGTGCTGAAGAAGGCCATCAAGATCGTCAAGTTTGTGCGCGCTAGACACCTGCTGCTCGATCAAGTTCGGCGTTACCGGCGCCAGCTACAAAAAGCAAGAAGGGCAGGCGAGTTAGCGGTCCCTGTGTCAACGAGATGGTACGCTCAAGAAAAATGCATCAAGAGCGTCGTTCGCAACAAAACAACGCTGAAGGCAGCTTTGGCGGACTCGGAGCTTATGAAGCACTACACGGACAAAGAGAGTCAGGTGAAGCTGGACGAAGTTCAAGGTATTGTCAACGATAAGCAGTTTTGGATCAAGGCGAAGGTTGTCGTTCGGCTGACGAAACCGGTTACACGAGCACTAGCTGTCCTGGAGACGGATGCTTGTTCGAACTCAATGATCCTGCACGAGTTTCTTCGGCTGTATCAGGCGCCAGAGTACACTGAAGGTATCGCAGCTTTAGCCGGCAGCTCCGTCCAAGATGAAATTCGCAAGCTGACTGCTAGTCGATGGGACTTCATTCGTCCACCGTCCGATTCCACGACGGTTGCATACCTGCTGGATCCGTCCAAGGACATCTCTAACTTACCGAGTGGTAGCCTTGACGGCAGTGGTGGTGTCGGATCGAGCGGAGACAGTTCTGACGGAAGCTGCCCTATCAACGAAGCTATACCCGACCCTCAAGACAGTCCGCTTCGTAAGGCGGTACGCTCCGCTGTAAAGCTTGCCGAGCGTTTTGGCCTCCCACCCGACGTGAGCTCAGCTCAGTTTCGCGCATCGCTGCTATCTTTTGTAAAGACGAAGAAGAACTGGACTGCTGCTCAGAGGGAGGCTGCTAGTGAGGACTCACCACTGGACTGGTGGACACTCGACGACCAATTTCCTGTTCTTCACAAGTTCGAAGAGAAAATTTTGAGCATCCCGACTTCGTCTGCAGCAAGTGAGCGCCTGTGGAGTGTGCAAGGATTTACATACAGCAAGCTTTGAAACCGCCTCAAGGTCGCAACAGTCGAGAAGTTGTTGTCCATCTACACAAACAACGGAGATGCGAAACCAACTCGACTGCCATTGTACAAGACTTCTCGTCGGCCGATAGAACTCGATAGCGACAGTGACAGCGACAGTGACGAGCAAGAAGCTGAAGATTCTCTGTTTGACATTAACGACATGGAGTTCGAGTATCTCTTGGACGCAGTCGTGAGTGTGGACATTTCGCAGTAATCGATTTCTTTAGTCCTTGCCTTCACAACAATAAACGCTTTGCTTCTGAGCGTAAGGCGCACTAACGTTCACAATATAACACACGCTTTGCTAACACACACTGATATCACATGTAGAGTGCTATTCTAGATTAAGATTTCAAATGTAATCCACAGCAATGACGCAAGCCAACACCCCCACTACTGAGCCGATTCCATGATACAGCTGCAGACGGTGGAGTAGCGAGGTGTCGGGCAGGGCACACACCTTCTTCTGCGTTTACGAATACTCGCGCCCAGCAACGTCTGCGTCGTGGCCATTGACAACAACGAATTGAGCACCCCCGTCCGCGCGTTGTACACCGCGTGGCTGTTGTCGGGCAATGAGAAGCCGAGAAGCGTTGATTCACTTGAGCGCCAGTCCGCGACTCGAACGGCACCTTGCACTTCTTCAAAGTCCTCTCAAGGAGGACGAGGCCGTCCAGCCGGCCGAACGCGAAGACACCTCTTCTCGATCGCACAGCACAGCTGCAGCGACGTCAGATACAGCTCTGTGTCCGTGTCGTTGGGGAAGGCCACGCGGAAGGTGCGATTGGTGCCGTGGCTCGAGCCCTTGTCATGCATCAGCTCATAAATGCTCCAGCAGCAGCTCGCACTTGCCTTCTTTCGTGGCGTCGTAGGCAGCCGCACTGCCAATGAGGCCGGCACCGACCGTCACGCGGTCGTACAGTGGAGTCGCCATCACGACGCAAATCGGGGAATGGCACGAGCTGCATTTCAAGCGCGTTGGAAGTCCTGTCGATCCACGCCCGCCAGTCGAAGCTCCGCGGCCAGCGCCGCCTCCGCGAGCGCCTCAGGCGTGATGTCCGCTGTGAACTGCACCACGTCAGGGGGGTAGCACTTCCCACACTACGCCCACGTGCGTACTAACCACGGAAAGCTCGTATTTCGTAGCCTCCAGAATCGTGAAGTAGAGGCTCTCTTGGCCAGCGAGCTGTCGGTTGAGGAAGATGTGGTCTTGACACAGTACGTCGCGCACTTTGAAGCCGGGCACGGCGCCGTAGAGCGTCACGCAGTAGTGCCGTCGGTGCTTCTCCAGCATCTCCTCGAGCAGCAGCCGTGTAAACCCACTCTCGAGCCCCTCGCGTAATGACGCACGCAGCACGAGGTTCTAGCGACACGTGTGCGAGATTCCGATGGCCGTGTTCACCGAGAACACGAGGAAATTTATGATCTTGTTGAGAAGGACGCTGGCAGCGTCCACGAAGCCGAAGAGCGAGTGATCCGTGTACACGGTCTTGACGTCCAGGTCCAGCGCTTTGGTCTACAGCAGACACTCGTGCATGAGGGTGAGCGTGGCCTGGTGGCCATGCACGATCCGCACCTACTCGCGGACGCGGATGGCCCGGAACAGCGCCAAGTGGCCCACGAACGTCATGTACGTCACGATGTCCAGCAAGTGCATCACCGGCAGGTAGTACAGCTTGTCATGTAACGCACGCCCGCGCGCTGAGTGGGGTGTTGGCGGCGCCGTCGGGGCCACTCTGACCTTGGGTCCGGGAACGGCATACGTGAGCAGGATGACATTGTGGCCGCCGCGCAGCAGGCACTGCGAGAGCGATCGGATGGGCATCTCCACGCCGACCAGGAGCGGGAAGAAGTCGCAGCACAGCCGCCGCACCGTAGTCCAGCATGAGTAGCGAGAAATCTTTCAGCAGCAGCAGCAGCGTACCAAACAGCATGTTCAGCACTGTTAGAGCGTGCTGACGCCGCCACGAGAGCGCGATGTCCAGCACGGGCGAGAATGCACTGTCCAAACCAGACTAGAGCCATCTCCACGTAGCGTTCACGCGTGGCGCTGATGATCACCTTGGCACAGTCGCTGTGCCCACGGCGGCGGTGCCCCCAAGCACGGTCCTTCGGTCTGGCCATCCACAGATCTCAGCCCCACCTCCTTCATCTCGGCCAACTCCGTGCCTTGGGGGGGGGCAGCACGTAGTGCAACGGGTACTGCGCGAAGATGGCGCTAGCCGCAGATGGTAGAGTCGTCGTCGTCCAGGTCAGGATCGAGGGGGCGGCGTCCACGTCGGGATCAGAGGTGACGTCGTAAGGCCGCGTCGCCGACGTACGTCTGCACCGAAGACGATAGCCCTTGGCGCGCTGGTTCTGCGTCAGGTCCTCGCGGGGCTTGCTTCACGTGGCTTTGAGCTTGGGCGGCCGTGGTCCAGCTGCAATCCTCTCCGGGACATACGAGCGTGTGGGTCTCAGTTCCGAGGAACAGGAACTCGGCGTTGAACGTAGCCACCTTCAGCTGCGACTTGTTGGGGCGACGATCACCAGGGCTGCTAGGGGCAGTAGCACATGCCGCAAAGGCGGCGTCGGCCGAGATTGCAAGGAAACTAGCAGCAGCAGCGAAGGCAGCGGGTACGGCTTTTTTCCGCGTGATTTTGCTGTTTTCCGCGTGTGGAGTTTTAGCCTAGGTTTTCCGCGTTTTCGCGCGTGGATCGAAGGTTTCTCGTGAGCAGGTTTTCCGCGTGGGGGCTGGGAGATGCTGTATTCTAGGTCATAGTTTCAGCTTTAAAAGGCTCATGATATCTTTAAATGGAGCCTTTCGCATCGATGGTTACTTTTAGCCCACTTTCTCTTCTTGCTGGTCTTGAACTTCGCGACTCCGTTGGGCTCACAGCCAGTATCGGCGCTTCTGTTGTAGTCCAGCGACCAGGTCAACTCATGGCGTCGGCCGACAGTGATGACGAGTTCGTGGCTGATAGTGACTCGTCTTACGACTTCAACGTTGTGTCGTCGCCACGCTGGGCCGACAGGGGGTCAACCAGTGACGATGGGGACGTGCATCGTCAGGAGTCCAATACAGCTATGGCTACATCATCCAGTACAGCTATGGCTCCATCGTCCAATACGGCTATTATTCCAGCTATGGCTGCATCGTTCGATACAGCGCCAATCGTCTGGAAGACAGCTCATAGTTTGGGTGTATTCTCGTCGCGCAAGGAGGCAAGGATTCAGCGGAGCGAGCTCGATTTAAGCAGAAGCATAATTACAAGACTGTCACCAAGACTATCACGCAGTTCAATTGCAGCTCTCATGACCGATGTGGTCGCAAGGCTCGGATTCTGGCTCCGAAGACCGGACCCCGAGTATTTGAGGTGGTGGTGGGCGGATCTCACAAAATAGCCACTGCAGAAAACCCTCGGACTGGAATTGACAAAAGGTTCGAAGTGGAATGCGACAACCTTCTACTTGGTGCGGCACCGGCGCAGTGCTTAAGCCGTTCTGAAGTTCCCGGTCCCAAGTCCCGGGACGAAATAAAGCGATTTGATTGGCTTTCAGAAAGCGGGCTAGGTTTATTTCCGAGCTCGTTTTGTCCCGGTCGGGACGTGGGACTTTCGCCCTAGCTACTTCATTTCTGCACTAATGCGCGCCAAGTGTGCACCACTTTGTCACGTTTCGAAAGGGCTATCTGACCATGTTCTTCTTTCACCGTAATTCGCGGTAGTTCCCGAGAGTTAGGGGCTTAAAAAATGCTTACAATTATCAAGTTTGACGGACGAGGGGTTCGTCCCCAGCTCCCGGGAACTTAAGAACGCGCCTTAGTAATTCTTAACGAGCGATACGTCCACCAACCAGACCTGCTTGATATCCTACCCGACACAGACCAGCTTCGCAACAGAAACTTCGTCCTCAAAGATCAAGGCCGTTTCGACATTAAAACGTTGGCAGAAGTTAGCCTTTGGGCTTCTCAAAAAATGTGTGAGTCGGTCGATCGGTTTGCCATGGGCGGTGAAAGTCCCGCGTTTGTTGAATTTCGGCAACTGTCCGCTGCGTACCAAGTTGAACTACTAGTGTTACACACTTTTCAAGAGCCTTGCCAAACAAAGAGTTTTCTCTCGGGATTGTTTTCACAAGCCGCCGTCTTTTTCGCAAGGCACTTGCTGCTGCACCCGTCCACCATATGGAAAACTAGGCTGTGACGAGACTATTGTACCCGTTTGCGCCCGACCACGACCGTCAAGAACCGACCAAAACTGAAGCAAGTTGTATACTCCATGTATAGACCAGTTAGATGAAGAATGTTCGAGAAGGCCCAATGCCGACCACCAAAGCGACTAAGCACTTGTTGCTTGATGTTAAAGAGGGTAGGACACTCTCACGTTGGCTCTCGCCTGTGGACTTAGCAACGGCACTTCGAGGGGCGCTGCTGCGCGACCTGCCCCACCCCCTCGAGCCTTACGCTAAGTCCTCGGCTCGACCAGGCGAGGTATCTGGATTAGATAGAAACTCCTACTTAGGCATACCTTCCGGCCCACGCGCCGAACATTGCAGACCTATGCTTTGCTTCGGTTGCAAATGGTCTCTCTGAGGCCTCTAAGTGAAATGACTAAGTGCATAGCTTACGGGGAGCGAATTTTCGAACAGTACAGGACACTACACATCTCGGACAGTCCATTACATTGTTTTTTTCATCGTTCTCTTACGTTAACTCCTACCAACAGCTCGCAAGATTCTTGTGGCCACGCCACGAGCTGTAGTCTTGTACAGGTAAACAACTTGAGCGCATGCGTTGACCTAGCCAAGCAAACAACAAACATCACCACCGGTACCCGACTGAGAATACCGTCACCCGTCACCGTACCCGACTGCCCGACTGGAAGCTTATTTTCCCCGACTGATACCGCTGTACCCGACTGACGATAGCCCCGCCCTCGAACTGATCCCAAACGCTGAAGTCTCACGCATTCTGCTTGCGCTCTTTCGCTTGTTCTCCTGGTAAAGCTGTTTGAAAGCGGAGCAGGAAGTGCCTTCTGACTCCGCCGGTTAAAGCTGGCCGCTGCGCGTACAGACACGAGTATGAATACACCAAGTGATGCATAGATCTCCCCCGAACAGTTACTTGCCTGACAGGACTGAGAGGTGGCCTGATGCTCGTGCATCTCTTCAAACGCGCGCAGGGAGGAAGGGGGGGGGGGCTCTGACGCCTTTTGTGTTGCGCCGACCGCAGTCTTGCCAGCCAGCCAGGGAGCGCTCCACGTCATCGTCGCCACGAGGTGTCGCTGCAGCACCACTAGGCGCTACCGGTAGTCGTCGACATCATGCGCATGCTTGTACGGCCAACAGGGCGACCGCGCGGCGGGGGGGGGATTCATGCGTGTGGCGGCTCGCCGCAGTTTTAGGAATGAGTCGAAAGTATACCGCGTATACGAAGTTCGGATGGAGGCCAGAAGCGTGGTTAGGTTATTAGTGCGGACAATTCAATAGATGACTCCAGTGGACGGGTGCAGCAACCACTCTCTTTTCGCAATTTGATACTTGCTCGAGAGGGGCATCGCCACCATGGTATGGTTGCATCAGGTGATGGCACGTATCGACTTCATCACGGTGGCTGGACTCTCGTCCGAGCCGAGACGACACCTGCCTACGATCGGTTCTTTGGAGTAATCAAACGATGCTGCAACGATTTCTTAGGCTGGAATCCGAGATTTCAGTTTGGAACCCTAGATCATGCCGACTGCATCGCCGCAGCGTACAAGAAGCATTGGCAGGATATCATGCTACTTAGCTGCTGGCCCCATCTTAGTACCAACTTGACGAAAAAGATTGCGTTGCTGAACAACAGAGAGCAAAACGAAAGCAACGTGCGTGAGCAAGTGAACTATCTTCAGAAAGCGCGGTGTCCCGGCCAATTTCGTGCTCTTTCGACTCTCGTCCTTAAGAACTGAATCAAACTCAAAGAAAAAGCCTTCGCCGCCTGGTTCAAGGAGGAGTATTTAGCACCAGACTGGAAGTATTGGTATTACTCTGCCAGTAAATCACCTGGCGTTACTCCAAACCAGAATCCCGTGGAAGCGCATAATCGGGATATTGAACGCGTTGTGGGTCTCGACAAGTATGCGGCAACAGAAGTCGTCCTTCGTACCACCCTTCCCAGACTTTTAGCTTACTTCGGATCAGCGCGGGATCGAAAAGGCAGCAGACTGCCTCGCCCTGAGATCAAACCATATTCATCAGGGCCTGTATTCATTGAATGTGCGCGCAAGGCCATGATTTTAGCGAACTCAGAGAACTACTGTGAAGTGGAAAAGAACGACAATGTCGTGGGACTGCTGTTTAACACGCGCAAGTATTTGGTCGGCGATACGAATATCCAACCAACACGTGTCGACGAAGACAGAGTTGCTATGTTCAAAGCATCGCTGCGTGGAGCATCAGTCAGTCAGGAGATCGTTGAGAACGTGTATCCTCGCTACTTATCCCTCCATTTGGTTCGCATTCAAGCGAACTTGCCGTTTAAGCACAGTTGGGATTCCCCGAATTGGCCGGAGTCTGAGGTATGGTCTAACACTGTTTTGTTTAAGCAAAAACCTCACTTTGTAATAACTAATCTTTTGGTGGGCAACGATATTTTAGATACTGCGTATCAGAAAGAAGTATCGCTGCGACTGTAAGGCATTTTATGTGTCTGGATGGCTGTGCGCTCACATATTGGCTACACTGAATATCCGGGATGGCTTCAATTTGGAGGTTCTGGTGAAGTCGATCCCAGCACGGAAGCCCCCAGGTCGCCCTCGCAAGCAACCAAGGGCGGGGCAGCATGATACGACGTACACAGGCCAGAACGCAATCCCTAAACTATTGACCAAACTGGCCGCCAAGCCAGGATTCCCAACGAACTGGAAGGTTCTTGTTCCTCTGGAGATTGAAGACGAGAGCGGCACGGTGTCTAGAAACTTTGATGGGGTGGTACGACCTTGGTTTACTAGAGACGGCAACTACTACTGGGAGATTGATTTTCCGGACGAAGAGGTTTCGACGGAGCCGTATGACATTCAAGAACTCGCGCATGTCCTAAATTTCACCGCTCGGTCGGGCTATTCTTTTGTCTGATTTGATGCGGTGCGGGGTTTAGTTTGATACCTTTCATGCGCAACAAAACATTAATACATTTTTCTTTGGTTGCATTGCACGATGACGTTGCTCATTATGCGAATGATAGCAAGTGTGTGTAGTAACAAAATGTCACACGCTAAAAATCTCATCACACGCTAAAAACCATCAAATCACACGCGGAAAACCCGAATTTCGCACGCGGAAAAAACCGCCACTCGAAGGCAGCAGGAAGCTTGAAGAGTGCGAAGGTGGAGCGAGTGCGCTTGATCGATCCAATTCGGGAGTGAGGACTCCTCACTGAGGAGTTGCCAAGTGCTTGTGATTGAGCTAGTGCGGGCGAATAGTTGCGGTCTACGGGAACCCCCATGCACGTTTGAATGCCAGGCCCCAGCGAACCAGATTGAAGTTTGCACCTTGGGGATGACGAGCTGTTTGGCCCAAACGAGCATCACATGTTGTAGGTCAAGTGCCTGCAGCAGTGAATGCAAGAAGATAGCATGATGTCGAGCGCGTCGGCACTGGGATTCGCAAACTCTACAAATTGCCCTTCTGACCAAGTACATGTTCTGACTGTCCGCAGGCATTCATTGTTCTCATGTAAAGCCCCACAGCTTCAAGTTGGGATTGCTTACCGTAGAAGATGACCACAGCGGTTGCACGAATATGAATCTACAGTTCCACTTTCACACAGCAAAACATCACCACTTTCCCGTCGGACCAGCTGTGATATCTGGCAGCGTAAGAAGCAGTAGGAAGCGTCGAAGCCGAAGACTGTGCAGAATCTGCATCTGCACTGCAGATGCAGGTAAAACAGAAAATGATGCATTAGACCGAAGACTTATCGGACTGACAAGTAGAACTAAATGCAGGCGATCTGTCTACAGGGAGCCTAGAGGAAGATCGTCAATGTGATGGGAATCTCGCGTGCATCGAACCAATCGCTGTTCCGTGCATGTGCTTCTGCTCCAGTGTTCGAGATGCAGCAGGACTCCAGCGAATCGTAAACAAGTACGCGTGGCAGCAGCCACTCAGATATTACAACCTCCCCGAGTTGAGCTGGCGCTGGCGGTTGTCGAAGGCGTTCTGGAACTGCTGCCAGTGTGAAAGGCGACGAAGTTTTTGGACGGGTTCCCAGGAGTTTTGTGATTCAGGTAGATCCAGCCACTTGACTAGATACTGAAGTTTGCCTTTGCATGTAGCAGTTTTTCGGCGACGTAAATGCGGTTGCCGTGGGTGTCGTAGATAGCAGGAGAAGCTTTCGAGAGAGATCGATTCGCGAAGTATGGCGGATTCTCGATAGACAATTTCAGCTGGTCAATGTTAAAAGCTGGGTGACGCCGCTGTAGAACCACAATTTCCTCGCGTGCACGAACAAACTGTGCATGCGGTCCAGAAACTTCTTCCTGCATTCGAATTGCTGCTGCTGGCTGCCTTCCTGTGTCCAGTTGAAAAGGAGAAACTCGGGTAGAGGAGTGAATTGCGGTGGCGTGGGCATATTCCACCGTCGGCAAAACTGCGAACCAGTCATCACCATAGTGTGAAGCAGTGCATCGGAGCGCATCTACTCCATCAAAGCAGTCCAAAACTTGCTGCAGAACTTGCTGTCGCGGTCACTCACGTTACTCGAGGGCAGGCCGTAGTAGCGAACGACATGATCGAAGAATAGCCGCGCAGTTGCCTCAGCTGTCACGTCCTTCGTAGTCGGAATATAACGCGGGCGCTTACTGAGTCTGTCCACGACGACAAGTACCGCATTGTAGCCATTCGAAGGTGGCAATCCTGTCACAAAGTCCATCGTTACATGCTGCCAGCAGTAGTCGGGAATCGGGAGTGGCTGTAATAAACCCTGGTGGGCTCGGGTGCTGCTCTTACTCCGCACGCAGCATTCACACGTAAGAACATACTGTTCAACATGTTTTCGAAGCCCTTGCCAGTAGAACCATTGCCGCACTGTCAGATACGTGCGCGTCACTCCCGGGTGAGCTGAGATCGCGTTATCGTGGTAATCATGGAGGACTCTTAGCAGGATTTCATCAACGACAGGAAGCACGATAATGCTCGCACGGCCATCAGTCTTCAGCTTCAGCAGACTATCGTGGTATTGAAAACGGTGGTGCTCGTACGCGGAGCTTCTCTGGAAAGCAGCGACGATGGCCTGCAAGTCCTTGTCGCGCTGGTAACCGTCTAGTATCATCTGGTGAAAGTCACTATCGAGCTGCGTAACCATCGTAAGTGGGCTTGCGTCCATGTTAGCTTGCACCACAGATCCAAATGCACTGTTGCCTTGAACAATCATCTTCTCCATGCGGGAGCTGTACAAGTTGTCAAACACGACGCTACTTGCCGTAACGGGAGGTCGCGACAGAGCGTCGGCCACGACGTTAAGATGCCCCGCCCGATGCTCCAGCTTGAAGACGAATTGTCAAAAAAACTCCGTCAAGCGTGGCGACAAGTCCGGATGCGAAAGAAACCAGCGGCATGCCGAGTTGTCGGTGAATACAACGAACTCACGTCCCAGCAGATACACACGCCACTTGCCCATACAGAGCTTAATAGCGAAAAGCTCCTGTTCATGCGTTGGCCACTTCTGCTCATTCGTTTTCGTTTTAAGCTGAGGTGCATTACAGTCATTTACACCTTTGCCAATCCAAGTTGGCAGCAGTGTAAAGCAAAACGGTGTGAAGTAACTTAAGTAGCATCCAAAAATCGGAAAATAATTTCTGAAATTAGTATTTAGAGCAATGTGGATTTAGTGCAGAGCAAACTCAAATCACTGGTCAGATCGTCCAGCGCCAAGCCGCTGATGTCAAGAAGAGAGGCGGCGCGCGGGCGGCGTGCACGAAGTGTACTCCAGAAATGGAGGAAGCTCTCGTGGGCTACCTGGAAGACAACTGCCAGTACACACTCGTGCAGATGCAAGAAATGCTTGCGTTCGACTTCAGGGTGCACATCAGCACTACGTTGATCAGTAAGAAGCTTTGCTATAAGCTTTACACTGTTAAGCAGGTACGCCTTCAAGTTATTATGCTATCACTTTTACCATCTATGTACTGTACTAAGTATGTTCCCTGTGATAGGTTCGCGTAGAGCCCGAGACCTGCAATAATGCTGTAAATATCGAGAAGAGGAGGGTGTTTGGTGAAGCGTTGCTGAAGCATGAGCGGAACGGTGCTTTTATCGTGTATTATGACGAGACCAACTACATGTACAACCTGTACTGTAAGCGGACGCAAGGTCTGTCGCCGCTGCTATTCGTAGCGAGCCCATGGAGTATGGAACTTAGATGTTTGCTGTGGACTAAATCCACATTGGTCTGTACTAATCCTCGAAAATAAATTTTTGAAAAAAATATTTTTCGTATTTACGGGACTCTCGGCTTTGCCTTACACTACTGCCAACTTGGATTGGCAAAGGTGTAGAGTCCCTAACGACCTAAAAAATGCCCGACCCTCTGATGCTTACAGATCATCTGAGGGTTTGCTAGCTACCGCTACTGGTGCCAGCAAATGTGTAGGCTCGGCATCCGTCCTCTTGATCCGGGTGAGTGTCCATCCAGTGCACTTCTGCTCATTCACATTCAGCTTCTTGCTGAAATAGGCGACAGGGTGGTCAAAGCCATTGTGTTCCTGGCTAAGCACCCCACCGACCGCCAACTTGGAGGCGTCGGTAGTCACAATAAACGCCTTCGAAGGATCAGGCAGGCGTAAGATCGGAGCGGAGAGTAGCTGGCGCTTGACGGCGTGCACCGCCCGGCTGTGCAGGGTCGTCCACACCCAAGTAACATCTTTCTTGAGCAAGTCGGACAGCGGAGCCACGAGATCAGCAAAGAGCGGAACAAAGCGACGATAATAACCCGCTAATCCGAGAAAACGCTGGAGATCACGTACATTCTGGGGAAGCGGCCAATTGGCGAGAGCGGACGTCTTGTCAGGATCAACGGAGAGTCCTTCACGTGACCGACAAACGTAACCGAGTCGCGAGCAAAATGGCACTTCGAGCGCTTCACAAACAGTTTTTCTTTGCGTAGCACAGTGAAAACATGGCGGAGGTGATGTGCGTGCTCCTCCAGCGAGCGCGAGTATCTAAGTACACGACAACAAAGGCCGCAAACTCGGGGCCTCCAAAGAGCGCATTCATCAGCCGTGTCCACGTACCAGGCATGCCAGCGAGGCCCATAGGGGCAACAAGCCACTGGTAAATCTCGCCATTCGCCCGGAAAGCCGTGTACATCCGTGAGCGCCTTGACAGCCGCGTCTGATGGTAGCCACTCAGTAGATCCAACGTCGAGAAGACGACAGCTCCCACCATGCGAGCAAAGAGCTCGTCAATGTACGGGAGCGGAATGCGTGGCACCACCGACATGCTATTGACATATCGATAATCAATAACCCATCGCAGCAACTTCGCAATATCGGTGACGTGTACCCAGTCGATGCGCTTGGGAATCAGGCCGGTAGTGGGGTCCTTCTTCGGCACAGCAAAAATATTCGAGACCCACGGAGAAAACGACTTGTCTATCCACTTCTTGTCAAGGAGCTTCCGCACAAAATCATCAAGTGCCACGCGCTCGACCTCTGAGTGGCGAAAAGGAGCTCGGGAGCTGGGCTAAGCGCCTGGTTTCATCACCACATCGTGCTCAATAGGTCGCATCGGCGGGAGACCGTCTGGTTGCTCGTCCGGCATGGCGTCTGCAAACTCGTTCAGTACGCGGGCAATAATATCGGGTACCACCTTGGCCACGACACTGGCATTCATGTAAATGCGATAGACTTCCTCGTAGTCGCCAGTGCGTAGACCGACCAGGAAGTCATCCATACTCAGCACATTGCACTCGCACTGATCTGCAGGGAGCTCTGCACCACGCTCGGAGCTGAGTGTACTGGCGTCACGGGGGGGGGGGGGCACAATCGTCGCTAGGCGGGACGTAGCGGGGGTTGGAGGCGGTCCGCGCGAGATAACACCACGGCCCCAATCAATGCAAGGGTTGGCACGGGGTT